AAAGCGTTAGGGTGCAGTTCAGTTGTTGCTGAAAACAAAAACACCAAGCTTACTGCAATTGGCTTATGGAAACATAACCAAACCTCCGTAGAAAAATAGCACCTGACAAAAAAAAACAACAAAAAAACATGAAACCACGAAATCAGTTCAGTAGTCTCCAATGCGCGCACACGGTCATAGCAGTCCTGGGCCCTGGCAGGCTTGTGTCTTTTGGCCATCCTCTTCTTGACCTTTTCACTCTCAGAGTGAGCCTTGTTGGCCTCGCGAAGCCTCCGCCTGTCTTTCTCAAGACTCCTGCGAATCAGGCAGCTACCTGTGCTGTAGCCAAGCTGTGCTGCTACAGCCTTGCTCGTCTTTGCCATTCCCTGGTTGAAGCGTGACACGGCTTCAGCGACATCCCTCTCCCCCAACAGCAGAGAGTCATGTGTGTTCTTAGAGTTCTGACCCCAGATCACAGAGTGTAGGCACTCTATGGCGCTCTGTGTCATGCCATCACTGCAGCGCTTCAGGAGTGCCCGGTCGCCCAGCCTCACAAAGACTGGCTCCAGTGCAGTGCGAATGAAGCCTGGCAGTGGGTTCTTGTGTGGTGGTGGCTCCTCGTGGTCGGCCAGTGCCCGGTTGTAGGAGCACCAGGAACTGTCCCCCTCGGGACAGCGGCTGTGGTCCGGGGCTTCATCTGTCGAGGTCATGTGCAACAAAGTTGCTTGCGCTACCTTTTCCATCCCTGGCACATCATGCTTGTGGCTTCTCAAAGCATACCCATAGTAGTTTTTTTTTTTTTTTTATGTTGTCCTGGATCAGCTTTCTCTTTCCTCCGAGCGACTCTCCCTGTGCCTTCTTCTCCACCAGGGTACGAAGAGTTGCTCCCATCCGCTTGTGTACATGGTTCAGGCAGTCTTTTTTCTCAATGTCGAGGTATCCATAGACGCTGTCTTGTGTCAGGGCATGGGAGGTGCGGCTGTCACCATCGGAAAGGATGGTGGTGTAGCGCAGTCCATTCTTCGCCAGGGACTGCCTGAACAGAATGAGGGCTGCCTCGGCTTCCATTCGTCCTGCGTTGCAGTCTGTGTTCTTCATACACTTGTGGTTGATCACCCAGTCCCCATAGCTGTCGTCGTCTGGGTCAGGTGCACCCTGGCAGCCAAGGCAGTATCTTGACAGGACAATGTGGTCCAACACCAGGCCAGTGTAAAGCTCGAGGATGCACCCCACTGCGATGTTGGAGTTGTGTTCGTGTGTCTTCCATGTGCCGTAAAAAATTATATCCACGTTTCCGGGAGGATTAAGGAAGCTCTCAGACGTCCTTCAACACCTCAACACTCGCTGCTTCTGTGGCTGTTAGCTGCTGCCTGGCAAGCCTGCACCATGGTGTCCATGTGTCCCCTGAACGTCTCATGATGAAGCCCTCGGTGGGAGAGGTTCAAGGTTGCACAGAAGTCTGCAAGCGCAGTCGCCCCCTTTCCTATGCTCTGTACTCCCTTCATCGCCCTCAAGTTGATCTCGAAGGACGTAATCTTGGCTTCCCCGGCGACTCATGGAGAAGAAAATCGACTCTCGGCGAAATCGCAGCTCGAACACGTGAGGACCAACTTCACTGCCAGGCCGTACTGCCTCTCTTCGCACTTCGAAAGTCCTACGGTAGCCATTCCGCACTTGCCGCATGCCGTGGACGCAAAGAGTTCTTGTCGCACTTTCATGTCCACGATGACGTACTCCGTGCTGCGGTCGGTGTCGTCGCTCTCCATGCAGACATGGAGGAGCTCAAACTTCCGTGAAGTCGCCGACTGATCTGCCAACGAAGCCTTTTTGTCGTCCACACGTTGTTCGCGCTCCACGCACTCCTCCTCCGTGTAGAACACAGTGTCGATACAATCTCTAGACGAACTTGGTCCAGCCACGTCCACGAGCGGAAAAGCGGCTTGAGGCATCGGCGAAGTTGTCAAACACAAACTTGATCCAGTCACGTCCACCAACGGTAGAGCGGCTTGCGGCATCGGCGAAGTCGACGGTGTCGTTTTCCTCGGTGCAGAGGTCTTCTTGTTCCAGGCACGTCTCCTCTTTGTGTTAAGTCTCTGCGTGTTGGCCTTCAAATGGGCGTCCCCAGCCATCAGAACTCGAAGCGAACTCGAAGCGCGCAAAACGAAACAAAGAACAACGACGCAGGAGGGCAAATATATACGAAAAGGGAAAGCTAAACGAAGTGGAAGTATTAAAATATTTACATGAACGATGCGAAGAAGTCGGGGAACATACAAAAACACTAAGAAGCACAAGAAAAACACTGAAAATATTGATATAGAAAGTGGAGAAATGCGAATGCAGAATGAGTCTCGAACGGTGAAGCAAGCGAAAGCAGACGATGCAGGAGCCCGCGGAGCGACCGGGACGACTCGCCGGGGAAGCCAGGAGAGGAGGCGCGCGTTTCGGCCAATGAGAGAGCTGCGCCTCGGAGAAGCGCGCGCTTTGCCCAATCAGAGTCTTTCCTAGCGCTGGTGACGGCCTTTTGTACGGCATTGATGACGTCGCAGCCTCGAGGGGTACACCACTTAAGAGCGCGGGAAACCAGCTTTCGAACAAGACCAAGATGGCTTCGATCGGTTGAGCCGTTGCAGTGCTTTGACGGCTTGAAGTTTGTTCAAATTTTTAGAGTTTAGGCTTGAAGTCAGGTCTGTCAATGCCTACAAATTGTCATTAGTTCCATATTTAGAGATTGAATTGAGCATTTATATTTTGTGAGGACATACTGTGGACTATATAGACCTCAAAATCGTTAACTTTGAAAAAAGGCATTTTTCACAATTTTTTTATATTTTAAGACCCGCGTCCATCCTTAATGTGGCCAATAAGAAACTGGAACACTGATGACACTTCTTAAAGCAATGATCATCAGCTGCACTGATGAATGCATGTCTGTTCAAGGGCGTGCATATCTTCGTCCTTGAAGAGACCTGTTCTGCTTAAAGACGAAGCCGTCCTTGAAGCAGTAATCTGTCTCCGTGTCCCATGATACGGGGGAAAAAAAGACTTGTCTCCCCTCTTTGTTAATTTATTGTAACCGACAGAACCATGGACCTGCCGGATATTCGACAAACAGTATAACTACTGCATGTCGAAAATCCAGCAGGTCCATGTTGGTTCTGTCGGCTACAATAAATTAACAAAGAGGGGAGAGGCGTCTTTTTTAACTTCTCCTAGGACAAAATAAAAACACAGGTAAATTGACAAATACAAAATAAAAAAGGCGCTGCGGAGAATAGCTGTTTCCCTCTTAAAGGGTAACTGCAAAGAAAAAGTGTTTTTTAAAGTCTAATTGGGATAAGCATGTCACAAAACAAATCTTCCGCGAAAAAACAATTTTTTTAGCAATATTTACGCCACAGGACGTAACTTAGTCGGGAGTCACAACCTCTCCACATTTGAGACTCCCGCTCTTTCGACGCGCGCGGAGTGGCTGTTATACGTAGGGTGACCATATTCCTCAAGGTGGAAAACGGGACATCCCAGCGGGGAGAGGAGAGAGGGGGGTGCACTAAAGATTGAGATTGGTAGAACAAACTTATTTGAATTACTGGTCCTATTTCAAAACTTTGCCATATTGCACTAAGCCCTGGAACAGTCACACTCACAGTTCAGTTCCGTGCACCCATTTGGAAGTTGTTTGTGGGCAAGAACAGTTCTAAATTTTACTCTCTGGGTAAATATTTTAAAGTACCTACGGTAATTTTTGTAAACTATACTTGTAACAAGTAGGCATAGTTTCGGTTTGCTTCAACTCGCTCGGTGCCAATTTCAAAACTATGCACTCCTGCGTAAACGGGACATGGTTCTTTATTAGGACAAAAAGACGGGACGGCAGAAGCGGACATCAAAAACGGGACTGTCCCGACCAAAACGGGACGTCTGGTCACCCTAGTTATACGTCATCCCGTGACGTGTAGCAGCCACTCCGTGACGTATAATACCAACTTTGTGGCGCGCGATTTAAAACGGACGAAATAGCTGCAAACTAAAGTCAGTCCCGCGCCATAAATATTGCCGTACAAAATTGTTTTTGTTGGAAAAATTGTTTTGCGACATGCTTGTCCCAATTAGGCTGCTTAAAAATACCCTTTTTTTTTCGTTGCAGTAACCCTTTAAGTGCCTTTCACTTGTAAATAAATAGAAGGATGAGGTGGAAAAAAAGTGTGTGGCGGAGAACAGCCGCCTACCTAGCCAGAAAAGAATGTCTCGCATCCACTCAAGTTTTGGTATGATAGCTGCCTTCTATGATTCCGTAGCCAACGTTTAGGTGGACAAAAAATTGACCGGGTAGTAATTCTATTTCTGGTGGACGTAGAGCGGCGTCAAAACTACTTCAAAAGCGATAATAAGTTATGTAAAATGTATTGTATTACTCTAAACTTCAGTAAAGGAAAATTCTACGAACCGGCGTCAAGTGATTCAATGAAACTGCGTTTGAAAAAATGTCCACTTATTCAATAAAACGGCGTTCAATGAAATGTCCAGTACCCTTTTTTTTCTACATTTGTCTTGTTTCTAGCGTGTAGATCTCATCGGTTCTTTTTTTTTTACATACACAATTTGAGTTCAGAACATTGTTCGAGCAGATTAATTCACTGTGCACTGTAAATTGTTAATATTATAATAACGCTAGATGTGTGCATGTTTTTTTTTAGTGTACAGTTTTGATGTGTGTAAAAAAATTCATAATTTTAATAATCAAGACGGCTGCCGTGGCATAGTTCGTGACCCCCCGATATTTTCCTGGATTTACGTCACTGATGTGAAGCGAGGATCTCAAATCATGTGCTTGAGGATATCAGCCAGAAACGATGGGAACATCTTATATCGAAAAGATCCTCCACTGCAAACAAATTCATTCGCATGCTGTCAACACCTTATAATTTGCGACAACATTATGTCCTCAAATAAAAAAATTGTTTTTAGACAAGCTTGTGAAATACTAATAGCCCAGAATAAAGGGATGGGACTTCATGAAATGGCAATGATGATGTTTTTATTGGTCATAATCAAGAACCAGTCAATCAAATCTTAAATGAGACAACACAATTCAAACAGTGTGTGCTTTCAATCACACTCTTTTCCCACGCCTTCTCTTTACTGGCACCTGGAAAGAAAAAAAATGAATGAAATGGATCATTAATCTTTTTTGTGACACATCCAAGTGTACTCGACATGTTCCTGTGCGGTTTCAGTTTGCTCCCTAACCCTCCCAACAAAGGGATTTTTTTTTTTTTTATTATGCGTAGCGGCATGTTTGAGCAAGCGATGAAAACAATGTTTTACCTTTTGACGTCACCTTAATTATTTTAATGTAAATTTTTACGTTTAGGAGATTTCTGTTTCGGCGCGTTACAAAAATGGCAAATCTATGCCATTCCACCTTGCGCTTCATGGGGAACACAGAGATCTAGAAATCACTAAGGAACTCTGTATTCGACACCCGCAATAAGGAGGAAGTTGCAGTTTCAAATAAACAACAGTCAAGTAAGGCCGCTCATAAAGTGACCTCGGGGTGCGAGGTCAAGGCGACACTGCATAGTACCATGTCTCGAAGAGCGCAATATGAGAAATACGTCACACAGACGCCAATGAACTTTCTGCCCCTGAAATAGTCCGTCTTTTATGAACATATGTTCTTCACAAAGAACGCGGGAAAAAATTCAGGCACTGAAAAAGATAACGAGAAAGATTAAACGGTAAAACGTCATACCTCTTCAGTTTCCTTTGGCTCCTCGACAGTCGACCTCTTGACACGGAGGCTTAGAGTCCCTGCTCCCTCGTCTACAAAGAAAGGCGAGTTGACACACATAGAAGTTGATGCGGCAAAACACGGCATCAAAAAAATGAAAGGCGTTTACAATTCCCTGTAATGCAAAAATAGAGCGCAGCTCTTGAGGAGGAGGACAAGAGGGTATTCTCTCCTCCTCCTCCGTACCCTCTCCTTCTCCCCCTCCCTCGTGACATCACTCGTGATCCTTGTGACCTTCGTTGAAGCCTTCACGAGTGACCGTGACGTCATTATGGGAAATGTCCCATAACGCAACGCGCAGTTACGCCGACGGTGATGGCGACACCACTCAAGCCCGAAATGGACGCCTAAGAGCTGCGCTCTAAAGCAATGCGGTCCCTTACCCACAGCAGCCTGGCGCTTTCCGCGTCCCCTGGTCACCGGCGTCAGGACACCCATGGAAGCCGCAGCAGCCACAGCAGCCTTGCGCCTGCCTCGTGTGGGAACGGAGCTGGATGCCTCCTCAACCGCGCCGCTTTCTTCCGTGTCTCCTCCACCCGGGCTGTCCTTGCCGGATCGTGTGGCCCGGAGTTTCTTGCTGGTCGCGGGCGCTTTCTTGGTTTTTTTCGTAGCCTTGGCACCACGCGCGGGCGAGGTCTCTCCAGTCACGGCGCCTTCCTCCGCAACGGCCTCGCCTTTGGTCGGGCTTTGTTCGGGCAACTCGATAGTTTTCCCGGGGGCCTCGTCCTGGGGCACGTCCGCCCCGCTCTCCTCCGCGGCAGCCCGACCTCTACGCTTGGACGGCGGAGCCCGTTTCGACGGCTTGCTCGGGCTCTTCTTCACGGCCGTCTTTCTCGCTCGCATGGCCCTGGCACTTGGAGCTGGAGAGTCCTTGGTCACCTTTGCAGCCTTCGGGCTACTGGGGGAAGTGGGCTCTCTCTGTACGGCGGCACGCTTGAGCGGCAACCGTCCTCTCCTGGCTTTAGGGCTGGGTGCCGGAGAACCCGCCCCGTCGACAGACGGGCTGGGCTCCGCTTTTGGTGCGGCCGCTCGGGACTTTCCGCGCGCATTTTTTGTCGGCAAAACATTCTCCGAGATGTCCGCTCCGGGGCTCTGTGCGAGGAAACTACCACCGCGATGCGATGCTGGGCTCGCAGGAATTTCTTTAGTCCTCGTACTTCTCGTGCTGCGAGATGTGACGCTTACGTCTTTCTTGGCGGGTCTCCTACCTCTGCGAGCGGGCGTCGCCGGTGGCGTACTATGCGCGAACGAGGGTTGGGCGACGCCGGCGTCCTTTTGGTCTGGTGGCAGGGAACCTTTGTCTTTCTTAGCCGAAGCGCTTGCTTCCGACCCCCTCGCGCTACGCTTGGGGGAGCCTTGGTCGATGCCACCATCCTTTTGGCTGGTTGAAGACGAATTTCTGCCTTTTTGAGACGGACTCATACTCCGACGTAAGGATGCTTCCGCGTCTTCAGGCTGCTGGTTGGGTGACAATGAAACTTTTCGTGTTTTGCTGGCGCTTTCAATTTGACTGGAGTCTCCCTCTAGACTGCCAACTTGCAACCTTTTCATGCGATGCCCAAACGAATTTTTCGAGGAACGTGACGGAGACTCTTCGCTTCCCTTGGGTGTACTCTTGCTTCGACGAGTGACCACCTCCAGATCGCCACCTCGCGATCTTCTCGGTGGCGCGGGAGAGGCGCTATTTCGTCCCAGGGATGGAGAACTTTCGACCTTGGACGCACTCATCCTTAGTTTCAGCTGCACCTTGACATTGCCGGGTAAAGATATCCTCACAGTACGCCCAGGAGAACCCTGGTCAATAGTCGTGGTCATCACGTTGTGCGACGAAGGACTTGCACCCTTTTTGGTAGTGCTCCTACTTCGACGCGAGGTCGGCTCCGGACTGCCGCTTTGCGATGTCCTCGGGCTGCGCTTGGGGGAGCTCTGGACAATGCTGGTGTCCTTTCGGGTAGGTGACGGAGAACTTTCGTTCTTTTTGAGCGTGCTCCTACTACGACGAGAGCCTACTTCCGACGTGTCAGGCTGCAACGTCCTCGGGCTGTGGTCAGGAGAACCGTGGTCGAGGCTAACATTCTTTTGGCTGGGCGATGACGATGAAACTCTGGCCGTCTTGAGTGCACTCCCACTCCGTCTAGAAGCTACCTCCGGACTTCTGGCTTGCGAGCTCACGTCACGGTCCGAAGAGCCCCGACTAAAGCTGACATTCTTCTGCTTAAGTGACTGGGAAACTTCACCTGTTTTGGGAGTTCTCCCACTTCGACGCGAGGCTACCTCTGGACTGGCTGGTTGCGATCTTCTGACACTGCGTTCGGGAGAACTGTCGTCAATGCTGACATGCTTTCGGCTGCGTGATGGTGAGCCTTTGCCCAACTTGGGTGTGCTCATATTTTGTCGGTAGATTACCGTTGGACTTTCAGCTTGTGATTTCTCATTACGATCGAAGGAGCTATTACCAACACCAGTATCCCTCAAGCTGCGTGACAGAGAATCTTTGCCTTTCTTGGTGATGCTCCTACTTCGGCGAGAGGTCACCTCCATACTGCCACTTTGCGATGTACCTGGGCTGAGCTTGGGAGAGCTATGGACAATGCTGGTTTCCTTTCTGCTGGGTGAGAAAGAACTTTCGCCTTTCTTGGGTCTGCTCCTCCTTTGATGGGAGGCAATTTCTGGAGTGGCAGGTAGCAAACTCCTCGAACTGCGTCCCGGAGAATCATCGTCAAAGCTTACACTCCTTCGGTTGGGTGAGGGAGAACTTCCACCTTTCTTGGGCATGCTCTTCCTTTGGTGAGAGGTTACTTCCGGAGTGGCAGGCTGCCATTTCCCCGGGCTGTAGCCCGGAGAACTGCGGCGAACACCGACGTTCTTTCGGTTGTGCGATGCTGAATCTCCGCCGATATTGGGTGTGCTCACACTTTGTCGAGAGGCTACCTCTGGACTTGCGGCTTGTGATCTCTTGCCGTAAACGGGAGAGCCATTGTCGACGCTGACCTTCCTCGGGCTACGTGAAAGGTAACCTCTGCCCTTCTTGGTGGTGCTCCTACTTTGACGAGGTGCCGCCACTGGACTGGCAGGTTGCGATCTCCTCAGGCTGCGCTCAGGAGAATCGAGGTCGACGCTGACACTCTTCTGGCGGGGAGATAGATTGCCCTCACTTCGACGCGATTGCTCCAGCCTGTTGCCAGCTGGAGATCTCCCCAGGCTACGATCGAAAGACCCGTGGTCGATGCCAATATTCGTTTGGCTGGTTGAAGCGACATCCGCGCCTCCCTTGGCTGTGCTTCCGCTTTGTCGAGAGGCTACCTCTGGATTTGCGGCTTGCGATCTCTTGCCGTGAACGGGAGAGACATTGTCGACGCTGACCTTCCTCGGGCTACGTGAAAGGTAACCTCTGCCTTTCTTGGTGGTGCTCCTACTCTGACGAGGGGCCACCACTGGACTGGCAGGTTGCGATCTCCTCAGGCTGCGCTCGGGAGAATGGTCGACGCTGACACTCTTTTGGCTGGGAGATAGATTGCCCTCACTTCGACGCGATTGCTCCAGCTTGTCGCCAGCTGGAGATCTCCCCAGGCTACGATCGAAAGACCTGTGGTCGATGCCAATATTCGTTTGGCTGGTTGGAGCTACATCCGCGCCTCCCTTGGCTGTGCTTCCGCTTTGTCGAGAGGCTACCTCTGGATTTGCGGCTTGCGATCTCTTGCCGTGAACGGGAGAGACATTGTCGACGCTGACCTTCCTCGGGCTACGTGAAAGGTAACCTCTGCCCTTCTTGGTGGTGCTCCTACTTTGACGAGGTGCCGCCACTGGACTGGCAGGTTGCGATCTCCTCAGGCTGCGCTCGGGAGAATGGTCGACGCTGACACTCTTTTGGCTGGGAGATAGATTGCCCTCACTTCGACGCGATTGCTCCAGCTTGTCGCCAGCTGGAGATCTCCCCAGGCTACGATCGAAAGACCTGTGGTCGATGCCAATATTCGTTTGGCTGGTTGAAGCTACATCCGCGCCTCCCTTGGCTGTGCTTCCGCTTTGTCGAGAGGCTACCTCTGGACTTGCAGCTTGCGATCTCTTGCCGTGAACGGGAGAGCCCTTGTCGACGCTGACCTTCCTTGGGCTACGTGAAAGGTAACCTCTGCCCTTCTTGGTGGTGCTCCTACTCCGACGAGGGGCCAGCACTGGACTGGCATGTTGCGATCTCCTCAGGCTGCGCCCAGGAGAATGGTCGACGCTAACACTCTTCTGGCTGGGTGACATATCGCCTTTGGTGATCATACTCTCACTTCGCCGCAATATCTCCAGGTTGCCAGCTGGCGATCTCCCCAGGCTCCGATCGGAAGACCCACGGTCGGTGCCGACATTCGTTCGGCTGGGTGACGCTGTACCGGCACCTCTCTTGGCTGTTCCCACACTTTGTCGAGAGGCCACCTCTGAACTTTCAGCCCGCGAGTAACGTACGGGAGAGTCGTGGTTGACGCCGGCCCTCTTTTGGTCGGGCGACCGAGAACCTTTGTCTTTCTTGGCCGTGCTTGTACTTTGTCGGGGGGCAACCACCGGACTGTCAGCAGCGTCCTTTAGATAGCTGGAAGATGCTTTGTCAATTTGGCTCGTGCTCTGACGAGAGGCCGCCCTTGGGCTGGCAGCTTGAAGACTCCTCGCGCTGCGCTCAGGAGATTCCTGGCCGACGTTCTTTGGGCTTACGGTTCGTGGCGCTTTTGCTCCGTGTCCGGAGGATCCTCGTTTGGTGTCAAGTTCCCTCTGGCGGCGTGCCGGACTTCCCTCCTCCTCGATGACGCTGGCGCTCCGTCGGGACGCCTTCTTCAGACTGCCGGACTGAGATGACCCCGGAGAACTAGTCCGACGATGCGCAGAACTTGTGTCGAGTGCCCAATAGCTCCCTTCTCCGCCGAACTTCAGGGAGCTAAGACTGCGCGAGGCGGCCGGCTTCGAGTTCCGTTTCCTGGACAGAGACCGCGCACTTTCGTCCCCCGGCAATTCCCCGTCGCTCTCGGCCGCGTCGTGGCTCCAGGACACCGAACTGACGGACCTCTTGTGCAGAGGAGTCGATGCCGACAGCCCCTGTTGCTTCGAAACGTGCGCCTCTTCAGAAAGGCCCTGTCCAGGCTTCCGGTCTATGGTTGACCGCCTGCTAAGAGGGCCTCCGGGTGTAGAACTGGGCGACGCGCAACCAGACGCAGTTTCCTTGTGCAACTTTTTCGAGCCGGTCCCGTTGCCAAGCCAGGAAAGGTGCTTGGCGGGAGTGCCGTCGCCGATGCCACCGACTCGAAGACGCTTGAGGGCACTCTTTTGAATGCTCTTTGCTGCGCCGCTCAGCGACGAAGTCGTCAGGGGCGAGACGAACATCTCTGGTGGAATCCGAGGCGTTTCGTACGATGATCCGCTGAGGGAGCGTGGGGTGACGCCGACGCCTCTTGAGAGACCTTGCACACGGTCGGGTGTGGCCTGCACGGAGGCCCCCCCGGATCTCCTGGGCGCTGCAATGTTTTCGGAAATTTTCGAACAACTGCTACAGTGCCACACAAGCACTCTATAACCCTGGTGTCAGCCAGGCCCACAGATCTCTATTGTAGTGGGCTGGATCGCGGATCAAGAGCCCAATGTTGGCACCGCCGACGGCCACTGCTTGACACTGGGCAATAGACGTGAGTCTATGGGAGAAACGCGCAAAAGCAGGAATATTCATGCTTCTATGCGGTGTTCGAAGACGAGTATTTTACGATGCGCTGCTATCATTACATCGGGTCTTTAGAGATTGAATCGGTATTTGTTAAGCGTTCGAACGCCCATTAAAGAATCAAATGTGTCAGAGCACTCGCGCCAAGCTAGCAAGCTTGCTCTCGTAGTGGAGTTAACGAAGGAACTTGCCATCAATAAGTCCGATCTCAGGGAAGCCCAGAATTTGTTGAATGTCGAAAAAGTCCTATCTTGACAGCAGCTATCCAGGGGCGAGCTAATTCCACGTAGTAAAGCCTTCAGGCTTGTTGTCTTCTAAACCTAACTCATCAAAACCGCCACCGAGTCTGCGGTAACTCTAGGCAACTCTTGTCTCGTTGAGCTGCACTACATTTTTCGCCCAGCGGAGTCACTCTGGACCACACATTTATTTATAAGAACTGCGAGGGTTGTTAGTTTTAATGTTTGCGCACAAGCTATTTGAGAGGCTTCCCGAAAAGCAGCCAAAACGTTTCAGTGCCGACACAACTTAGACACGGGGGAAACGACACATTTTCTCGTTTTTCTCATAGAGTCCCACGCATTAGGTTGCGTCAATCGATGGTGCCACTCAACCCAGCAAGACCTTGATCTGCGACCCAGCCTACTACAATGCAAAGCGCAAATTCATCTGCTTTTTTTGCGGGGGATTGTGTGATGGCGTCAGAACGCCGAGCTGTGACTGGCTCTGATCGAAGGATAGCAGGTAGACCTCAAGGCAGCTATCATCGAGTTCTACTCGCTATCCATCGATCAGAGCCAAACAGAGCTCGGAGTCTTTCTGACATCCCCACAGCCAATGCAAAAGAAGCAGACGAACTTGCGTTCCGCATAGAGATCAGTGGCCAGGCCTAGTGTAGGATGCCCTCCAAAAAAATGTACAGCATTTTTTCGCCGCAAAAATTAATTATGCGTCGCTGAAAACGTTCACTCTCCGCCCGAATGTAGCACTACCGGCCCAAACCAGATGCTAAAGTTACAGAACTACTAACCACTATCTCATTCAAAAAGTGTAAGTAGGATACCGTGTTTACTGATAAATCCGATAAAATCCAAAAAACACCCGTCGGTAAAATTTTCGTTCATGCGGATTTATTCTAAAAACTCCAAAATTCGATGTCACAATAGCGAAAAATATATATATAAAAAAACACTATATTATGTAAATGACCTTGGCCAGGGCACAAAAGGTTCACCGTTTAGCTTGTCTAATTCTGTGCAGGACACCGGGTCATTGTAGCTTCAGATCACAACAAAAGCCACTGTCCTAGTTTGCAGTTTACTATTCTTACGAGAAGGCGGGGCTGTTTCAGTGGGAGAGACTGTCCTAGCTTTTCTTGAAGAAAAAAAAAATACCAAAAACACAGAACCCTAGTCATAAAGTATGGCAAACAAAATTTCCCTTGCGCCTCAAGGGACACTGACAGGGTATTTATGATCATTGAGGCTTTTAGTTGTACGTGACATGTGAGATCCCAACTACCCAGAACACAATTTGTGGTTCGAAATTCAGTTTCTTTCCGCCCGAAAACTACCGATCGAGAACTGGCCAGTTTGAGTTGCGCTTACTTTCTTCTCTGTAGTCAAGGGCCGTCTTTTAAGGTTTAGACACAACCACCAACTTTAATCAAAGTCGTGGGTCATCGAAGGCACACACTCAATACTAGAAATGGCCAAAAAATACCACACCCATTTTTTGTGGCTTCTAAAAAGCTGCAAATATGTTGATTAAAAAAAAAAAAGTTGCACAGCCACTTGATTTTTGGTACATTTCTCCTCTATACTTCTTCCTCCCCAGTCCAGTTTCGGCTTTAAACAGTGGTATTTTTTTTCTTTATCAAAAATATATGCTACAAATATTGATTGCATAGTCTTCTGACACCATTAAGGATCGCCTTTGGCAGGGGAGGGGGGGGGGGGGTCAGTGTCCTTTAAAGACTAACAATCAACTTGCGCTTTCCACATTTCCCCGCTTCCTCCTCTCCGACCTTCCACCCTGTCCACCGTTGCCCGTTTCCCCCTTTCCCAGGGGGAGGAGGATCTTCTGCCTTGCAGAATCTCGTGTCTGGTCGTCGGCCTTTGAGTTACGATTGTCCATGACTAGGCATCAAATTAACCCGATCAACCACATTAAATTTCCAGAATGTGCCCTAAATATTCTTAATATTAGCAGCAACTGCCCTTCTGGAAATTCTTAGTTTTGGTAGCTGAAAAACACTGCCTGTAAATGATGCATACATAATTAGTTCATCAGCATGAGCCTGCTGAGAATCCAAGTTGTGAATGCTGTCCATGGGACAGGGGTCCACAAACGTTTCTATCTCGAGGAACCTGTATTACCCCCAAGACTGACGGGCAAGAGACTCAACCCTCCCCGGTCTAGACCTTCTACAGTAAAGTGGTACAGAAGCCTGCAGACCTTACAAGCAGTGTTCTGGCTCATAGCTGCCTGCCGATGGCTGGCACTAATCTGTTAATAGCACTTAAAAGGTCACTAAAACACTTTTTTCTTGTCCGATGGCACCCTCTGTTGTCCGCAATAGTTCCGAGGTGATCAATCTGACGCCAAATTTAATTTAAAAATCAGTCGCGCACCATAATGTATGTGATTTTTAGGATGCTTAGAGCCCATACATCGAGTTAAGACCATTAATGAACTATCGCCGGAAGTGGATAAGTGCCCCTTTAAATGGAAAAAAAAAAACACTTGGGGGGGGGGGGGGGGAGAGACTCCGAGGCATCCCTTTGATCCTAGGAACCCAGGGCCCATAGAATGTTGATTATTCGACTGATCCGCACTCGCTGCTGTCACAAGGAACGACTCGAGCCCAGAGAAAAGAGGGAAACTCACACTTGGACTCGGCCACCGCGAGGGCACCGTCGACGCTCGTCGCGGGCTTCTTGGCAAGCTTGAGACACCACTCGAAGCGAAAAAGACGGTTGTGAATGGCAAAGAAGTCTCCGTGGGCCAAGGAAGCCGCATTCAGCACCGGCCGCTTGTTGAGGGCCAAGCCCGGCGCGCCATCCACGTTCACCAGGTGCGCCTGCGCAAGGGACGGCCTCCGTGTGAACCCCCGCTCGACCGTGCCCGCAACACATCTCCGACCAGTGCGTTTACCGCGTTCGAACGAGCGGCCCCGTCGCCGGCCACTGATTTTGGCGGTGTCGGTTGTAGGAGACTCCCATTCGGCTGCGGGCCACTCTCAGACTTGACGGTACACGAACAATTCGACGACCGGGAGTCAATACGCCGCGACGGCAACGACACTCGCGCTTTTTACCGGGACTTCTAGTGCCCAATGCCGGGATCGCGACACCCGACACCATAAAACCCTGGCTTCCGCGACGTCGTTTGTCGCCGCTTCGGGACCACTTTCGACGCGTGGACGGGATAGGACGCCAAACAAGTCGGTCTAATGCATGTTTAAGACATTGCAACGACACCGCAAAGAGCGGGAAACCACCGGTGAAGCTGCCTGTATCTCTCCAGTTTGGGCAGCACCTCTGGCGAGCAAAATCGAATAATTCTCGGTTGCGTTCTGGTTGCGCTCGTTCGCGTTGTTCGCAGATGCCAAGCATCAGAATTTCATTGGCGAGTATAAATTTATGAAAGTAAACAACGAAAACAAAAGATTGCTACGAGGAAAAATTCTTGTTGTACGATGGGACACCGAAAGTGCGAGCTACATCTTTTTCTTTTTTGTTCATTAAATTTTTCTTAGACCTTTCAGAGACTTATCGCGTGTAGACAGATGGTGACACACGCCCGTGGCTTGTGCATGACCAAACGCTGCAGCGGCGCTTAACTATCGCCAACGTTACAAGGTCTATAGCGTCAAGGACACGCTGGCGCCCTCTGGCCGAGATAAACGGACCTAGCGCCCCAGCTTGACAACTCCGAGTGTCGTCAATCTGTCGTAACGTATAAAGTTGCTCCTCCGGAAGCGCATGTTCTGTGCCGTAAGACTTAGATAAAGTCTACCAAACCCAAAATAAGCAAGCAAGGTTGTATTTTTCCTCTTCTCAACGTTCAAACAAAAACATTTTACTTCGTCGTTCCGATAAACTTTGTAAGCACTTGTTATGTGTGAGTTACAACTGGTCATGCTCACTTATGGAATGCTTTAGGTGGTCTTGGACGCGCTACACACTCATGAACACCCCGGGATTATCGGAACGATCCGGACAAGTCTAAGTTGATTCGGGACCCACATGGTCATGAGATCAGATGCGCAGCTACGCTTCCCTCATTTGAAAGCCAGCTACGCGCGTCGACAGGGTCCTACAATTGCGGGCTCCCTTAAGTCACACTTCGTGCAGCTGGCTTGCACTCTTGTCTGCCACCTACTACTGGCGCAGAGCAAAGGCGTCAAGTTGCAAATCCCAGGGTCAATCAAGTTTGATTAAAGGCCAACATACATGTTGCGCTTTCCATTCTTGCCCACCTCCTCCTTTCCTATATCCTTTCCACTTATTACCTTGCCCCAGCTTGGCTCTCCTCGGAGCTTAGGGGAGGGGAATACAAAGAGAATTATCTTCCCTGCAGAAAACCCAGGTTGTACGTCGGCCTTTGACTACAACTAAGTGTGTTCGTACATGCTTTGTAAGCTGATGCATAGGCTGCTATGGGCCACATATGCTTTATGTTGCTTTGGCCACCGTGTAACGACTTTTCATTGCATGTAACGCTTTTCACGTGGAATCAAGCTTATTTACACATTCTGCATTTACTTGCTCACCCAGATGTACCCAAGCATGAATCACGAAATATCCCGCGAAAACCGCCGCAAATCGGGAAATATCTCTTGCCTTCCGGTAATGCAGCATAAATTGTGGTATTCGGGTGAAGCAACACGTAATGTCTTGCTAGCGCCAAGATCAAAGAGGATAAAACAAAAGTTCCAGTTAACTTTAAGTCAAAATCATTTCTACTTCGTCTCATCCAAAGACGGACAAACCGCGAAGTTGCGAACTCCTTACAGTGGACTGTTCTAGCGAGTGGCAACATTGACGGGGAGTTCACGGTTGCACCCCGGCCACACGAACGCTTTGACGGTAAGATGGCAGTCGAAGCTACCAACAGACGCTTATAGCCTTTATTAAAGCGAAACAAAGCAAAGTAGACCCTCCGAGGAACGCAACTCCCCAAGTTCCAGACGTACGCCACACTGCTTTGTGGCACAACAGTTTCGTAACGCACGAGGGAATCAAACACAATGAAAAGGACTGGGGCAGGGCTCAAAAAGGCACCAGCAAGTTTGAAAAGTCCCGCTCGCCCAGAAAATTTCATTCTGAGAATTCCCCAGCGACTGCCGATACCATGGCTTGACTTCTGGCCCGTCCATTACAGAGTTTGCATCTTGAGGAATTTCTGGCTCGTGGTACGCAACGTGGACACAATCTTTTAGATGTGTAAATACAAGCCCCGGTAAAAAGCTGTTCAAATGAGTCACAACAGATGCCTAGAACTAAAGAAAAACCTCTACTTCCGCTACCGAAAATGCCGTGCACAACACCTGCCGCGTCCCGTTTGGACGGCCCTTAAGCAGCCCGAGGAAATGTCGCCGACCTGTTCGTGTCCGTCCACAACCACCAGGCAGTGCACCGGGTCTTTGTCTGGCATCTTCTGGATGCAAATGTCACAGTCAGGGTTCCTGCAAAATTGGGAATTTCTAAAATGAATCACATTGTGCCGACCATACACTTCACGGGCAGGTGAAGTGGCTCAGCCAGCTAAACGTAACAACAACTAGCCGGTCCAAAAGCAACACTGGCTCCTTACCGCATTTTATTGAAATCTCAGACACAGAACCCCTCCAGTTCCCACAGAAAGATTAAAAACATTGAAATAGACGAGGGACAGACACTTACAGTTCTTTGATTGGGTCCTAAACACCCCAATGAAAGAACTGTGTCTGTCCCTCGTCTATTTCAGTGTTTTTATTCTTTCTGTGTAAAATGCAGTCTATCCAACCCGCACTGCTACGTGTACCTAGTTCTTCATTCAGAGCCTTGCTTGTGCTGTCCAAGTCCCATCTTATCATGTTGCATTTCAATGAAAGAACTATGGCTCTCCCTCGTCTGTTTCAGTGTTTTTATTCTTTCTGTGTGAACTGTAGCCTATCCAACGCGCTCTGCTACGTGTAATAAAACTCCTAAGCTGATGTTGTATATGCAGGGGTGATCCAGACAGTTTTGAGTTCTGAGCAATAGACCTTTCTAGAAATATGTGGTGCCGCCAGCACCTGCTTTACTCGTTGTGACGTTAAGATGTACGGCACATGAAATTATTTAAGAAGCAAAGACAACGTTGATGTTGGTTTAGCAGTTCCTGATTTCAGATTGCAGAAAGGGGGGAAGGAAAGCAAAGCAGAGTATGTGATTATCTTTTTTAGTTTGCTTTACTTTTTTTGCGTGTTCTCAGCTTCTAATGATAAGAAAGAATGAATCCTGCCACTACCAATATATAACAAAGCGTTCAAGCCGGCACAAGAGTACACCCGAACAGTCCCACGATTCCCCTCGTTGAAAGGCCCCCTGGACTTTTCTGGAAAGGTCTATTGTTGGAGCAGAAAAATTTGGTTTTGGAGCACCCTTGTATCAGAAAAATCATAAGTTAGGGGATCACACGCATAAATGTGGAGCAGTTCAGTGCACTTTCCCATTAGTGATGCCAGCATGCATTCATGTAATCGCTACTGCATGATGCCCATTAAAAACCAAAAGTTAGCATTACAGTTTCCAGCTAAATTGCCTTGGACTGCTGTGAAGCTGTGCCACACACTTAGTCAAATTCGTGTTTTGTTTTCATTAGTGCTAGTGGAGAAAGGTTACCAGGATTGATGCAAGCATGCCAACTACCACCATTGAGAAGTCGGTGTGGAGTACCAATTTAACCTTCTAGAGTCTAAATCACGGGTGGCCAAGCTGCGGCTCTTCGCGTGTTGAAGTGCGACTCGCGGCTCCCTACCCTAACCCCCCCTCCCCCTTTCCACGGCTCCCTCCCAGTCACACGAGCACTTCCCCAAAAAAAGAAATGGAACACGTTTTAAATCGAAAGACAGGTTGCGGTTTGGTCTTGTGCTACTGCTACCTTACGTACAGTTGGACTGCTTTTGACTTGGATGGATTGAAAGTGGCTCGAGATTCGTTTATTGCTCTGGACAAAAGTTTGCACACGCCCCCCCCCCCCCCCCCCCCCCCCCCGCGGCTCTTGGAAGTTTCGTGCTTTTGTTTGCGGCTTTTAGTCCGGGTCAGCTTGGCCACCCCTGGTCTAGACAATAAAGACAAAAAAGCTTAATAAATAAAAACTTTCAGCCTTTCCACTCTAATGAAGAAGGAAGAGCAGCGAAGCTGTAGCTTCTGTTCTTGACAATGGCTTTCCAGGCGAGCGATCTGCCCTTCTTTTGTAAGGGACTCTGAAGCGATCGACGCAGTGGAAAGCCGATAGCGGCCTCGCGGCGGTTGCGGAACCATTCGCGCTGCTGCGCATATCGCTGCTCGTTCCGCTCCCGTTTTTCTTCCTCCGAAGAAAGGTTGCCACCACCATATCAGCAACAGTGGCAACCAATTGTATGGTTGCCGCCGTCGCTCATAGATGGTGGTAGCTGTCCAAAATTCGGTGTCATCATTTTTTTTGCTAGTGGACATGATCCTGGGAACCTAGCCCTTAACAGCTCTGCTGTAAAAACTATTCTGGGAATTCCCTAATGTAAAGACGTTTTAAAGAGTAGAACGATCAAGGATTCACATCGTTTGACATGAAACAATTCGTAACCAAGCAGTCTCGACCCATCATGCTAACGAAACAAGAACCATGTGCAAGCACATTTCTATAAAACAGTGTCATACTCCTGAACATGGGCCCCAGGAAAAAAATTATTATTTGCGCTTGTTAACCTCTTAACCGTTTTGGACTAGTGTAGCTCGTCCACGCACCCTACATCGCCCCTTGGCTGTTTTGGACGACCCAGGCTCGTTCAGAGCTTAGTTCGCGGTGCTGCTCGGAGATGGCACCACATATTTTCATTGTACACATTTTTAAAAATGGTGAACGTTCAATAAAAATTAAACAAATAAAAAAAAAAAAACTGCAAAAAAAAAAAAAAAAAGGTTAAGGGGCAATTTTTAGTAGTACACTTTAAAATGCTACTAAAACTGCACTGCATTAGGAATGTCTGTAAAATGGGTGTGAAGCAATGCCGCAGAGCCGGAAACCTAGATTGGATTGTGATGGCCAAAGCCCAAAAACCAACTTGTTCGAAGATTAATGGTTTGGCACAGTTAGAAGTATCTTTCCTTTTGGGCACAGCAAGGTGCAGGCGAGAGGAAATTTATCAAAATGGTGCACTCCTGTTTGCCATCCTTTGGACTAATAGTTTCTGATGGCAGCCTTTTAGGAGAATAAGAAAAATAAAAAAAGTATTGGTGTTCTGTTTAGGCCACTTGTCACACACAGTGCATATTGAAGGTGCCTCGAACAGGAGCATAGGACATTTGTGTTGAATACCAGATAAGACTCCTACTGAGAAGTTTGCACGTTGCACTGAAGCGGCCACTTTTGGCGGAAAATGCTATTTAGCATTAATTTATGCCAATTCATTCATCTTGGTGCAGTGGCATAACAAAAAAAACTTTGTATGCCGCCTTGAGTTTGTCTGCAATTGTTTCAAGTTTAAAAGAATTTTACATACACCCTTAAAAGGGCTTAAATTATAATGCAGCCATTGTGCTGCACTCTGCACCTTAGAACATTTGTCCAAAAGAAAATTTTAAGCAAGTATGGGATGTGACCGGAACAATATTTGGCATTTCTTTTCACCATAAAAATAAACTGTGCATCGCCGAACGCCCAGTTTCCGCCCAAGTAGCGCTAGGGGTCCGGATGAAATGCCAAAGTTTCAGTGCTAACCGAAAAAAAAAAAACACCAAGTTATTTTCGGGAACACGTTGTATATGATTTAGGCACACGACTCCCAACTGCAAAGCCCAAGAATCATCCGTTCGCGGAAGGCCTTTCGCGGAAGGCCCCCGAAACCACATTCATGTCGTTCCATACTTGATGTGCAACTCTGTCAAAGCTGCTGGATTGATGCGGATATGTTTGTTTCGTGGACACATGTACCTGCGACATTTCGCTAACGACATACTTTTTTTAAGTGCGTAATAAAATTTGGAAGTCACGAAAGGCTAGCACATAGTTCACCAAGGCGTATTTACTTGAGCCTCCTCTCCCACTCCATAAACTAGACAAGACGCCAAAATGTTGTGGAAACAGCAGGGTGGCATTCGACGAAACGTCAGAAGGCATGCGGATGAAACGAACGCAGGAATCCAATCAATGAAATGTTGCCCATCGACAAAACGATCGGCCGACAAAACGTTGCTCAACAGCCGATCACCACTTGCTTGATATTGCGGTTCGCTCGCACATGCCCTCGCGCAATTGAGACACTAGATGAAGCCATGCTAGTCACACCCCCACATTAGTAGGTTCGACAACGTTGTACTGCGTCGTGCCAAGTACGTTCCAACGATAAATTGGAATGACCGTTCATTTGAACGCGCATGGAGAACAACTCGGTGAGACTCAATGGGCGCATTCAGTAGCGCCTCCCTTGCCTCCAAACGGAGTGACTTGAGTCAGAGCTCGTTGGATTTTTTTCACCGGAAATCGTTACCAGTCAGGAAATGACGTCATCTTTAGCTCCTCTGACTCTATATGCACTGTCTCAGGACTCTGTGCTTCAGAGCTTGGCTCCAAAGCCCCGGAGTTACGTGCACCGGAAGTGACTTTTGGCCGTCCAGTGGAAGGAATCGGTGACTCCTTGACTCCGGAGCCGCTACTGAACGCGCCAAATGGCAGCAAGGATGGAGTCATGCATCGGCACGTACCGTCCAATAGAACATCGTCCCGACGTCAGCGGGAATTCCGAACCGTCCTGACCGTTCTTCTTCACCACCACGACTTTCGGGTAGCGTTTCATCGACATCGTTGACACTGGAAAGCAAATGAGACACAACGCTGCTTCAAACAATAACGAAGAACAGCGCGATGACAGATACCGCATTTTCTGGACCATGGCTCCCACCCGGTGCATAGTCTGCATGTAAAAGGTCCTCATACCCAGCACAGCTTGACAAAAGCCTGCTTCATTAGCTCACAAAGAAGCTTGTATCATATAGAAATCATTAGCCGACTTCGCCATTAACAAAAATTGTCACATCCCGTCATAATGAATGATCTTAGAAAAAGAAACTAATCCTTTTACAGTCTGCACCGCACAAATTTTTTACTTTTTAACATGTATAGACCTTTTCTGTGTACTCTCGTCCCCAGCCACCTAACAGGCGTATCCGGTACGGGCGACAAAAAAATAATCCAACGTTTCAACCGGCAAATAGTAAAAAAATAAAGGGGAGGCAAAACGAGAAAGTGTGACGATTGCGATTATATCCTAAATGCTTTCTATTGGTGTGGCAAACGCAAAACAACGTTTTCGCCCATACTGGAAGTGACGTCAATTCAAGATGGCGGCGCACTTGCAGAAAACGTCTATAGTCGCAGGTAATACAGGGTGTCTAGGAAATTACTATTTTGAAATTCCCCAACTTTTACAGGTTTTCCGTGACAATTTCGGGTGAAATTATCGGATCACCATAGAGGCGGTTAAATATATAAGAACATTACAACACAAGGCATTAAGCACTGCGAGGATAATTTTGCAACTTGCATATTTCGAAATATTCGGGTTCGTCCAGTCCGGATAAGACAAGCACTTTCTTGCTGCCGACATCGTCAGTGAAGCGGCCACTTCCGGAAACACAATGAAAACATGACGCTCAGCCACACACGTCAGTAAGTGCATCTGGCAGCATAGCTGCCGAATGCACACTTTCGAATACTTTAGGTTTAAGGCATGGATTGGGGTCCGCGGCTTTCCCGTTTGTTACTAAATCTAGTAGCTCTAAATGGACCTAGCCTAGTGTTGCGCCCAGAATCCAATCCAAGGCTTGGACTGAAGTTGTCGGTTGTTCCCTCCGCATCGGGTAGCACTCTCTACATTGGGTGCGCAGAGTCCGCGCTCCGCTCTAAGCGGAATTTATTGTCTATTTTTCTGCCCCCCTGCGCTCCGCTCTAAGCGGAATTTATTGTCTATTTCTCTGCCCCCAAATAATCAGGTCTTTGCTCAGGGCACTCGGTGGCGTTTTCAGCTCATTTTCTCTGACTGGGCTCGCTTTTTGGCAATATCCGCGACAATTCCCCGATTTTTCCTGGTAATTAATATTTCCCTGACAATGCCCGGTTTTCCCTGTCGCTAGACACCCAGTAAGAGTGTGAAAAATATGGTAGCTATGGCCCTAATCTCATCTGCAAACACCCGTGGAACTTACCTGCTGGGCATCATTTTGAACGCAGCTGCTCTACATGCAAACACTGTTGGAGTGCAACGGAGCTGCCACGAAGTGGGCATTGCTCAACACTGCGTCACATATACTTTAAATACACAAAACACAAATAAAGTTTGCTCAATGAATTCATTTGTCCAAACCCAAGGCTTGCAGAGACATAAAAATATTGTAATAGTTTTGAGTGCGGAATGGAAACGCTATTTTAGACGACACGACGTGTAGACCAAGATTAGGTTAAACTGCCTACAAAACACACTTCCTCAAAGGTTCTGTTGAACTCCAGAACACAGCGTGGACATGCGAAACAAGCGTTCAATCTGCGACCCACGAACTTACCCGAAATCAAACACAGGCTCCAGTGCAATCGCTATCCTACCCTAGCGGCGACCACTTGGGGAAGCTTGGAAGCCGTCAAGCGAGCCGACGAGCAGACTGCAAAAGTAATCAACAGTAAAAAATTTTAACTTGTGAAAAACGAAGGACAACACAACGCAGACTCAGACACAGCTGAATTTATTTGACAAAATGTTGAGGTTTATATGGGGTTCAAGTACCTCCAACAAACCAAGACAAAAGAGAAGAAAAAACCGAGCAGAAAGGTAGTGCCAAAAAGAAAGACCTCCTACGCAGAAGTGTCAAAACATGCTGGCGAATGTAATAATTGTGTACCGCTTTCGCAACTCGCCTGGTTGTCTCAACCGAGAGCGATGATCGTGAAAGGCCGTTTAAGGAGTCGCTCACAATTATAAATTGCGGGAAGGCAGTAAATACACCTTCCCTTAGTTTAGACACGGAACTAAAAAGATTTCTACAAATCCAATTCCCACTTCCTTTTATTAAATTATCACTATGTGCGCCCAAACATGTCCCACTGCTCGACTCAGTTGTCTGCATCACCGCCCACCACCCTGGCAAATTTTTTGGCCCCATTTTTTACAGAAAGGGAGCTTTGGTTCGTAATTTTTACGTGAAAAAATCGACCTCTGAAATGCACCTTTGTCGAAATGTTTAGATTGCTACGTGCAGACACCGATTTTTACGGCCCATTCTGGATCGAGCCTAGCGACTTCAGCCTCCCTTCCCTCTCTATATATATATATAGAGAGAGAGAGAGAGAAAGAGAGAGAGAGTACTCATAAAAACTCACTGCGTGACGCAAAAAGAAGTAATATCTTTGTGTGATTCACCTGCGCCTCCTGCGCAGGGGCAGGAAAGGGCGGGGTGGTGTACTGCCGGGTGGTATCTCAATACACGCTGGAGGTGCACGGCCCTACACTTTTCTGCACCGGTGCAAGTAAATTAAACGAAATTCATACTTATTTGAGCGAGCACAAGTTGGATAGCTGGATAGATACGGCTGGTGAACCCTTTAAATCGGGCGGCGGCCTGCGCCACCTAGTCAAAACTCCTGCCTTGGCTGTTCGAGGGTCAGCTAGCGCCATCTATCGAGCATACCGAGCAGAAAATAATATTTACGGGGAATACGCCAATATGTCACGCGTCTGATACGCTTCGCTTGGGAAGCCTACGGCAGCGCACTCCTGACTCTTGAGTACGCGGCCAAAGCAAGACCAAATGGTATGGACCTTCGGCCTTTCTCTCTAGTCAAATAAACGAAATGAAATGCAACCAGTGCTGGAGGTCGGGCGTTCGAAAGACACGCCCCACCGCTTTTGCTCTGTCAGAGAGACGAATTCTACAGCAGAAACTTCGGCGCTCCCAGTTAACTCTGCGGCGATCTGGAAGTCGTTCACATTTGGCGCGTCGCCGTACAACGGTAGGAGCCACCCGCCTTTCCTCAAACGTAATAAACTCTATTATTAGCGTTATTCACTCACAAATTCAGACGCCTATTTTTAATATATTTTTGTCCACCGATATCTGTATCGCCAATATAAAGCAATCGTAATTGATATCCGCCCGTTAGAAATGGCACAGCCATTAGCATCCAGTTGAAAAAGTTCAAAACACCGTTCAAAATGCCGTTTGAAATGGCGGCTGAAACGTGAAGGATATTTACGAATCTCGAAAGGCCTTCGGTTTAAAGGTACTTTTATAGTCCCGTAAAACGACGGGTACAAGAATTCCTCCTCCTTGGATGGTTATTAAATGCCTGCTTTGAGCTGCATGCTTTATAATTGCCTTGGTCCGCGTGCAACGCTTTACGCGTGATATCCATTGTGTTAGAACTGAGAAAGACGCTGAAACCTGACAAGTGTCTTCGTAACCATACAAACATTCTACGAACTGCTGGTACGGCACGTACTTACCTTGTTCTTTCTTCGCACAAGCGCTTCGAACTTCAAATGCCGCCAATCCGACCACCCAAACACACCAAGCACCGTTGTAACATTACAGTTTAAGCGCATGCGCGAAAACGCGAAAATTTGAAAACGACCTAACGCCACCTGGCGCAGCAGAAGTGCAGTTACTGTTGAGAAAGTACACACGTAAAAAAAATATATAAAAAATGCTCAACGCAATATACAAACAAAATTCAAGTTCTTTTGTACGCGTTGTGCAACAGTCTTTGTACGGCAAACGTCAAACAGTCGAAGGTCGCATAAAGTTCGACGATTTCTTTGCCGAGCCCGAGGCCTCGAGCACTGTGGGCTGTGGACGGCCTCGAGTCGATACGAGTGCTCAAAGTTCGGCAAGTTCCCCTCGGCCCCCGAGATAACAAAGCGGTCCTCCACCGATTTTTTTTTTTTTTTTTTTTTTTTGGCTACCAAAACTATCTATTTACCCATCCCGTCATGCCAGTTCATCTTTTTGTCTCAAATGGAGACTGGAGAGGTTATGACCATAGAGTTATTATAATGTACGCGTGCATTATAATAACTCTATGGTTATGACCACGATAAGAAAGCCAACGTCCAAATTTTCCCGCGCTTTGTAATTTGACTCTTGTGATTTTTAGGAGGCCCATTTTCGGCCGTTTTCGGTTTCTGGCGTTACTTATAACTTTCGAATAAGATATCGGTTCGGGCTGAAACTTATGCATCTGTTTCGGACCTCTATCGCTACCTTTGGGCAGAAAATGAGTGTTCGGCAATGCGTAAATTATTTTTGCGGTAAAAATAAAAAAATACAAGTAATTACTAGCGCCATCAACGCAGCCGACGTGCACATACTGTACGTTAGCATGACGGCCCTGGTAAGAAGAGCCGATTTTTTGCTTTTATTGTGTATGGCTGCAATTGTTTGTGTTAGCAGGTTGTGTTGATAGCTCGGAGTTCGTCCATAGGTTCGTCCGTCCAAACTCGAAGTTGCAACGCTTGCAAAGTGTTTGCGTGCCTGCGTAAATGTGTCGAGAGGCTCGTGCAGCAGAGAACAGACGCTTGTCGCTTGCGGTCCCGAGAGGCAGGTGAAACCGATGACGTCAACAACCGCTGCGAACTGAAACTTTCCCGCTGTGTCATGGAGGACGGCAAGTCTGCCCTGCTCGGCTTCCTTAAAGGCATGTACGATTCTGTCGCGGGAATTCGAGTCCTTTATGAGCTCGGCAGAAGGAGCAGCCAAGACTCGTCGGCCACCGATTTGGTGACCAAGCAGCGCGCGCCGAGCACGACTCCGACGCGTCGCAGGGTCGCCCCAGCGACCCCGCGTTCAGCCGACGAACCGCGGGTCCTCCAGCGCATCTTTCAGTGCTGTCTGCTGAACGGCGGTGTGTTTGGCCTCAGCATCTTGGTCTTCTACTGCGCGCTCCTCCCGGCCGTCTTCCTGCTCATCCGTCTCCTCTTCGGCGGCGACGGGTCCCCAGCGGGTCGCATCTGGAGCTGGCTGCATCCCCTGCTGTCCTACACCTTCGAGGCCCTCTGGGTCCTACCCCTGTTCCTCCTCAGCAAGGTGGTGAACAGCCTCTGGTTCCAGGACATCGCCGACCAGGCGTACCTGGAGATCCGCGGGAGGGCGCCACAGCTCCTGCCCAGCCTGAGCCGCGTCCTGGCCGACACCCTGTTCAGCGTGCTGGTGCAGACGCTGTTCCTGCTCCAGTCGCTGCTGGTGGCCATGCTGCCGCTGGGCCCGCTCGGGGCGCTGGTGAGCCTGGCGCACCTGAGCCTGCTCTACTCGCTGTACGCCTTCGAGTACACCTGGTTCAACATGGGCTGGGAGCTGCACAAGCGGCTCTCGTTCATCGAGCAGAACTGGCCCTACTTCGTTGGTTTCGGGCTGCCGCTGGCGGCTCTCACGCAGGGGGCGCCCACCTTCTTCGCCAGCGGCTGCTACTTCTCGGTCCTCTTCCCGCTCTTCATCATCAGCGCCCATGAGGCAGTGCCCAAGACAGATTCTTCCAGGTGGGTGGCTTTGTAACGCACTGCCGCGACCCTGCTGCGTAACGCCACCTTTACGCCGACTCTTTGACGCGCTAATTTTGGCGCTACGCGTGTGCAGACAAGTTGTCTCCCATGGATCCGGTTTCTGCACACACATCAATGTGGACTTGTTTGTAAACAGCGTGTAATCGACAGCAGGTTAAGGACCCAGTAGGAGCTCCGCCTCCAGGATGCGCCTCTTGCCCCCTGTCGTGTTTTGGCTGCGCATGCGATTGAGTGCTATAAAAAGCACTCAAGGCAAAGCGTCTGTGGGCTTCTTAAACTGTTGATCAAAATAGACAAATGACCATTGGATGTTGCGCATGACCAAGCGGTGGCCAGCATGGACGCGAGTACTGGGTCAACGTTCGTCTGCAAGGCCATCGCTGGCTGAACGTGAATCCCAGTCCATCACTGAATCGGCCCTTTGGCAGTGACAAATGCGGTGTTAAACTGTTTTCCCTGCAATGCATTGTTTTGGCAGGGAAAGTTTGGCTGACGTTGGTAAAATGCCCGGCATGTACTGGCTCTTTGGGGGAATGGAGAACCGTGTTTTACAGCTCGGCTCTTAGGGCCCAGTTTCCGGATTTCACGGCGTCGGCGTAACCCCGCTAAATTTAGTGGGGAATTGAATTGGTGTTGAGGTCACGTTGATTTTCCCGCTACATCTAGTGGAGAGACTGAATTTGTTCATGGGTGACGTGACCTCAAGTCATGTGACATCATTTTCTCTGCTAAATTTAGCGGGGAAACTGAATTGGGGGAGGAAGAGAGGGTACGTAGAAGGAGGGGCATACCCTCGCCTCCATACCCTCTCCTTCTCTCAAGAGTTGCACTCTAATTTTGCCTTACAGAGATTTGTAAACGTCTAATTCTTTCTTGCCAAAAACAGAAACCATGTGTTCCCAAACACAGTTTCTGCCCATACGTAATGTGGGGCTGGGCTGAGATGCTCTAAAAAGTATTTGAGAGCACAGATACCGAGATATTTGTATACTAAGGCCAAAATACAGATGCTGAGATGAATTTTTCTTTTACATGATGGGATGTCCCTTAGATACCTCTACAAAGCTGGTAAAAAAAGTCTCCCGGAATACAGGCAGAGTTACGTACAGAGGTAAATATTTTTCTGAACGGTGGTTTTGTAGCGAACAAGCAGGCCACACCACCTACACAGTAAAGCAACGTGCACCAATGCACGGACAGCGAACGACGCAGGAGCAACGGACCACGAGAAAGGGCTCCGATGGAACACGCCTAGCTGCAACCCAGTCTTGGCTTGCCTACCTTAGACACCATCTCGGACTGGCCAGTTTGTAAATATCTCTGTAAAATATGTAAATGACAGGTGTGTCAGCAGAGACGCCCTCTCGGTATGTTGACTGCAGTACCACCTACCACCGCTCGTCACGAACGGCATCCTTCGCACCGGAGGATGCAAATGCTTGCATTCCTTACTTTGTGTCAGTTTATGCACCCCACCTCACCTTCGTCCCGAATGCTTCTAAATAAACATTGCCTCCAACGAACAATGCAGGTACAGAGGCTGACAGCTGCTTGTCAGGCTTTACAAAAGGCATCTGCCCAAAATGAGCCCCATTTTGCCATAAGGGTGCGCCTCAAACTGTCATTTTAAGTGCTTCCGAGTCGCCTAAGCACAACCGAGCGAGACTTGACTGCACTAAGGCATCCTGGTCTCCACAGAACCTGTTGCAACTTATGAGGAAGAGGAGCCTCTCCCACAAAGCTTTCTGCTTGCCATGAATAATTGTTTCCTCCTTTCCACTCACTTCCTTTCCAGCGTTTGCTATGTTACAATGAAAAGGCAAGTGACCTTTAAGAGCACAGCTCTTTGGCGCCTTTTTTTGTATGTAGCGGCGTCACCGTTTGTTTAACTGCGGCTCCCAAACAGGACCTCTCACTCACTAGATTTAGCGGGAAAATTGAGGTTGCATGACCTTAAGGGGGGACATGGGTCTAAATTTCAAATTTGTATGGGTCTAAATTTAAAATTTGTTTGAAAAAATTCATTTTTCAATTTTAAGGTTTTTGGTTTTAGAACTTGAATATACACCCTTGCACCAAATTTGATAACCATACGCCAAATAGTTACATTGATATCAAATATTTTCAACACATTGTGAGGCAGTAACAAAGTAAAGGAGTTCAATGTTTGAATGCATTTTTCTCAGTTCCACTTTTTGCTGCAAATTTCATGCAAAGGAATCTTTTGTTCGAAGGTAAAACCATTTTGATACCACAATCCAGATGTTTTCGAAATGAAATTTACTGGAGAATTGGGCTGTCTACTTTATTTTATTTTAAGTTGAAGTCCTCGGTGATAAAAAATTAAGTTTTCAAAAATCTCATATTTTGAGGTAATAACTCTCCTTGAAATATTTACATATAAGTCATTAAAACTAGATAGCCCGTGGTCCTATATGCCCCACTTTATATTCAAGCAGTCAAAATGGTGCTTAATAGCTTCATTTGCATATCATAGATTTCTTAACGAAGAGTGGCACATCATCTTATGCAGGTATGTAAATTTGTTCTAGAGAGCTGAAAGTTTGCACAGTACCCCTACGTCTGAAGTTAAATCTCCCCTGCAAATTTCATTCCGATCACTTCGATAGTTCGGAAGTTCGACCTCTAGCCAGTATCCCCCCTTAAAGGGGCCCTGCAATCATATTTAAGCGTCTACCTTTTTTTGCGGTTTCCACGTCTCTTGGGGTTCGGGCAAGCCAGCGGGCATGGAGAGGGTAACTAAATGTGAGTGCGTCATATTTTAACTGGATGACGCGAAAACCTCCACCACCTACGAGGGCGACCCGCGTTACCGAAAGCGCGCAATATGTGACGTCTTTGGTCCTGGGCTTACTACTGGTCAGAGCCGCTAAAAGCTTTTTTTTTAGTCGAGATACAAAATGTAAGTGTTGCGAACCGTTTCCATTATGTATGAAAGTAGTTTTTGTTCAGTATTTTAGATCAGAAAAGAAACAAATGCAGTTAATAATGTACGGAAACAAGAAAAGACCCGTCGACAAACCCGCCACCAAGCGGCGGAAAAAACGGCGCATACTAGAAAGGGCCAGTGGGATGAGGCTCTGACGGACGGCGAGCGTAGAAAGGTCCCGGATGTATGTGGCGGTGCTGCGGTCGTATACCGGCTCGAGGATCCGACCGGTTCAAAGTGTTCCGAAGGCTTTCGGCGCGGGCTTGGCTGGCGATTTGGCCATTTGGCGGTATGGCAGCGCGAAGTGGCTCCCACTCTGAACTGATCTTTACCCCGTGTTTGCTGTCGTTTGTGGCCAATGAAGTGTTATGCCGAACGAGTCTTTAATTGTGCAGCAAATGCAATGCGAGCTGCCCTGGCCGCCTGCTTCATATAGCATATCCAACACATGCTTTAGTGGCGCCCTCTCGAGCCGTCGACACGGGAGTGCGGCAGCCGTGAAAGCTCTATGAGCTCATTACCCCTCCTCTAGTTGACGGCCACTCAGGCCAGGACCTACGACGTCATGAAGGAGGTTATTTTTTGCTTGTTTTTGTAATTCTAATTTGCCCATAACTTTTACAGAAAAATTTCTTTAAGTTACTACATTCAGTGCGCTCAGGTTCGGTGAAATTAAAACCAGTCACAAAGTTGTTGCAGGGCCCTTTTAACACCATTCGGTTCTCCCGCTAAATTTAGTGCGGATATTAGGGAGTTTTAGAATAACGTACGCAATTTTAGCACACGCAAGCGCTAAATTTAGCGCTTGTATTAGCGCACGCGACGCGAGAGAGTTTTAGAATAGCGTTTCTCCGCCGCGACGCAACAGCCCAAACATCTGGCGCTTGCGACGCCACCAAGATACAGTAAAAAATTTTATTTCACACACGAAATGATGTAACTTTAGAAAAAAAAACTATTTTTTGGTCCAGAGTAGCATTTTAATTTGTGTAAACATGAGAACGCGACGCAAGCGGTTGACCGGTCGTGTCCGCTTGCGTCGCCTCGGCAAGAGAGGTCTCGTGTACTGACCTTCGCACATCGTTCCTTCGCCGTGAAATGTTCGCGCGTCGCAAGCATCAAGTTGCCGGTGATCGCTGCCAAACCGAGTACAATGTTGTCCCGTATTGAAAATTGCAGTCGCGAGGATGCCGCCGACGTCGCACTCACGACGCCGCCAAAGCAGCTGCCAACATAATCCTGGAAGCCGCCATTTTTTTTAACTGTGCTCGTCTTGGATTGAGCCAACTTCTCATCACGAATCCTCCTTGGAGAAGCGCAAAGACTCTTTGCATACGCACGCTATTCCCGAGAAATAGCGCGCGCTAAAATTGCGCACGCAAAACGCAAAACCTGGTTTGCGTTCGGAGCATGCGCAGTGGCGACGGCGCTATTCTTTGCGCACGCAAAGCTTTAGCGTGCGCTATTCTAAAACTCCCTATTGACGTTGCATGGGTTTGCGTCCCGTGACCTAGACATGAATTCAGTTTCCCTGCTTGATTTAGCGGTAAAACTGATGTCGCGTGACCTCATCACCAATTCAGTTTTCCCACTAAATTTAGCAGGGAAAATGATGCCATATGACATCATGTCATGTAACCTACATATAAATTCACCTTCCCCGTTAAATTTAGCGGGAAAATTGACACGTGACCAGCCGTAGCCTGTCATTTCCCATACTCTGTGGCCGTCCCGACGGCACCTGTTCCTGCATATACCGGCGTCGGTGTAATCGCAGTCCCCCAAACAAGGCCCCACCATACAGCCCTTCCTCCCTCGCTTACAGTCTCGGCGTAACCGCCACCCCCAAATGGCCTTCCACCGTTCCCTAATCCTCCTCTCTTGCCTACCCTTTCTTTAATATGATATATCGCAAAATGAAGATGCCTCCAGAGCTGCTCTCTAATTTTGCATTACAGGAAACTCTAAACGTCCATAATTTTTCTAACCACTTTTAATTCTTTTTTCTTCAATTTTGCTGACTATCCTACAAGTCCTTAGACGCATTCTACGACTAAAAACCTACAGGTCCTTAGACGCCAGAGTACCGTGTCACCTTGCATTTATGGGTGCCGTGGAGACTGTCGGTTGAGGTGCTGCCAGCGCAACATCCTCACATTTGTCATGTTGCGACATCTGTCGACAGCACATTGAAGTAGGCTTGCACTGTCTGCAAATGCCGTTGTCCTGCGATCACCCAGGCTCGGCGGCGGCGGTGGCGTCGCTTGTCTCAAGGTGATCGAAATTACTTCACTTGTGACATTTTGCTCGTGCTGGTGTGCATCGGCCACTCAAAAACATGACACGGGCATTTCTAGAGAATAGCTCTTGCGCAATTGCTCTCTAGTGGGCCAAGAGTTGCCGCACACTCACCCAAACGCAAGGTAAATATTGGAGAACCGAAAGTATTTTTCTCCCCCTGCATCATGCTTATCATCATGCAAGAGAACTTGCAAACCATGGACATTGAGTCCAAATATTTGTCAAGGTCAGAGTGCCCTTTAACATAATCATCCGGGGCTTTTCATTTTCTTTGTATCGTGCAACCCATCTGCTCCTTGTGATGACAAAAACGGAAGCAGAATATTCCCGCGGGTAGGGAGGCAAAGTTATTGCTTCTTTGCAAGATTCGACTGATAACAACTGCCAGTGTATTTTTGAATACTGTCATCCAGCTCCAACTTGAATATAACAAAATAACTGTGACAATTTACGATGACCTAACTCTCATGCCACTGCCCTCCAAGGTGAGTGATTTAATTATTTGGGACTAGCAGAGCAGCTGATTCTGGGTAAGGGTATGCGCCAGATGAACGTCTAAGGGAAGGCTTCGACAAACGCCGTCCTTGCCGAGAGCAAAAACTTCCAGAAATCTGTCTTTTGTCTTTTCCGTTTCAGCAGATTTTGTATTTTTGACACTGGTGGATGTTTATCAATGTATTTTTTTTATGTTAAAATTGTTTCAATTAAGGCCTAGATCTAACCAATTTTCAGTAGCTTTCGGTGAGAAAATGGCAGCCATCAAAGCCCCCAAATGCACAGAAATGAATAGCGCCTGCTACCAAGAATGGGGCCCCATGTTCTCGTCAAAACTTTTCGTAAATCGCTCTCAACTTTTTAATGAGATTAACGATAGCTTCAGAAACTTCGGCACCTGGTCCAGAACGCTATACCCCGTTTCACTTAGAGTGCGAGCGTAGCAGAAGCTACAAGAGCAAGCTTCGGGCTTTCAGGGCCCCTGCCAGGCACGCGCGCTCATGCAGTGCAAGCAGTGCTCAGGGCCACATGCTCGCTCTCGTAACATCGGCTGCGTCTGGACTTAAGCTCAAAGCAAAGTATAGTGCTACATTTGGACGGAGATCGAGAATTTGGCGGCGAATAGCTTATTTTTGCAGCGAGAAAACCGCCCTTTCCTTTTCACCTGAACACCCGTTATTTCATTTTCTCGTGTTTCTTCAGCTACCGAACGAGCTACGCTCTGAGAATCGACACTCCATTCCGCGACTGACTCGTGGGCGCTGCCATCTTGTCACCTATTGCAGAGCAGGCGTAATTGGCGATGGCTGAAATTAAAAACTGTGACATCTCTTCGTACAGTGTTCGGGAGCTCCGGCAATATTGTTTTGCTCCATCGCAGTCTACTTGAACGTCTCTGGGGGGGGGGGGGCGAAAGAATGTTTCCTGCGACTTCAAGGCTGGTCCTCACAACCGCTGATGCCCGTGTGCCTTAAACTCTGTTATGATGAAAGAATGCACTGGAATCATCTATTGGGAAGTTGCTAACACTTTCAGTTGCTTTATATTAAATGGGTTAGCATTTATTGTCCTGGAGCATGCAGCTGTCTTTTGGTTTGGACTGGACCGGTCTCGTGACGTGCTCTTTCACTCCCTCCGTTACGTCCATTTTCCCTCTTACAAAAGCGAAAGAGTGTTTTGGCACACTTACAATGACGTGCCGCGGGTGCGGGAAAGGAGGGGATCGAGCGGCTGTGGTGGGGACTCAAGAAACACAAGGACATTAAACTGAGGTGCAGCGACGATGGCGTTTGCGTGCAACCGCCGACACACGGGAGATCAGACTGGCTCTTTGAACGGAACGGTATGCAGACCGTCGCGAGGTTGGAATTCCAACTATTCGCCAAGTCTGAGCCTCTGCACCAATGGTGAATGCATATCTTCGAGAATCGGCGTGACAACAGCAGCAATTTTGGCATCATTATTTTTTTTTCGGAAATTGAAAAGCCTTTGACAATGTTATGACAATCTCGCAAATACCGCAGAACCTTCGCTTTAGTGAAATGCTGTTCTAGGGTCACCTCATAGATGGCACCAATGTGCTAGACTGTGCTTTCGTCATGTTTGCAAGAGCTTGATCCTAAGCAGATGCAAGTGTGTGAACGGGCCTTTAGATAGAGCTTCAGATGACTAGCAACAGTGATTTTGAGCCACATGATTGCTGAAGTGTCGTTAGTGCTCGGTCAGTTGCAAAAGCAGGTGCCCAAACTTCCCCTTGCCCTTTGCAGGTTCCCCCTGCAGCTCTTCTCCCCGTCCATCTGGGTCTCCAACGCCATCTTCCGGCAGCTGACCACCAACTCGGCCGTCTCAAATCCGGCCCTGGACGGCTTGGTCCGTCGGACGCACAGCAAGGATCGCAAAGCAAGCCGGAGGCACCATGCCCTGTCCAGGCCGCAGCTACCACAGGGACTCTCTGCAAGCTGATGGACTGGTCTGAACCGACCTCTTTGTCTGCTAAATTCTACCTTTGTCCAAACTGTGATGAACTGATCTGGATCAATCTGCTCCTCCGCTAAATTCTGCCTTTGTCCAAGCCAGTGGACTGGTCTGGTATGATCTCCTTGTCTGCTTAATCCAACCTTTGTCCAAGCTGATGGGCAGGTTTGAATCGACCTTGTGCACTAAATTTTACCTTTGTTTATGTTGGTGGACAGGTTTGAGTCCATAATGTCTGCCAAGTTCTACCCTTGCTTAAGCACAGGGACCGGTTTGGATCGATCTCCTCTCCGCTAAATCGGATTTTTGTCCACCGAGCCCTTATGCCAATCTTTGGCAAGTGTTACTGGCTCTTACGGGCTGTACCCTAGTTGATGTTTTATGTTTTCTCCGTGTGTGTCCGATACAAATAATGTTTGCAGGACCCATTGGATCGCAAGCCCTTGTGTCAACTGCCCAAAGGAATGCAACTTCCTATGCTTCATTTCACCGTAACTTGTGGCAAAGGACGAAGTCGGTGGCCCCAGCGAGCCAATAGGCATGTCGGAGCGAGGCACGTGACAACACATCGTTGGAGTGCACTTCTGCGGAGAGCTTTGCTCCGTCGCTCTGATTGGCTCTTGAGGGGGCCGTAAAGTTTGCTCTTTGCCAAGTTGTGGTGAAACGAAGCATGGAGACGCCCTGCTTAGAAAGCAGTTTTAAAATGAACAATGCTCCCAAGGAAGGATGTCACAGCTATCTATATCCCAAATTTCTGAGCTGTTTGAGTGGGAGAGACTGTCCTGCCTTTTTCCTTTCAGACTTCGGGGTTTTCACTCACCAGCCACACTTTCATGTCACATCCCTCAAACTTTTCTGTGCCTTTGAAACTTCCGTGCAGCATACGAGTCTCACAATGTTGCTAAGCACTATGCACGATCTAACTTAATTGGTCGAATGACCCGCATCAAGTCATGTCGCTCCGTAATTGCTGTACGTGACGTGCCACCTTTATGTCGCCAGTAGCTCGAACGAATTGAAGTGTCCCATGTAATTGAGCCGTCCCATCTGACGAGCGTAGCGCACCTCTTCTATGTCTAGTGTGCTCGATGGGTGCAGCTTTGTGTGCGGCTACCATTTTGTGTGTGCTAGTCGGGCGCGAGGTACACTGACAAATTGGCGCGCTTGGTTGGGTGCTTTGTGAAGTGTACATTTCACATGTGATATACTTTGGTACTATGAGTGAGGCAGAGCCCCGACCAGCGTTTGGTGTTTCTCGCGGTGTCCTGTGATCCTTGTAAAGCTGCTTGTACATAAGGACGTTTTGCAATATGCAGTACACAATGAGCGGTGCGGAAGGGAACAGTATTGTTTGCAAGTTTTTTTTCGTATTTGCGCGTGTTCGTTTTTGGGTGATGAGGAATACCTCGCTGTTTAAGGAGCACAGATTTTTGTACGATGTGTAGACGAAAGTAAGCATAGCTTTGAGAACTCTACGAAGTGCAAGTGTCGCCAATCAAATCATGCATGCATTTCGTCACGTGAGATGTTCATTCAACCCGTAATATAATTTTTATCGCATTTGTTTTTATTGGGTTGAATTGTTTTATTGTATATATATGTAGGTATTGTTTCATGGGCCAAGGAAGCGTTTTGACATGCTACATGCGCTCTGCATTTTCCAAAGCCCACTTGCGTGCAAGGAGGTCAAGTGTACTGGTATCTTGACTTAGTCTAGCAACAATAAATATACTCTCAATTGATTGTATGTAGTTGGTTTGTTTTCATACCTCGAGGTGGCTAGGAGAGAAGTGGTTAGTTGCTGTAATTCCAGAGTGCTGACACGACAGCAACACATCTTCTCGCTTCAAACACTTCTCTCCCTGCTGTGGCACATAACCTTTTCAAAAATTTTCCACGCACCAAGGAGTGTGCTGCAGCTAGCTGGCGTCTGCAGCAGCAAATGCTATAAAGCAAAAATCTGAAACAAAGCCAGTGTCCATTTTTTAAAGTTTGTTTTGGTTAGTATTTACTTCTAATCTTTTATAGATATAAGGTGAGCATGTGTACCAATGTGTCCAGCATTCTCTTTGGTGCTTGGGTGATTTAGCGAAGACCTTTTCCTTTAAGTCCTATGCTGTCGTTGTGATGAGGGCAACCGCAATTCTGCGGCTGTGTCATCCTAGAGGCAGCAGCTTAGATTCTGGTAGATAAGCTCTTGACCTCGATTTCTTTATCCCAGAACCTCCTGCAAACAGTGGACCTAGACGAGACAAGGCCTTTGAGCTACTCCTATGATGTCACTGGCAGTGGGCCAACGCAAACTGTGCATAGATGTACTGTTGTACTGACCTTTTACTGAAGCAAGCATGTTTTATCAGCTGCAATACCAGCAGTAAACAGCAGCTGGGCTATTATTGTGCTCTATAAGCGAGGTAAAACATCATCAAGCAACAAACTCCGAGTGGTACAATTATTCGTGGGAAGAGATCAGTGCTCGGTAAAGAATCTCGTGAACTGACAACATAGGGAGCGACAAGTACATAGAGCAGAATGCATTACGGTAACAATTGGATAGGCATAGTTAATGGGTGTGGCCATTGGATTTGTGCGCGCGACTAGCATTTAGGAAATGACAGCTATCTCCCTGTTGCTTATTTGAGGCTGGAGTGTTTTTAGTCTGAGAAAACGCATTTGATACAGAATCCAAGGCTTTTGGTTGGCGTATGCTTGAAACAACGCATCCGCTGGCTGACACAGAGAAATCTGTCCCGTTAAGATGGCGAGGTAAGGGCCTTAATGTCGCAACACTGCGACATCGGCCTTAATGCACTTAGGTCCAACGTTGTTCGTTTCTAATGTTGTGTTTCAAACAGTTTTTAATACGACACTATTCAATATTCGTTCAGAGATTAACTGCAATATTAATATTTTTCGAAGTGTTGCCCTGTTGAGCGCATTTCTTGCCGAGCACCGGTGCACAGTGGAGAAGCAACGCCCACAGACGCAAGCTTTGTGGGTGTTGCTTCTCTGCAGCGCACCTGCGCATGCCTGGTGTAGTTAAAAAGAAATTAAAACTATCTACATTGCAGTAAAATTATGGAAATTATATCGTGGCTGTTATGCAGTAGTATATGTTAAGCAGAGATGCTCCGACAACCTGCATTCATCCATTTGCATTTTTTTTTTCTTCAAATTTGAGATGGAATGTTGAAAATAAATTAAACATTGAATATTATATCCACTCAATTAAGTATAGCTGGGCATGTCTGTATGTTTAAATGAATGTTGAATCTGTCTTTTACTTGCCACCCCAAGGCGTCGGACTTTCTGAGGTCACAGCCCATAAATATACCGTCGAATATCGCGCATCCGCCCGTACCACAGTAAGCGCCCACTCCTAAATTTCTAAGATCTCGGAAAATATGCACAGTACATTGATGTGTCATATTCATGACCGGACAAGTGCCCATCCCCCATTTTTTCGTGATTATCTGTAAATCTAGAGTGGGCGCTTGCCCGGTATTTTACGGTAGGTAGAATAAAATTATCTTATAAATGGGCAAGTTTAAGCTTGAGAACAACCTTCACGAGTTTAGCTGGGTTTTCGTTTACAGATGGTGCAACAGTAGTGAAAGCCTTGGAGAAACTGTTTGGTATTCAACTAAAAAAATATTTGGCCAAAACCGCTATTTGCTTCGAACACAAGTCCACATTCACATTTGATGATTCCTTTCCCGACGTACCGTAACGTCCCATCGGACCTCCAGAAAAAATTCACAGGCTCTTTGCCAACTTCTGCAAGTGATGCTGTGGTGTTTACCGGCCTGTTGTACATCTGCATCGTGTAAACCCTGGTTCAGGCAGTTGCGTTTGACTGCGGCGCGGCTGCGAGAAACCAGGGCAGCCCCGCTGCTGCTATCGCGTACCAAGATGTTTCCTTGAATTGGATTCCTCGTTGCATAAGAAGCACAGATGCGCCGGTGACATGCTTTTGGTTCTCGACACAACGCAGTCAAACGCAAGTGTCTGAACCGGCTTTAAGAGTGACTCTTATCATGGGGTTCGAAACACACAGCACCCTTTTATTTAAATGATCTTTGGAGGTTTCCCACCTCCCACAACATCGGACGTCGTAGAAACTCCCTAAGCCCAGGCAGTCACTGCTCTCTGCTCGGGCATTCGGTTATCATGCCGCCGTCCTGTCTTCCAGCTTTTGGTAGGCCTAGCAAACCTTAGCTTCCTTTTGCTTGCAGTCCTCTTCCACCAGATATGAACATGCTACTAAATCTACCTCCTAGAACCTTGCAAAATTTGCCTCTGCAAGCCACCTGCTGCACAGTTGAAATCTTCCCCGGTCACGTGAAACGTACGTCGCCACTGGCACGCCGCGTTGTATTCCAGTCTGACGATGTCACACCAGCTGCGCTTCCTTCCCTGCAATGCAACGTGCTATGCTCCCCACAGGCACATAGCAAGGATTTTGATTCGGGGGAGGGGGGAGGCCCACCCATGACAAAATGCTGTATGAGGGAGAGGGGGGAGGGGAGGCCCCAGCAAATCGAAGAGAGGCTCCCCCCCCCCAGCTACGTGCCTGGCTCTCCACCACCGTTGCCCAAGCAAACCCCTCTGGTCGCAACGAGCACGCACCCCCAATCGGCTGGCAATCAGGAAAATTCCTTTTCGTGTCTTTTTTTAACAAGGTATTGGTGTGTCCGATTTGATACGTATAGACCAAAATATAAGCACCGAAATTTCGTTGCATTATCCCTTTAAAGGAGTATGCAAACAAAATCTTAGCTTTTTATTTTTTCCTTTTTCCCAGAAACTATGTTGTGTCTTTACCAAAGAAACATCAGTATTCTGCTCGTAAATGCATGTAACGAATTTTAAAACGAATGAAACAATTTCTCAACACCGCCTGGTAGTTGGGAGGCCAATGTAGTTACGACGTTGAATGCCTCTCGCCCCAGTGCCACTCGTGGAAGTACAGCGCAAATGTCTAGACAACTCGGGCTTGAACAAAATCGCAAAGCTTGGCGAAGGAGTCCACAGTGCTTCCACAACATGCACTGCACACGATCGAGATCCCCGTTCTTGGCAGATAGTAGGTAGGAGCTTGATCCGAGGACGCGGGGACCCCTGGCGAATCAACCACACCACTCCCCCTCCCCGATGCGCCGTGAATGACCTGCTCCAATAGGACACCCAGTAAATACCCCGTATACAAAGCTTGCAGGCGTTGCCATCACAAGGTACTGGCGGTTATTTCTGCTTACTGGTTCCCTCGAGCTCCTACTTCTGCAGTGTAAAACTAACACAGTGAACCGATTGCTCACGGCAGATAAAATACTGGCATGGCCGTGAATGACGTTACGGGCAAGCTATGTACAGGCCATGGGGCGTAGCCCTCGGATATTACTACTAAGCGAGATTGTCACGCGTTAACGTCACCAAGTGGCAATGCTTACTACTACAGAACCCTTAGCCGTGCAGAGGCCCCAGACGTTTACGAGCACGATACGCATTGCACTTATCGCCGGCCGATTTTGAAGCGAGAGGTAGGAAGCTCGTGCCCACGTCATTTTCATACCGCTTTAATGGGCACCATCCCTGTTCACACTTTTAGGCATGCACTGCTCGACGTTCTTACCGTAGAATACCGTGCATCCGCCCATTCCACATTAAGCGCCCATTCCCAAATTTGTAAGATCTGAGAAAATATGCACAGTAGATTTACATGCAAAATTGATAACCGGACAAGCGACCATCCCCCAATTTTTTGCGATTATCTCCAAAGTTTGAGTGGGCGCTTGCCCGCGGTATTTTACGGTAGATCTATCCACTGGCAAGTTCCAAGGAAGAGCGTCGATCCAAAACGACTACAGTCTAAGCTCACTACAACAGATCTGGTTACAACAGACATTTAGATATAACATACCGATCTGTGAAGTTCGGTTGGTTTTCCTCTACATACCATTCATTCGACTTCACATCTGCATACAATGTACTCCTTTTACAACAGACCGAAATCTTGGCCAAAATCAAGGTCTGTTATAACGAGCTTAGATTGTACTTGGTTGTCTGTAAAGTGAGCAGGTATGATCGAATAGCGATCCTAGCACCATTGCTCCCACAAGCAATGAAGAGGGACCATTTTTGAGCGAATCTTTCTGCACAAACATCTGCGCAAACTTCGTGTTCACCATAAAAACTGCAATAAAATCACTTTAAAAAAATATTGATGTTTGTGTTTACTTGGCACAAGGTCGGTCTGCCTTTGAGGCGCGGCAACACTGGTTTTTCGCTGTAGGCGAGAAATTTAGCCAGTGCAGTATCACCAAGATTGGACCCAGGATTACCAGGTCCAATTCCCATCCCTGCCTGTTTCAATCTTGATAAGCATCATACCGGCGTGCGACGCACATACGTTGCAGGCAACGTGCGTCTAACGTGCCACCAGTTCTGTCGCTTCCATCTATATGGGCTGGTCTAGTGCCACTAAATAAGTTACGCTTGAGAGTAACGACACTTGGCCACATTGTGGCTTAAAATCATGGCTGCCAGTCATCTGAAGCTTTATCTGAAATCACAGGAAATGCTTTTCCGCCCTCCACAAATGTTTAAACAGTTCGCGACAGAGCAAAGCAATATTTCATGAGCTTCCTAACAGAGAATCTAATGCTGAGAAAGTCACACTTTTGAATCATGACAATCAGCAGTTGAGTCTGCTCAGCACAAGCCCCAAAATGGCAGCACCCACAACAATGTCAGGGAACAGAGTGTCGATACTCTAAGCGCAACTCATTGAGTGGCTCTAGGCTGGGCCAACAGTGCGGCAAGAGACACCGAGCGGACGCGCCACGAAAAGGCGCCAGGCGTCCTAGGAAGCTTGTCTACCGACCTTGATCTAGTAACGTTGCTGTTCGTACCCTACCACCATTGTGTGTTTCGTTGGGCTTCCAAACCATTTAATTCTCGCTTCACAGGGCAGCTGGAACATCCACCACCGCACTATTACTTGTATGAGTTCCTACCACCAGACGTGACAATGGACTTTTCGAACTCCAAATGCCACTAGAGTCGTTGACAAGCCGAACTTGTGCAGCTTGCTCTGCAATATACTCCGTTTCACTTTAAGTTAGACCGCAGCCACAATACGATCCGACACAGTCAATCAAGCAGTGCCAAAAGTGCATCGTCATGGCGCTCGTTGCCTTCGCATATTTGCCATTGCCAACTAAACCAATTGCACACAGTGAATGTGCCGCAATCCTGCACTTTTTCATTGCCCAATCACTTTAAACATTTATAGCAAATCCACAGAAAAAAAAATGAGCGCCGCGATGACACACTTTTGGCGATGCTTGACTCGCCCCATCGAAATGTAGCATTGGCTGCGGTCGTATTTAAAAAGTGAAACGGAGTGTGCGGAGCGCAAGTTTGTCTGCTTCTTGCACAGGGTTTGCAATGGTGTTAGAACGCCAACCTCTTATTGGCTGATTGAAACAAAATAGTAGTGGGTAGACCTTGAGGCATACAGCATTGAAGTCTACCCACTATCCCGTCAATCAAAGCCAACGTCACCGCAACTCCTGCGCAAGAAGCAGACGACTTGTTCTCCGCATAGCGAAAAGGCAGAAAGATTGGGACGTCTGTTAAACAAACGCGACCGGTGCTTGCTTTCCCATGCTACAGTCTAAGCTCGTTATAACAGACCTTGATTTTAACCAAGATTTTGGTCTGTTGTAAAAAAAGTATGTTCTATGCAGATATGAAGTTAAGTCAATGGTGCATAGTGGAAGACCAACCGAACTTCACAAATCGGTACGTTATATCCAAATGTCTGTTGTAACGAGGTCTGTTATAATGAGCTTAGACTGTACGAGATTTCGGGCCGTTTGTCTTTTCCCGCATGTTTTAGGAAATACATTCTGCATATCTGTAGAACGTATTTCCTCCGAACTGGTCAGATACTTCGACCACCCCCCGCAATAATAGCCATCGAGTACCGTAAAGTAAATGAATATTTTTTGTTGCCTCATGCAGTGCTGGGTGCACGTCGATAGTTATGATTAAAAATTTCGACTTCCTAAGTTTTGGGTGTACTATGTCAGGAAGCGCGGCTGATATTTTTCTCCGTCCCAGATTGTTTTGACAACTTCTGGAGGACATAAAAACACTTTTTTCGGTATCAAAGTTTCAAATGACCGGCAACAAAGATCTCGAGCAACAAGACGGCCGGCGCGTCTATGCTCTGGAGCGTAACTCATTTCCTGACTTTAGGAAATCGCCGTGTTCGACAGGCAGTCGACGAATTCCAGAGTTCCCAAAACGGGCAGTTCCAAACCGCCGACCGAAAGAAAGAGGCGATGCAGGAGATAAGAAACCCGCGGAAATTTAATTGTAATAGCTATCTTAACTTAGTCGATGCAAACGCGACGAGTAGTCCTAGTCTTCTTCCTGCGCAGTCCTCGTAGCTGTCGCCGAGCGACTTTCACTTGTAAAGGAAAGTCTCGCGCCGGCGTAGTCCAGTTTCCCGGTCGAGCGTTTCTTTGGAGGTTGCTGCCGTGGTTGGCCGGAGAGGTGCGTACTGGCAAGTGCTGCTGCGATGGCCGCTGGAAGCACAACAAACGAGTGCTGCTGGCGTTGCTGCCGTTGCAAAGCGGAACATAGTAAAAAAAAAGAGAGAGAGTTGGACCAGACAAGTTCCGCGAGATCCTCTTTAACGGCCTCTTCTCGTCATCACCGTGAGGTTTCCACAATGCACAATTTCTGCGAGAGAGGAAAGAAATGCGGCGAAATGAGCAACACCTCAGACGGCCTTGACCGGGACCAGGCTACAAAAGTTGGCTCTCTTTGCTACTTTCCGAAGGCGTCTTAAACGTGTATTATGTATAGGTCCTCTGTGACATGATGATGTCCCCCGACATTGCATCACGTGACCGCACGCCACACCGCGACATTGCAGCGTCGTGTGACCATCGAGAAAGCGCGTGATCGGGCAACGTCACAGTGTCGCGTCATGGTACGCAACTTGACCGGGTGACGTGCCGTCAAGCCGCGCGACAGCGTGATGTCCTGGTGTCACATGATGTCTCAGTGTCGCATGATGTCACAGTGCGACATGGCCTCACTGTGTGACGCGATGTCACAGCCTCGAGTGACGTAAGGGTTCTGCAATACTGACATTACCGAGGCTACATGCCAGTGGTCTACACTCGGTGTCAGCCTTTCTGTACCCCGTCGAGGCTGGTGTAGTTTCCACGACGCTCCAACGCCGTCGAGACTATTTTTACGAGCGTGTCGCTCCGTTCGGTGCCTTCGCATAAGAGTGGGTGCAAACGAAAGGCAAGGCTTCCTAACGCAGCAGCGCGGGGCTGCAGTACCGTAAAAACTATGCTAGCCTCGACAGCATGGCACGTAAGATTTGACGCCAAATATACGACCGAGGGCACATAAGAGCTGGTCAAGGTCGAACATAGTGACCGTTTCTCCAAGGTTGGAGTAACTGCCACATTGGTTTACGTACAAAATGTACAAAAGGAAGCTTTCAAACCCAGTTAATCATCTCTTGCAGCATGAAGCGAAGGTGTCGAGATGCGCAGCGCGACATTTGCGAGACACCTTTTTTATCTGCTTTGTTCCCCATTCTCCCAGCTCAGTTCCTAGTTCTACCATTTCTACAACGAGCGTTGACGGCAGAAACATTTACTTTAAGGGTTTTGAAGCTTAGGTGCTACAGTGGCAGATGAGGCGAGAAAGGCAGGGAGCCTCCAGCTTCCTACGTTCGACGACACCTCAACGTCTCGTGCACCTGGAGCGCATGCTTGCAGCCAACGCAGGTTGCCGGAGGCCGGGCATTCCAAAAACATGCTCTCCTGTTCTTGCTCTGTCTCTGACCATAGGAAGTTTTAATTAAAGTAAGATGCTGGGTGAGTCGGCAGACCGTAGGCATAAGTAGAAAAGCAGCTCACAAGGACGAAAACACAGAAAAAGAATATGCGAGAAACTCGCGGGCGCCGACTCGCGACTAATGTTTTGTACGAAAAAGGAAGACGAGGAAAGCTCTCCCACAAAAGTGCATTACTGGCTCAGCTTACACCAGGGGGCAGAACACGAGCTAGTCAAGAACTGCCCCTTCGACGTGCGAGCTAAAAAGGTGTCTCTTTATCTGGACAAGGTCAGAGAAGGTCAGATGACACACCACTCCTCTAACTAAGTATGCTTCTAAAATTTCCCCGCTCAAAATGTTGTGACAACTTACGATAATAAGTATTTTCATCCCTGTGTGCTGTTCGTTTTTCACTATGTCTCGAATTTAACCGAGTCCGAGGTAATAAAATATTTGGCTGTCTCTTGAAACTTCCCAAAGGTGTTATAAATGTTTACACTCCGTAAACATTTATAACACCTCGCTCCTCCTCTTGCGGGCACAGTAAGGAGGCCACTCTAAAGCACAATGTGATTCAATTGTGAATTCTTAAAGCTGCGCATCGCCTCGCACGATACATGGCACAATGTCATATGATGTTACCCAATGTCGCGGTGTCACATGACACGACGTCGAATGTCACGTCACGGTTCCCAGATGCCACGTGACGTGCGTCATGCGACGAGTCGTCCCGTGACGCCACGGTGTCGCGTTGGTGCAACATTACGACGTCGCGTCACGATGGGACGCGACACAACAATGTCACGTCACAGTCTTGCTCGACGCCGCACGACCACGTGACGTGTCGTTGCACTACGTAATGTGACACCACAATGTCACGCTGGACTCCTTTATTTACCTGAACCAATCTACCCCGGTGCAGTTTGGGCCAGCACACTTCCAGTATGTTTAGGGATTGGCTACGCTCGTAAATTGACCCCATACAGCTGGAGGTGGAGGTACATCGACCGTAGCAAGTGTCTCGTGACGTCACAGACGACCTCCTGTGATGTCATCGAAGCTACATCCTTGGATACCAAATCCCTAAAGCTGTAGTCGTACAGCTCACACATCACACAGAAGGCGGTCTGCAGACATGGTGCGAGAAATTCCTCGTGGGACGGTCACATTGGCCACACCAAAAACGTCTGCAGACAAGTTCGAGGCATACATACGCTAGAGCAAACGTGCTTTGAGCGTGCTCAAGTTCCGACACCTTGTCTGCAGCGAATACCTTTCGTATAATGTACCAGTAGCGCGATTGTGGCGGCCCCACAACACCCCAATCCCCGTGGACGCCACGCATCCGACGTGCGAAGCGCCGCGGACGAAACGGAACAACGGGCAGAGTGCCGCCGGCGGGAGGGGTCCTCACACAGAGTGTACAGCGGGCCGGGCTTCGGCGTCCTAGGGGTCCGTGGGCACCCCGTGGGCCCTGAGCACCTCCCTGAAGGCGGCGAGGGTCTTGCGCAGTGTCAGGCAGAAGCCCCTCGAGGCCGGCAGCAGCGGGAAGTCCGGGAACGAGCCCCCGCCCCCGCCCGCCTCCCCTGCCACGAGGAGAAACGCAGAAGGCACACGTACCGTCAGATGGGCGTCCTCAAACTTTTCAATCTCGAACAATTTTTGTCTAGCTTCGCCGAAACCGAGGAACCCCCGCTGGTCTCGGCATTTATGGAATAAAGCAACGCAGAAGACTAACGACCTCCCCCCAAAAAATTGTTGCAGTCAAATTCGAAGGTTTCACGAGCTGAGCCAACAAGGGGCTCGACGCGCCTGGCACCCACCGGGTGGAAGCTTGAGGATTAATTTTGATTGCCCGAGGTTCTTTTGACGTGCAACCAAAACCTCGGCTACCTGGCACCTTCTCCGCAATAAGCCTCCGTCGGATCGCGGGCACCTCGGCCGGGATTCGAACCAGCACCTGGGGATCCGTAGGCCGGCGCTTGGCCTCGGAGCCACCGAGGCAGCTTGTAAAAAATAGTGCACGCAGTGAGTGTCTAACAGACAGTTACGTGTCAAAGGGTGGCTCCGGCCGGCTAAAATTAGTGCTTAAACTTAAAAAAACAGTTAGGTGCATGGACGGTCGAGGGAATTTGGGAGCTCAGAAAACCCGCGATGGTACTCAAAGAGATCTCTGGATTCCTCGAAACGCAGTTTGAGAGCCAATGCCTTAAAATACTTAAAAACCGCCCATGCAAAAGGATGATTGCGAAAAAACTAACATGGGCCCGAAAGCAAAAAAGCAGAAGGGGCTCGTGGTGGGGTAGGTCCTCGTTTGATCCGACGCAACTGGGCGTAAAGTTTTTAAAGCGGCCGCGTTGTTCTCATCGAGTTTGTTTTGTGCTAGAGCCGTCGCAATAGACTCTTTTACTGTTTACAAACACAAGCCGTTTCTTGGCCCCCAAGAGACTTCCAGTTGCTCCGTTTTGGCAAGCTTTCCGAGCCTGTTGATGTCGAAATTTCTGGGACAATGAAGTTAGACAGAAATGAGAAAGTTGGGGATCTAGCGAGGTCCTTCTACTACGCTATAAAACAGGTAACAGAGGGTCGGTCGTCTTACGGGAGTACTAAGAAATCTTCAACAAATCTCTCGCTAACCAGTCCTTTAGCTAACCACCTGGAGAACTGCTCATGCAATATTTTACAAACATTGCAGGAAGCAATGCTCTCGTGGGAGTTTTTTACCCTCTCATTTGACAGAAAGTTTGGGGGGGGTAATTTCCGACGCTTTCAATAAAAAGGTTCATACTTTGGTGTTTCGCACCCATGCACCCGCATAAAAGCTGTTTTGCACATTTGCGTTTGACTTTGACCGAGTGTGTTGCGAGCTCTTGCGACCGCTTACGATTTGAGAACACACCACAGATCAGTCAAAGACATTGGCATTCGCGAATAAAAGTTTACGCACATCTACGAGAAAAAAGGCGCTTGTAACATTGTCACAAAGTATTTAAAGCCTACAATGAAATGTTGATGCTCAAAAAAATAAAAGCACTAACATAGATGTGAAGTTCCAGGACTAACCAATAGACAGCTTTAGTGTGGTCTCTCATTGTAAGTGGTCACGAGGGATTACGACACGCCCGGATGGAGTTAAATGCAAATTTGTGAACCAGTCTCAAAGCCTCATCGCTCTGCACCGGCTTCTCGAGACCGGCCTCTTGATAGTTTTCCGGGGTTGGCGCTGGACATATTCGTTGCCCACGTCTGAAATGTTTCAAAGGCAAGTGGTGGCTGCCTACTGAGATAGAGGCCAATATTTTTACGGTAAATAAAAATATAAATTGCTCGACTTAGACATCCCGTCAAGTGGAATGAAGGTGTGGTAACTGCCGATGGGTGCTGTTGCACCTTCCTAAGCTCTACAAGGCACAGACCATCGAAGCTTGTGGGGACGCCCGTGTCAACGCGCTGTCTGTGTCGTCGGACAAAGAACTATGATATCTCTACAACCCTACATGAGCTGTTAAGAGTTTTCTACTTTTGGTGGATGATCTTCTGAAACTTCATCCTTCAAAGATACAATAAATAATTTTTAAAAGCTTTTTCTTTTTTTATTTAATGCCTTTAATAATGCAATTTTTTAGTCAATTATGGCTACATTTGCTTTGATTTTTATAGTCTCTTCAATTTATTGTTCGTTTTCATCCCCTTTGTTTTAACTTCTATAGTTTCTTTCTTCTCTTAATTAAATTTGTTATTAAAATGCCAGTTGCGAGTGCAGCACTGTCCTGTCTACTTTGTGTCCTTGTCTGTCCCTTTGCACTTTATATTATCGGCACGTCGAAAAAACTGGCCCACCTTAATATTTTAGCACACCTGACAGGGCTCTCTGAATGAGTAGCACTCGCTATAGAAATTACGTGCAATGTGACATGTGACGAAGGAAATGTGAATGTGTAAAGGACTTCCCTTCCGTACCCGTGCACCTCCTTTTTTTTTGGGGGGGTGGGGGGGGGGGGGGGGAGTTCATTCTTTTCTCTGAAATGCTGCTGCGCCAAATCACCGGCCGCAATCCATTGCCGACACGCTTCGCTGCAGCCAACAAGGTCTGAGGGGGGTTTTCCATAATATGTGTGGGCTCTTTTGAGGAATGGATAAACCAGGAGGGAAACGGATCGTAGGTTAAAACGTAACAAGCTCTTTGTCATTATAATGGCTGGTACCAGGTTCTCCAACCGACAGACTCTACACGGCACCGGATCCCCGGCATCGCAACATACTACATAAATGGTGCCAGCCTCCTCCGCATAAATAACGCACATAATGCCGCTGCCTTAATAGATCAATCGGTGCACCATAGCAACAAAAATGGTCCTTACCCCTGAGTGCAAAGGCCCTGAGGCTGTCTGCCGTCGGGGCCGAGGTTGGCGAGCTGACGCGCCAGGCGTCCGACAGCGTCAGCCAGCTCTCCAGGCGAGCAATGAACCTGGCAGTGGAAATGGAAACGTGCGGCGAATCAGAAATTCCCTAAAACACTGAGCCTCTTATGTCGCCCTTTAGTTTGGCCCTACTTACATCTTCAGATGCCTCAATTGCATCTGTACCGGCGTACCGCGCCAGATGCAACCGAGGACCGAGCGTGCACATTTTGACCAGTGTCACAGGGTGGTACAGGCACGAGCGCTCGCGGATGAAACGGAATTTTTTCAACTCAACTAGCAGTCGGTCGCAACATCCCATTTGTCCACCGCGACATAAACAACGAACCATATTTATTCTGGTTCATTTTAATATGTTCTTTTATTTTGGGGGGCTTGAATTTACCATTGTATGTCTTCTGTAAAATTTCAATTATGTCATTTTCATTTTAAGTATTTTCTATTTTGAGTGTTTTATTTTATATAAAATAAAACACTCATTTGTAAGTGACCATCACAATACCAAAAAGCCTGCACTCTCCAAGCCATTGTTATGTATGAGTTTTCTGCTACCAGTTCCAATTGTAGAGTCAAGCTTCAAAGTTAAATCCCATGTCCCTGTTCCCATTTATTAAATTCCACACTTTCTGCAGGAAGTAAGGCAAACTCTGCGACTTTAAGACAGCTAGTCTTGCACTCCCGACATATGTGCAAACAGTTTTAAAAAATGCTCTTGCACAAACCGAGAAAAAAAAATTGATCGCATCTCCACGTGGTGAATGATGTTGATTGGGGCGAAGCTCTGGTGGTGCTTCTCTGCGCAGAAGCTGAGCCGCAGCTTGCCGAGCCTTTCATTCATTTTCATCCATGTCAGAAAGAGAATGTGTGGTATGGAACGTGGTTATTTACGCATTTGAGCATTTGACCGCAGCACCCTCTCGTCTATAAACATTAAGCCAATGCATGCAAAGTTTAACGCGATTATATACGCATTCGGCCGCAGCGCCCTCTCCTGTATAGACGTTGAGCGGCTACATGCAACGTTTCATCTATGACATCCCCAGCTCTTGAGTTACTACCACATCTCAGAGCCCCCTACTCGGCTCGCAGTCGTGGCCGAGTGGTTAAAGCGATGGGCTAGAAATCCATTGGGGCCTCCCCGCACAGGTTCGAATCCTGTCAACTGCGCAAACTTTTTTTTTTCTTTTTTTTTTTGCTTTACACGAGCACGTGAGCTCACGAGCACGAGCACCATCAAGATCGATGTGAGCACGGACGGACAAGGCTAGACCCTAAGGAACTTTGCCTGTAAAAACAAGCGTCGCAGCAAGCACTGTTGTCTCATAAGATGCCACGAAGCGTCACCTGGAGGCATTTTCCCTGAAGTGCTGCTCGATCTCCTCCTTGAAAACTTCCGGTGGATTCTGGATCATCTTGCCCATGGCCTGCGAGAGACAGGGAACATGTCAACTCGCCTCGATGTGGCAACCTTGAGTGCAGAGGTTCTCAATTTTTTAAATATCTACGAGCCCTCACCTCCCTCGACTGATAGCCGAGAAACCACTCCCGACCTCGACAATAACACAGTAAAGCAGTTGAAGAGCCTACAGAGCTTGTAAGCAATAATGAACGTGCCAAGGAGTGCCTGGCTCATGGTTCTGTATCAATAAGTGGCTTAGATCCGCTAAACTAGTGCCTAAGCTGGGTAAATGTTTTACTTGGGGGCAGGGGCGGTCGAAAAAATTTGGGAGTTTGGGGGGATGCCCATGCCTGGGAAGCCAATTTGAGAATCTGGAGTTTTCCATCTGTCTGTGTGCCAAAGTGACCGCAGGTGCAATTGCAGCAGGCAGCCTACGGAGTGACCGATTTGAAACGATTAGACTGACGTGCCCAGCCCCACCTAAAATGTCGAGCACACCCAAGAATGCACGGGGGGTAAACAGAACTTCAGAAAGGTCTGAACTTTGACTGAACACCGTGTATGAAGCTCAGGAAGTTGCGCTTTGGAATCAAAACTATCGCCGACGTAGCCTGCTCTGCACTAGTCACCAAAATGGCGACGTCCACGAGACAACTCTGGGATCGGTTTGTCGACACCCTAAGCCGTAGGTTCTCAAACCAGGTTCCTAGGAATCCAGGGACTCCCCACAGTACCCTCATGCACTCCCCGGGCTGCAAGATTTCCTCGACGGTCTCCTTCCCTGTTTAAACCGTCTTTCCTGTTAAGCGCTATTGTAGAGACATTAGCCATCCATCGATGCATAACTACGAGCCAATCAGTTTCAGGTATAGTTTTCAGAAAGGACTTTTTATGAGCCCCACAGCCACGCCACCTACCATAAAATCCCGTAAGGACACCCACCCAAAATGGTGAAAAACATGAGGGCGAAATGGCAAAACTTTGGGGACGAAATGGCAAAACTTTTTAAAAAATTAATGATAAACATGGGGGCATGGGCTACAAACCACGTGATGCGGGAACTGATACCGCAGATCGCTGGCACGGAGAATTTGCATTTCACCGCAACGTGATAAACATGCGGGAATTCGCCACAAACTCCCAAACCACGGGAAAGGATACCGCAGACTGCGGATGCGGCAGGTTCGCGTTTCGCAGTGCAATAAACACGCGGAGACCGTCTACAAACTCGCGTGCCACAGGAGCTAACCTCGCGCATGCATGTTACAGACAAAAAAAAAAAAAAGCGGCAACTCGTCACAAACTTTTGCGTCACGGGAACCGATATTCCACGCACGGGTAGTGGACAAACATGCAAGGGCCCGCTGCAGACTCGCTTGTCACACGTACCGGCACCACAGATTGCGCGGTTCCTGTCGGACATTGCACAATGTCCGACAGGAAATGGGTCGTCAGCGATGTTGTGGAATTTATATGTTGCAGATATTTAACCAGAAAAACGGGGATAAGCGATCTCTTGAGAGAGGGCACCCTTGCGGGATTTTATGGTACGCTAGTATTCACCTCAAGGACCATAGTAAAAAAGTGTGATTCCTCGGGGAAAGTTACTATTTTCCTCCATCCTGCGTTGAATAAAGATACATCGCCGACCGATTTTTCGGACTGTGATAATTCAGACTTGTTCGATATTTTGGACCTAAAGAAGGAACCGTAACCTACCCGATAGAAATACCACATATTCACGACTGATGTTTAGGACAGCTTGAAGTCCGAAAGTTCAATTTTTCAGACAAAATCGTTACGAGCGATCAGCGAGAAACGCCACCGAGAAGCGGCCATTTTGGACTCTATGTTGGCTGCGCATGAATAGGCTTGGCTTGACAGCGCTACTTGAGTACTGCTAAGTCCAACCGCTAGGTGAAGCTGTATGACTTTTTTTTTTTCTCTAGCTGCGCGTCATTATCATTATCGTTGTTGTTACCATTTTGCTTCGTTCATTTGCCAATGCAGTCATGAACTTGCGTCTCTCATCTCGATCTCGCCTCGGTGAATCATGTTTTTAGACTACACTGGCTTGGATATCATTGCCTCATCTGTTCTTCCGCCGCCGCGATGTGTCACTAAGAAGCGCAGAAAGCACTCGACCATAATGCTAGAAAAGAAGGCAGCGATTCTCAAACTAACAGAAAGTTGCCGGATGCAAACGGAGGCATAACCTGAAACAAGGTGTGCACGGAAGCGAGGCACTTTTTCCGGCTTGTTTGAACCCGCTTAAGACGTAATAAAGGCAAGTTTTTAATCTGCCAATTTTTTTGACTGGTCTATTATTCAGACTTTTTTTCAGTCCGTGCAAAGTTCGAAAAACCCGTCGGCAACTGTATAATGCTTCAACCGGAGAATCTCCATCCAGGGGCAGAAACAGTTCAAGATATTTGCGAGCTCCGAAAACCCGCGAGGGTACACCGGAAAACCCCGCCCGAGAACCCACGCTCGAAGTGTAGCTCACTTTGAGCATGGGCGGAGTCGTGTCCTCGACCGCCACCGCGACGCCGCCGGGATAGTGAACGGCGACAACGCGATGCTTCCGAGACTTCGTCGGGCGGAAATCGAAGGACCCTTGTTCTGGAGGCGGTAAACGCGCTGACGGCATCCCAGGACGGACATTTGGCCGAGTTGGCGGGAGTTTGTACTGAAAAACGGCATGACTGGGACGAGAACAAGGGAGACACCGGTGATGTATCTCCCTTCCTTGTCCTCGTCCCAGTTGCGCCGTTTTTCGCAACGAAAGTCCTAGAAGCGGACGACGGAGGCACCTGGACCAGCTTGAGCACGACCATCTCGTTGTACATGCGGCTGTTCTCCTGGGCCTGCTGGGAGCCCCTCTGCTGCTCGTAGCCGGCCTCGTTGTAGTACGGCTCGGACACCAGGATCAGCCCTGCAAGGGACAAAGAAGGGCTCGGGCCACCCGCTCCAACCACTTCGTTAAAATCCATCGCCTTGACCCTACGTAAAAAGTCCGAGTGACGAACGAACCTCTCTTTCTAACCTTCGTGTCCATCTGGTCAGTGTGGTTCATTCGTTGACAAACATACCTTTCTAGCCTTTATTCCCATCCGGTCGGTATGGTACATTCGTCCGCATATTTCAACATTCTTCTCCTTAGAGACCACGAAAATGACCAGCGATGAAGTATGAATTATGAAGAATGCAGACTGAGAAACCGTTCTAGGGCGATGCAATATTTTTTTACTCATTTCGGCAGACGCCGGTAACGCGATGTCTCAGTGCGACGCGACGCAATATCTTTTTACTAAATGTGTTAGTGCGACGCGACACTGTAGTGTTACGTGACACGAGTGACGTCACGCGACCAAATAACGTGACACCAGGACGTAAGGGTAATGTTACGCGACGTGGTAACCTCGCTTTATGTGACCCGACATCGTGTCACGTGGTCACGTGACCCCGGAACCCATAGTGGCATCGACGCAATGGCCATGCAAATCGTGGTGGCACCAACGATGCGATTGTTGTGCTCCTGCGTTATCAAGTTTCCGTTATAACTTTTTTTTTTCTGTGCTCTAGACTCGCAAACTGGCCCCTAAAAGCGTTCGCTTTAAAAGATGAAAACCAGAAAGTGCATCTTTCACCGAACTGCTCGGATGCCAGTCGTGAGCTCGCTATAAAAGAAGGATGTCCACCAGAGCAGAGTAATTATGAGTTTAAAGCTTAATCGCCCTCCCTTTCAAGAGCATGTCAAAAGGTAGCGCCAAAATAAAGCTTGCCAGCATGGAGGTCAGTAGCTCAACACCCACCCCGAGATGTTCTTACATTTACTCTTCAAAGGTTCCACAGTGGGCTTACAACGCTCGAGAGTGGCCACCGGAAATTAATAAAATGAGCTTTCCATGCCTCGGTGCATCGCCGCACTAAAAGGCCATAGTCGAACAATTGAGCCGGCCATCGACTGTGGTCTAACCACCATCCCGACGATCAAGCGAGAGTTCTAGTGACGCACCCAGAGTGCACTGGGGACAACGTTGTGGGAGTTCATCCCGTTCCAGTGGTCAACTCCAGAAGGACAAAGGGAGAGTCACCTTGGATGGAGATAAGCACCTGGAGCAGGCTCGACGAGGTCGGCGACCACATCTCTGACCCCTGGAAAGAATGCGTGGGCTTTCACTCATAGTCGCCAACCCACATCCGTACGCCTCGTCCAATGTTTCCACCGTCAACCGGTAAGGCCACAACCTCACTTTCTCAGAACCACGTCGTGCTATAAGTTAGTCCAACCCTTCCACGCTCCAGCTTGCAAGTTCTTTGCAGCATCGTGGAGAAGCCCCTTTCGAAGAGATGCAAGAGATGAACGACCCGAGACGGGTCGTCCGTCTTGGGTCGTCCAACATCCACGTTTCCCAACAGCAAGAGCACTGCATCAACACCTCCTTGTCAGATGCGGGTCAAGAACATGGTGGATGCTCTGCCCACGGGTGCCTACTACGGGTATCTTATCAGGATGCCTAGCAAATTATTATTTTGAAATTTCCTGACTTTTTCAGGTTTACCCTGACAATTTCAAGTGAAATTAAATGACCACTGTAAAGGAGATTAAATATGTAAGACCCTTACAACACAAGGCATTGAGCATTGAGCACTGTGAAGATCATTTTGCACGGGCTTAATCTAAGTTGCATATTCCGAAATATTTGTGTTCGTGCAGCCCGGAATAAAAGAGCACTTCCTTGCTGCCGACATTGTCAGTGAAGAGGTCACTTCCAGAAACACGATGAAAACACGACGCTAAACTACACACGTCAGTAACCGAATGGCAGCATGGACACCAGATGTACACTTTCAGATACTTTCACCTTAAGACTTGGATTGGGGTCTGCGGCTTTCCCATTTGTTACTAAATCTAGTAGCTCTAAATGGATCTAGCCTAGTGTCTCACCCTCAATCCAATCTAATCCAAGGCTTGGACTGGATTTGTCAGCTGTTCCCTTTGCATCAGGTAGCACACTCTACATCGGGTGAGCAGAGCCCGTGCTCCGCTCTAAGCTGAATTTATTGGCTATTTTTTTGCCGCCAAGTCCTGAAGTCTTTGCTCAGGGCACTCCATGGCGTATCCGGCTCATTTTTCCTGACTTTTTCGCTTTTTGACAATATCCCTGACAATTCTCCGACTTTTCCCGCTAATTAAAATTTCCCTGACAATTCCCGGTTTTCCTGGTCGCTAGACACCGTGCTTATCCCTAGAGGAAATAGCGCATCATCCACTCCGTGACGTCGCGACATGGGCAATATCAGTTACAGGATTTTTGTACGTTGCGTCGTTGAGGGTGACGGCAAAACACGGATGTAACTTTGTCCTACAGTGCCTTCGTACATGAGAGCGGTATGACAAAGCAATCGTTGCTGGCCCGACTAGGGTGACCGTGATCCTTGGGGTAGAAAACGCGGGGAGATGGCCGCGTCAGTCGGCAAACCAGCCCTGCGAAGTGGTCACCGTACACCGGAGCCTGGCAGGGTGCGCATGGGGATTGAGAGGGCAGGGTAGCACCCACCTTTCCGCCCCAGGTGCCGAGCAGGCTGACGCACACCTTGCCGCCCTCGTACAGGTTGGGGTTGAGGCGGTCGCTGCAGTATGACACGTAGTGGCACAGCGGGGGCGCGTGGGGGTACTCGGCCGGGAACTGTAGGTCGAACAGGAAGAGCCCGTCCTCGTACGGCGTGCGACGCGGGCCACGGATCAGCACCGAGTACAAGTCCTGCAAAGGAGGTGTGGGCAGACCACGGGGCACTTCAAACAAAAAGGCCGCATCGGGGGGTAAAGACGCGAGCAGAATGCAGCAAATCGTAGGCTTTCACGTCGGTGGTCCCGAGGAAGAGGGCGACAGAAGAGCGGAGAAAGAAAGCAAGTAAAGTGCAAAGTAAATGAGAGGCTATGTACTTCAAGTAAAGTAGTACACTGGGTGCAATGTGTACAAAGTAAAGTACTATCAACATGATGTACTTTCAAAGTACGAGTAATTTGTAATGCAATCTTTCACAATGCCCTATCATTCCGTTACACAGTGTTTGGTTTTTTTAAAACTGGAACGGATTGCCCAGGGGTGATCGGGGGTGCATCGGTTATTTTCGGAAATGGCGGCGAGTGTTGGATAAAGCCGAGTGGCCATTAGTATAGTTGTTTTACTCTCGCCAACAAACTATGTAATGCAATCAACTTATAAGGCACTTTTTTGTATCGGTCTCACAGCCACCATTACCTTGCTCGGAGAAATGACCAGATGACGTCTGGAAAGACGATATAGCGCGTTTTTACACAACAATACACTTTTTTTTTTTTTTTTTAAAGCTTGGAGAATGTTTTTTTTTTTTTTAAATCGGAAGCCGTACTTTGCTAGGCAGGTTCGTTTTGCCACGAGTTGAGGAAGTCGTTCGAGTGCTCCTCAACTTCATTTCTGTGTAATGCGCGATGCCGGTGTTTTTGCGCAAACTAAAGCTAGAAAACAACTCCAATCCGTAACAGGACGAAACCAGCAGGGAAGAGTTCCTCCGGCACAAGCTACCAACCTACGACAACAGCGCATCGTTAAAGGGGTATTCCACAGGTTTTTTCATTGTCTCCGATTTGCTTGAAATTTTGCTAAACTCACCAACATCGCTAAAATAGTAACCCAAATATTAGGTCAAAATATTGTTTTTCGCAAAGTCATTGAATTTACAGTTTCGGTCCTCACCGTGTTTTTCAAACTGAAAGTCTCTACTGGCAACAATGAAAAAGTGACATCAGTGCAAGAAAGGGGTTCACTTTTTAGACTGTAGGATTTGTTCCCAACTGATTCCAAGCAGCTTCATGGTGTCAAACGAGTGCTTTGGAAGCTCGCTCCAGAACCCGCACTCCAGCACAGAACAAATAATTAGCATATTCTATTTTTTAGACTGCTTGCTCGACTGGCAAGCCTGCCTGCCACTGACGTCACGGCACTGAAAAGTGTGGGTATATTCGAATGTTGGTTTTTGCATCATTTTCGTTTGCCGATTTCACAATAACCATTATGAATTTTAGGATTCTAAATAGCATACCGCAAGGCGTAAAGACCGGAGAGTCAGAAAATATAGTTAGTTGAGGTAGCTCAAAAAAACCTGTGGAGTTTTTCACTACAAGCGTGCATGCGCAGCCAAAGGACGGCGAAAGGCAATGAGAGCATGCTGGAGTTATTCAACTGAGGTGCCCTGCTGTTCTTACCTTGTCAGCTAGGGAAAGACCTTGCAAGTCATGCTTTGTTGGTTCCTTGTATACACTAAAGCTTCGACAGCAATATGGGCCCACTGGGCCCACCGACGTGCGTGCCTATGCCCCGCCATTTCGAAGCGGCCAAAATGCGTGGGACCTTTCCCTCTGGATTATTACTACATTAAACCTACGGCCGTATCACCATGTTTGCCTGGATCTAGACGCGGTAAGTGGGCTATGTCTAGAAGTAACGACACTTTGGCCGTCTTGGTGCTCGGAATTGTGGTTGCGAGTTTTCTAAAGCTTTGCCCAAAGCCGCTGGAAATGCTTTTCCGCTTTCCAGAAATTGCAAAACGGTCCACGACAGACTGGAACAACGTCGGCCAACCCTCCCGACGCAGTGTGTAAAGGTTGGAAAGTCTCGTTTTCTAATTGTGACTTTGCCGGCTGCCCTTGCTTTGCACCGGGCAACGGAATGGCAGTACCCGCGAGGCGGTTCGAGAATAGTGTGTCGACACTATTCCAAAGCGTAACTTATTCAGTGGCTCCAATCGCATCTTTGATAGAAAAAAAAATTTCAAGCACATTCGCAATTGTTTTTTCCTTTAGGACGCTTACAACATGTCGATTTTACATGTCGTAATTTATTAAGTGGTTTACATCTACATTTACATGTAATTGTAAACCACTTAAGAACCCTTTTAACCCCTTAAAATTTTTTAGTGTGAAAGCATTAACTGTCCCATGGAGCGAGCCGGCGTTATCAGCTTCTGGAGCCGCGCCAAACGGCACCTGAGTTCCCCTGTACCAATGGAGCAAAGCCCGTCATCTGTAGCAGCGATCTGATGAATAGGCTCCCATTGGCTGGCACACGTCATTGTTTATAGGAACGAGGCTCCCATTGGCTCTCGCGCTGCATAGTCCCTTGGAACAACAGGGAGGCGTTCCAAGGAACGCCTCTATGGCGGCACAGCGGCCCGGCCACCGATAAGGGGGAGGGGCTGGCCGCCAAGCCAGACTGAAGAGCCCCGCATGGGCAGACTCCAGAGTGGCTGCATGACCGAGCTCAGTGCGGTGCGGCCACTCCAAGAGAGTGCGCCCTCGGCCAACATTCATGCTTTCGCACTCACAACTTATAAGAAGTGCTTAGATGTCCTCGTAATTTTTGTTTGCAGTTTTTGATCCTAAACCGTTTTTTTGTTTTTTTTTATTGTCTGTGCGATTCGGGTCGGAAGTGTCTCCAGAATCGGTTGCCATCCTTAAAAACATGTCTAATAAAAAAAGATTGAGGTGCACCGAAGCACTTATGAGTTGTGAATGCGAAAGCATGTACATCATTCTTGCTGCACGCGTGTTGGCGCGCTGACTGGCGCTGACCTAGCGCTGACTGGAGTTTCTGTATAAGCTCCCTACGAAAGCCAGAGTTGCGCGTTCATCCCCGTAGTGCCGCCTCTCCTGCACGGCATGTTGATCCCGCTCCTCACGTGACTGAATTCGGCAAATAGCTGCGCCGTGCGTTCTAAGCGCACGGCGCGCTCAAAAGCAAGGGAACGTAAGCTGGGGCATGCGCAACGCTTACTCTCCTGCACGGCACCTGATCCGGCTCCTCACGTGATCGGTTCTCAGCAAATAGCAGCGCAAGAAAAACAGACGCGCAACTCTGGCTACCGTAGGGAGCCTATACAGGAACTCTAGCGCTGACGGACACACAGCGCCATAAAATAGCCGGTCGTTAAAACTGATGCGCAGCGTCAGTTTCAACCACCAGCCACCCCATGGCGCTGCGTGTCCAGCAAATGGGACCCTGGTCGACGCGCGCTAGCCAATGGGATCGAAGCGATGTAAAAGGTGCCGCGGCTAACCGGCAAATGGGAACTGGCTTGACTTGGAAAAGGATTTAAGAGCCGTTTGGCGAAGTTTCAAAGCTGATGACGTCGGCTCACTCCATGAGACCCAGTTAATGCTTTCGCATTAAAAACAAATGCTGCCATCTCTGAGCAGCGCCGCAAACTAAGCTCCGAATGAGCCTGGGTCGTCGAAAACAGCCAAGGGGCGAGGTAGGATGCGCAGACAAACTACTTGTCCTACATGGTTTGGGGACGGCTCTAGGTGGACGAGTTATGCTCGTCCAAAAGCATAACGGGTTAAGAGCAAATGTGGCCTCGTTTCAGCTACTCTGCACTAGAAGTTTAACAAATAAAGACTGACTACTCAAATAGCTTACGCTATTGGCCGTGCGCGCGACCAAAAGTGTTGCCGTGATTAGCCTTCCACAACTGCCCAAATGCTCGCTACAATTGTCTTTAGTGGGACTAATTCTACTTTCATCGATGCATGCAGAAGCATTGTTAGGCTTTCAAATTGGACCTAACTGTCAAACTTTACAAATTCAAACCCGAGCGGAATTCGAAAGTTCCAAAATTTGTGCGCACAAACCTCGAGAGGTTCGAGTCACTAGATGCCTTTGAAGTAAGATAAATGAAATGAGATCTCTACAGTCGAGGACAAGTTAAAAATGTGCCAGAAACTCCGCCCCTAGCGCAAGCTTTCTACCTTCGGTAACCCTTTGGGGTCACGCGAGCATGGCCAGCCAAAGTGCGACAGAAGGCAACGAACGCACACCGGAGGCAGAGCTCCTGGCACATTCTCAACTTGTATCCGGCTATATTTTCCTCCACTCCCTCCTCTCCCATTATCTAAAGAAGAAATTCGAGATCAATCTCTCTAGAGTTAACATGCAAAAGAAAGAAATGTGGCAGTATAACTAGCAGCGGGAAACCAATGTGTGGCCCGGTTGAGCCTGAACTGCACCTAGACTACAAAAACCCTTTAGCTAGGGAGGTTGATAAGCGTTTTTAGGAGTATACATGAGGCACCCCTAAAGAAACCCTATTTTCTTAGGGAGACCAGAGTCCCATGACGTGAGGAGAACCACCGTGGAATGGGGTTGTGACTATAAGACGGCGAATATACCAAACCCCAGGCATATGGTATGGTCAAATCTCGATATAACGAATTTTGTCAAACTCGCAAAAATCACTTGTTATTCTCTAACATCATAACAGTGAAAAACTTGTAAGTTGTAATTAAATCTGAGCGTTATTCCGAAATATTCCATATTTTGAAATTTGAAGTTAGTGAAATACTTTTGCATTGTAACTAATATGCATTCGGAAGGGGATTTTTTAAATGTTAGTAAATCTGAAAAATTTGTTATAATGATGTTCGTAATAACGAGATTTGACTACATTTATAGACAGAAGGAATGGTGTCTGGACAGAGCAAGCCACAGTTGTCCTTGGAAGTATAGCCCACCGGTCAAGAGCACACTCTTGCAGTATTCATCAGCGAGTTCACTCCCATTATTTATTACTTTCCAATTGTTCCAAACCTGAAAAAGGCATTCCAGAGAGCCACCAAATTTGTGCTTTCAAGAAGGACACACTTGTGGCAGAAGCCTGGCCTCAACGGGTCCCAGAGAGGCGCGAGCGAGAAGATGCGAGGTTCGGAAACACACTGACCATTCTGTCTTCAAACGCCTTGACAAAGATTCCTTCCGGTAGCGAGGACGTCAGCAGCTTGATCTGTGGAACAGGCAAGGGGCAGCATGAATGCGCAATGTATATTGCAAACTACCTCAAACACCGCTTCTGTTTGTCTCTTAGGACTGTTGAAAAAACTACTTGCATAGTGAAAAGTGGGGGGCATATGAGGCACACACCTAAGCGTTCAAATCTGTCGTCTGCTAAAACTACTCTAAACAAAAATGCAAAAAAAGCACCAATGTCACGTTTGCACTAACAGTGTTGAGCACCCACTTATACTTGCATTTTCTAGAGGTGAAAAAGATGTACACGCATGGAATTAAATGCCACGCATGGTAAGCATACACACGCTGAGAACTGTCCTGTCTGAGCGAAATGCCACCAATCTCTCAGCAGTTTTTTTTTTTTTTTTTTTTCCTTGGCACGTATGCTTATCATGCATGCCCAGTACCATGACCAGAGTAACACTGAAAATGATGGAATGGCAGTGTCCAGACACCCACGAGTTATTTATCGATACCATTATTCTAAACATGAAATATAATAGGAGTGGCACAATAATGAAGCACATTAGAATCGGGGGAGCGTTAAAATTGAGCAAACAAGGCATATAAGTGCACTACGAGAAGGATTCCAAAGTACACGCCAGGCACATTACAGTACGAAGGAAAACCGGGCTAAGTAATTTTGCGGTATATAATGGTAACAACACCTAGAACTGAGAAACAAGAAATGAGGCACACAGATATAGCACCACGTACCAATTCAATGAATGGATGTATACAGCTATAATGCAAAGTTCCTTTGACATTCGAGGGCAGCCCTGAAAGGGAGACTCTACTCCATTTTTGTTTTTTAAGAATCGTTCAGCCTTTCCACTCTCGTGAAGAAAGAAGACCAGCGGAGATGTACTTGATACACTGTGCGCTCCTTCTTCGTCGCTGTCTGTTTTTCGCGCTGTCTCCTACGACGAATTCCCACCAACGCGCCCAACTTACCATTCTTCTATTATAGCTGGAAAGGTTGCCGGCATCTACGAGCGACGGCAGAAACCATACTGGTTGTGCGCTTGCCGCCATTGCTTATAGATGGCGATAGCTGTCCAGGTAGGTTGGTGTTGACATACACGGACACAATCCTGGGGAACCTAGCCCTTAACAGATCCGCTGTAAAAATGAGTCTCGCAATGTAAATATTGCATTTAAACAAAAAAAAATCTTTCTCTTCAACGAAGCTTTATTTTATGTTGTACGAGTAGTATTCAGGTAATTCAAAATCAAAATGTTTCTTAGGAGTTCGCGTCCCTTTAACGGATTGTCTCGAAAATCCTAACGTGGGCTTCATCTTTGATGCCACGTATTCAAAGTGCCTAAGAAGGCAATACACCGTGTTAGATGTCGGACATAACGGACACATTCATGGGGCCAGAGAACATTCGCCAGGAAGTGTGAACGTTGGACGCTGACCATGCCTACGGACGCTTTACAAAGACTCCTGTTGATACAAAAGCCCGCAGGAAGTGGGAGAAGTGTCCGCCGTGCTCTCACCTCTTTCCTGACCATCCTGAAGAAGGCCTTGGGGTCGTTGGGCTGCAGGATGGACAGCTTGTACTTGTGGCAGTCCGGCACGGCGTCCATCGTAGAGAACACTCCTGGCAAGGGAAAGACAAAGTGTCACCATGAAGCCGAGAGGAAAGACAATTTGCAGTTTTATTCCAGTCTGTCGATCGAAGAGTCATAAGCGGAATTTCGTTTTACGAGGAGTGCAGCAGACGCCAATTCCACACTCTGCCTTCTGGACACGCGACACCGCGTTCGCGTCACCGCATCCTCCTTGTGTAGATTTGTTTTTTTTCTCATTACTCTCAAAGCTTTTGCAGCTGGTGCGTCATCCTGGTCATAAAAGCAAAAGTTTGTGCTCCAGTAATACTCCTCCCCCCTGGGAACTGCGTGCTCCTGTCGGCCAGAGCGCGTGTGATAAGTCGACGCCGTTGCCACAGGAAAGTTCACAAAACACGAAGGCATTCGCCTGCCGTAAGAGTCGCTTTTCGGGTTCTGATTGAGACGACAAAGCAACGCACGACCACACACTACCTATGCGGCACATGGCGCAGTTAATGTAATGCACAGTTAACTAGATTAACTGTGGCATTACTCGACACATTCCATACTCTATTTCACCACAAGTGTGAGTTAATGCGGGTGAAGGAAATACAAACTCGTGCTCCGGGCTTTTAACGTCCCTGTCGAGCAAGCGCTCTTGCGCAGCGCGAGCCAACGTTCGTGCAAGTATTGTTTAGGGCAACGTGCTCGTGCTTGTAGCTTCTCTTTTGATGCATGAAGTGAAAAAATTTAACAGTCCCACGTTAATCCATGGTACAGTCGCATCCACGCACCGTGGGGGGCGTGAACAAAGGTGTTTGGAATAACATTGACATCCGACCATTTTGTCCCCAATGCTTTTGTTTCTTCTTTTTTTTGTTCTGGGGCATGTAAAAGCACGTCTCCCGGGATGAGCCCTTGGCGTTGACGGTGCTACAACACTTTTGTTATCGGCCTTTTTTTTTTTTTTTTTTAGAGAGACATTGGGTACTACGAAAACTCCAAGTTTAGAGCGGGAAGTTAACGGCGTGACGCAGCTCTGTGGTAACGCCTCTGCCTCGCAGGCGGCGAACCTGGGTACAGTTCCCGCGGGCGATGAGCTATCTCTTTCGAGAATTTGGCAACGTCGACGACGGACGCCCTACATCGCCAACTACATCGTCGTCGACGACAACTACTACAACGTTAACAACAAATGTCACTTCCAGTGATGGGAAGGGCCCATAACAGCTATCGCCACAAAAAGCACTAGACAAGATTCTGGAACGTAAAAGTGGCCTTCAATGCTTGTTGCACAACAATGTCTCGACCAACGCGCACAACAACAAATCTTCTGCGAGCACGCGGATACCTTTGAGATGCACGACCGCTTCTGACGGAACTACCACTTGTCAAAAACACGGTGCGATGGCTGTGTGACCAGCTGCGCAAAGAGAAACTGCGATCACTATGACCGTCGAGCGGCAAGTACTAATTGCGCTGAAAGTTTGCTCAACGAAGAGATACCAAGGCACAGTCAATACCGATGAGCAGGTCGCTAGTGCCTGGTCGACGGCCACTAGACGTGCTCAGCCGCAACAATATTACACAATCTATGCATCTTTCCGCAACAATATTACACAATCGAAACATCTTTATTCGCTAAGCTAAGCATTCTAAAAAAGGGCAGCGGTACAACTGTCTTCTCATCTCGACAACTTTTCTGTCGTTGTGCTATCGGCATGCTACTGATCGACAGACAGCACACTAATTCAGTTTCAGGCGAGATGCACAAACAAACCTCTTCTGGAATGCTAATTGCTTGCTTGAGTTTCAAATCAAATTGTTTTTACCCACTGGATGAAGCACTGTTCAACTGAAAAGGGGCGGCGGTTCGACTGCTCCCTTTGTTTGAATGTTTCTGTTGGCGCAGTCATTTTGTTTGGAGATGTGACGTCACAGAGCGCAAAGAAGTCACTAGCCCTCAGAGAAAAACTCAGTGCATAAAGAGCGCGAGTCTTACTCTCCAGCCACTGCTCCAGTCCATTTAGTGAACGGAGTAACCAACTTTCATACTCTGGAGCACAAACTCGACACGCCCACTATACAGTCCAATCGATTTAAGCGACACTACCGAGTCCAATCCAAGATGGCCGGCAGAGTGGCGAGGGTGATGCTTACCTTGACCCTTGGTTTCCTCGTCGTTTCCAACTGGCGTCTCTGCCATTTCTTCCACTGGCTCCACCACGGGTTCCTCCACCGCCTTGCTTTCGGGGGCGTCCGGCTCCGCAGCCGGATTGGTAGCCGGATCGCTGGCCGCTATCTCTAGCTCGGCGGGAGACATGCCAAAGCGAACCTGCGAAGTGGAACAGTCGTCATTCGCACATCCGTGAATTATCACAGTAATTATGATTCAGCTATAGCTTAGCTGTACTTCGAGGAGTCAAGTGAAGATTGAGAGTTGCTGGCGCACTTCAGTAGTGCACAGTAGGAGTGATGCCAAAGCTGAGCTCAAACTTTAAGCCTTCGCTGTGGTAAATTTTAATGTGAAACTAAGTACTGCAGACACCGGTTATAACAAAGCCAGTTATAATGCGATAGCAGCTACAGCGAAGCGATCGCAATTTCCCATTCTTGTTTGCCCTTTTTCAATATATTTGGATCTGTGTTTAGCGAAGAAAATTAAGTAACTCCCGCAAATATAGCGAAGAAAAAGTTTTGGGATAATTAAAAAAAAATAATCGAATTCATAAAAGTTTTTTTAGTTGCAGATTGCCAACGATTGGTGTAATCTGAGCTAGTTGGTTACTCATTATGAAAAAAACCAGCTGAACTAAGGAAAAGGTAGAGATAGAAATAGAGGGGGTCAACATCTTGTAAAATAAAATGTAAAACAAAGGGGAAAAGGGGGGAACGAAGTGAATTATGCAGAAGGAGAGGAAGAGGATGAAGAGGAGGTTTATATATAAAAACAGTTGGTAGTCCAGCGATCGGGTGTCTTTCTTTCTATCTCTACCTTTTCCTTAGTTCAGCTGGTTTTTTTCATAATGCAGATTGCCACACTTTGCTGCCGCGGCCAAGCAGCCACCCAGAACGGGCCGCAGACGTGCTGCGAGGCATCCGTAAACAGCCTCTCCATCGTCGTCAGTTCGTTGCTCTTTGTCTGGCAAGTGGCTTTTCCGCATCGCACAGGGACAAGCTGTTGTGGCACGCCAATAGGGGGGTTCAAGGAGAGAGCCTAGATGTAAGAAAAAGAGATACTCCCACCGTGGAGAGCATTTGCAATTTAATGGCGTACACCTCCTGGGCAGATTGGTGCAAGTGCGCCTGCATTTGGTTGTCGTGGCATGCCACGACGAAAAGAGGAAACCGGGCAGAGAGGCAGACGTGTTTGCAGACGGTGAACGCTTTCGGGTTTTGATTCCTTGCAGGTTGCATCTCGTCTTGCAAACGCAGCCCACAAACCACGTGGCCCCGATCAAGCAGTTAAACGGTCAAATTTGGGGGTTTTACGTGACAAACCAACGATGGGTGTCTGGCACAACCCAGCAGAAGACTGAGGATTAATTTTGACCACCTGGGGATCGTGCCATCCTCGATGAAGTGTGCATAAACGTAAAGAAAGTCGTCTACCGCAGGAGTCCTCCGCGGCGGTTGTCGCAGCTGTCGACACAGTCCATAGGTGGCTTGCAGTATCTCTGGTGGCATCACGTTGCCTCCAAAAGTTTCCTACATGCGTGCTCACAAAGGTCACCTTCGTTGTCTGCTACGACCGAATGTACTTCGAGGGCATCTTTTCGGCGCAGCAGACGGCGCTGCATGCTTTCCAAAAGGTCTAGCGGTGCTCCGCTAATAAAACGCAAGCTACGGCCAAACGCCGACGCAGCATTCGGCCAAGTCAGACGAGCCCGGCGTTCGAAACGCGGATAATTAATGTTGGGGTTGTCCCCGTGCATGTAGTTGTCAGCTTAGCCACTAGGGGCGCGACAGTTGTATCTTCTTTCCGACAACGACAAACCCCCGGAGAGGGCGGGCTCCCACCTGCACGTCCTCGTGTGCCTGGAGCAGCCTGGCCTTGATGATGGTGCACAGCTGCTGGCAGATGTTGCGGGGCTCTAGGGACAGCCCCCCCTCCAGGCGGCAGCTCATGCTCGTGGGACGCCGGGGCACGGGAGGGACCTCCACGCCCCGGGGCGCCGCTGCCGTGGCATCCGGGGGCGCCTCCTGCGCCCGGAGGAACGTCCCGGTAGTTGCGGACGCCGGACGCGGGGATGGCTCATTAAAGAGGATGCTCGGCCCTAACACGGCGCAATTACCGCCACAACAAGACTACCGTTCCACTGCACTTAGCCCCTCAGGTGGCGGGAATTTTTCCCGCATGCCGAACGCGAATTTCGGTTTCAGTAACACTGCAGCATTTCTTGTGAAGAATATTTACCGAGGACATGCGGATTAATGAACGGAAACTAATCGATGTCTGCTCTTTGACTACAACCGATGATATATTTTGCGCATTGTTCTTTTCGAGGCACACTACTATACGGTGGCATTTCGATTTTGCACCCCGAGGTCGCTCTTTTGAGCGGCCTCGCTCGACCTTTGTTTGTTCCGAACTGCAACTTCCATGTTTTCACAGGTGTGAAATACCGAGTTCATTAGTAATTTCTACATCTCCATGTTCGCCATAAAGCGCGAGGTTCAACGACATAGATTCGCCACTTTGTAACAATAAAGGACCACATTGAAACAGAAGTTACCTAAACCAAAAAATTTTATGTATCGTCAAAACGTGACACCACAAGATTGAACATTGCTTCTGCTGCTTCCTCGTACATGCTATTACACATTAAAAAAAAATGTCAGCCCAGTTGAATAGAGCAGGGAGCAAACTAAAACCGAAACCCCACGGGAACGTGCTCAAGTATACTCGGGCGTGGCACTCGAAGGATTAAGGTTTGTCCATAAACCTTTTCTGTGTACTCTCACCTCCAACCACCTAATAGGCGTATCCGGTATGGGCGACGAAAAAAATAATCAAACGTTTGAACCTGCAAACAGTAAAAAAATAATGGGGAGGCAAAACGAGAAACTGTGACGGTTGTATCCTAAATGCCTTCTATTGGCGTGGCTAAAGCAAAACAGTGTTTTCGCCCATACTGGAAGTGACGTCAATTCAAGATGGCGGCGCACTTGCAGAAAATGTCTATACAAGCAGTGCAGCTCTGAATCAATGCTGTAATTAGCACAGAATTGAGTGATGATTTATCACTGTATTTCCTCCACTCATCACTGTGGTTTCTTCCTCAAAACTTGCGATGCTCCGAGGTAGCTCACCGTGACAAGATAAATTTCACGCTGGTCACGAAGGCGCTATTAGTGCCGAGCCCTACCCCATCAGCTGTCGCAGTGAGGTAGTATCACACCAAGAATTTCTATTTTTACAGCAAAGCTGCTTATGGCTAAGGTTCTGTGGATTTTTTGTGTGCAGCGACTAAAAACTCTACGCTCGCACCACTGCACGTGCACGCCTTTCCCGTATAAAAGATGCAAACTAAATAACCAAAATAAAGCGTTGACGAACGCGTGTGCAAGATGCCATTTGTTTTAGGCTCTTGCCTAAAACAAAAGTTTTAGGCAAAACAAACAAACAGTTACTGCTGCAGATGCCGGCATGTGCGGCGTGTGTAACACCATTCCCTGCATTCTCCTTGATGCTTGGGTAATTTAGCAATAGGTCTATTCAGTAGATTAGTTATCGATAGGCACCATTTCCAGGATCAGTAGACTCTCAGGTAGATAATAAAGGTTTCTCAAAGATTTGCTGCCATGCGACCAGCGTCGGCCATGTTGACGGTCGCACCGCCCTCTCTTTGTCGTCATTCCAAGCGCTTGCGTGCTTGCGTGCTTTCCTTCTGCAAAAACATTCTTAAGTGTTCCAACTTAGTAACATAGAAGAGTGCCGCGTACATATGTCTGTGTGCACAAAACATTGTGGCAACTGAAGCCAAAGAAAAAGCTAAGAATCATACTCTACTAGACATAAAGTTTTTATACTATGTTTATTCTTATACACTGTCACAATTGAACATTATTTTGTTGTTTTTTCCCACTTGCACGGTTCTGATTTTGCAAGTTTTAGGGAAAACGGGACATTTTGTTTTGTTGAGCCAAAATGACGAGACGGCTGAAATGAACTTATAAAAGGGGACTGTTCCAGCCAGAACGAAACATCTGATCATCCCAACACTGAAAAATGTATGTGAACTTGAGTCCACCTCATACCAGTAGTGTAGCCGTGGAGTGGAAGCTGATGTTGCTGAAGAGTTCACCCCCTCCCGAAATAAAGCCAGCCCAATATTATATGTATGCACGGTGCCGTCCACCCACCCCCTCCCTAAAACCTCATTCACACCGGCAGTTGAACTGCATTTGCAAAGCAGTTGCAAACGTGGCAGCTTAAAGATTCGGTTCCATTTCATGATCCTTTCACAACGAAAATGTGTGCATCCGCTTTGTGGTGGCGATTCGAACGCTAGTGTGGATACAGCATTAGTCGTAGGGGCACCCAGCCATCCCAGTACCCCCCCCCCCCCAACCTCATCTTGCGACTGGTCCGTACCTATATGTGGGGTGTTTATTTTTAAGAAGCCTTAAAAGCTACACTAATGCAGTCTGTGCAGGTGAATAAAACGGACAGGGGTGCATAACACAGAGGACAAAACATCGCAATAGCCGGAATTTGTTTATTATCTTTTTAGTCAGAGAAAATAAACATAAGGTTCCAGTTAGAAACATGCCGAGCGTCATCAAAAACCACTAAGTCACTAAACTTTAGAAAGACTGAGTGCAAGGGAAGTGTGGTAGTGTGCTAAAGTTACCACCATTGGAACCATATGTTTATCTGCACTAATTAAAAAAATTAACTAACAAACTTTAGTTATCCAACTTATCACGACGATTAGCCCCAACATTGTCTCCCTAACCGTATAACTCGCCTGCGCAGGCTGCATTAGTGTAGCCTTCACGGCCTAATTAAAAACAGTCTGTAAAGCCCAAGAAAACCAATTCTTATACTAGCCAACAAGGCTCGTTGTTGGCCCAGATGGTGCACGGTGCAGGGGAAACTTGCATGCACAAAGCAAAGTCGAACATGAAGAAGGCTACACAGGCAAGTGCTACTTTCAACTAGACTTTCATCTATAATGGCTAAGAACTGTTGAAAACATGTGAAGTGATCCTCTGGCAATGCCCACCTGCAGTTCCTCGCTGGCTGCATTGTCCTCGCCGTTCACTTCCGAACCGGCGTCGCTCCGCAGCGACGCAGCGGCCGAATCCAAAGACGCCGAAAACAGCCGCATGATCTGGTCGGACACATGCTGGGAGCTGCATGCACCAGCCAAGCAGTGGGCACCGTATTTATTTACTCTCAAGGTCGTACGACAATACAGAGGGCAGTGGACAATAAAAAATAAAGAATATGAGAAAAAAAAAAAAGTCATGGATCCACAGAAAACAAAAAGTTGGAGAATTTTCGAAAGTACTGGAGCCACGAATGGTTGCAATTTAGCGGAGGAAATGGCCCCATCCTACAGAAGTGCGAGGGACGAATGTGTAAAAAACGACATTTGTTTGACACGAAAAAACGCTAACCTCGTTTCGGTGATCTAAACGAGCAGAAATATAGGTGGTAAATAGGTGACGGCGTAGGGAGTAACGACAGCAAATTATGCGAAAGAGGCATAAATGACAGTGCTGTCTTTGTAAGGCAAGATTTGCAGTGATAATGAAAGCTTCACAGAAGTGCTTAAAGTGTCAACACTTCATTCCCCAATTATCTTGCGGGAGCCACCATTGTGTTACTTAGTCTAGAGCGATTGGCGATGGTTTCGATAAGAAAATGTGACTTCTGGGGGGACAACAGTGCTTCTAGAGCTTTTTTTATATATAACTTGCGATCCAATTCAAATTCAAACCACAAATATGTATACCTGGCTTTGATGCGGTCAAATTAGTTCTTGTAATGTTGAAAGTCTCAGTGCACAGATTATGGGAAGAATTAAAAAAAAATTGAAATACTGAAATAAAAAAATATACATATATCAATAAAATTAAACGTCTGTGAAACCAAATAAGATACAAATGAAACCTCTACTATGATTTATAGTTTTTTTTTAACAACATATTTTAATTTCCCAGTTTTGACATTTTTCTTACTGGATAAAGTATCAAAGGCATCTAAAATAACCCTGATGCCATAATTAAGTTATTTATACCCCCTGCTCGCACAAACACCTAGCAGAAAAGAAAAAAAAAATTTATGAAGATAAAACGTGCACAAGTGGAGATATGGCTTCCATAAAATAGCAGAGTGTCTAAATAATTCATTCTGAAAACTATAGCAAACAAACATGCACAGAATCATTACACTATGTTTTCAAGGTAATATTTCAAGACAAGAGAGACTTGTTTCACGAAAATGCTTCAGCACGGGATAACAAGTGTCTGTCAATCTTCAAAAACACAAGATCAAAAACTTGTTTTTTTTTAGTATGTTTTGCCTCAAAGAGCAATGTCCAGCTAAGGTGTCAAGAAGCCTGGGCTATACAGTGTAATCCACTTATAACGATACCAGATATAACGATATATCGCTTATAGCGATCAAATTTTTTAGATTTGATCGCTATTTTTTTAGATTTGATTTGATCCAGATATAACGATAATCGGCTATAACGATTGGATTTTGCGGTTTTCTCAATATCGTTATAAGTGGACTGCACTGTATATACAAAGTGATTTTCTAAGAGTGACACTAATTAAAAAAAAAAAAGTTGTGAAAGCTAAACTTAAAGGGCAACTCCGCTCAATTCCGAAGATTTCGGCATAATGATTGATTTAGAATTAAAAAGCCCTAGTAAAACACACTACGTCGTTTGCTTCGCGAAAAATGGGATATATATTTTTAAATCTAATTTTAAACACGAGCGGAAATCGAAACCGAAACTTCGGCTCCGCCCGGCAACATTGGCCTCGGGTCGCCAAGTACATGGCCGTCACGGGGTACGAGATGTCACGTGATCCTCGGCCCAACGACGGGCGGGATTGGGGCGGGCGCGTGGCAGGCGCGAGTGTCGTCTGCAGAACACTCTTTGCCACGTTTTGGTGTCTACGGCATTTAACGATGTCTGCACAACTGCGGCATAAGTCTGCGCACGTGGTGTCCGTAGTGTGGACGAAACTCCGAGAGACAATAATCACAATCGGTGAGACGACGACGGCGGCTGTGACGCGGAAGACGGCGGTAACGGCGGGACCACGGCGGGCGGCCAGACGGCTCCCAAGAAACGCGCTGCGCAGGCGCGTTACTCCAATCACGTGGACACCGCTCAGCACCGAGAGGCAACGTTGCTGACGCCATGCGCTACGCTCGCCCGGAGAAGTGAAAACAAGTAAAAGGGGGCCATGATAATGACGTTTAGCTCAATGTTGGCTCCGCCCATGACGTAGCCTTGACTGCGCTGTTGGTTGCGCTTGAATTCGCCCGCTCAAGTCAGCCGATTTCGGCACCTTGGCGAGTTGCAAAGTTTGCCGGACCGTTTAAGAAACATTTAGACAGAACTGCGTCGTAACATTTCACGTGTGGTCTTCCTAGGCGATACTGAAGAGGACTGCATTGTTTTTTCAAAACCAAAAATGAAGCGGAGTTGCCCTTCAATGATGATAAGCGCTGCATGAAAGGAGCAGCCCGCGACCAACCTGTTGATGCGTCCCCTCTGGCGCAGCCTGTCCACTAGGGACTGGAGGCAGCGCTCCTGGAAGTAGGCCGTGCCCAACAGCTGGTCGAAGGTCCTGCATGCACGGGGTACGGCGGGGACATGTTTGAGGATCCCCGGCCCACCTGGCGCAGGCGGCGAGAGACGAACGTAGGAGGAAGGAGGGAGCGAGAGCCGCTCACTTGCAGTGCCGGTAGAGCTCCAGTAGCTTCCGTATGACGAAGCAGGATTGCTGCGTCGGGTTCTGGGTGAACATCTCCTCGAGGCGGGCCATGCTCAGCCGCAGCAGTTCGATCTGGCCCTGCATCTTGGTCCGCAGGGCCTGGGGGTCCAGGCGCTCTGCGGGCGGCGCCGCCGCCGCCGCCGCCCCGTTGGTCGTTTCCGAAGCCGGTGGCTCCGCCTCCTCTTTCGTGTCGGCCGGGGGCGGGACCTCGATGAGCTCCGCCTCTTCCGTGATCACGATCCTGTCCGGAGAGGTCCTAGAAGACGACGACAAAGCACTTCACTTTTGGCCTCTGGAAAAGGCGTCTACGACTCGGGGTGGCCGTGGGTTGCTAGAAATACCGTAATGACTTAATGCCATTCGCACACTTGCGATTCACTTACGACCAGGTGCCTCAAAGCTTCTTGGGATCTCTTGCGACGAGAAAACAAAGATGGAGCCATCTATGGTTGCTGTAGAACACTCCGTATTTTCCTACTATTTCCTTTTCTTTTGCGCATCATTCTTTTATATTTAGCTCAGAAATGTTTTGACAATGTTATAAACGACCATATCTCACGAATACGGCGTACATTTGACCTTGCAATTACTGCGAAACCTTCACTCTAGTCAAATGCAGTTTCAGGGCCACCTCATAAGTGGCACCAGCGTGATCTCTACTCTCAAGAGAGGAATTGGTCATAAGCAAACACAAGACTGTGAACCGGCCTTCTTATTTCGAGACGACTTCATTTTTGCAGAACCTAGGAAATAAAAACTAGACCTTTCCCAAAATGCAATACAATCTAGAGTCACCGACAATAAAACGCAGAGCGTGGCGAATCCTGGACGCTATCGCCTCGCAGCCAATCGCGTCGCGTTATCAGCAGATAAGAATGCCAAGGAACGAATTACAAATCAAGGAACACAATCACACGATCCCACCCTGCGTTGCTTAGAATGTCACCGACGATAGTGGCTCAATTGGTGGTCCAAAAGTTGGTCTGTACTTTTGCATTTGAGTCAGATCGACCGCATTGCAACTGCCTGACATCTCTGACGACAGAGACCACACTGGTGCCCTCTATTGGGTAGTCCTGGAATACATCGGATTTGTGCATAATTTAGACTGAAGGTTTGGCAGCATTTGCGACATCAAATCTGTGCACCAACTACGAGAAATGGTCTCTTATATTGTCGTCAGGATTATTTCAAGCACACGATACGGACTTCCCTTATATGTGTACTCTTCCCAGACTAAGACAAGATGGAAGACGACACAGCTGGCGAAAGAATAAAACCCCCATTATTTCATTTCATTTATTATCCCTTAAAGGCCCCGCCAGGGGCATTACCTAAGGGGGGGGCAATACAAAGAAGCACACAAGTAGAACTTTTATACAATAAAAACAAAAAACAAAACATAGAAACAAGATGTGGCTGAGCACTGGCCATAGGTAGGAGCATCGCACTGATTACATATTAAATATAGACGATACAGCATGTCTGAAGAGGTCGGGGTCACTGATGAGCACTACACGGTCCGGTAGATTATTCCACTCTGGCAAGGGGAAGAAATGAGTTGTTAAAGGTGACAGTGGAACCATGGATGCGACGTACACTAAGGGAGTTAAAAGGTCGTCGGGATGAACGATGCGGTTCTAACAGTAGAGACTGTCTGAGTAGAGGTTGGTAATAAAAAATCTTCTGGAAAAGACAGATGCGTGATATTCTTCAGTGAGAAATGAGAGTGGGGAGGCGTAAGGAAGCCCTCATGGCCGACACACTGGCAGTGCGTTCATAATTAGAAAGAATGAATCGGGCAGCACGATTCTGAATAGATTCTAAGGTGTTAGTGAGGTAAATCTGGTGTGGGGACCAAATGGCAGCAGCATACTCAATCTTCGGACGCACAAAAGTTTCGTAGGCCAGCTGGCGCAAAGCTGGAGGGGCCGAGTGTAGACAACGTCGAATGTAACCAAGCGTTCTGGAAGCTTCAACATGTATGGAGTCAATGTGGAGGGTCCAATACATAGGGGAAGAAAAATGAACGCCAAGGTATTTGTATGATTGAACACACTCAATTGTTGATGAGCCTAGAGAATATTTGAAAAGAGATGGGGAATGTTTTCGAGAAAAACAGACAAACTTACATTTAGAGTGGTTTAGTAACATTAGCCATTGATCACACCATTTGGTTATATTATCGAGGTCTTTCTGAAGAAGAAGGTGATCGGAGGTGCAATTTATTTGGCGATAAATGACACAATCATCAGCAAATAAACGTATGTTAGAGGTGATAGAATTTGGAAGGTCGTTAATAAAGATCAAGAAAAGAAGCGGACCTAGGACACTGCCTTGTGGGACCCCAGACAAAACATCGGTAAGGCTTGATTCTAAAGTGTTGACGACTGTATATTGGACTCTGGATGAGAGAAAGCTGCGAATCCAAGATACGATTAAGGGATCAATATTGAGTCGCGATAGTTTTGCGAGTAGGCGTAGGTGAGGTACCCGATCGAAAGCTTTCGAAAAGTCTATGAAGATGGCATCCGTTTGAGAGAGCGAGTAAAGGTTAGTGTGCAGGTCGTGAGAAAATTCAAAAAGTTGGGTGTCGCGGGAATAACCCTGGCGAAAACCATGCTGGTTTTGGAAAAAAAAGTTATTACAGGTTAGGTGATTCATAACGTTAGAGAGGATGATATGCTCTAAAAGCTTCGATGCAATGCATGTGAGCGATATGGGACGATAGTTATCAGGAAGGGATCGATCTCCGCTTTTGAAGACAGGAATGACCCGGCCAATCTTCCAGTCCGTTGGAACGCAGCCGTCTGACAATGACTGGTTAAAAATGAGCTGAAGAAATAAACAGGAGATGTCTCTCGTATTCTTCAGTATTTTCGAGCAAATTGTATCAGGTCCCGGGGCAGAAGATACCTTCAGTTTATCCATAAGATTAGAAATTCCAGATGCGGTGACAGTGATCGGAGGCATTTGGGAAAACGGAAGTAGAGGGAGGGAGGGAATATTATCTGGTGGCTCCGTTGTGAAGATGGAAGAAAAGTAATCATTCATTACTGACGGGGCAAGTTCGCCGACCACACCGACACAGTCCTTGTCAACTAGCTCAATGGACTGCATACTAGGATTGGGTGTAATCGTTTTCCAAAATTTAGTAGGGTTGGTTCGAAGAATGTTGGACAAGTCCTGATGAAAATACTTCTTCTTGAAAGTTTTAATTAATGCAGTGTACTCTTTTAGGCACTAAAAATACTTATTCCACACAGAAGGAGAACCACTAGCCTTCGCTTTTCGAAAAAGGCGCTTCTTTTTGTTATCGCTTGATTTCAGCTTTTTATTGTACCATGGTTGCCCAACATCTCCACGAATCCGCAGCAAGGGAACATGTAAGTTGATCAGATCAGTAACCTTTTGCTTAAATAACAACCAATTGTCTTCTACGGGCCACGACGAAAAAGAAGATAGAAAGACGTCAAAATAGATGGTGAGCTTAACATTAAAACCAGCGTAATCAGCTTTATTAAAATCTCGTATGACTTTAGACATGGGGGATTTAACTAGAACAGGCAGTGTGATCAATATATTCATTATTCTATGGTCACTAAGACCAGGCATGTAAATAGTAGATTGCACAAGATCGGGCGATGATACAAGGACTAAATCAACAATATTATCATCACGGGTAGGCTTGTCGATCATTTGACTAAGATTGAACAACATGCAAACGTCAAGAAAGTGCTTGGAATCACGTGACGTAGATGTGAGTTAGTGCCAGTTGATTTCAGGGAAGTTGAAATAACCGAACAGTAAGATTCGCTTTAGGAAATCGTATTGTGATTTCATTTAGGGCAGTATGTAGTTTATTAACAAAAGAACAGTCAAAACCTGGGGGCCTATAGCACACTGCAAGAAGAGTTTTGCTAAACTGCGATGAAAGACAAACAGAACATAGCTCGAGATCGCAAGATAGTTGAACGTAAAATGAAGGCATTTCTTTTTTTATGGCCACAAAAACGCCATTACCACGCTGCCGAGGCCGATCGCAACAATATATAAAAAAGTTCATGTTCGAATAAAAAAGCTCATCGTTGTTAACGTCCGGTTTTAACCAAGTTTCCGTAAATATAGCTATGTCGGAGTTGCAGTCGTCGAGAAGACTGCATATTTCATCTTTCTTATTCTTTCATCTTTCAAATTACTTGGGACTTTTATACTTGGTGCAGCAAACAGGATTGCTTGAATACCTAGTGTGGATACAGCTACGTTTGACTCAAGGCAAAGACAGACGACCAATTGTGGAGAGATACCGACTGGACAGCGAGGAACTAGTTCATCTAATTTAACAAGCTAATAACTCGGAGCTCGGAGCATTCATCTCCGGGACGTATCTCACCCTTCACTGCATGTGGAGAGATTCTGAGACTGCCTGCCGACCACCTTCTGAGTTTAGCCAAGATTACATTTCAAAAACAAAGATGGCTCCCACAACGACAAAAAAAATACCAATCAACAACAAAAAAAAATTACAACAGGCAACACTAAACTACAGTCCCAGATATCAAACCCGGCACTTACGAGGCTCCAAGGCTGTATTTTCTGGTCAGCTACATGGTCGCCAAGACATGCAGGCAACAAGTAATCCTGAAGACGCTGTACTACAGTCTAAGCTCGTTATAACAGACCTTGATTTTGACCAACATTTCGGTCTGTTATAAGAGGAGTGTGTTGTATGCAGATATGAAGTGCAGTCAATGGTATGTAGAGGAAAACGAACCAAACTTCACAATCCCTATGTTATATCCAAATGTCTGTTGTAACCAGGTCTGTTGTAATAAGCTTAGACTGTACTTGGAACGAAACGACACTATTGAAATGACTGTTCTTAGGAACTTAGTTCCATATGATCCCGGGATGGCTAAGGACAAAAGTCCAGGCATGTGTACTGTTCCCCGACTGAGAGGAGAAGGAAGATGACGATGAGGTAGATGGGCGACAACGAAGCTGGTAAAAGAAGAAAAGAGTCATTACTTTTGTGATCTACATGCGACCTTCATCATAAATATAGTTGCCGACTGATTTTTCGGACACGTCCGATTATTCAGACATTTTCGCAGAACCATCAATTACCCCATAGAGTTAGTGCATTACATTGACCGAAATTTTGTACGCCATAAAGCTTATTGCTTGATATTTCGGACACAATTTGTCCGATTTCTTCAGTTTACAGTCACAAAACAGCGCCACAATAGCGCCGCAAGTTTAGTCACTGCCATATTGGTTGTTTTGATTTTGTCCTCTAGCCTCAACTCCATGTCCTACGCAATAAACAATCTGGGTTGAGGCTATAGTCAAGTTTACCAATTCTGCTATAGCCAACATGGCCGCCGCCTGCTTATTCTTATGGCTTTTCCAGTTCTTCTCGTGGTCCGTGCTTTTCGAGTGCGACCGCGAGAAGAGCGGCCGTCTGCTGTTCGTGTGGTCTTTGAGCGCGAAGGCGTTTTGCCGATGGGCTTAGTATTGAAGCCAGCTTGGCAGACAAAACGTTGTCACCAAATACAGTATAGACCACTTACAACATAACCGCTTATAGTGCAAGACCGGGTATAACGCAGCTTTTTTAAACCACCGGTTCGCCTCCCATAGAACTCCATGTAATTACATACCGCTTAAAATGCAGGCGCACGAAGGGAAATACCGGTTATAGTGCGGTTTCTGAAACAGCCCGCCGACCGCGCCGACCGGCGCAGCGAGCATGCTTCCCTGTGCGACACTAGATAACCAAGATAACGGCGCTAGCCGCAAGCGGCACTCGCGGCGGGGCAAGGAGGTTGCTCGAAGAAGCGGGGAGAAGCGAAGAGAGAAGCTTATGTTGCCATAGCGACCGAGGGACGCACGCACGTGTCGTTCACGTGCGTGCGTCCCTCCGCTGCGTTGGAAACAAACAACCGCAACGACAGACCAATCCCAAGTCGAGGAGAAGTGTTCGCGCGCGTTGCATGCCGGTCGCGGGGCAGCTTCTATTCGCAAACATGGCTTCGGTTGTGATCGTCGACGTAGACGGCGTGGTGGAAGCTCATCGTTCCGCGTAAAAGTGCTATCCTTGACTGTGAATTTTCGTTGTGCATCGCTATGATAACCCAGCACGTACCAGAAAGGAAGATCCACATACTCGTGCAGCGATGTCGTGGCGGCACTCTCAAGACGACAGAAACGCCCGTGTCGTCGTGTTTGTTTACTTCGACTACAGTGGTGATTTCTAAGCATTTGTGTTTTCGAACATCGCCCGGATTTCTTATCTGGAGCATTTCATGCCTGTGCTCAAGTTGAAGGTATTACTGGCGCGTACTGTATAAAGGATGCAAATTTTCACGCGTTTTCATCACCGGAGAAAAGTCCTTAGGGTTAGCAATCCTGAACGCTCACAACGTCCGTCCGCAACCCGCGCCGCCGCTAGAAGGCTGCACCAGGCAAAAGTCGCTCATTTCTTTGAAAATGTGTGACACTTCAGAGAGAAGTGTACTAGTCTGGTGAAATAAAGACTTTCCTCAAACTAAGCTTTATTTTTCATCTAATATAAAATCAATTGTTTTACAAGGGTCAGTTGTCTCATGGCATGTATTTTGGCCTGAAAAGTTTATGTTTTGGTTATAGCGCGGTACCGCTTATAATTCGGATTTTCGTGACTCCCGCGACATACGTTATATGCGGTCTACACTGTAGTGCCAAATGGCGCCAACTTCAACTTCGTTGTTTGTGCCAACGAAGGTGGCAACAAAGTGTGCAGCACCGTGGTCAAACAGATCAACAAACAAGTGAAAAGTGAACAATATAAAGCGGAAGTTGCACGAGAACTTAAAATTGACATCAAGCAAGTGGAACGTGGCCAATACGCAGTGGAATATGCGCGGAAATTTGATATCTTGGGGGTTGAAATCGATTTTCCAGACCATTTGATTATTTGGACAATTTTGGGGTCCCCTCAGAGTCCGAAAGATCGGTCGGCGGCTGTATCATACGTAGATCGGAATTGTTGCACGTCTATGAGATAGATGGTGCCACTGTGTTCTCTCATCAGGAGGAGTTACGAGCAGCTGCGACGCAGTCAATCCCTCTCAAACGGAAATCTGCAAACCAGCTTGCACTTTTGCACGCTAATGGCAATACTAAAATATTGCGTTTCATAGGGTGCCGCAACTTTCGTGTAGCAACAGCAGATGGGAAATTGTCCTCCGCCATACAGCTCTTTCTCAGTTCGTTCAAGTTTCAATGCTGACAAAGAAACTATCCCTCTGTAGGAAGTGCTGACCCGAGTAAAGTCATTGATAAAATTTAGCGCATCGAGTGGTTCTTGGGTAGAGCGCGAGACAAGCAATCGATTAGATGCATGTCTGAAACGAATGCTGACGCAAAGCTTATACCAGATGTGTGCCTCATGTTAAGCTAACATCATGAATGCATGGGCACCATGTTACCTGCTTCGGCACACCATAATAGGACCCCTGGAATGAGACTCTGAGCGCATTACCAAGAAGGCAAGTCCCGCGCCTTTACTATAGATCCTTATCGAAGGGAAGGTCCATCTGAGACCGTGGGGAGCATTTGCAATTTAATGGCAGAAGCATCCCGCGGAGATTGGTCGCAAGTGCGCGTGCGCCGTGTTTTTGCGTGGCGGGGAAGAAAGCGGGTGGAATGGCGGACACGTTTGCAGACAGTCGACGCCTTTGGCACCTCCTCGCAGCTCGTATTGCAAACGTGGCCCATAAATCGCACTACCCCAATCAAGCGGTTGAAAACTCTCCGTAATACGGGCTCCCTAGACTTTACCAGGCCACGTAGCACCACCCAGTTTGCATCGGCGTCATGGACAGTGCACGTGGCAGCGTCTCCAAAACGCACGCGTCTGCCACTTTGCGTCGGCTCTCGCCAAGCTTCGGCACGTTTGCCACTCCGGGCAGGTCGGGGATCCACTACCGACGATGTCGTGCGCAGACCTCATCTTCTAAATGGCTACGAGAAACTTGCGATGCGCATTTCATTTGCCCGGAATGGTTCTAAAAGTACCGCGTTCGGGCAGACAGGGTAACATGCCGCTCGAGAGTCGATAGATTGGAAACCCTTTCCTAAACCGCTTCAAGCAACCTTTGAGTCGCCTCCGACGAACCGTTTGACTTCTGTAGGAGAAGGAGAACTGTAGGAGAACTAGAATTAGTGAAAGAACATAAAACATTAGGTATTATATTTTCAGATAACTTACAGTGGGATAAACACATAAACCAGGTCGTCAGCAAATTATGCAAAATTGTAGGTGTGCTTGCACGTTGTCGAGCCATTCTCCCCGAAAAAATAAAACTACAAATATATCATGCATTATTTAAATCCCAAATATCCTATTGCCATCTCGTTTGGGGCACGACCACAAGGACAAATCTGAACAGAATATTATTACTACAAAAAAAAGTTTTGCGCTTTGTTGGAAACGTTCATTTCTTAGCCCACACAGAGGCTCTATTTTCACAATACAAAATTATAAATATACATCGTTTTTATGAGTACCTTTTGACTCGATCATTTCTTTTTTCTTCCCCTGAATCTATTAATTTTCTGAAACAGACATCGGGATTAATCAAAAACATACCCACCATCTGCACCCGCTACTCCGAGGAATGGAAAGTGTTTCCGTTTCGCACGAACTACAGTTACCAGTCTTTAAAACATAATCTACCCTCATTGCTAAACAAATATTGCGTAGATGACGTGGACATCTACAATATAAACCCTAAGTCATTGTACTTACTTTTTGTATAGAGCTGTTTTCGTTAACCTGTGAAACCTAGGTCTCTTTTATATATGTATTTTACGTATTGCTGTAATCTCTGCAGTTATTTTTGTATCGCCATAGCTGTCTGCCAAGTGCACGGGGCCCGGACCCCGTCAAGTCAACATTTGTTGACTTTTTGTCCGTGGCTCCGGCGTCTGTAACCCATACGGATGCAAAAATAAAAATTATTATTATTATACCGTAACATCCAGAGAGATGCCCCACCCCCAAAAGATAGCCTGCCCCCTATTTTCGGCCCAATTTGCTATTTTTTCCTGAAACATTGAAAGATAGCCCACGTCTAGTAATTGCAGGGCCCTGGACGACGGTGACCTCGGCAGAAACAGAGTTACTTCACCACGGCAGGAGATGAGCGAACATTGCCGACTGTGAAGGACAGTCGTCTTTGGTTCATCACCTTTTCCTGTGATCTCAAGATTCAAGGGTCACAAACTCTAAAATCAACATTTAAAAAAACAAAAAAAATTTCTTATGGCACATTGAACGTTAGTTTTCCCCTTATTTTAATCCAATTTGCCATCAATTTTAGATGGGCTAATCTCTCGGGACATGACGGTAGTGTCTGGAACGAGTCTTCGATCAGAGCGTTCAAAGTTCTATCAAGCCCACCGGGCGGAAGTAAAGGGACCACTTTCGAGGAGGTGGAGTTCCCCGTGCACGACCCCAAAGTCCACTCACGCCTGGTCGGGGAGCGACCTCTCGGACTGGGTCTCCCAGGAGTCCTGAGAGTCGTCGTCGCCGTCGTCCTCGTCGTCCCAGAGGTCGTCCGAGTCGTACTCCCCGATGCGGTACAGCTCCTGGGGGTAGCAGAGCGAGGTCTTGCCGCTCACCCACTGCACCTGCACCTTGCCCATCGGGTGCACGTCCACCACCTGCCCCGCCGTGGACTCGGACTCCCGGTCCTGGTTCCAGAGGAAAGAGAGGAGAGGGCCTTGCATCGAGCAACCACCACCGTTGGGAGCGGACGATTAACGTAATAATCTAGAACAGGGGTCGGCAACCTTTTGTTGCAGCGGGCCAAATTGCCGAAAAGCGGAGACGAAATGGGCCGGACGGAGAAATGAAAATGGGGGGGTGGGGGGGAAGGGTGAAGGGTTCTTCAGCCCATAGAAATGAAAGATATGAAATCTGTCACATACTCAAAGTGATGCGCCAAGATGTTCTCTCGATTCAGGCACACGTAATAACGTAAGATTAGTCGAGCCCCCTCTCTGTATGATTTTGGGCGTTCAATATCGCTTGCCAATAAGATTAAGAGTCGCTAAACATTTTGGAGGCGCTCAACTGACATTCGCAGGACTCACGTTTGACTTCACAACCTTCATCCTGAAGAAGTATGTTTGCAGATACTGTATACACGTGCTGCAGCAAACACTTCGATAAAGGCAGCTGCGAGATTTATTTAGGAAGGCCCGCGGAAAACTTAACGGGGTTGTTTACTGCAAGAGCATTTGCATTTGTAAAAATGTAGAAACTTTTCAACGTTTTTAACAAAATGCTTTACAAGCTGAAGATGGCGGCAGAAGGCGAGTCGCGGGCCAAGCGTGCCAACACTGAAAAGGAAGAGATGTCTGGACGAGGTCAGCGAGTTCAACTCTAACCGATTTATCTCAAGAACACAGACAGGGCTCACGACCAGGAAATCAAGGGCATACTTCCAGTGACAGGGTGGTGGTGCCATCAATGTATAAATAGTACAACTAAAACGAAAACAAATAAATACTACTTTCCTTTTCTTTAAGAAAAAACAAACAACTACACTTTCCCTTTCTTAAAAATATTTTAAGCATTATAGTCCCGTGGGTGAAATGTTTTCGAGCAATCTTTCTACACCTATTAAAGGCTTCATGGCTTCTGCGACAAAGCATCTGCATTGCTGTGCACATACCGAAAACAATGTCAAGGACGGTGGCTAGGGGGATCTTGAGGACGACATCAAGAACGACGTCACGGACAACCTCTAGGACGAGCTTTAGGCCGACGTCGAGGTCGACGTCCTACAGATCGAAGCCCAAGTACGGCATCTAGGATGAACTCTAGGACGCCTTCAAGGACGGCGTCTAGGACAACGCCGAGGAAGACCTCAAGGACGACAACAAGAACGACGTCTAGGACGACCTCAAAAATAACGCCAAGGATGGCGTCGTCCTTGAGCATACGATTAAGCGGCGCATGCTAACGACAGGCCAGCGCATACCTGCGTCCCCCTGCCCCCTCCCCCCACTGCGCCGCCAGCAGTTCGGCTGGCCCCTTAGCAACAATGACGCCGTTGCTTTGGAGCCACATGACGAGTTGCAACCAATGAGAATCTAGGTGCCGTCTTCAGTGGAGAAAACACTGGCTTCGCTCCATGGGCGTTCCGCACTAGTGTAAACATATTATGTAAGAAAACAAACAAAAAATGACAATACACTGAGGTAGGAAGCAACGAGAATATAAGAGTGCAAGTCTTGTTTGCTGGTTGTGTATCTCTGTTTATGTTGTTTGTGACCCCAGAGCTCCAGCACCGTGGTAAGACACCAGCTACGCCATTACATTGACGAAAAAATGTCCCCATCGAGGCTACGTCAAAGGCACAGACATAAAATCTCTAAGGCTGCTGTCACACTGCTAAAAGGGTGTCCAAACAGGACACTACAAAACTCACGACACCGGCAAATCGTGAAAATTGAAGCGGACGCTTCTATTTTTACGGTCTGTCGGAGTCGTGAAAATGTTTGCAGGAGTCGTGAAAATTTTTACGATCACGACTGCTCTCCTCTCCAGATTGACGTCACACGCCACCTGCGTATGGCTCACCTCGCCAACGCCTTCGCGTACCGCCGTCGCCTCGGCTGGAAGGCCAAGAAGGTCCGGCTTCGAGTGGATTTGGGACATTCCTGCGTCGAAGGGTGCGTTTCGCCCGCCTCGAATCTGCTTTCTTTGTCGAGATTCACTTTCGTCGTGATGGCGTCCGATGCGGTTCCGTATTGTGAGCGGAGGCCTTGAGCGATTGACCGACAGCCAACAGAGCGTGTGAGTGGCTCTCCGGACCCACGTGATAGGCAGAGTAAGGCCGCCGTGGAGGAAGCGACGGGGAGGTTTGACGGAGGGAAGTTTCCCCCCGGGAAGAATTGACGGAGGGAAATTTCCCTTTGACGGCCGGAAGCGGATCGCGGCAGAGCGCGGCACGATTTGCCGGAGTTGTGAGTTTTGTAGTGTCCTGTTTGGACACCCCTTAACACACCATACAAAAGACCTGCTGCAGATACTGTCCAAGGCCCATCTCTTGCTTGTATGACGTCAGACTGGTCGTCTGTCTGCAGCCATGTTCGGAGCATACAAATGCGCGAAGCAGACACGCATCGACACATGCTCGACCCCAGATAGCTCTGCTGTCGTGTCCGCTGCCGCAGTTAAAGAGCTGGCCCCATAAATGCTATGCATTAAAAAACAAAACCAAAGCTGGCAGCCAAAGCACGAGGCCTACCTCAAAGTTGGCGACTCTGATGACGCAGGACGCCGGCCGATACTTGAAGTCCGGGTGATCCTTGATGTCGTACACGCTCACTTCTTGTTCTCCCAGCTCCAGTGGACTGCAGAACATCAAATAGCATTCTGAGCACAGAACGCCGAGCACCGAGCCGTGTGGTTAGTGCGGCAAGACGACAGCACTTGCTTGATTTGCGGCGCGCTAGATCTCAGAAGCGGAGAACTCGTGTCGCCACCAAAGACAGCGCTGAAAAGCATTATCTCTCCCGACTGCACCCACAGAACGTCGATCGAACGCGATCGTAGAGCGCGGAGGCCCGCTTCAACACATCCGCGGAGCTCCCGGGCTCGCTGCACCATCTCGTAAGTGTAATCTAGAGACTGTAGTTTTGGCTTCCACGTAGTTGCTTTTCTTTCCGCGTGACAGCGATTTCTCAGCCTAATGTAAAACTGACAGCGTGTCGTTGTTAGTGACAGCGTTGTCTGCTTGCTCGGGCTCGGTGCGTGCTCGCAATCCTCGCAAATCCTTGATCAATCTTTTGGAGTCTGATGGCAGCTGTGGGTCTGATAATGAAGGCAGATCATTGTATTTCAGTTCCGATAGCGAAGATCAACAAAACCAACCTGTGCTTCACCAAACTGAGGAACTGCCTTGCCCAGTGGCACGTCAGTCACGAGGTTCGACTTGATTTTTGATAGCTCAAAACATTTCCGAGCTAGAATTCTAATTTTTGCGGACCTTTTTGTTGTCAAATTAAGAAACATTTAGTCTACATTTCGAAGCTTTTTGCTTTTGACGTGTAGACATATCTTTACCCGGTTTGGTTCAACTTTTAGAAAAGGCTGCGTTTGACCAATAAAGTTTTGCATTAGAAATCAAGTTTCTGTTTTTCACAATTGCATCATTCAAAACAACATTCATCTGGCTTCATTCCTATATATGGCATCATATTGTAAACCTCATAGTTTCCACGGGAATAATGTAACAAAAAGCCACACAAAACAGGCATTTCTCAGCAAGGCATGTAGTTGGGCTAGTTGGTGGTACATAATGTTTGGAGGGAACAGCGCAAAAAGGACGTAGGACGAGGTCGAAGAAACACACAGATAGGGCGCTGACTTACAACTGAAAGTTGTAAGTCAGCGCCCTGTCTCATTTTTCATTTCATACATTTCTCCCATGGCTAAGAAAGAAACAAAGAACACTTACTAATTCCCGTGATGAAAAAAAGCGCAAAAACACGAGGAGACAGAGGAGAGAGCACACAGGACAAGGCACTGACTATCAACTTTCTTATTCCGACGGGTAAACAACAGCGCAGGGACATGGACAGAGTAGAAGACGGAAGACAAACACGGCGTTGACTTACAACTGATCTGACAACGTGTATAAATACGAAATTTGCCCGAACCAAAAGCAAAGAAGGGAAACAACACTTAAGAAGGACGACACGTGTTCCTAGGGTCATCTGCGCACACTGCTGCTCTCCGATCTACAAAGAAACAGGCACTCCTTTTCCAACAAGGCAAGTGACGGGGTACAAACACAATCTGACCCCGCTTGTCCGATAGCGCGCGCTTCTATAATCTCCCGCGTGAGCTTGTCCTTTTGTCTACTGATGACTGTGCATCTTTCAAAGGCTGATGTACACCACGGCATGCGTCAGAAATGAGAGCAAACTTCCGGTAGGCCCACCGCACATTCTACACTTAGCAGTCTTTGTCAGGACGATCACGCCTGTATAATTTTTTTTTCAGCGTTATTATAGAAAAAGTAATCAGAAATTGAAACTTTTTTGCTCATAATCAGAAATGAATCGTTCAAGTTTTAGCCAAGTAAAAAAATTTTCAGTTAAAATTTTTCAGAAATATCAGTCTGGATGTAAGGGCACAAACGAGCAGGTCAATATTTAGCGTGACAAAAAAAGTCCCAACACTGCGGGTAAAAACGACACACGAGCTCAAAGTGGACCCTCTAATTTGAAGTGTTAAACTCTCAAGGAATTATTCAGATACAGACTCTAGACCAAAAGATACTGTGGGCAAAACTGTGTTATGACAAAAAAATTAATTTTGAGAAAACAGAAAAAACTATTCAAAATATGCATGAAAATGGCCTGAATATAAAACTGAATTGATGCAACTTTATAAACATACATTTCCTAAGAGCAGTACTTTCAATTTATTCTAAACAACTTAATTTTCGCGAATTTCACGAATCGCTTACAATTCGTGAAAAATAGGTCCCGCAAACGATTCCGGAAAAATGTAAACACATTGGAATCTATATTCAAATCCCACCGCGTCACGAAAATTAGAACCCGCAAATTATTCCAGAACTGCAGCTTAGACCTAAATCGTGAAATATTGAGCCTACGAAAAATAAGTCATTTACAATATGTTGTTTGTGACATACAGATATAAAAAATATTGTTTTTAAAAATAACTTTTTTTTTTAGATTAGGGTTTTGTTTTAGCGGCAATTTATGTATGGTACAAGCTTCACTGTGAGGTTATAGAGCAGGCATCTGTCAAGCTGGGCTGCATAGAAGCAGGGGCGGATCCAGAACTCTATTTTGGGGAGGGGAGAATTAGTAAGGATACTATTCTCCCATACTCTCTTTCGTCTGCAACCATGTCAAATTGACCCATGTCAAATTGACCTTCACCCATGTCAAATTGACCTCCAAGAAGGGGGGAGGGGGGAGGTTGACTGTTTGGGGGGGGGGGGGGGGGGGGGGGGGCCCCCGTCGCCTCCCCCCTTGGATTTGCCCCTGCATAGAAGTTGTACATGCGGACTATGAGACGGGAGCAGACAACGCAGCGAGTGCCGACTATCTAGGGAAACACTTTATTTTCAACCAGTATTTGCCCCTGTGGACTATTTGCCAGGTGCAGATCATGTTCCAGAGAATATGGATTGTTTCCTACCAAGGCACTGAATGCCGCCAAAGGAGACATAAAGTGACGGCATTTTGGATCCTTCCCTCGCTCCACCTCAGACGTTCGTAGAGATGCCCCTTTCCTGGACCAGATGTGCTCTCCTATCCAGAGTTTCCACCAATCACGGCGCTCGTTTGTGCGACGTCAAAGCGTCGCGTGGCTCGGGTGTCAAGTGACGTCAGTGTTACGCGACACTGCATCCCACGAAGCAACACCGCGTGGCACTGGTGCTACCTCGCGTCACGTGATATGCAGTCACACTGCATCACGTAACATGGCGTGACAGTGTACATGATGTCACGTGATGATGCATTAAATTAATCGTGCGATGCCACAATGCGACAGACGGCGAAGGATTTTTTGCGCAACGTACGAAGACCACGAGCCCGCATTGAGTGCCGACACGAGTCCAACCTACGAGTCGCGTTCAAATGTAGTCGCTCGAGGGACCGTGCGCGACGACAAAGAAGCGTCTCGCTCGGCAGCATTGAGTGCGAGTACGCTTGTTACTACTTGGGTCCCCCTAGTGCCAGTGAGCTCGTGTAAAGTGGCAAATACATTCTGTTGACCCAATAAACATATTAAGCGCGAAACACATGTACGACGAAACCGTCCGATCCGACGTCCGACCGCGCAATACGACGGTCGGAGGCGAGGGTTTTTAACGCTCTCCGATGCTACGAAAACCCTCTCCCCCCAAGGTCATTCCGGCAGTCCGCACGTCGGATCGGAAGGTTTCGTCGTACATGTGTCTCGCGCTTTAATTATTAAGAAGAGCAGAACCTACTGGGGGTCTGCTCCAGCCATGTAGGTCCTGAAGAGGGTGATGACCGCCGTCCGGCCGGAGTGGTCCACGTGCTTAACTACCCCGTACTCGTGTGCAGGAGGGTCGTCTGTAAAAGGACGAGGGGCCTTACCCTGGGACCCTCGGACACAGAGAGTGGCCAAAGGCGGCCGTTACATTGCCACAATCGTCCGGCCATTTTGTGGCGCCACGGAGACACCTATCAACGTTTGAACGGCTGTGCAATAGCGAGTCTCAAGCTGGACTAAAGTCTCAAACAGGACTCGAGTCTCCGACGGGACCAGTCTCAAACTTTACTATAGTGTCAAACAGAACTCAAATTAAAAAGCGTGAGGAAAAAAAGTGAAGATTTTGCTCCAAATTATTTTTATATTTATTTAAACATTTTTTTAAATTATACCACTCAATATGCTTGTTGCATTCATTGGAAGGAATAGCAAAATATGAGCTCAATAATCTTAGAATCGAGTCTGGTCCAAAGCAAACTGATATACAAAACCCGCAATTTAAAGCGTGGTGAAAACTGAACTGCTTGCTAGAACGTAAGTTATGTGGCGCTCTTTTGCAGGGAGTTCTCTACCGTACGTAATCACATAACGAATGCGCTTTTTTTTTTTTCCTGAAAAACTGACACATGTTTTGGGGGTACGTTCATTACGCTGGGTAAAATTTCTGCATTTACACTTTGCGCAAATGTCATTTCAGGTGCCGTATGACACGGCAGGGCACGTCTCCACTGAAGGAGACGCACCCACGGCTGGTCATTTCAGGTGCCGTATGACACGGCAGGGCACGTCTCCACTGAGGGAGACGCACCCACGGCTGGTCGTGGGCGTGCCAGAGTAACCATGCTCTATAAATTGCAAACCTTTTCTAGGGCGCTTTCGGCGTGCCTTTTGCCGAAAAAAAAAGCGCCCTATGAAGCTCACTCAGCTCGGAGAGAAACGTGACCGGACCTGTGTTTTCCACGACAAAGTCCCCGGGGAAGAACTCGTGTCCGTCCAGGTGGTGGATCGGGTAGAGCTCCGACGAGAGGATCCCTTCCTCCACCGACCCGTCCTACGGAGGGCGGCGAAACGGCAGTCAGCGGATCTCCCCAAACGTCGAGAAAGAAAGAACCTCGGGCGGCGACGACTCCACTCCCGAGGGTCAAATTTTAATTCTCAACAAGCAGAGTATAAAAATAAATATGGACCAACAAAAAAGACAAGAAGCTGGTTTTCTCCAAACTGAAATTGAACCGTAACAATGTTGTTTTCTATTCTTTGGGCAGCCTCATTGAAAACATTTTAGTCTCTAGAGTGACGTGCATGTACTATCACGGACAATGTGAGCAGAGGCGGTCCTTGGAGCTTTTCTGGCGTACCTGCAGGTTTTTGAGAGAGCTGTGGTCCGAACTAGGAATGGAATGCGAAGTTGACATCCCATACTTGGGACTGTTAGACAAATTGAGAGATGACAGAGCTCTTAGAGACCACACACGCAGAAAAAGGTCAAATCGGGTGTTTCAGCTCATATTATTCGTGGGGGTACATGTGTGACAGAGTGATAAGTGGATACATTAAAAGAAAAAAAATTCTGAATGTCCCCCAAGGAGGATCAAACCAAGAACCATAAAATGTTGAAGCCTGACGCTCAGCCACTGTGCCAAGGGGAAAACTTGTGAAGTGACAGTTATCATGCACCGTGCTGCTTTTATTATTGCGCGCAAGGCAAAGCGTTCGATAAGGCAAGCCACCCACTTTCGATTCAAACAACTGAGGCACTTGAAACTTGACTGAGATGTTACCCTCTGGCTAGAGGCACTTTTTGTGGTAGAACGCAATCCGTAGTTTTGAACAGATGTAAATCTGACTCTGTATCTGTGACATTGGGTGTGCTACAAGTGTCAGTCTTGGAAACCATTTTCAGATATGTATTGATAGCATAGTCAAAAATATCTTCACATACTAAGCTGTCCGCCGATGATTTTATAGTTTACAGATCAATATGTGACAACAGAGAGTTTTAGTAGATCGTTCCGATGACTGTGAAATAATACCTGATGCTCCGCCGCCGCCTTTGCAGATGCATCATATCGTTATCAAAGGTATCAGAACGATCTACTAAAACTCTTTAATAATGATGCTTTACAGCTCGATTTGAGTAGGATTAAAAAATAGTGTAAAACTGGCAAATGAAATTAAATGCGGGTCAATATAAACAATCAAGGTTTTCTAGAAAGAGGTTACTGTGTCAACAAGTGTATCTATGAAATGATTGTTAATTAGAAAGTGTTTCTAGCATTCGCTACTTCGGTGCTATATTCTCCAAGGATTTAGCGTGGAACATGCATGCCAATTACCAAACTCAAAAGGCCAACAAAATGCTGGGCTTTCTTAGAAAGCATTTTAAACACCGTAACAAAGAACTAAAGACTACTCTCCATTTTATGTTTATTCGTTCAACACTAAAAGGCAGCTGTATTGTATGGGACCCTCTAACAATCAAACTAATTGACAAGACAAAAGTAATACAAAATCAAAGCGCTAGATATGTTTTTGAATAACTATCGTCCATGCCCAAGTTTTTAAAAAATGAAAGACAAACTAAATTGGCCATTATTAGCTACCCGACGACAAAACCTCCATCTTACATTCTGCTATAACCTTTTCCACATGACCAAACAAGAATCCAGAAAAAGCAATATGCCTGATGATGCCACATCATATGCCACAGAGACTAGATCACTTGTTCAAAGGTGATCATGTGTCACACTGCATCTCATCATTTTTTGTTTGTACTACAAGAGAGAAACCGGTTGCCATCCTCACTGTTTCCTAAATTACATTCACCGTGTTTATTTTTAAACTCTTCATGCACCCCTCTCCCTGTTATAATGCCCCAACGGGCACAGCAGGATCAAGTGCAAATAAATAAATGAAAAAAATAAATAAAGGGGAAGCGGGTAGCACTCTGTTGAGTGATACCGTGTACGGGTGACCTTGGGTTGTGCGAGGGTCCGGAAGGGTTCAGTCAGAGATGAAAAGATTACTCAGAGTGAAGGTTACAAATTTAACTTTAGCACACAATGTGGAGCGTGTGCAAATGTGTGAGAGGATGCTAGGACAGAGATAACTGAAAAAAGAGGCGTGGTAAATAAAATTTTGTAGCTGCAATTGAAACGTTGATTGTCCTTCCTGTTTTGCCTCCATCTTGGGTTTTTAGCTTGTCATTTATTTAACTTTTTCTTTCAGGAATGAGAGGTGTGTATTCGCATATTGAACAACATTATTAGCTCTTTTTTAAAGTTGCCAAACCTTCAGTGTGTAATTAACCCTTTAAGTGCCAGTCAGTTTTCGAAAAAATGTAACCAAAATGCAATTTTTTTTTATTGCACACTTTGATAGAAGAATTTTTCCTTATTTCAAGCGTATAAGACATGGGCATAAAAGGTTAACAACTGAAAACCAAAATTGATCTTATCTTAGACCATATGAGGCAAACAAAATTAAAAATGGGAACCGAGACGGCATCAGGAATTCCGTAGTTGAAAAACAAAGTTCTAAAAACTGGAAATGCAGACTTCTACACCCTTTGGAGAAGAACTTCATAAACCTTCAAAACTGTGCCTTGGTGTGGTACACCTCGAAGCATGGGATGGCGCACAGTCCCACGCCACAGTCCTTGCACCAGTAGCGCGTTTCTTTGCGCACCTTCTTGTCCCCACCACCTCGTGCCTTGCAGCACACGACGCACCTTCGTGTTGGCAGCTCCTTTCCAGGTGTCGGTGGGATGTAGGACACAAAGTGTCTGGCAGTCAGACGCAGCAAGCTGGTGTCGGACGGCCTGCCTCTCTTGAGGGTGCGGTTCGGATCGTGGTACTTCTGGACCATTCCTTCGACTAGCGCCAGCCGGAACTCCAGGTGGCTCAGTTTCCCGCCTTGTTTCTGGTAGAGCAAAAATGCGTTGAAGACTGCCATGTCTAGGAGGTGACGGAAAATCTTCTTGTAATACATTTTTTGTCGGCTTCTGGTTGTAGGGTAGTAGGAAAGCATCTGATCACTCTTGTCAACACCATCCATGGTGTGGTTGTAGTCGATGACTACAGCTGGTTTCGAGACTGTCTCTTTCTTTCTATTTACCATTTCTGTCATGGTGGCATCATGCACAGTGGACAGCAAAGTCACGAGCTTTTTATCCCTCCACTGGAGTGCCATGCACTTTCCTCGCTGGTATGCCACAATATCTCCCTTTTTGAGATTAGCATCTTTGAGAGGTGGCATATCTCTGCGGGATGGTCGCACAGTGCCGTAGACGTCAGTCTTGCGGCTCAGAAGTTTTTCAACCAACTCCGGCGACGTGTAGAAATTATCCACAGTAAGGCAATAGCCCTGGTCCAGCAGTGGCTCCATTAGTCTCATGACGACTTTCGTCCCCATGGCGCTTGCCTGATCGTCGACGTCAGTGCCCTTGCCTGTGTAGATGACGACGTCCCATATGTAGCCGGATGCTGCCTCACACAGCACATAGAACTTCACGCCGAAGCGGGACCGTTTTAGCGGAAGGAACTGTTTCCAGGAGAGTCGTCCCTTGTAGAGCATGAGGCTCTCGTCAATGGATATATTCTCTTCTGGCATGTAGCTTGCTTTGAAGCGCTCTTTTATGATCGACAGCACCGGCCAGGTCTTGCAAAGTTTCTGACGCGCTTGCCCCACTTCACCAGCATCATCTTCGTTGTTTGCAAAGTAGAGAAACTTCATGAGCAGAATAAATCTGCTCTTACTCATCACCTCTCCAAACACTGGGGTTTCAATCACTCTGCGCTTTGACCAATATCACTCGACAACTGGCTTGTCTACTATTCCCTGCAAAAGCAGCAGGGCGAAGAAGACTTTCATTTCTGCTTCCGTCACCGGTTTCCACGCCTTCACATGGGAGCCCCTTGAGATCGGTGCGGTCGCCAAGTGTTGATCGGCATACCTGTTTGTTTCCTTGACGATTTGAGTCATTACGTCCGGGCTCAGCAAGAGTTCCAAGTACCCAACAGCGTCGAGGGTGTCGTTTTCGTCGAGACCAGCGGAGACACCTGGCGTGGCAGTAAACGGAAAGCGGGGAGGAGCTCGTGGAGGATTTGTCGTGTCCACCTTTGTCTAGTCCCGCGCCGAAGCAACGACCTCATCGCCGGAAAGGTCCGAGTCACTGGAGCTTTCAAACTCTTCCGCGGACTCTCCGCTTCCGTCGCCATCGTCTAGCGCAAAGTCATCATCATCCGAACTAGAAAACTCATCAACTAAAGATACGCGCTTCCGAGACGAGCGACGCATGCCACCACTCAAAAGAGACGCCATTTTTAAAAACCCATGTTGCCGGAGGAGCACGATAGATTCTCAAACTGATGCCAAAATTAGCGAAATTTCGGTTCGCTGTTCCTCCTGGTGGCTAGCGGGAGAACTATTTTCAACGTAAAAATAGACTGGACGAGCGTGCCTCGTCGCTGGCACTACAGACGCGGGCTGAAACGAGCGGACGAGCGACGCTCGTCCTCGGCATTTTCGGGACGAACTCCCTGGACGAGTCAGACTCGTCCTCGGCGCTTAAAGGGTTACATAAATCTTTGTCGTTATCAAAAGTTTACTTTATAAAGTTCACATCACCGATTGAGATCGACATAGGAGGACGCTACTTGAATATATGACGGCTGTCGAGTCTGCCTGCGGAAACAAGTTTCTTCGCTCACTGATTGGCACTATGAAAAACCGGGCCACCGGATACGTAAAACCGACGACGTGCTCACATGACAGAGCAAATACACAAAATCTACAATACTTCGAAAGAATCCTTACCGCAAAAGAAGGACATGGAGATGCAATGATATTCCTAAAATAGATTGCATTTGGGTGTCAGTGTGAGCTAAAAACTTTGCGATATACTGCCTCCAGGTGCTCGTGTTATATTTTGCTGTACATGCACGTGTATTTGGGCCCGCACCTCACAGCTTACTGTATCATCCGTGATGCCCCTAAAATTTTATTACCGTAATATCCCGAGTCATCGCCCACCCCCCTGCCGCCTGAAATTCATGAAAAAAAGTGGGGTGGTCCATGTCTCAGTGGGCAAGCATAAAAAGCAAAAAAAATCTGAGAAAACGCCCATTTCTTTGTACGTATCTAGTGCGGCTGCAGAAGAGATACATTAAACTCAAAACTCGAATTAGTTTTATTGTTTTATACAAAAAATGCTCATGAAAGAATGTTTTACTATCGCTAAGTCCATTGCTCATGAAAGAATGTTTTACTATCACTAAGTCCGTTGCTTGCATATGTGCCATGAACACCACCGATCCGCATACAGCGCTAACGTTTGTTCCATGAAAGCATGTTACACCGTGAAAGCACAGTACACCGCTATGTCCTCCCCATTAGTTTAAAAAAAAAAAAAAGTTTACAAGAAAATAAAAAACTAACCAGGCACAACGAGCGAGCGAGTGAGCGGTCCAAAGAAGCGACGTAGAGTGATGCTGGGAAAACCAGCGATTGCGTTGGCAAATACTTCGGCGTCCGGCAAAGTCGGGCGCCTTGTCAATCGCAAGCTCTAGCGCAACTTTCATGTTTGGTGCATACATGCGTGCGTTCGTGCACGGCGTGCTATCAGTGCGGGTTAAGGCGGCGTTGCTACGTGGCGTGGACGGCACCAAGAACATGCAGCTCGAAAAGTGGCACTCTACAAACGTCTGTGTGTGGCGTTCCAGCAAAGCTTTATTTACCCATTGGCTTTGTCTTAAACACTGCCAAACCGCCGTCGCAACGTGCCGGGAGAAGAAGCGGGTTCGCGGCGACCATTACTTCGGCGGAGACAGACTCTGACCTTGCACTCCAGGATATGGGGCGTTCACTTACTTCGCGATCCCTGAATGGGTTACTGCTTGTGTTATCTTTCCAACTTTTTTTTTGTAAGCAAAACAAACTTCTATTTTGTTATCTCAATCATTCTTGTTTCCCCACGGATACACAATGACTTTGAGGTCACCCGTGGAGGAAATGCGAAAACAAAGAGAAGTGTCCTTCTCTCCTTCGTTTTGCTTTCTCACGAGCATCCACCAACTGTAAGGTCCGCGGCCACGTCATTCGGGTAGGATGAATGTTCGCGGATCACGAAGTCAGCATTGGTGTATTTGAAGGGATGAGCGATGACTCTGCGTTTTTTTGGAAATCGATATTAGCCTAAAAAGTGGGGTGGCCGATGCCTAGGGATATTACGGTAGTCTACAGTGCCATCGCAAGATCGCTCCCCATGCTGAACAACTTCACAATTTGGACGATTAATGCTCTCTGCTTGGCTAGTGTTGCAAATACTGCTTTATACCATAAAAATGAACCATTTCTATAAGTGGCTCACACGTGACATCGAGTCATGCTGGTGGTCGTTGCTGCTTCTTTTTGCCGAGAAAAACAAATTTTGTCGTGGGAAATGTATGCTGCAGAAGGTACGTTCTCGGCAGAAAGGCCAACCCGAATGGCAGACGATGCGACGTTAGTGCGAGCCACGCATTTCAGAAAAATTAATTATTTTTGTTGGCTGCAGCGTTGTGAGGAATGGCGAAAGCATGCGACATTGCAAAAACACGCTTTCCGGCACGAGTGCTTACACAAACAAAGTAGTCTCCCGGATCATGCTCTCCGGTCTGTGACGTGGACGTGGCACCAAAGAACCTTTACGACCCATTATGCGTTTAAAACGACTCTCTCCCCTTTTTCGCTAACCCCCGTTGTTTTTTGGATGATCAATTTACACTCTCATTTCACACCCGAAGGCCGGGAAGTTTAAACAGACTATGGAGGTGGTCGAAGCTGGTAGGAAGAACTCGAGAACAAACTTCCTCCGAGATCCAGAGTAATTGTCGATGACTGGCTAATGTGCTTGGCTTCTCGGAAGTACCTCTTCGCAGACATTCTTTGACCTTCCGAGGCCACCAGGATCTCTCGTTGTAGAAACTCAACGAAGTGCTCGTACAGTAAAGTTATTAACACGCAGGCGGAGATAGGCGAGGAAATCTGGGAGTTCAAGGAAAACCCCGTGGGTACTTTGGGGAACACCCGTGTTCCGGGGAATACCCGTGTTCCAGGGAACCCAGTTACAGAGAAAAGCAGTTTCATAGAGTGGCAGCAAGGGGAACAGTAAGGCCTCACCTGCCAGACCACCTGTGCGGTGGTCTCGGTGTTCAAAGTTTCCGTGACCAGGACGTCACCAGGCTTGGGCATCTGGGAGTTGCGAGCCGCCCGGCGGCGTCTCGTGCGCACCCTGCGCTTCTTGAGCAGCTTCGTTGCCAGGGAGGGGCCGTGCTTGCCACGGCGGCAAATGCCTGCAAGCGTCACCGCGCAACAGAAAAAGAGCTTCACCTACGAGGAAGGAAAGCTTTCATCGGTTACAGAATAACACCGGTCCGGGTGAAGGACATGTCCACCTCCAAGCAAAGACCTAAACAGATGCGTGGCTTCCAAACCGAGACACATACAAAGACTTTCCCAAACCAACACCAGCTACATCTGTTCTCTCCTCGTAGCTACCGAGGCACGTGCCCACACTGCAACTCCCCGACCCCCCACATTCCATCGCTGCACCTGGACCTGCCCGACTCTGCTCGAATAAGAGATCTGACCCATGCCAAATTCTCCCGCATCCCCCTGGGAAACTGCCCTACTCGAATCGGGCCCCGAGCAACAGCGAGAGCCGAACACTCTGGCCAGAAAGATAGCGGTAGCCTGCACGGCCCTGAACTTGGGTACCTAAACCTAGGCGGGGAAACCTCCCAAATCAGAACCAATCAAAAACTTTTTATTACCATCACAACCATTATCTCAAATTTACGAGGCAGAGTGCAATAAAAAATTATAGAGGCGGTGCGAAGATTTTATTACAGCGAAGCTGTTTACGGCTAGGGTTCTGTGGATTTTTCCCGTGTAGCGACCAAAAACTCTACGCTTGCGCCACTACATACATTGCACTCAATCCCCGTATCAAAGATTCAAAGTAAATAAGCGAAATAAAGCGTTGATGAACGCACGTGCAAAACTCCATTTGTTTTACGCTTTTGCTTTAGAACAGTTATTAATGCAGATGCCAGCACGTGTGGCGCGTGGAACACCATTTTCCATATTCTCCTTGATGCTTGGGTAGTTTAGCAATGGCCTATTCAGTAGATTAGTCATCGATAGGCACCATTTTCAAGATCGGTAGACTCTCAGGTAGATAATAAAGGTTTCTCAAAAATTTGCCGCTGTGCGACCCGAGTCGGCCATGTCTACGTTCACACTGCCCTCTCTTTGGGGTCGTTCTCCAAGCGCTTGCGTGTCTAGTTTCCTTTCCTTCTACTCTCCCAGGGTGGCAGTCCTGTTGCGCATGTCTAGTGTCCTCCGGCTCCTCGGGGAGGGTCTGTGTCGTGTGCTAAACACCTTCGCTGGTCAGCCACCTTCAATAAGTAAAATGGCTCACAATTTTTTTAATGCTGAATTTGCTGCTTGTACTTTTCGTATTGTTTATCTCGGCACAAGCAACAGAAAACCAGTCACTTTCCCCCAAAATACTGCTATTCCACAGCGTAATTGCAAAGAAAAAAATTTTTTTTCCTGATCTGCAGTTGTTTGCAGCGGTCGTTGGAACTATCGTGTTGCATCACTGGGAGCAGTATCCAAGTTTTCGTGGTGCCATCTATTGTAAGCAAAAAAAAAATGATTCCTTTCCGTTGCTACCCTCCCTACCCTCCCCGTCTTTCCCGTGGCAAACCACGTGTTGTTTCGACCGCTCTCCACGACCTTAATCGATGCCAAGCGACACTCGAGGACGTGCTCAAAGAAAGAGCCAACTCACCGGGCGTCCTGCGGTGCTCCAGGGAGGAGGCGGTGGACGCGCTCGTCATGGAGGCGCTGTCCGAGGTGGCGTCGTCCTCCTCTCCCACTTCCTCCGCGTAGTCCGAGTCGCTGGCCTCCTCCGCGCTGCCGCTGCAGCGGTCGTTGGCTGCCCCATCCGCCGTGTCTCCCTGGCCAGCCACCGCCGCCGCAGTGGGTTCCTGGGTGCCGTTCTCCGTAACCGGCTTCTGCAAACGCCGGTGTCGCACCCAGAGTGAGTTGGGTGGTGGCGCCAACCTGGTTAGCGCGGTTCTTTGGGCCAAAATGTGGTCTTTGTCGGGGAATTTAGGGCCTTAAAGAGCCCGAAGAAACCGAGGGGGATCCAAACTGGACCTTCTTTGGCCAGTCTGTTTAGTTCAATTCAGTTTATTGCACTTCAAAGGAATTTCAAATGAGAAGCATTACATGAGAGGGAATCGAATGACATATTATTCAAATAGCAGAAGGGTGACGACAAGGTGAAAAATAGGAAAACACAAAACTACCACAAGGACAAATATCAAAACATAACACATAGAAAAAGTATTAACAAATAAGCATGTAAAGATTAACACTTTTCAGGTGTGCCTTGCAGAATCCACGGAATGTCTTCGGGTTAGATTCACATACACTTTTCGACTACCATCCCCAACTGGGGACGGCAGTCGAAAAGCCGACTGCCGGCCGGACGCCGACACGGCGCTCGTCTCTTCGTCTACTGGACACCTGTGCCAGCCAGACGCCTTCGCTCTGCTCTGTGAAACGAGCACGCTCTGGACTTTCCCAGAAAGAGAATGCAATACAGAGTGACAGAAAAGCAAAAGAAATGCGCAGTGCACCGAGGGGACATTGCACAGTCGCTCGGCGATGGGGATGGTGATGCCGCTCGTCGAGCGCAGTGGCCACCATTGTTGGCGAGGTGCCTCCTGAAGCTCGTGAATGCTTGTAGTCGAGACACGCACGCATCTAGCAAACTTTCATACGCAAAACCGCGGTGATATAGTGATGGTACTTTTTTAAATATTCTTTATGATGCGATGAGAAGTCACCACCCCAAACACTACGAGACGGGGTAAATGGCGAATGGACAGCGCTTGGATGGTACACTTTGCCACCGCCCCTTCATTCTAATTGGATTAACTATGCATGCTACCATTTGTGCCGTCCAGTTTATTCCTTGGTACACAGTTTCTCCACACTAACACATCACATTCCGCGTTGCCCCCACCTCTTTTCCGAAACCCTTCGAATGCACCAAAAAAAGTGCACTGGAGAGATACATGAGAGTGTGCTAGTTTTTTCTGCGTTTCTTCTATAATCGAGCAGCCGTCGTCAGAAATAGCAGTTTGGTGGGAACTGCCCATTCAGAGCATTAGCTTCTTAAACGTTTTGAGTTCTGGGGAATCTCTGAACCTCAACTGATTAACTGTTGTCTTCAAAATTAAATTTGTAGCCTTCAAAATAAAACTCTAGCCACAAATTGAACTGGAGTAAAAATGTTAAATGAGTCGGTGCTGCCATCTGTTGGCAGAGCCGCAAACTAAGCCACGAACGGGCCGTCCGAGACGGTCGAGTGCGTGAGCCAGGGAAGGCAGACGAGCTATACTCGTCTGCTGTTGTTGTTGTTGGGAGACAGCTCCACATTGACAAGCTAGGCTTGTCCAAAAAGGTTAACCTAAATTAACCAAGCAAAAAGCAAAAAAAAAAGTACCATGTCTTGTTTGCACTTACAGCGTCACTCAGCACAAAAAGTGCAGAGAACACCAAAAGGTGCGGCAATTGCCCCAGACCCCCGCTCCCCTCCCTCCCTAAAAATTGTCAGATGTCCACATCTAAAACATTTCTGGAGAAAACCTAGGACTCACGCCTTCTGTCGGGTGTGAGAAGTACTTGGCCGTGCACCCCCGCTTCCAGGCCTCCAGCGTTGTGACCTTGTCCGTGGCCTTGAGCGTGTAGTAGTTCCGGTCCCCAATCTGCAGGGCGCACCTCTCGAAGATGTTGATCATCTTCACCCTGCCGCACAAAGGGAGGAGGAGCATCCGGAGCTGCTCTCGCTCACACCAGTGGAACTTGTCGGGGCACCGATGGAGCACCTCCTACTGTTTGCCTGACCCTACGTGCACGCGAAGTCGAAACTACCAGCACGAGCATGTTGCCCCAAACTATGTTTACGCTGCATGAGCTTGCATGCTTGGCAATCCAACTTAAATTTGGGGATTTTACGCGCCCAACCGACAACGGGCATCAGGCACACCACGGCGGAGGACTGGGGATTCATTTGGACCGCCCGGGAATACTTTGGCGCGCAAACGAAACCTCGGTCGCACGCCTATTCAGCGACCCACCCCACCCAGGATTCGAACGCTGGGGAGCCGTAGCTTAGCGCTTAGCCTCAAAACCACTGAGACACGCATGCTTGACAGGGACGCTGAAAGCACAAAGCTCACTCTTGTAGATTCTGCTAAGGTCGTACTTAAAGTGAAAGTTAATACAAGTAACAAGGTCGCAGTGCTACATCTTTTTTACGTTGGAGACTTCAGGCCGGTGCAGGGCACAGATTGGACACGGGAGCTGCGTCATGACTCGGTTGGACCTCTCCGATTTGACAAGAGCCTCGCTATCTAGGAGAAGTGCTTTTTTTTTTTTTTCGGCTTCTATGGCATGCGAAGCAGACCACGACGACCAATTTGCCGATACCACGAACGACGGTTCCAAAGTACTGGCCCCAAGTCCGTCACAACGTTGGTCCGTGGTGCGCCACCATCGCATCGTCCAGCCCACGGTACGTCGCCATATTGAGAATGACGTGTATGTGTACTTCCTGTAATCTATGCAACTTTTTTTTTTTTTTTTCCTATCAATGTATTTTAGCTTTTGAGGACCACAACAATGGGGCTCACATTCTTTTTTTATTTTTAATATTGAATGTGTGCCTTAAAAGGAAAAATGACCACATCTCCATGTGGTGAATGATGTTGTTTGGGTCGAAGCTCTGGTGGTGCTTGTCAGCGTAGACGCTGAGCCGCAGCATGCCGAGCCTTTCGTTCATTTTCATCCATGTCAGAAAGAGAATGTGTGGTATTGAATGTTGTTATATACGCATTTGAGCATTTGACCGCAGCGCCCTCTCGTCTATAAACAATGAGCCAATGCATGCAAAGTTTAACGCGATTATATAGCATTTGACTGCAGCACCCCCTCCTGTATAGACGTTGAGCGGCTACATGCAACGTTTCATCCATGACATCCCCAGCTCTTGAGTTACTACCACATCCCACAGCCCCCTACTCGTCCCGCAGTCGTGGCCGAGTGGTTAAGGCGACGGACTTGAAATCCATTGGGGTCTCCCCGCACAGGTTCGAATCCTGTGGACTGCGCAATCATTTTTCTTTTTTTTAAGATGACAGATGGGATGGCAATCACTGTGAGCACGGACGCCAGACGGACAAGGCTAAACCCTAAGTAGCTTCGCCCCTAAAAAAGATGTGTGCGATTGAACACGGCCGACGAAGCCGACAAGATACGTCACATCACGATTCTCATTCCCTCTCCCCCTTGCTTCGTCCCTTCCAGCAGGTGAACTGAAGCGAGAAGGTGAGAAGCAAGGACGCTTCCCCTCATTCTCAACTGTTACAGGAGGATCGTGACGTCATAGCCCTTGCTTGGTCGTGCCTTTTTTTTTCCAAAAATACAGCCATCCGTTTGAGATATCAATGTACGAGTGATGTTTTGGAGTTTGTAGCGTCCCTTCAACGCTTCGGCGGCCTTATTTCACAAAATCTAAATTTCCGTTCAGTGTCCCTTTAAGCACCTTACATCTTCTGGGGCTGAGTGTAAAAAAAGCCAGTGAATCATGGCATTCTTGTTGATGTTTTCGTGCTAAAACACCAAGTATGGTACAGCCAAATTCTTCGAGGTTGCAGACTGTGTGGAATCGCCGCCACAATGCGAATCATCGTCGTCATCATCATCGGATTCACTTCAAGAGCAGAGTTCAGCAACAAAGTCATCATCGTCTTCACTCGACAAACAAATCTGAATTTCTTCCGAGTCTCTTGAGCTTTCCACTGCAATCGCTTTTCTTTTTCGCGAAGAAGTTCCGCATGCTCTGTTGGGTAGCGACAACATTTTTTAATTACTGTTGCCGAGTATCTTCTCATTTATCCTTCCAACGGTGGCGAAAAAAATAAAAGACTCACTGCTGAAATGAGTGCTGCCATCCATCATCAGCGCCGCAAGCCACTCGGACGAGCCTAGCTCATCCATGGAATCGAGGGCTACCGAAGAAATTACTGGATGAGCCGAGCTCAGCCGTGGCATTTTTAACCAGAAAGCCGCCGACGAGCTCAGCTCGTCCAAGGCACTTAAGGGGTTAAGGCGAAATGAAGTACTGTAAACAACTTTGATTTCACGGGCTCAATATTTTGCAATTAAGGTCAAAGCTCAAATTTTGGAATAATTAACAGGTTCTAATTTTCGCTACACAGTGGGATCTCAATATAGATTCCAATGTGTTTATATTTTAGCAGAATTGTTCGCAGGACCTATTTTTCGCAAGTTATAGGCGATTCGCAAAAATTAGGTTTTCACAAAAATTAAGTCGTTTACAGTATATCGACTCCAAGTTGGTCGAGCTCTGTGTCACTACCCTGCCAGGCTACAGGAGGGTTTCCTGTATGCCTGCTTGTTACAGGGTGAAGTCATCTGTTGTTAACTTGTTAACTGCCCCCAAGGGTCCTAGTTCAGGGATTCTCAAACTTTTTCATCTCAAGGAACCCTTGTCACTCAATATCCGAGGCCTCGCACGATTGCTTATGCGAGCGAATGGGAGTGACGTGCCAGCCGTGAACACATAGGGATGCCTCAATGAGGGAAGTGTTTTATAGTACCGGTACAGGTCCAACACATCTATAGGGTCAGTCTCATCTTGCTGTCGGCACCAGCAGTTCGCTACGCCAATACTTGGTGTGAGTTCTTCTTATGGTAAACATTGATTTTATAGTTGCTTAGTCTACATTCCTCATAATATATTGGGGTACATGGTAAGGCAAAGGTATCTTTTGAGAGACGGACAAGAGAATGGTCTGCAAGGAATCTATCCACCAAGGTGCTAGAAAAAATATCCAAGTTTGCCATTTTTGACAGTGGTCGGGTTTATGTTTGAAATCGGTGTGCAAGAACCGGAGCAGTGAAAGATGTATTCGAGAAAAAAGAAATGGCAGCTGTATTTTGATCTATCAATTAAACCATAATATGCAAAAAGGCCATGTATGAGAAACAGTGGGTTTTCATGACATATCTTTATTTGCACACGGATTAGTATGTGGCATCACAAAACCCCAACACCACTCTACGTGATCACGCGATGCCGTGGTGTCAAGTGACGTAACTGACGCCATGTCATGCGACACCGCGATCTAACATGACCCGATCTCACATCACGGAATCAAGTGGTGGCGTGACGTCACGTCTTGTCACATGGTCCAGTGTCCCGTGACATCAGGCAACGTCACTTTAAATCTCGAATTGACACCCAATGTTACGAAACCCAACAACGTCACAGACACCATGACACGATGATTTCGCACCGCGAGTATGTGACTTCAGGTTTCGCAACGCGAGTCACATGAAGTTAGGTTTGGCACCATGAGTCCCGTGACGTAAGGTTTCGCACCGCGAGTCACGTGACGTAAGGTTCCGCATAACTCAAGTAACTTAAGGTTTCGCAAGAGTCACGTGACGTCAGGTCACACGATGCGCCACGCAACCGACAGACAAACACATATCTGAGTTACCTAGCTTCTGTCAGAACGCAATTCCAAGTAAATCGTTTTACTCTTGAGCGCTACCTCTTGCAGGTTGTGTCCCGTTCCTTGCCGTTCGGCCGCACTCACCTGTCGAGGGCCTCCCCCTCGATGACGTACTTGATGAGCTCCGAGTCCCCCTGCACGCCCCCCGTGTCCTCAAAGGCCTTGCACACACCTTGCACGAACAGGTACACCACCTTCACCTGCAATGCATCCATATCGCCGCGAGCAAGGCCGAGTTAGCAACGCACACGACTGCCATGTGGAGGAGTGAGGCTCGAAACCCCCTTGGGTCACATACTTCTTTTTGTAATTCTGTGTTATTCTGGAAAGTTCTAACCCATTCTTTGCTGTCGTTGTTTGTTCTGGTTTGGGACATTCCTGAACGTACCACAAGTATAAAAGCAGCGGTAACGCACTGGTTCAGGACAGCAGTCCTTCAGTCGCCGATACAAGATGCAGTACCTTTTCTTCTTTTCAAGTTTGTAAGTACAAGTTTGCTTTGTTAAAAATTTATTTTCAGTTTCACATTCATCTTTTACTTTTATTCGGGACAATATCACCAAGCTAAGTCAAATTTGACCTTTGCGCTTAGACAGTGTAATATACGGCGACGCTGGTTTGCACTGTAGTTGAAAAATTTATCCAGTGCGGTACAACCGCTAGCCTGCAGTCTTTAACGTGCACCACGCAAGAGTGATACACGACTGCACGTCGGTACAAAGCTCATCCAGACCAGGACGGGGTGGGACGGGGATTGAAGTATCACTCCTTACTGCAGGCGTGCTTGAGAGCACAAACTGACATGAGCATGCAACGAAACGGCCTTTATTTGAAACGCTCCCCCGACCACACCGCAACATTCTGCACAAATTCCAGAAATTTTTCACAGTTTCTTAGAATAAAACCAAACTCCACCCAAATCCTTTTTTTTTAATTGCTTGATTAGAATGCAATGCCTGATTAGAATGCAAACATTACAAAAGTACTGTTCGCTGAAAAATAAAAAAAAAGTGTACCACAAGATTTTGGTTGAGACTCATTTTGAGCACTGTAAAGTGCTTCTATTTTGGGACAATGCACCAAAAGTGGAGTGCATTTCAGAGTTGCACCTTCCTATAGGAAGAGTCTCACAATGTAAAAATTGTAACAAAAGATTTTTTCAAGGAAAAGGAGGGGCTTTATTATGTGGCATTTCTTGCAATCTGGGCATACCTCGGCAAACCTCACTCATGAGGGCCCTCACTCACCCTCACTCACCCTCATCTTCACAGGTGAGGTGAGGGTGAGTGAGTTTCTGAACCAGGAAAATTCATGAGTCTGAGGGTGAGTGAGGGCCGTGAGGGCTGTGAGGGCGGTGAGGGCCGTGAGGGCGGTGAGGGCTGTGAGGGCGGTGAGGGCGGTGAGGGCGGTGAGGGCGGTGAGGGCGGTGAGGGCGGTGACGGCGGTGAGGGCCGTGAGGGCCATGAGTGCGTAAGGGCGGTGAGTGGCGTGAGGGCCATGAGTGCGTGAGTGGTGTGAGGGCGGTGAGTGCGTGAGGGGTGTGAGGGCCATGAGTGCGTGAGGGCAGTGAGTGGCATGAGAGGCGTGAGGACCGTGAGGGCGGTGAGTGCATGAGGTGGTGTGAGGGCCATGAGTGCGTAAGGACGGTGAGTGCGTGAGGCCCCTTCAGATCGAGCATCTTTCTCAGCAATTTTGGTGTTAATGGCGGGTTGTTCTCTAGCTTTCCCTAGATCGACACGAATTGCTGAGTTCGGGTCCGGCTCGAAATAAGCAAGCAACTCGGAGCAAATTCGAATACGTTTGAAGCGGCTGCATCCAATCAGGGACGCAACATTTTCACGTGATACCTCTTGCCGGTGATGATGACACCGAAAGACTTGGTTCTGGTTTGAAATCGATCGTTTTTTGGAAATAAACTGTTTCAGAAAGGTGCATTAGTATTCTTAATGAGATTTAAATGCATAAAAACACGTTTATAATGCGTAATTGTGTCTAAATAGTGCAAGAAAAATAAAATTTTATGATGACAATGGCAAATTGCAGCAATTGGTTGCTGCGTGTGATCGCGGGCGACCCGTGCTGCTGGTGTTGCGACGTAAAGTTTCTGGGCGAAATTGCCCCATCTGAAGCTGGCCTGAGTGGCGTGAGGGCCATCAGTGTGTCAGGGACGTGAGGGGTGTGAGGGCCGCAAGGGCGGTGAGGGCGGTGAGGGCGGTGAGTGGTGTGAGGGCTATGAGTGCGTGAGGGCCGTGCGGGCGGTGAGGGCGGTGAGGGCGGTGAGGGCGGTGAGTGGCGTGAGGGCGGTGAGTGGCGTGAGGGCGGTGAGTGGCGTGAGGGCGGTGAGTGGCATGAGGGCCATGAGTGAGTGAGGGGCGTGAGGGCCATGAGGGCGGTGAGGGCCGTGAGGGTCGTGAGGGCGGTGAGGGTCGTGAGGGCGGTGAGGGTCGTGAGGGCGGTGAGGGTCGTGAGGGCGGTGAGTGCGTGAGGGCCCTGAGGTTCAGTGAGGGTGAGTGAAGGGCTGAAGGTGAGTGTGACTGTGAGGGTGAGGGTGAGTGAGGGGCTGAAGGTGAGTGTAGCTGTGAGGGTGAGGGTGAGTGAGGGGTTTAGGTGAGTGTGGCTGTGAGGGTGAGGGAGGGCGACCTAAAATGCCAACCTCTGAATCTGGGTGCGCGATTTTTTAAAAAAATGCAAAGCAAACTGTTGGACAATTGCGTTGCACGTGAAACGTGTGGCACCTACGCTTTAGGCACTCTTCGTCGGTTAGTTTAGCGACTGGCTGAACGCGTGGCATACACACTCTATAGCAATTCCTGAAATGGAGGTACCGGCAAGCCCGGGTTCTAAGAGCATGAGACAGGGTGTCAAGTTGCTACCTGCCCGATGCAGAGCAAATGCCCTGCAGGGCTTTCCCGCCAAATGGCACCTCAACTCACGGCAATGCGTCGCAACATGCAGGAAAGATACTCGCTTAATAATCTAAGAAATCTAGGTTCGATTCCCGCCTGGTGCAAACACTCTTTTTTTTACTGCGATGGCCTCTTTCTCCCTACTCGAAACCCATCAGTGTCAAGCCCCACAGCCACGTTTTTATCCAGCTCCAAGAAATGCCAAACATTTAGCCAAAGAATGTTTCACCTTAAAAATTATAGGGGGTTTTGACAAAATTCTTCTATTTCGAGTTGCTCCCAACACAAAATGTTTTTTCAACAAAAATAATTGCTCCCAACTCAAAACATGTCTCGTGATGTAAATATTGCGCAACGTTTTCAGGGAAACTTCACTTTGTGCCAAATGTGCCATATGTATGGTCTTCGAATCTTTTTGGGTGGTTCAGCAGGGTCCCAAATCGCACGACACCTCTTGGCTTTTTACCGCCCGTGGAATAACCCAACAATTCGACTGCACCGATTGTAGGTCAAGTAAGTAAGAAAACAAATCTATGCATCCTCGTGTTCCCTTTTCTGTAGCTACCCCCTGTCCTCTGCAACCCATCTTGATGGCGTGGCACAGATTGTGCCGTGGCCTCTGATGCAAGTACATTGTTTGGTACTCCGACTGGCGTATTTAGCCTCCTATCCTGCCCTTCTATCGAAAGACGTGCCCAAGTGGCCACAAATTAAGCCCACAGAGTTGGCGTGTCGTGCCGTTGGATGTCGCGATCCTGGTAGTTGGTCCTACCAAGTTTCTGGATGATACGCAGGCTCGATTGTGCCGACAAGGACCCGGGAGCACAAAATCTGTCCCGCACAAACCACACTCCAGTGTGGGGTTTCTGCTAAATGTTTTTAATATACTTCATTTTTTTATTATTATTTCATTTATATTTAATATTGTATTTTATTTCTTTGCTTTTATTTTTGTTTATTATTTCATTATTTTCACTCAAAATGTGCCACTCTCGCTTGCACATTTGTATTCGAGTAAACTTCTTCACCCTTCCACAGCAGATGTGCTGCGCAGCTCAGTCGGGGGCTATATTATCCGGCTGGCAGCGCATCGAATTAGCTTTATACATGATCACAACGTCGTGTCACGGTCCCAGTGCGTCGGTCTCTCAAGACGCTCATTCACGACATTAATTCCCAATGTTCGTTCCCTATGCTTCTTCGTGACAATTTTCTTGTGGAAAACAACTCGTAGAACATAATCTGCATTAAAGAGTACAAGCGAAGGTGAGATCCTCTGTCATCGCCGTGACCCAACTCTCAACTACCGAAGCCTCCGTGAACCACCTTACTGCTGAGCGACTTGCAGCAGAACAGGAATCTGTCACATACACCGCCGCTGCAAAAGACACTGTCGGGACCGCAGCCGGCGACAGCGTGACACTTCTATTGCGCCATCGAGCGGAGGTCGAGGGACCGCTGTTTAGGAAGCGGCAAACACGCCGGTTGGAAGTGTGTTCAAGGCACCATGCTGGAAACGACGCGAGAAAGATGGCAGGTTGCCAACCCACCTCGTCCACGGTGACAGTGACGTTCTTGTGCGGTCTAGAGAGCAGCGCAGTAGTCTCCTTGGTGCAGTTCAGCCACCGGGCGGTGCTGAAGCACTGCATGGGCCCGTGAAGGCGCTGGCCCTTGTAGAAGCCCACCTTCTTGAACTCGGAGGACTGCGCACAATGGGCGGTTTGATCAATCGGGTGATAAATAAACAAATCTCTTAATCATTTATTTCAGTTCCAGTACACAAACTGAGGGCGACGAGAACTGCTTGTCCACGTCGTTTTATCTCTCAGCCTTACTGAGACCTCTATAAGACAACTTTGGGATATGGATCTCTAAAAAAAAGAGCTCATCCGAGCCAGAAAGATCCAGTAGCAGCGGACAAATATAGAAAGCTTGTTTTTATGCTCGCGTTAAGTATTTAAATAAAAGCCTCGTGGGTGTTTGCACTTGTCCCAAACAATATTAGTGGCTCGAGCGTCTCTCTGGTCATAAAGAATGAGACTGCAGGACGACACAATTTTTTCAATAATGTGGCACAGTTTGCAAACACTTCGACACCCTCGAGAAATTTCCAATTCAAAATGAGACTTCCGAGATCACGCAAAGCTGTAGAACCAACGGCAGTGTTCTTATAAAGCATGCTCATTACCGTAAAATACCGGGCAAGCGCCCACTCAAAATCTGAAGATAATTGGCAAAAAAACAGGGGATGGCCACTTGTTCGGTTATGAGTTTTACGCATAAATTACACACACATTTTTTCAGATCTTAAAAATTGGGGAATGGGCGCTTAATGTGGAATGGGCAGATGCACGGTATTCTACGGTACATTAAAAATAGCCTTCATGCCGTATATTGACCAGTAACTGCATTTACACACTTCGTGCAAATGTCATTTTAGGTGCCAATATGACACGTCAGGGTACTGTGGTACATCTCCACTGACAGAAGCGCGCCCAATGCTGGTCGTGGGCGCGCCACAGTAACCATGCTCTATAAATTGTGAAGCTTTTTTAAGGCACTTTTCGCATGCCTTTTGCCAAAGAAAAAGCACGCTACGAAGCTCACTCAGCACGGAGAGCGACGCCAACGCAACCGTTCTTAGGCCTAACCCCTTTCACGATACCACTGTCCAAAAGCAGATCACAGACGACGGCGTGTTTGTTGACATGAATGCATCCAATGGACAAAGCACATCCGGGGCTGGGCAATTCCTCGACCCCAGCCTCGCTAGGCGTGCGCGCCGCTCGGTTTTACGGTTGATCACTTCCACAACCACAGAATTGCAACCATTATGAGAGCGGCTTGGCTTGGCTTGGCTTGAATTGGCCTGGCCGCTTGGCGGCAAAATAAAATAGGCTTCAAGACTCGTGAAGCTGAAAATAAAAAGTGCATTCATTAAGTGAGAAAAAGAAAAAAGTCCTAATAATGATGTCCTTTGTGGGGGGTGCGTTCATTATGCAAGTAAATACAGTAGTTTCACTAAGAGGTTTATCACTATCAAATACACCCATAAATCTGTACACAAATCAGAGATGAAGGTGATCATGAAACCTCCGTGCCGCACCAATTATTTGCCTGCCTTGCAAAGTACAACGATGCCCAAAACGCGTTGCCAACCGGCGTGGTCGACGTCCTGCGTCACCCACGAAAAGGACGTGTTACCCGAGTGGCAACGAAATAAGCCACGCAAACGTACGGGTTGTCAAATTCTCGGCAGTCAGTTGTAGAAATAACAAAGAAAGCGAGCAGACGAAAGCTTCAATGTTGTGCTTGGCCCCATACGAGTGCCGAGGGTCACCGAGATCATCTAAAGCAGTGGTCTCAAACTCATTTGAGTGTGGGGGCCAGATAGCCCACACCGCAAAGGCCGAGGGCCAACGTACGACCGATGGGGGGGGGGGGGGTTAATAAGGGTTTAATAGGAAGAGACCTCGTGCCCTATGCTTTTCGTAAACTCAGTTTTGCCAGTGACATCTTTAAATTTGATTTGTTTATATGACTACTTTGGGCCCTGACCTGATGTTATAGCAAAAATTAAAATGACACTGCCCCGCAACACGGTGGCATTTTTAGTAGAACAAGAGAGCAAGTAATCTGTCGTCCCCAGTTCAACATGTCTTTAAAAAAAACGATTTAATTTGACAGTTCTTGAATTCCTCACAATTGTTATTATAACATTCTGAACAAATACTCGTCTTTTAATTGTGATATTTTTTTTGAAGGGGAGAATCCCGAGCTCATAGCTTTATCTTTGGCACTTGCTCCTAAGCGAAAGTTTGCGCCGCAGCTGGCATGCATCCTTCAACGAATAGCTCGAGGTTACAGACTGGTAGCGGAATTGTTGTACATAACAAAAATGGGAAGCAAAATAATAAAGCGAAACAAAGGGCAAATGAACACAGAGAAGTATAAAATGTGTGCATGCGTTAAAAGAGCAGAGCTACTTTTCGGGCAAAAATGAATCGATGAGATGAGATCAGTATGACACATGCCGTTTCTAGCGCTCGAGACATGGAAACCGGAACTCTCAGCCGGCCTTCTGCGGGCCGCAACCCAGCCAGTCGCGGGCCGCATGCGGCCCGCGGGCCACGTGTTTGAGACCCCTGATCTAAAGCCTGCCCAAACTTTGAGCCAAACCCCAAGGAAACTCACGGGCTGTCTCCGGTCCAGCACATCGTCCAGATCCAGGGCGTCGTCTTCTTGCAGGATGCACCTGGTCAAGGTCACACATCCAGTTTTGAGTGGATCATCGCAACATCCTTCTCAAGCCACAAACAAAACTAAAAACAAAGCTTGAACTATGCAGAATACAGACTGCGGGAATGCTATAGGGTGAAATACCATATATTCCTAATAAATATAGCAGGCAGTGATCACATGACATCATCAGTGTGACACTACCCCACCCTACGATCATGCAACTCTTGAGTTGTTGTGTCACATGACATCAGAAAACATTAAGTGATGCTGCGTCACATGAAGTGACACTACAACATAACAATGACGTCACATGATGCTGTGATGCCAACAGCATCACGTCGCATAGACACGCGAGACGGTGGCACCAACTACGTGATTGTTGTGTGTCCGTGTTATGTTTTAATTCTGAATGCTCTAGACTTAGAAACCATCCCATATAAGCATTCTGCTTTAAAATTGCTCTCCAGAAGCTATCGTGAACCTGAAAACAAAATCAATCCTACCAAAGTAAGAAAAAAACCTTTGTGCACTTAATGTAACACTAGAGCCCATTGACTTGTTACGCCACTGCTGCGAGTGAAATAGATGCTGTTACTCTGTGCCAACACCAGCAAAGTATGGTATGTAGAAAACATTTGGAGACTCAAGCGGTATGCCAAAATTAGCATACCATTAATATGTAGTTGTTCTACCGCATTCATTTGGGTGTGACAGAGTAAGCGCAAACAGAAGAATGCCAGTTCTTTTCCTCTTTCTCTCTGTAGTAAAAAGTTGTCAACTCACAAAGACTATTAGTGAAACAAAATGTATCAACTTCGATTGTATTCAGCGTTTTTCACTACACTATAATTGTAAAATGCAACAAAGCACTAATGTTCTGCCCCTGAGTACACACTGATTTTTTCATTTACTACAAAAAATCAGAAACTCTGCTGAAAGGCACTAAAGATTACAGCATTCTTTTTTAATTTAGTTGCTTTAAGGGGCGGTTGTCTAGTGAATGCGGCTATCTCTCCTGGCGGCTAAAATCCAGCAAGAGAGATTTCCTGACCACATGACCGACTTCATGGGGACTAGGTGCCTATAAAAAAACTCCATGTCAACTGTTCTCTGCTACACTGTCAAGGCCAGCTAGCTTCCACAGTGCCAAAGCCTAGCACTATTACGAAAGCATGTGGCTTCGTCTTGCACCTCATTCGCACGCGCTCTCGTGGGAAGGAGACGCCAAACAAAACGACACGCTCGTCCAACTAGTTGTCACTGTGTTACAGCACTGTGGAAGCTGCGCCAGCCTCGACTATGCAGCACAAAATAGTTGACGTGGAGACAGGCAAATGGCTGCCTCAAGTCCATCCTCGCACAAATTATTCAAGACTGCTTTGGCGCACAGAAAGAAGGTGAACAGGCTTGAAAAGTCAAATGAATTTTATTTGTGTACTTTAGGAGAGGCATGTAAAGGAATTTCTGGGGAAGATCGTGTTTAGCAAGAATTAAAGAAAACGAGAGGCAAGGCTTATGTCTGCCGAGCGGAATCGGCTGGAACACAAGGTACTTCCTGCTCTCCAAGCTAATCACGTGGCGTAAAAATCTCTCATAACCGCCGGGAGGAATAGCGCATTCACTATCCTAATCCTGAAGCCTAATCACGTAGATAAGAAGACAGAATGTGCAGCATTTTTTGAGCTGCACTAGATGTTTATTCAAAAGTATTTCTGAACTCGCAGTATGCAAACATACTACAGTCACAAGACTGCCGCCATCATAGGTCACGTGATGTCCCATTATCGCATCATGGTGTCACATAACACTGTGTCATGTGGCATAGGGTCACGCGCTATGTCACGTGGTGTTACGCAACACCACGTTGCGACACCGTGACGTCACGGTGTCACGTCATGACTCAACAGTTGAGACTCCACGGCATTGTGACGTAATGCGACATTGACATCGGTCACATCACTTGATGTGTCATAGGATGGCACTGAGACATCATGTGACACTGACGTCAGTCACATGACACAAACTGTCACACGACGGCACTGTGATGTCGTGCGACACTGATGTCAGTCATATCACATGACGTGACACACGAGTTCACTGTGACGTCATGTGACACTGACAACAGTCACATCACACGACGTGTCACACAATGGCACTGTGACATAATGCAACACTGACATCAGTCACACTGCACGATGTGGCCACGTAGCTGGTGTCACACAACGGCGTCACGAGACCTGACCGCCGTCCACAAAATTTGGTGGGCACGTGACGTTTTTTCGTGTGTCACGTCCCATATTTCTCGGTGATCCTGGCGCTCGTAGCACATTCCGCATTAAAATAATTTTACTTTCTGGAACAGGCATAGCCAGAAGCAAACCAAACCGGCGACTCCGACAGCCGACAGCTATCGTTAACAAGCCCCCCCCCCATTTCCAATTTCAACGCCGCCTTTCTTTCTGCACGGTCTCGCAAGCGCGACCCTGGCAGCGGTCACGCCACTAATACATTGTACAAAAGACCGCCTGCAGACATTGTCTAAGGCCTGCTTCTTCCTCGTTTGACAGTTCTGCCACACTGGTCATTCGGAAACTGTCTTTAGGCGTGTTCGAAGCACACGCACGTATAAAGCAGACGTGCTTCAAACCTGCTCGAGGCATGTCCACAGAAAAATCTGCCGTCGTTTCTGCAGCAAACACCGTGTCCTTTGTACGACATACGAGCAGCGCGACCTGCAGCTTAAAGAGCGCCCATGAAGGCAGTTTCAAAACTTTTTTAAAGGCATTTTTGGACGCTCTGGGGTCCTAGCATGGCACTCAATTTTTTTTAGAGCCTCGTGACTCTTTTTTTTTTTTTTTTTTGCCTGCAAATAAATTTTTTGAATTGAAAAAAACATTCAGACGTGACACCGAGGAGCGCCGTCGTCGTCGGTAGAATTCAGTGGACGCTCAGCGCAGTTCCCGCTGTTGGCCATGGTGCACAGCAGTATGTGAACTGGAAAAACGTACGACGACGCACTCGCGGACAAGTTGCTCCCATTTGGCGACCTGGTGCCGATGAAACAGGGAGACGCTTCTCGGGAAGCAAAACTCTGGACTGGCGCTTTACGAGGGTGCCCCAAATGTGCCGACAAATCCCCAGTCGCCGCCTCGGAGCCAGCGATTCCCCCGACCCTCTGCCCGACGTCGAGAGTGCGTCATTCGTTCAAACCAATTGCCCGATGAGGAGCCTGTTGTCGTCGTGCTTCAACATCATGCAGCTCCTTAGTTTACATTTCTGCCATCGTCTTGGGGGGGTCTCCGGTATCATTCCCGGTGCGATTTTTACCGTACGTGTTTAATCTATTGGTGTGGCACCCAAACGTCCGTTCGGACTAGAACTTGGTCAAAGGTGTCCGAGACGTACCCGACGCCCATTTCAGTGGTCAAATAAAACTTCCAAATTGCCTTCGTGGTCGCGTCAAAGTAGGACAAGACAAAGGGTCTTCCGCCCACTCACGTGGAGCCGTCTGCAAAGTGGACCGTGAGCTCCGTCTTGACATTCTGCACCATGCCCACCCAGGAATCGAGGAAGATGGCCACGTCTGGGCTGAAACGCTGGCGCAAGCAAAACCAAAAACTACCACTGAGCTCGCCTCCCTTTTGTCGCAGACACTTTCTCTACAAATGTCCGTCTTAACCAATCTGTACACTTCCGGGGCCGATTTAGCCTGCGTGACTGGTTCCGAATGTATCCCTCTCTGTTGGTTTAACTAGTAACTTTGAATGACCTTAAATTTTAGAAAAGTTTATTTTAAAGGACCATGTCATAAAGCAAAAATTTACCAACCTCCCTTTCAACCAACCTCCCCCCCCCCCCCCCCCCCCCCCCCCCCAAAAAAAGAAAAGCTTTTTAGTGCAACATTTACGTTGCGAGAATTGTTTTGAGTTGGGATTTCGAATCACGCTTTCTATTGCGAGACGTTTATTTTTTATTAAGGCCCGTTCACACTCTTGCGACCGAGTACGACTGAGAGAGACGAGATCTTTTACAACTTCTTAAATGTTTCTAGAATGAGGGAACACACTGACATTGTGGCGCCATCTATGCGGTGACCCTGGAACTGCATTTCACAAAAGCGAAGGTTTTGCGGGATTTCCGAGGTCAAATGTGTGTAATACCCATAGAAAGGCTCGTTTATAACATTGACAAAAGTTTTTCGAGCCAAAAAAGAAAGGATATTGCGCGAGAAATAAAAAAAAAATATGCCGGACCGCCGAGTTTACACTGCTTCCCAATAGATGGCGCCAGTGTGTTCTCTGGTTTAAGAAGTTTTAAGGAACCCAGGTTTAAGAGGTCGCAAGCAGTCGCAAGAGTGTGAACGGGCCTTTATTGATATATTACCTAATCTCTCTCCCTAACGTTGCCAACAAATTTTTCTATCAGTTTCATAGTATTGTTTTTTCCATTTTTCATTTATTTGATCCTTAAGGGGTACTCCGGCGATTTTTTGAGCTACCTTAACTAACTATATTTTGTGACTCCCTGGCGTTTACCGTTCCCGGTATGCTATTTAGTATCGCGAAATTCATAATAGTTATTGTGAAATCGGCAAATGAAAATGATGCAAAAACCCACATTCAAATATACCCGCACTTTTCAGTGCCATGACGTCAGTGGCGGGCAGGCTTGCCAGTCGAGCGAGCAGTCTAAAAAATAGAATATGCCAATCATTAGTTCCGTGCCGGAGCGCGGGGAGTGGAGCGAGCTTCCAAGGCATTCATTTGACACCATGAAACTGCTTCGAATCAGTTGGGAACAAATTCTACAGCCCAAAGAGTGAACCCCTGCCTTCCACTGACGTCACTTTTTCGTTGTTGCCAGTAGAGACTTTCAGTTTGAAAAACACGGTGAGGACCAAAACTGTAAATTCAATAACTTCGTGAAAAAAATTTATTTTGACCTAATATTCGGGTTACTATTTTAGCAATGTTGTTTGGCGAGTTTAGCAAAATTTGAAGCAAATCGGGGTCCATGAAGAAATCGCCGGAGTACCCCTTTAAGGGCACTCTTATTGAGGGCATTACATAAGGAGGGGACAATGCAATATACACTTCAATTCAATGAAACAAATGACAAAAAATAGAACACATTCTCCCGATAAAAAGAAAATTTTGAATAAAGGCCCATTCACACATTTACGACTCCTTAATGGATGGTTCACACCAGCCTCTAAGGAGTCGTTCATTAAAATATTGCGTGATTCATTGTAATTGTTCCAGCAGTTTTGCCACCCATCTGAAAATCTGTTGACACATTTTATTGTTTTTCCTGTTCCACTGGTGTTGTTTTTCTTTCTTTCTTTTGCATTTTGTCAGAAAGTGTATATGCCCCTTCCTATCATAGCCCCATGAAGGACTTACAGCATTTAAAATAAATAAATAAATTTGTGTTGCGCTGCGTTGCGTCGTGCAGCGTATCGCCTCCCCATTGGCTCGTTGTAAGGGTCACCACCATAGCAACAGCTCGATGCAAGCAGTTTTAAAAAACTCAAACGCAGTCCAACAATACTGTGTGAATGAGCCTTAAGAATGTGTCTTAAAAGCTCTTACGATAAGGGGAGACACTGGCACCATCTATCTGCTAGAACACTTTCAGTGTCTGATTAGTTTATATTTTTTCTCACAAAGTTTTTTTTCTTCTTCTTGGCTCGAAAAACTTCTGCCAATGTTATAAACGACCATTTATCGCGATAGCATGCGTATTTCATCTCGCAAATACTGCAAAACCTTCGTTCTAGCGAAATGAAGTTCCGCGGTCAGCTCATAGATGGCACCAGTGTGTCCTCTCGTCCTAAGAGATGTTAAGATGTTTTTAGGCACTAGGTTCTCAGAAAAAATCACGAGTCATTCCACTCTGTGGAGGTGGATGACCAGCGAAGCTTTTTAGCAGACGACACAGACCCACCCCGAGAAGCCAGAGGAAACTAGACACGCGCAACAGGACTGCCACCCTGGGAGAGCGGAAGGAAAGCAAACTAGGCAAGCTAACGCTAGGAACAACGATAAGGAGAAGGCAGTGCGAGGGTAGAAATGGCTGACGCGGGTCGCACAGCGGCAAGTCTTTGAGAAACCTTTATTATCTACCCGAGAGTCTACTGATCTTGAAAATGGTGCCTAGTGATAACTAATCTACCGAATAGACCTTTTGCTAAATTACCCAAGCATCAAGGAGAATGCAGGGAATGGTGTTCCAAGTGCCTCACGTGCCGGCGTCTGCAACTGTTCTAAAATAAAAGCCTAAAACAAATGGCATCTTGCACGCACGTTCGTCAACGCTTTATTTTGGTTATTTACTTCGAATCTCTTATACAGGCAAGGCGTGCGTGTGCGGCGGTGCGAGCGTAGAGTTTTTGGTCACGCACACGAAAAATCCCCGAAAACCTACCCATAAACAGCTTCATTGTAAAAATGTGAGTGCGTGGATGGGCATTAACAGAAAACGGTAGGGAACGCTCCTTGCGTACAGATATCTGAAAATCATTCGTGCCCATGCTACCCCTCATCCACTTCCCTCAGTTGATCCTCAAATTCTATCATTCGCAGGAATGGTGCCGGCATGCCATTGTGTCCTCTCGTCGTAAAAGGTCGCAAGAATTTGGTTGTAAGCAAACTAAAGTGTGCAAACCAACCTTAAAGGGGTCATGAAACAAATTTTGGGCTGGGACAAATGAATTTAGATTGGGATTTTACTGATAGCATATCGTTTAGTGGGCCAATAGAAAGAAGACAGAAAGTCAAAAGCCTGATTTTTGGTACGAAAATTTTAAAACACAGCACTATTTGTATTTGCTTCCCTTGCAAAAATCTGCCTTTTCACTGTGATACATCCGCGGTACCCAAAGCGCGTCACCCGGCCCAAACGCACATCACACTGCACCGAACTTCGCTTGTTCCCTTCACTCCTAAGGTGACAGTGCAGTGCCAGTTATGTGTTTGCCGGACCAATTAGCCACCTCCCTTTCATCACCTGACCTCATTCTCTTCACGTGGGTATGCGCAAGGGAGCGTAATCACGTGGCAAAAGTGTAGCTGGTCTAACGAGCACGTAGCTTCCACAGCACTGTCAGCTTTGGGGAAAACGGGGTGGGGAAAGCAACTTTGGTCCGCGTTTTGAGCGATGGGCTAGTCCTCTAGAGGGAAAATGGCGGTGTCCGGGTACACAAACCAGGGTCCAAGCAAGAGGGGAGTCCTTCCTTTCCATTTTCTAGAACTGTTTGGTACAATGCGCGATTTGTGAGTTGAGGAGGAAAGTTAAGAAGTAAAAAGTTGAAAAATTGTTTCATGACACCTTTAAGATGTGTCAACCACAATAAGAGAGAAAAACAAATATAAGATTTACGCCAGAAAATATGGTAGCTTCTACTGCACTGTATGCTTAGTGGTCCATGCAAGAGTATGCGTCCATGCAAGAGTCTACACGGCAGACTTTCGTATCGACGCATAAATCGATGAAGGAACCCAGATGGAGACGAGAAGAGCCAGTCACCTCAAGGGGCACCAGGTCGGCGCTGCTGACGTCCGGGATGACCAGGTCGCTGCCAAAGACCTGCACCGTGGCCGACACCTCCGTGTTGCGGCAGTAGCCCAGCTGCGTGTCCCGGCCTTTCACCACCTTGCGCACTATGTCCCCAGGCATTAGGGAACGGTCCTGCAGCTTCACCTGCGAGCACCAGGTATGGGACGAGGGGTTACTCCAGATTGAGAGGGGGGTAAAGACGGGAACAGAGCCTGGCAAATCGTAAACGCTCACATCTATGGTTAAAAAAAAAAAAGAAAAAGACGATGGGTTAGATGTGTTTGTTTTGCCACAACGACTTGAAGTTGTTCAAACGCTTGTCAACTTTATTTCTAGAATGCGTGACACAGGTATTTTTCCCGTAGTATAAAATAAAGCTAGAAAAACAATAGCTACAGACCTTGCACACAGTGTTTTCCTGCTTCTTTATGTATATTCAAGCATCGCCAGTGATATGGGCATCAGGATCACCCATAGGACCGCCGATGTCCACGTCTATGCCCCGCCGCTTCGAAGCAGCCGCAATGCATGGGATGAGACGTTTCCCTCTAGAATTATACAGTAAAGGGGCCCTGCAATCATATTTAAGCGTCAGCCTTTTTTACGGTTTCCACGTCTCTTAGGGTTCGGGCAAGCCAGCGGGCATGGAAAGAGTAACTAAATATCAAAGCGTCAAATTTTAACCGGACGACGCAGAAACCTCCTCCACCTACGGGGGCAACCCGCAGTACCGAAAGCGTGCAAAATGTGACGTCTTTGGTCCTGGGCTTACTACTGGTCAGAGCCGCTAAAAGCTTCTTTTTAGTCGAAATACAAAATATAAGTGGCACGAACTGTTTCAATTATTTATAAAAGTAGTTTTTGTTTAGTATTTTAGATCAGAAAAGAAACAAATGCAGTTTAGAAGTACGGAAACAAGAAATGACCCGTTGACATACCCGCCACCAAGCGGTGGAAAAGGCAGCGCATACTAGAAAGTGGTAGTGGGATCAGGCACCAACGAGCGGCGAGCATAGAAAGGTCCCGGATGTACGCGGCGGCGCTGCGGTCGTATGGACAGGAGGATCCGATCGGTTCCAGGTTTTCCCAAGGCCTTCAGCGAGCAGCTTTGGCTTGCGGTTTGGCCTTTTGGCGGTCTGGCAGTGCGAAGTGGCTCCCATTCTGAACTGATCTTTACCCTGTGTTTGCTGTCGTTTCTGGCCAATGAAGTGTCATGCCAAATCAGTGTTTAATAGCGCAGCAAATGCAATGCGAACCGTCTTGGCTGCCCGCCTCCTCCTACAGCCTATCCAACACATGCTTTAGTGGCGCCCTCTCGAGCCGTCGACATGGAGTGCGGCAGCCGTGACTGCTCGCTGAACTCACTACCCCTCCTCTAATTGACGGCCACTCAAGCAACCAGGGACGTCATGAAAGAGGTTATTTTTTGCTTGTTTTTGTAATTTTTATTTGCCTATCATTTTTAAAATAAAGCAAAAATCGAGAAAAGAAAAGTTTCTTTAAGTTACTACATTCAGTGAGCTCAGGTTCGGTGCAAATTAAAAACCAGCAAAAAAGTCCTTGCAGGGCCCCTTTAAAAAAATTCTGACACCCCCCAAATTTTTTTTTTTTTTTTTTATTTTTTGTTAGGGGATTTATTGTGGTATCAGAAGACTACCCAATCAATATTTTCCTACAGCGTCGCATACATTTTTAAAAAAGTAAAAAACATGCAACTGCTCGAAACCGAAACCGAAACCGGACCGGGGAGGAAAAAAAAATATAGAGAAAGTTAGCAAAAATAATGTGGCTGTGGAACTTTTTTTTTTTTTTTTGGTGCATTTGTTGTTTTTTAGAAGCCACAAAAAACGGGTATCACATTTTTTTGTTCATTTTTAGTACTGAGTGTGTGCCTTCGATGACCATCTTTGGTGGTTGTGTCTAAACCATAGAAAATGGCACGTGACCACAGAGAAGAGAGCGAGCACGACTCAAACCAGCCGGTTCTCAATCGGCAGTTTTCAGACGAAAAGAAAATTAATTTCGAGCGCAAATTGTGTCTTGGGTAGTTGGACTCTCATATGTCATGTACAAATAAAAACCTTGATAAGCATAAATACCCTGTCAGTGTCCCTTTAATTTCCAATGTATATTTTAATTTCTTTGACGATCACATTATTGCAGTGTCTCATTCTTACTCAAACAAAAAGAAGCAAAGCACTTACAAACCTTCCTTCTCCCTCTCTCTCTCTCTCCCCCCTCCCTCCCCCCCCCCCCTCACATGCACACACAGACACACATTTTTCTTTTATGTGTTGTAATCATAATAGAGATCAGTGGTTGTAATATCCCGAGATGCCCCACCCGGAAAGACAACCCACCCCTATTTTTGCCATGATTTGCTATTTTTTTCAAAAACGTTGAAAGATAGCTTATTTTTTCCCTGAGTACAGGGCCCTGGCCAATGGTGATCTCGGCAGAAATGATGTTACTTAGCCAAGGCGGGACATAAGTGAACATTGCTGAGGAAGGACAATCTAATTTGGTTCACAAAATCTAAAACTGACTTTTTTTTATGCTTTTTTTTCTTGCACACTGAAAGTTAGCTTACTTGTTATTTTCACCAAATTTACATTCGATTTTAGGGGGGCTATCTCTCGGGATTACAGAAATTACTAAATATGATTATCAATGTAGTTGTCACAGTTAAATTCCATGTTGTTAGAAAACTCATATTAACCTTGACTTTCCCAAGGGCGGATCCAGAACTCCGTTTGAGGGGCGGGGGGACATTTGTAAGGATACTATTCTCCGTGCACCGGGGGGTCCACCCATGTCAAAGTGCCCTCTGAAAAGGGGGGACGGGGGGTTGACCTTCTTTGGAGGGAGGGGATGGGGCGGCCACCCTTGTAGCCCCCCCTTTGGACCCGCCCCTGGACTTTCCCTTGTTATTAAAGCAGGCACATAGGCGGGGGGGGGGGGGGGGGGGGGGGAGAGGGGCCCATGCCCCCCCCCCCCCCCCCCCCCCCCCCCCCCGTAATTTTTCATTTTGCCGGGGCCTCCTATCCCCCGTCCACTCATACAGCATTTTGTGATGGGTGCCTGCCCCCCCCGAAACAAAATCCTGGCTACGTGCCTGTATTAAAGTCTTGTATTCGAGTGGGAGTCTGTTTGTTTTCCTCCTGTCACACGGTAAGATGAATGAATGAATGAATGAATATGGAGTTTTCTGGCGCAGCAGCAACATAGGCCATAGTGTGCTAAACCCAGGGTGAGTAAATATTACAAGACTAAAGGTTTATTATTGCATTGAATCAAAGTATCAAATATCACTTAAAGAAAATTGTAGTTTAAAGTCGATGTAAAATATTAATGTTTTCTAAAAAGTAAAAAACTTGTGTGTATGGAGTAACAGGCTCATCTCCAAGTAAAAGTGCCAAGTGGAAAGGGATTTGTTCTCTGAAAAAGATAGGAAAGTAGGAGCGGCGTTCATTATTACATTGTGGGCATACTAAAAGGATGTCAAGTACACTTAGGGTTTCTGAGCAGAAGTCGCACATCGGTGGGACATCATCTGTGTGTGGCCTATCCTCAGTCGGCAAAAGATGACCTCATAGAACCTTTCCCCGTGTCGGGCACTGCACCATTCACTTAAAAGAGGTTTAACTCTATGTAGCTTATTGTGAGGATCAGAGTCCCACTCTACTTGCCAGGAATCTTTGATTTTCTTTCGTAGTGTAGTTCTATAGTCCGTCACTGGGAGGGTGTGAATTTCAATGGACCTATTTACACGTGCCCCACCTGCCGCTCAATCAACTTCCTCATTGTTGTATATTCCTATATGGCTAGGAACCCAGCAAACGTGAATAGTGATGTTTTACTTTATAGCATTCATTACTTTAACATGAAGCAGAGAAACGAGGGGATGTTTCCAGGATGTTGCAGAGTTAAGGCCAAGAAGGAACTGAGCGAGTCTGTAAATATCACAGATAATCTGTATTTTTGCTTGATTATTTCAGCTACCATCAATAAGAGTCCATGAAGCTCAGCAGTAAATGCAGATGCATTGGCATTAATTCGTCTAACACGTTGGAAGGACTGCCCCACCGCAGCGCAGCCAGCATAGCCAGCGCCTTTCGCCCATCAGTAAAAAAAACTTTTGACCGTCTCGTATCGACTGGCAATCTCAAAAAATTTGTTTTATAACATTAGCGGCGGCCACTTTCTTGTTGTATTTTGTCAAAGAGAGGTCACATGTTATAACTAGGTCATCTCAAGGAGCAAGTCTGTGTTCAGTTTCCATGACAGAACAGGAAATATCAAAACACTGTAAGATATAAAATATCCTAAGGATTTCCTGATGAGGCTCGACTTTGTTTCAAACTTGTCTGCAGAATTCTACCACGAAAGTATCACTTTCAAGTAACGGCAGAGAAGTGTCAGACATTTTTCACTCTGTGCCACTATATGAAAAGGGCTGGCATCTAGAGCCTGTCCTCACCTGCTTCCTCCTTACTGTCTTTGTATTCCCACAAAATGTTTTACACATATATTCAATTGGTAAACAAATTTCTCTTTTACTACCAAAAAAGCGTGAGAGTGCTACGATGGACAGGGTCGACTATAATGCAAGCAAACTAGAGTGTTTCAACAGCGTAAGGTTGGTCCACCTCAATATGGTGACACTGCTTCACACTGAAGATGAGAAACCGAGCCAGTGCAACAGAACCGCACCAAGCAGTAGGGATACACAAACGCACGCCAGTACGATGCTCATCCAAATCGAAACGGGTAGGGGTGGGGATTGAGTCCAGGACCCCCGGGATCTGCAGCGCAGGTTTTGGCTACGGACACTCTGAGCTGTGGCAGGCTAATGAACTTAGCCAGTGGCTCCTAAAGGGTCAACTACGCTTCCTACCCCACGAGGCTGGAAAAAAGCAGGCCAGCTATTCCTCACACCCAGACTTCCAAAGGGTTCGAGTAGTAACCCCAGTAATGTACACATTACGATGCATTTAAGTACGGCCTGAACAAACATGCTCCGCCAGAAATGCATTTTAAGAACTCGTACATCACACTCTGTTACACCGGTACTTTCCGATTACACCCAGAGACACTAGGAAGTTTTAGCAGATCATTCAGACAGCTCCAATAATTACACCCGATACTCCGCCGATGCCTTCGCACACACATCAGATCATCGTCGGTAATAGTTGTCGGAGGCATCAGAATGATCCACTAAGACTCCCCGACGTTACACAAGCACGAACAGGTGAGCCCCTGTGCACCAAAAACCAAGCCTCGAATAAGCTCGGGTGTGCGCAATGGTTCTAAATGAAATATGGCCTTCATTCCTGGTTTCTGTTGCAAATCGAGACATACTGCCCTTTCCGAACCCTAGAAATGGAGACGACTGATTAAGTATGGGCTCATCTAACTCCACAAAATGGCCGGTTGCGCATCTAGTACCAGCCGACACTCGCCTCTTTTGCCGACCGCTTTGGCTGCCACAGTCAATCGCAAGGCCAAACAACTCGAGCGGGAACACACACACGGAAGAACATAAAACAAAAGTTCATTGGTACTCTTGCGAGAGTATGGGCTAAATGTATGTCGCAAAACGACACCGCATTGTGTGGCAGAACGCTTCCAACCTGCATCTACTCTTCATTCGACCGGCAAACCCAATGGGAGTCGGGTGAGGGAGTCCTGGTGCAGTGGTAACATTATCTGAGCTCTGCCCGGCGGGCGGCAGAGGTTTTTGTTGTATTTAAATTTTTTGCAAGTTCTATGTACACTACTTAGATGGCGCCACTGTCCACCATTGCGCCCGTGTTGTCAGGGTCGCGCCCCCGTGGCGCTTGACCCCCATCTTTGTTTATTGTTATATAAATCAGTTTGTGTTTGGACCTTGACTCTGCCTGTCGTGTCTTCTCTTCTGGGGCGTTCCCGCCCTTTGGGCTCTGCGAGTCCTCGCCTCACCACCTCGTCATGTGAGACCTCGTCTTTTCCGCAGGCCCACGTAGGCCCTGCGCTCCTTTTTATTTTCACGGGTGGCTGTCATTTACTACAGTTCTTTCGCCCACCAGTCTGGCTGCCTGCCCGTTTCTACTACGTCCAGCCCGCCTCCATGTTTTGCCTCCGCAGGATAAGACGACGCTGGTTTGGAAAATGTATGACACATCCCAGATTGTTGTGTTTGGCAGACTTGTGTGGCATATGCAACAGAACTGCATAATTCTGCGAACAAAATCCCTGCTGTGCGGTGGAGAAAGTGCCATGAATGCCAGAAGTTGCTGCAATTGCCCCCTCCTCCTCCTCCCCCTGGAAATTGTCAGACGTCCACACCTCAAAAAGTTTCTGGGGAGAACACTGCGTTATATACTGTTCCCTCAGCCATAGCAGTTTTGCATTCCACTTTCGCACCTTAGGTTTTCACTTCGAAGTAACCCTCGCCAGAAAATGTATCTATGTCCGACCCTGACGAGACAATGTGTTTGAATGCCACGGTAAAATTTTGGATTGTGCCGATTCCCAACAGCGGCTGTTCTGGGAATTCATGCTGCAGAAGCCAATTCTGTAAAGAGCCTGCATAGCACAGTGTTCGTAAGAAAAGTTTCACTTCCTCCTTTACTCCAAACGTTGTTTGTAAGTCTTCCATTCAACAGTGCACAGTGTGACAGTGTTTGCTTATGTGCACTAGACACTTTTTTTGCAAAGTTTATGTACATTAAAAGAAAACAGTATGAGGTAGACCACCCCTTAAAATTATGCTCTGTTCAAAGAATTTATGATATGGGATGGAAAATCCAAGTTTTGATGATGATGGCTACTCTTCTTTGACAGCTCGCGATGCATTGGCACCTAGGTAACCTAGGTTCGCGTCTAGAATAACAGAATGCTCCTCACGTGGTGTAACGTGAGCTGATGTAACCAAGAGTAAACGAGGAACCAAATCAAACTTCTTTTTTTTTTTTTTTTTTTTTTTCACCCTTCTTGAGTTTCACTTCCCGTTTAGTTTTCTCCCCTTTCCATTCAATTTTTACTTATAGAGTGTCGGCTACGATGTTACGGTATGCTCCCAGAAAGGAATGAGAGCTAAAAGGCCCACACACGCATCTAAATAAATAATAATAATCGTAAAAAAAAGTTGCGTTCGGAACGCCATGGCAGGTTCGGACATGCCCATGCAGGCTCCGGCCTTGAGTTCTTAGCCGACCGACCGGACACCAGAGCAAGAACGTTCTCGAAGCAGTGACTGGAGAACGTTCTTGCCCTAGCAGTGCCTCTGAGTCACATTTCACGCAAGAGCAGGCGGAAATTAGGTGAGTCGACCGCCGGACGGTAGCGGTCACGACGCAGTCGAAAAGGAACCGACAGCTGCTACCTAGTTGGTGCTCACTGGCCGGTCGGCTCTCGCCCAGCCGGTTCTAGCCCCTTTCGGGGTCCCGGGGCCACGTACTTTTTTCTCGGAGAGCACTTCCTCGCGGCCCTTGGGGTGCCAGGCGACCCGGACGTGTCCGCGCTTCATGCGGTCCCATTGGGGTACGTTGAGGGACACCTCGTCTTCTTCCTCACTGGTCACGTACTCGGCGTTCTCCAGAACCAGCCCGAACTCGACGCGACCCTTCTTGTTGATGCGGTACACCGAATCCTCGTCGAAGTATTTACAGTTCGAGGCCATATTCGATGCACGGTTTGGCTGCTTGCACTGCGACGACTCGAGCTCTCTCTCGCTCTTCACTGCTGCTGCTGCTGCTGCCAGTCGCCGAACACCGCAGAATCTCGTAAGGTACGGGAGTCGGCGAGACGACTGGCCAGCGTCTACCCTCGTTGCTATGACAACGGCCCGGGTGATCCTGACGTCATTGTTTGGCGGGAGTTTGAACTTTAAACTGTCTTGCGCGTGATGAACAGATGATTTCCCAGAAAGGTAGAAGAAAATTAACAGGCGAGTAATAGAATAAGAGTCAAAAATAGAAAGCTATCCAACATATCCAACCTGGTAATAGAAGATAATGCAATCTTCGACGGCTTTCGTACTGAAAGCGTTCCTCTAATATTAGCAGCTTTGGGGCTGTGCAGTGTGCATACAATAAACCTCTCAATCATGCTTATCTCCACAGGTTTCTTACGAGGGTATTGTTGTCCTTGCTTGCTTCAAGAAAATAAAATTATCATAATCTAAAGTCTGGGAAAAGAAAAATAACGGACGACGACACAACATTTGATATGTTGTGTCGTGTTGTCCGTTATTTTATTCCTCCTTGTCTCAGAGTTCAGATTATGACGTTTCCTAAGCAACTCGCCTGCGTACTTTTGCTCCTTGCAAGAAAATTATATTTTAATGCCGCAGAGCACTTCCGCTGCATTCGGTGGTGGTGCGCAGGGCCGGATTAAGGTACGGGCTCATTGGGGCTGCAGCCCCGGGCCCCAAGCAGCCAAAGGGCCCCGTACTAGCACCCGGAAATATAAATAAATGCTAGTCAGTTTCAATTCAAAACAGCTCAGAACGAAAGGGGATTTTTCTCTCTTTTTAACGGTGAAACATGAATGCTATAATGTACCCTTCTCTAGACGAGCTAGTGTATATGAGCTTGTTATACAAGACTGTGTTAGAGCAACAAAATGTAAGCGTGGCCTTCTCGTTGCAAGGAGCAAAGCTGTTGATGCTGGTGGTCTCTTGAAGTTGAAGACGGAAGGACAGCCACAGAGTTCTCTTTTGTACTGGGGCCCCCTTTGACGCGTTTTACGGACAATGGGCAAGCAATTAACATACGAATGCTACACATTTTTTTTTTAATCTTAGTTTTGGAAGAGGAAACATTTAAAAAATGTTTTAAAAATTCGTTTTTCCCGATAACTATTGATGACTGGAATGAAATTAACGGACAGATACTTTTTTATTCGCTTTTATTAGCGCAATTAAGAATATCTTCCTTTCCCTTACTGCATGTCGTTTCCAGTTAATGATTTTCAATGGCATCTTTTACAGCGAAGCTGTTTATGGCTAGGGTTGCGTGGATTTTTCGTGCGCGTGACCAAAAACTCTACGCTCTCACCGCACCCACGCGCCGCACCTGCCGGCGTCTGCAGCAGTAACTGTTCCAAAGCAAAAGCCCAAAACAAATGGCACCTTGCACGCGTGTTCGTCAATGCTTTATTTTGGTTATTTACTTCGAATCTTTTATACGGGGAAGGCGTGCGGCACGTGGAACACCATTCCCTGCATTATCCTTGAAGCTTGGGCTGCTGTTCTCCATTTTCAATTTTCTTCTCTCGTCCTAGGGCCGCGTATAGTCCGGACTCCCGAAGAGCAACGCGCCTACGAAGAGCAATGGCGGGAACGGCAACGAGAATGTCAGTGGCGACGGCAGGCGGCACGTGTGTGTGCGTACCTTTCGTCACGATGACCACCGATCAAGACAATAAATGTGTTCGTACCTTTCTTCGAAATTCCGTGTCAGTCTTTGTCGTGTGCTAAACAGCTTCGCTGGTCACCCACCTTCACAAAGTGGATTGGCTCCCAATTTTTCTGTGTGTTGTTTTGTTCGTGTATCTGTATCGTTCACTCCTCCAATGGTCTCATATGAGGTCGCAGTATGTATAAATAAATTAATAAAATAAATAAAGTCACAAGAGATACCGGTAGACCTCTGTCTCTTGGAAGTTTTCGAGGCGCTGACTGCAAGCAACTTGCCCCCACTGTCCGGACCACGGCGATAGAAATATTTCAGGTGGCGTAACGCTGCGCCTCCCCCCCACAGCCCTTGGCTCTGCCTCCGCCAAAGAGCCACCGCGTCAAAAATTGGCACACGATTCTCCCCCCTGTCGCCAGGGTGCGCCACCAACCCGGAGGCTGCAAGCCCCTTCATGTTTCAAAAGTAGCGCAAGGTGCGTCGATGCACGAGACACATGCAACGTGCAGCACTTGGGAAGATCATGGCGGCACAGCGCAGCACTGAGCTATAGATTTCCTACGCAATGCTCTTCCCAGAAGTGGCGCGCGGCACGTGTCTCGAGCATTTGCACAACAATGAATGGCGCGACTTTTCCCAGGATAGAGGGGCTTTAGGAGGCTGAGGAGTCCGTCCTTTCATGACCGGTAGCGTGTGCCGGGCTACAACGCCCCATAGTTTTACGCAGTTTTTGCGTGATTCTCGTATTGTTTCTGGCCGGTTTCGGCTTCCAGAAGTTGGGAGAAGTGCCTCGTGCCACGGTGCAACGCAGCATACGAGACGTTCACACTGCAGCTCTCCCTGTCTGCTACTCGACAACAAAGAGAACCACCCGAAATTATGCTAACATTCAGTGACTCTACGTGCAGCCGACAGACTTCGTCTGCGAGAGTCATGTCGAGCCGACTATTTGTAACCAAATCGTGACACCTGTTCTTGAACGGCCACGTTCGCGTAAGTGTACCATCGCTCTGGCAGAAAACGCAGCACTAAGACAACTCCCTGGCTGCCCCAGCTACCTACAAAAAACGAAAAAAGAAATAATTGGCTGCATTTTTGGCCACTGGTAAACGCAATGAGTTGTGGTAGCTTTACAAGAGCATTGCTAGTGAGAACAATTGGAAAATGAAATGCTACGGTGATGAAACAGTTGTAATGTGCTGTACACATATCGAACACGACATCAAGAATGACGTCTAGGACGACACCCTAGAAAACGACGTCAAGAACGACGTCTAGGGCGGCCTCAAGGATGACATCCTAGAGGTCATAAAGACAACATCAAGGACGACCTCAAGAACGACGTCGAAGACGACCTCTAGGACAGCGTCGATGTCAAGAGCGACCTGAAGGACGAACTCAAAGACGTCAGCAAAGGTTTCCCCAGCAATTGAATTTAGGGGGGGGGGGGCGGAAGGGGGGGCTCTAAATTGTTAGGGGTGGGGGGGGAAAGGGCATTGAGAACAGAGGAGTCGTTGCAAATTAAGGGGGTGCTTTAAAAAAAACAAGGGGGGGGGGGGGTGTACACCTGTAAGTCAGCCACCGACGCTTACGTACGTGACCGGCGCTTCGCGACCTTGAGGACATGACCATGAGAAAACTTTTAGTCGAAGGAACAGACACACAAGGGAACGTCTCTCCCTTCTGTGTCTGTTCCTTCGACAAAAAAAAAAAAAAAAAAAAAAAGTCTTTCCTTTTCTGCACTACAGCATCAGGTGATTAGCTACCACCAGCTCGCGCCTGCAGTCTTTTCACAAAACAGTGCCTAAAGCTTTCAGAAATCGATAGATAGTTAGATAGATAAAACAGTGCCACAGCTACCATCGCAGCGCACGCGAGGTCGTTTTTGTACCATCCGATCCAACGATCAACATCCAGAATTCCAGATCGTTCCGATGATTCTGATACTGATACCCGATACTGCGCAGACGCCTTCGCGTATGCATCGTATCGTTATCCAGGGTATATGTTTGATCTCTGAAACTCTCGTCCGCCCGAAACCAGTCAGTCCCACACATTACATTGTTCATGAGCTGGCGCTTGAACGCCTGAACTGCAACTGCACGCTTCCTGTGACTGCCCGGCGCTCTCGTTTTACAGCCGCGTCTCTGCTCGTCCCTCTTCGCCTGGCTGCACCCGCGGTTGCCGACACCGCACTGCTTTGGTGGTACACAAAGCCCGCAAACAAAGGCCTTCATAGTACCTGTAGTCGCCTTGCTGCCGAGTGCACAGAGACAAAAGCCCTTGCTCCAAGAGCGAGTGCCGATTGCACGCAGGGGCGGATTTAGAGGGGGGGTCCGGATGGGCGGCGGAGAAAAGCTCACCGGAGAAAAGCTCACCGGAGAAAAGCTCACCGGAGATAAGCTCACCGGAGAAAAGCTCACCGCAAAACCGGCAGATGCGGAGAAAAGCTCACCGATTTTTTTTTGTTTAACTTAGCGGATTCTGCGTTAAACATGACAATTTAAGACAATTCGCATTCGCCACTTCATTTAAAAAAAATTCCTCTTTCTTGTAATATTCTTGAAGGTCATTGGGCATATTTACTAATTCCTCAGAAATTAGTAATCACCCATTCTGTATATTAATTAAGCCGCAAAAATGATATCAGAACATCGTACACTGGTAAAAAAGACAACAATTTATTGAGAACTGAGGGTGCGCCGTCGGTAGCTCTGTCAAATAAAGAGGTTTGTTCTTAGTGAGCTAATATGAATAGCGGTGTGTGAACCGTTTCAGCTTCAAATATTTTGTAGTGCCTAATATTTAAGTAGGTATTTGTTGATGCAATCAGTGTCCGCTACGCTGTTTTCTTTCTGTTAATTTCACTGAGAAAACTTTAGTTGCGAGAACAGCTTCAGTAGGTATTTGTTGACGCAATCAGTGTCGGCTGATTGCGTCAACTCGCCCTATTCGCTACCTTACAGAAGACTATTTCTTATATAGGTCACGAGTAACAACGGTGCCAGTGTGCAGCTCTGAAAGTCATGAGTGGCTCACCTTAGAAGGGCACTATCACGCAAAGGCAACGTGCGGAGACACCAGCACGAACGGCTAGAAAACGTGCATGTCCGTGGAAGAAAGAAGCCTGAATATCCTACTGACTGTTCTATCCTGTTTTCAAAGGTTAATAAAAGCTTCGAAGAGAATTTCAGGCACCGCGTTGTTGCGCATGCACTTTCGGATTTTCGGTGTTTACAGTTTTGATTTTTAGGTTTTGGGGAGAGATAAGTTTTCGAACTTTTTCATGTTATTCAAGTTCATAAAATTTTCAGTTAAGCTTTAGTTGCCTAAAGAGTAAGCCGCAGGAAACAGTGGCCCGCCATTATTAATTTGGGAGCAATATACTCAATAAGCTTGGCAAATAATACAAAAAAGGACATTTTCTTTTTGACAAAGCTGACGAAATTTAATGATAATAAATTGATATATGTTACGCATGAATCCAACAGCCTCCATATATATAAAAAAAATCGGTGAGCTTTTCTCCGCATCCGCCGGTTTTGCGGTGAGCTTTTCTCCGGTGAGCTTATCTCCGGTGAGCTTTCCTCCGGTGAGCTTTTCTCCGGTGAGCTTTTCTCCGGGATTCGGTCCGGATGTCCTGACCCCCCTCTGGATGTTTGCATGAGCAAAATTAGTACGCTGACCAACATCTAACCCCCCCTCAGCCCCTGATTGCACGCTCCGCGTGCTTTCGGCGAGCGTTCTTGCAGCCATTTGAAATCCGCGCCCCAAGGGCGGCGGGGCGGCGGTGGTGTCGATCAGTTTTCGGGTGCAAAGCAATCCTCATCGGAACGACGGTAATCGAGTGGGCTAGCGCACACCTGTCAGGACACTTGGCGAAAACGTCGGCAAGTAATTCGACCCCTGCGATTGGTCGGCGCCAAGGCCGCTAGCTAATCGCGGCTACCAACTTTTTCGCCAACAGTGTGTCAAGATTAGTGCCCCAACTCGGAGCACGTCGAAAGCTCGCTACTAAAGGCTACAAGCGCGAGCTCCTTGCTCTTGGGCAGATTAGAGTCACTAAATGAGCTGCGCTTAGAGTATCGGCACTCCGTTCCCCGGCATTGTTGTGGGCGCCGCCATTATGGCTCGTATGCAGAGCAGACGCAACTGCCGATCGTCATGATTCAAAAGTGCGACTTCCTCAGATTTAGATTCGTTGTTAAGGTCACGCAATATTGCTTTGCTCTGTTACGAACTGTTTAAACATTTGTGGAGGGCGGAAAGGCGTTTCCTGTGATTTCAGATAAAGCTTCAGATAACTGGCAACCATGATTTTAAGACACAATATGGCCAAGTGTCGTTACTCTGAAGCGTAGCTTATTTAGTGGCACTAGGGCAGATCTCGGCGGCACAAGCTCTCGTGCGCTTGTAGCCTTCTCTGCAGTACACCATATCACTGGCTAAGTTCCTCATCTACAGTGGGTAACAATGTCGCCAGAACATTCAGGCATAAATGAATGAATGTTCTGGCAGCATAAATTTATTCATGCATGAATGAATGATCTGGCAGACCAACGGCCAGTGCTACGGGAGCACGGCAGTCCGATTTCAGGTGACGTCAATCCGCCATTTTGTTGTCAGATACAAATTTGATGGCAACAGATGAATCCTTAAAATAACTGCCTTTGGCACGCACCATGCAGGCAGTTCATAAACAATAAATAGCGGTAATAATTACATGCGGATTTGACTGCTGCCAAGTCAATCCTTGAAATACTTGCCCTCGATACGCATCGGACAGGTCCGAAAGGTCATAACAACAAAATGGTGGACATAACGACGTCAGTGAAAGGCTGCGAGCGGGAGGTTAGTCCACGGCGGAAGGTTAGTCCACTGGAGGTTAGTCTGATTAACCACGCCTACACCCGTGGCCTGCACCCCTGCACGAGCGCTCACGTAGCCGAGGTGCGATCAAACGCAAAAACCCCGAGACCGTTGCTGGACTTTAAAATACTTTCTAGATGGCGCGAGCTGCCGCCTAACTGAAAAGCTTTAGCCACATGCCTTTGATTATTTATTTATCCATTCGCCTTGTCGGACCCTCACGAAGATGGCGACCGTTCTTCGGAGGCTGTCCTCACCCTTGACGCAGCTGAAAAACGCGTCGAAGCTGAGCCGTTCCCTGCCCAACCTGCAGTCGGCCCGCGGCAAGGTGTGCTCCAGCTCCGGCGCCCTGTGTCCCGAACCGGAGACGAATAACCTGGGCGTCGTCAAGGCCATCCTGGCCGTGCTGCCGGGCCTGTACGTGGGGGCCACCATCAGCAGGCAGGGGGCTGCCTTCCTCGAAGAGAACGACATCTTCGTGCCGGACGAAGACGACGACGACGGATAGGCGAGGCGCCAATCGGCTGTAGTTCCCCTCATTAGCGCCCGGCTGTTGGTTACCCCTCAAGCTGGCTCACTACGGACTCTCGGCGAGACGCGGCGGCACGCTGCAATAAATCGTACGAATGCGTAGCTGCCAAAGTGCCTCGTTGTTTCTCCTAGAGTTCTGCTAAGTCGCATAGTCCATGTAGAGACAGGGCTACATCTTACACAAGAAACGAACACCCTAAAGTCGGTGACAGGTTGAAAGAGTGAAGTGGAAGCTCCTCCCACCTCTTACCACCTTAGCAGAGCGAACGCGGGGAAGGAGGCAACCTCCTCTCCAGCTTTCGTTCTGCTAATTTGGAAATAGGTGGGAGGAGCTTCCTGCGCCGGCCGGAATCGCCCTGAAACCAGGACGGTGCACAGCGCTCCTTGGTGGTGCAGCGCGAAGTCTGTGCTGCGCCGCAGCGAGCGCCACCATGCATTACCTCGTGTTTTGTTCGTTTTTCCTTGCGTTCGTCTGCGCGCGGTGCCCTCTGCTAGGGTGCTGTGGGTCTTTGCACAATGGCAGACACAAGGTGTTGCCGATGTTGGAGCCCTAGAAACTTTACTAATAACACTTCATTTCTAGCGTATGTAGTTTTAGAATCTCATGTTCTGTGGTGTCGCTTGTTCCGCCATTGTGCGGTGCTTCAGACCTTCTAACAATGAGCACGTGACTTTCGAAAGGGGTCTATTTCTTTTGGTTTTTTTACTCGCGGATTTAGCGTCCCACACAGATGAACGCCGGGATGCAATTGTCGACGGGGTCACGAAGCGGGCGACGATTCCGCAAGCATATTTTGCACATCACTGATGGTTCAAGAAAGAGTTACACCAGATAGTAGCTATACCTCGGTGTCATTGAAACGCCTCGCAACGCTTTCTATGAAATTCATAACTTTCGGGCACTCTTTGCTACCACAGCGATTGTTGGTAATCTTGGTGACGGTAAGAAGCTTGTCGTCCTTGCTGTCAGAAGAGCTGAGGAAATTATCGAGTGCTGCCGCAAGGAGCATTCATTCTCGCAAGGTAGCCATCTCAATGGAGTGCGCGTCTGCTATGCCTCCTCGATTCCGGCTCCTGGCCGCGATGCTTGACGGGACTGCACCCCGGTGCACTGTCGATTTTCTTGGTGCACGTTCGTGCCATGAAAAGTCGCACCAGGAGGGTGCGCTCTGTTCATCGAGGACGTCTGGTGTGCATCGGTGCGGATGATCGAGGACGCTACGACTGTCACGATATATTGCATTCGCTTTTCTTGTGTGCTGCAGTGAGCTCGTTTAACGGCCCTTAAATTCATTTTTCGTTGCAATATGGTGAGCAGTCTACCAAAACGCGTCTCTTTGTCTATGAAAACGGAGGTACGAAAAAGTGGAATGTCTCTGCGCATCAGAGGGGCGTGAAAAGGTGAGGAAGTGATTACGTGTGCGGTGAAACTCCAGTTTAGCAAACACAGTTACTCCTCTCTACGGTGGCTAGCAAACTGCTGCGGAAGACAAGAACCAGCACATTTGGCACGCCTTGCAAAATTCAAATTCCAAAAGTACATCCATGAAATTGGGCATGCAAACATTGTTTTGCAAGTTTTGTGTCTTATTTTGAGAGCTCAACTTGGAGGCGGTGAAACATCAAAAATGAAGCAAAAACAATGGCCGCATGCGTTCCCCACGTCCTATATTAAATGTTTGTCTGCACACTGGTTTGCAAGCTGTGGTCATTTCGTTGAAATCATTACTTATCGCAACTATCCTGCTTTTTGCCAGCCTCTACAAGGCTTTGTCAACGTTTTTGCGTTCAGCAAGCCACCCAGGGACAAGCTCACAGACCAGCGCAAGTTCTGCTGGTTGCAGCACACCTGGCAGTTGTCAGTCAACAAAAACAATACATCCGTCGAACTCTCATCTCCCTTTTCTTGAAGGCAAAGTCCTCGCTCTTAATAAACTGTTGGATTTCCGAAAGCCATAAAGAGGCAAGGCAGCCATTGCTATGATTAGCAAAGGACATCACTGTACCTCTCCAGAAAGGGCAGATAAACTTGGTTGCTGTATAAGACTTGCTGACAGTCTATTTTTAGCTAACATAATGCAAACCCATTCTCCCCAAGATAAGCTGCTAAAGACCCACTTACATATTATTTTGCTCAGATTCCAATAGCCAGGCTTTTGGGAAGCTGCAGAGACATGCAGAACTCGGAAAAAATGTCATCTTTTATTTATAAACGCATCACACAAACACACACACATGGCAACATGACAGTAAACTTCGTATGGTTCACTTCATAAACACACACAGGCACGCCCATCGGAAAACTGCAGCATCATTCAGCACAGGCAATGTGAAACTCCTCAAATGCGCAATTATGTTGCACTACGAAAAAGTTCGAAAAGCAGCCTTGGCATCGGAGAAGCTGCTCCGTAACATGGCAAGACCCTTTGGCACCACTGGTTGGGCATTCCTTGGTGAAGTGCGTGGCCATTGCTTGGATCATTGCCTCTTTGGGACATAGGTCAAGGGTGGCTCACACCCGCCATTGCAGATCGTGGAAAAAACATGCCACAATTGGTGGCATCCGAACAGGAGATCGGGGGGGGGGGGGGGGGGGTGGGGGAGATGACTGTCCTTGCCCCCCTCCTCTTAGACATTCCTAGTAAACAATCTGGAGGAAGGAAACTATCCTCCCATTGACCCCCTCCATCTCCACAATACTTCCGATGTCACTGTGCAGGGGCGGGCAGATTCAAGGGAAAAGGGGGGGAGGGGGGGAGGTGACAACCCAAGGACAACCTTTCTAGAGGGAGGCAGCCTTCCTGAGGCCAGAGCTGACGGCCCTAACAACAAGAAAGAATGCTCGCTTATAAGAAAGCAACCATCCGCACGCCTACCCCCTGCCCTGCCCCTGCTGCCCCCCCCCCCCCCCCCCCCCCTTTCCCGTTTCCGGCGCTCCGTTCCGCCACTGCGAGGTGTCGTTTTGAAAACATATACCAGTTTCTTTTTTTAGTTGCATATCTGAGCAGCACTCTGCCTGTGACGTCACATCTGTCTGCGACGTCAGAGCCGAATGCTTAGCGCCTCCCCAAGTCTGACACAGAATCCTCCCCTGCCACTGGCCACAATTACCACAAGCTTCTCATTGCACTGAACCATTCTACACTTCCTGGGAATGAAGCAAAATGGCATTTCGCCGCACGTGGTTATACGGCGTTCCAGAGCAGGGCAACATAAATAAATAAGTTAGTGAAAACACGGTTTGGCAACACCGTGGTGGAAGCTTGAGCGGGGCAAGGTCAATGTACACGCACCGCACAGCCCAGCCTCGGGACCATGTTCTCCCTAGCACCCTGCCACATGACATCCGCTTTTCCACCTCGAGTGTAGCCGATGATAGGCGTCGTCTGCTTTTTGGCGTGCGATTAGCTCCACCCGTGGTTGCTGGCTTGACCCGTCGCATCTGGCCCGGTGTCGGCTACTTGCATGGCCGACACCTGGTTGAGACGGCGGCCTTCACTTGGCAGTTACTCGGCGACCGTCTTGTAGGTGCCCCAGCCGTGGAAGCACTTGGTGAAGCGCTGGGACTCCTTGCCCTTCCAGGTCGCCACGAGCTTCCTCGGACGATCTGGCTGGGCCACCCTCAGGTTCTGGACGTACACCTGCATTGGGACACAGGTATTCTGAATCATCCGAGGAAAAGAGAAGAGCGCATACAGGGAGGGACCGTTCCAGCATAGGTGTTGGTAAGGCCAAAGGGGTTACTTCGGCTGTACCGACCACCACAAGACGTCAGTACAGCCAGAAACCTCTTTGGCCATACCAAAACCGAACGGCCATTGGAGGCTAATTCACACAGACATAACAATGCTAAATCTACAATAGGAGCAGCACTATACCCTGTTGTGGGTTAAAAAAAGCAGGACAAGCTGCTCTCTGGTTTTTAAGCCTCTTGTGACTGCTCATGATCGGGCGGCTGGTTGTGGGCAGCAACAAAAGGCTTAAAGACTGGTTTTAAACTTCTCCGGTCGTAAGCAGTCACACGTATGTGAACCAGCCTTTAGAGCATTGACACTTCACTACCTGATTGTTTTGTGAACGCCACCATTTGCTTACCTAGTGTAGAGTGGGCACAACTGGCAATAGTTACACGACTAGCCACAACGATTTTAGGCAATAAGATGGCTAAAGGGTCAGTACTTTGAAGAGTAGTGGCTCTGGCACCATGGACAGAGACAAGCAGATGACCCTTAGCATTGTGGCACCTGGGCCTTTCAAACATTGCTCACGCATCCCAAGCTAGGAGCAGTGGTCGGGGCAGATGATGCAACTGCCAGGGCCACTTGCGCCATCCGACCTGGGCAGTTTTGCCGAATGCCAAGACCAGTTGAGACTACAACGAAATTTCGGTGCTTCTTTTTCGGCCTATACGTGTTCAAAGGAGCAGTATCACATCGGACGCACCAATATCTCGTTAAAAAGAGATAAAGACAGGAAAAGGAATTTTAAAACAAATTAAACGGTTAGCAAAGAGCACCTGGTGGATGTCGCTAATGCCTCATTTGTAATGTCCGTCTAGGAACCTTGACAGGTAGTGACGATGCCTGTCTCACCTAGAGCTATATATACTTTGAACCTGACGTCATCCCGACAGCTCTACAGCCAGCACAAGAGAAGAGGGGAGGGAGGAACTTGCCACTGAATGGGACTCTCTTTTGTGTGTCCCAGACGTCGCTATTCCCCCTCTACAAGATTACAGAAGATTAACCCGTCACCAAAAATTCACAGAAACAGCTTTGCGGTTAGTTGCGGTGCCACAACCGCTGGCCTGCTTTGACCGCTTCGGTGGCTGGAACGTCTAGGGCATCCTGACGACGTCAGCTTCGCCGCAGCTACTCTCATCCCGAGACAAATTACGTCACGATTTCGCCGGATGTGACGTGCTCCCCGCTGGCTGCTCTCCAAGCGCTTGCCAAAGTGGGCCGTTTATAACGAAAAATACAGCCATCAGGCTCAAAATACAAACGTGCGATTGTCATTTACGGATATAGTGGATAATATTCAGCCTATTTCTGAACAGGATGGGTATATTTCAAATTTTGTTGAAGTATCTCTTTAAAGGAACACCGACACCCCTTAAAAAAAAAAGTTCATTTTTTGCCAGGTGATTTAGTATCGTGTCAAAGGACTACCCAATAAATATATTGCAACAGAGTCACATATATTTTTAATAAAGCCAAGAAATGCAACTGCTCGAAACAGAAACCTGCGCACGGAGGTCAAATATAGAGGAGAGAGAGTGCCGGGCCGGAAGTCACGTGGGCTACACCCGACCGCATTCTTTTATTTTTTCTGCGGCCAAGCGCAGCAGACAACGCAGGTACTGTTTGCCGTGCGATTGCTCTGCGTCTTGATGTTTGTTCCGCTTGCTGTTCTGCACTTCGAGTTTTTTTTTTTTTTTTTTTTTACACTGAAGAGTTGGAAATGAGTGCTGAATGCCCGTGATCGGCTCCGAAAAGAATGCCCCCAAGATGTTGCGTGGGGAGCTGCCTCAAAGGTTGTGTATCCAAAAGTGGCATTGTGCGGCAGAGTGCATAAGTTTCCGAAAGATCAGCGGGTCAGGATCAATGGCTGGCTGCAATCCCGGCAGAACAGTTACGGGAACCTCGGAAAGTGGACGCTACCCGATTTATATGCTCATTGTATTTTGTGCAAAGTGACTACATGGAGTTTGCAGGTGTCAAAAAGGGAGTCCCCTACCATTTAGTTCAGCAACGCTTCCTCCACAACTTTTTTTATTTTTTTTTATTTCGGAGACAATTGTAAAAAAGAAAAGTAAATATTGCAAAATCTTGGACAAAAAAAAAAAAAAAAAGCTTTCTATGCTTACAGGGGGATACAACCAAGGGCGAAGCGGACATCTTTCCACTGAGCTACAGTGTAGACCGCATATAACGCATGTCCCGGGAGTCGCGAAAATCCGCACTATAAGTTTTGTTTTGGTTATAGCGCGGTACGCGCTATAACCAAAACATCAATTTTTCAGGCCAAAATACATGCCATGAGACAACTGACCCTTTAAAACAATTTATTTTATATTAGATGAAAAATAAAGCTTAGTTTGAGGGAAGTCTTTATTTCACCAGACTAGTACACTTCTCTTTCAAGTGTGTCACACATTTTGAAAGAAATGAGCGACTTTTGCCTGGCGCAGCCTTTTAATGGCGTCGCGGGTTGTGGACGGACATTGCGAGCGTTCAGGATTGCTAACCCTAATCACTTTTCTCTGGTGATGAAAACGCGTGAAAATTTGCGTCCTTTAAACGGTACGCGCCAGTAATACCTTCAACTTGAGCACAGGCATGAAATGCTCCAAATAAAAAATCCGGGCGATGTTCGAAAACACAAATGCTTAGAAAGCTCCACTGTAGTTGAAGTAAACAAACACGACGACACGGGCGTTTCTGCCGTCTTGAGAGTGCCGCCACAACATCGCCGCACAAGTAGGTGTATCTTCCCTTCTAGTACGTGCTGGGTTATCATAGCGACACGCAAAGAAAATTCACAGTCAAGGATAGCGCTTCTACGCGAAACGATGAACTTCCACCACGCCGACTACGTCGACGATCAAAACCGACGCTATGTTTGCGGATAGAAGCAGCCGGCCGGCCGGCATGCAACGCGCGCGAACACTTCTCCTCAACCTGCGATTGGTCTGTCGTTGCGGTTGTTTCCAACGCAGCGAAGGGACGCACGCACGTGAGCAACACGTGTGCGTCCCTCCGTCGCCCCGTCGCTATGGCAACTGAAGCCTCTCTCTTCGCTTCTCCCCGCTTCTTCGAGCAACCTCCTTGCCCCGCGAGTGCCGCTTGCGGCTAGCGCCGTTATCTAGTGTCGCACAGGGAAGCGTGCTCGCTGCGCCGGTCGGTCGGCGCGTTTGGCGGGCTGTTCCAGAAACCGCACTATAACCGGTATTTCCCTTCGCTCGCCTGCATTTTAAGCAGTATGCAATTACATGGGAGTTGTATGGGAGGCGAACCGGTGGTTTAAAAAAGCCGCGTTATACCCGGTCCTGCACTATAAGCGGCTACGTTGTAAGTGGTCTATACTGTACTCCACAACACGAAAAAATGTTTTTCCTGACAACATAAACTTGTGGATGTCCTTGGGCATAGGCAGCTTTCTATTGTGGAGCTCGAAATACAACATTTTTAACATCGTAATGTTCAGGCAGATGAGGGGGAACTCCTCGTTCGTAGTAATACAGCCGGCCGACAGTAGGTCGACCGGCTGCATTACCTACAACAAATTCCCTGCAGCAAAGACACTTGCCAGGCATGCATGCATATTCAATGCAAAGTACGCACTTTGTGCTTGACGTTTGTGCGTTTTTCAAGCTCTTAACAATTTGTGTTTGTAAGACGAGCCATGTCTTCAGCTACAAGAAGGGGTGACAACTCGGCGACGTTTTCGTGCAAATTGTCTTGGTGGTCGGGCGTGTCGTACGGCGTGATTCCTAATTGTTTTGACCGGTCCAAAATTTCTCTTTCGAAGGAAGACAGATTTGCTGGTACCGCGAACGACACTTCTGAAGTAGAGGTCCCACGCCCGTCGTCCGCTGCCATTGCCCCCGTGAGTCCCACAATACGCGATACGCCATGTTGAGAATTACGCAGCAAACGCACCGAATGCTTCCGGTTCTCTGTGCAAGTTTTTTTTTTAATCAACATAGTTGCAGCTATTTAAAAGCCACAAAAATGGGTTTCATATTTTTTTCTATTTTTATTATTGAGTGCGTGCCTTCAATGACCCACAACTTTGAATAAATTTGGTGGTTGTGTATAAACCTTAGAAATCTTGGCCCGTTACCACGGTAAAGAGAGTGAGCGTGAGTCAAACCGGCCAGTTCTCGATTAGCGGTTTTCGGGCGGAAAGAAACCGAATTTCGAGACGAAAATTCTGTTATGGGTAGTTGGGCTCTCATATGTCACATACAACTAAAAACCTCGGCGAGCATAAATACCCTGTCAGTGTCCTGGCTAGTTGGCACAAGTCGCCTGGGCACTTGTGCCAAACGCAAACATTGAGTGGCCCGACCAGTTGGCTCAGTTGCACGGGCCGGTTGGTGCAGCACTGAGTGGCCTGAAAAGGGGGATCTCGCCCACGTTTACCTGGGCGCTCTTGTAGGCCAGCTTGACCTCGACGTCGCTGCACTTCTTGCCCACCCAGAGGAAGACCGTGGACCCGCTGTCCAGGATCATCATGTCCTCCTCGGCCAGGTCGTCCTGGCAGAAGTCGGCGCACTTCTCCGACACGGCAAAGTAGCCCTTCTCGTTGGAGCACCGGAACAGACGCGAGTAGCGCAGGAACTCCGCATCCTGCGGAAGGGCGAAGCGGCGATGAAGCACAGTTCTGATTGGGATTGTAAACCTCTCTGGTGCATGCTTAAGGCTGGTTCCCACAGTTGCGTTTGAGTGCGATTGAGCGCGCTCTGCCCACCTCCAACGGCTTACGATTGAACATGCTGGCGCCATTTATCGGTAGCCTCGGAGATTCATATAACTGGATCGAAGGCTTTGCGGTATTTGTGAGAAATTACTATCAACTACAACATTGTTAAAAAGTGTTTTATGCCCGTGGTGAAATAATGCCGCATACAAAATGAGAAGTAAGCAAGCGAGCACAATGCACTCAATCACAATCGAATACAGCTGTAGGCCTTTAGCGTGCCAAGCACGGCGGCTGAAATTGTGCCATGGGCAGGACACTGCGAGTTCGTTCCAGAGAATGTATGGGGGATTGCCTGCTCGCTTAGCAAATCACCAAATCCCTAGGGGCACCGAGGACGAAAGCTTTCCGAGTAAGAAACCTTGTAGCTCTTCGGTAAAATGCTTTCGTCTTTTGGCTACTGAGACCAACGTGCATAAAAAAGACTCTTCTAGGGGTTAGACTATTACGACCCCCAACCCAGATGCCATTATATTTATGGAGGTGCTAGCTCACGTTGCGAGTAACTAACTGCAATGAACACCTAAAGTGAGTTCGCCCGTGTGAACGGCACTTTGCCATGGATGGATGTGGAAAGGCTCGTTGCCATGAGGTTTATTTGTGATGCTCTGCCACAAACACAGGAGCACCATCAAGTCCATCCTATGTTCCCAGTGTCTTTACATTCAAACAACAACCCATAGGCCATGTTGATGGTCAAAAGCATTCAAAACAAAATGTAACAAATCAAAAGCGTTCGGAACAAAACATGTTTGTTTTGTTTTGAACGCTTCAGTTCATGCACCCAACTGATCCACGCTGCGTGAATGCGATGCCGATGCCCAACGACTTCGCCCCGACGTGTCGTAGCTATCGCTCGGACTGCACTGTGGATTAATGTGGGACAGCTAAATTTTTCTTAGAGCTGTTATCCACCTTCTCCAATAAATTAGACAACCAGAAAAAAAACATCCGTAAAAGCTAATCTTGGCTTTGTCTAACCTCTCTACCATAAAATCCCGTAAGGATGCCCACCCAAAATGAAGAGATAAATGGTGAAAAACATGGGGTGGGCTATCTTTGGGGATGCTACAGCAAAACTTTATCAAAAATTAATGATAAGCCGGGGCCCCCCGCTACAAACCACGTGGCACGGTTACTGATGCCGCAGATTGCGCACACGGTAAATCGCGTTTCACGAAGCGATAAACACGCTGGAATTCGGTACAAACTCCTGTGTCACGGCAAAGGATACCGCAAGTAGCCGACACAGCAGATTCGCGTTTCACGGTGGGAAGGACTCGCAGAAACCCGCCGAGAACTCACAACTCACGGGAACGGATCCCACAGATCGTGGATGCAGCAGATTCAAGTTTCATGGTGCAATAAAGACGTGGGAGCCCGCTACAATCTTGCCTGTCATGGAAACCGATTTCGCGCGCGCAGATCGGGGACAAAAACACGGGAGTACGCTACAAACTCGCATGTCACAGAAACAAATACCGCAGATAGCGGACGCAGCAGAATCACGTTTCACGATGCAATATACACGCGGGAACAACTCGCGCATGTTACATACAACTAAAAATCTATATCACGCGCGTAGCTCGCGAAAAAAAACACGGAAATCCGCTACGAACTGGGGAGCGGATACCCCAAATCGCGAATGCAGCAGATTCACATTTCATGATGTAATATACACGCGAGAATAACTAAAATGTTACGCGAGCCGATATCGCGAGCAGATCACAAACAAGAAATGCGGGAACCTGCTATGAACTTGCTTCTCGGATACACCGGTACAGCCGATCGTGTCGTTGATGCGCGATCTCCGTCGGACATCGCTTAACGTCCAACGGGAATCGGGGGGGAGGGCGATGTTTCGGAATTTTTATGTTACAGATATTTAGCCAGAAAAACGGAATGGGCGATCTCTCGGGGGAAGGTGCCCTTACAAGATTTTACGGTAGGTATGGCACCAGTCTACGCAACTCTGTGGCGTTACAACAAAAAGGCAGCCTTCTACTGGCAACCAAAGCAACATAGCAATGCCTGGCTCGACTGGCGTTTCTTGGCCAGGCTCCAAACCGAAAGCGTACCTGAAGTATCGCTACCGCGATGCGACGTAAGAGAATTGAGCTGGGGCACATAGGAGAACAGAGTGCTGTACGTCATGCGAGCCAAACTTAGAAGGCCACGATTTTAATGTTCAAAGAATTAGCCGCTTACAATCTTTATATTTTTTATCTTGGCACAAATGAGAGAAAATGTGCCACCTTCACCTGAAACACCGCAATTTCGCCGCGTAATTGCAACGAAAAAACTCCACATTTCCCAATCTGCAGTCGCATGTGGTGGTCATGGGAACCACAACGTGACGTCATTTAGAGAATGCAAGTTTTTGTGGCGCCATCTAACGAAAGTCAACAAAACCATTCCCTCCCCGCTGCAGCACTCCCCAACATTCCTGTAGCAAACCGTCTTTTGTCTGGATCGCTCGCTGTGACCTTCGACGGTGCTAAGCGGGTGCAGTACTCTATTGTAGCCGGATCAGACCTCTAAAGGTCAACAATCGCAGAGGGAGTGCTGGGGGCCCTGGAGACGGAACCGACCTGGTATTCCCAGAGACGCCACATCGCACTTTGCTCGAAAGACAGTGCGAACATTGAGGGGTACCCCAACCTTCAATTTGTTTTACCTTTTTTTTTTTAAATAGAAACAAGCGGGCGCGAGAAGAAATGGTTTTCTGTTTTTCACTCTGCAGAGGACGTGGACTAATTCCCATAATCAATGGCCAAAGTCCGAAAATGGTCAGTGAAGTGATGACAGGGTGGCGACTTCCAAGAGTGAACCCACCGTGTCGTAGGGTGCCTTCCCACCAAGGCCGACCCAGAAGAAGTTCTCTGGTTCGTCCCCCTCGCACACGGTCACCACTGTGTAGTCGGCCTGCAAAAAGAGGAAATAGCTTCAGTCATACCTAGGGTCCGCTGTTTTCAATATGCACCTAAAAACCAAGCAAGTTAATCCTAGAGCTAGTTTTATCACACAATCAAAGAAAACTGAAAAACTAGGAATGTTGCTGTCCACAAAAAAGAAAAACAGAAGCTTCACAGAAAGAAACCCTTACATACGAATTTATTTTCTCTCGAACTGGAACAGGTCCCTACTGAACTGCCCCAGAGGCCGCTTCTCTCTTCGAGAATCAAACCCCTTATTTCCTTTCCTTCTCTCATGGCTACCAAGACGCTTTACAAGTATTTGGAACACGCACGTATGTTTCTTGGGTGTTGGAGAGTCCCATGTCCATGTCTTGTTTTCTTCAACACAAACCCCAAAAAATGCCTATGTTTCCTTTAATTCCGAAAATTTATCCCGAAAAACACTGACTCTGAGAAAAAAAAAATTAAACCCCAAAAATGAAAAAAAAAAAAAAAAAAAACCCATTAAGTACCACATTTTTGCGCATATTACCCGCCCCTGCATAAAACCCGCACCCCTTACTACTCTCGAAAAAAACAAAAAATTTCCTCGCATTACTTTTGCAAAGCAATGTCCAGATCTTGCTAGAAACCATACCCTTATTCGGAACACACTGATCGCTGCAGTCACGGCACCTATCTGAGGTGCCTTCATTGTCGCAGACAGCATTGTAATCCATGCCGTCGAGACGATTGCTAATGCAGCACTTTTAAGGCAAAAACCTTATATGTTTCATTATATGAAAAGGCGTCGTCGGTGCTGTGCCCGGAAGATGGTCATAAAAATATGTCATCAAGCAGAAGCGGCTCAAAAATAAAACACAAAGAAAAGCACAAATAACGCAGATGCTTCGTCACAGACGCCAGCGGGGGCACCGCACCTGCGCAGTGGGAGAGCGTGATGTCACCGCCGGAGTGCCGTCAAAGCCGTGCTGCCTCCGCTTTGATGGTGCAGTACAAAGCTGGTGAACGCTTCCGTCAGCACGCGCTTAGCGCAAGGTCAGCGCTATGCTTGTAGCACTCCGCTGCACGTGTGAACAGGCCTTTACGCTTTCGCATTCTTACACATAAGCAGTCTTAAGTGTCTTCGTCTAATTTTTGGCGCTGTTCTGCACTATTTCATCCGGAAAGGTTGCAATCAAGCAGGATCTGGGACGAACTTTGCGAGCGCTTTTTCGAGCTCGGAGCTCGGAGTAGGCACCACTCTTCAGACCATAAAATGATCTACGGTCGTCGCTTGTAGTCTGCAGGTTCTCCTTCCTTCATTCTCTCCCGCACAACTCATCAACGACGTAGCGGTCATAATTTTGGCCTGCTGCGCGGTTTCCGATCTCTTTCGCAACGGATTTGACGGGAGTCAGATTCTTTGGCTAAGAGATCAAAAACGACGCTCCGCACGTTGCCATTTCGACTCAGCTGCTCAACCCGCAAAAACAATGCGAAGCTGGCAACCCGAATAAAAGGAGGAGAAGGTTGTGAAAAGAAAGTCCCTAGGAGATATTAGAAAAAAGGGACTGGAAAATGCATCCCTACGACATTGCAAGCATTGCCGTGAAGCTGCACTGTCTGCTGAAATTCACGCATATCCCACACCCTTACTTTGCCTTTGTATATAAATTTTGATGAGGGTTATATGCAAGAAAATACGGTACTTTTTACACCCAAATGGGGCACTTTCTACAAACTTTTCACTGACCGCTCCGTAGAGAGACTGGGCGAGTTCCTCGGCCAGCCGAACCTCGTCCGGATCTGCTTTGCTCCCGATCCAGACGTACACTATGCCCTCGCTGTCGTCGTCCTCTTGCTCAAACGGCACCTTCAGGATGTAGCTGCGGGGAAGGTCAATAAATCAATCAATCAATCAGTTTATGCACCCTTCCCAGAATGGCATTCCCCGTGCAAAGAATGTTTCCCCCATACTTCAACGGCTCTGGCAGTCAAAGATGCACGCACAAAAGAGCGTCGCCGAAGGCTTGGCATCAAAATGTGGGCTTCAGCACCGAGTTCATAAATTTATACACATACCAGAGGCACAAACTTGGCAAGTCTACACCTAAATGCTTAATTTACCTTGATCATGACATTCTGCTTAATTTTTATGATGCAAGTACCCTGCCATGTAATGCCCTGAAATGAACCTTTGAGGTATTTTAAATACTGTCAAGACCGGTTATAACAAAGTCAATGGGAATTGGAAATCACTTCGTTATATCCGCTTCTTCGTTATATGTGGACTTCATAAAAGTAACGCGAAAAAATAAAAAAACGAAAGAACACAGGCCGTCACGAGCACGTGTTCATCGTGCCTGCATAAAGCGGTGGAGGCTTCCCTGCACGCACTTTCTGCGAGATAAGCAGCCGGTTCTCACCAACTGAGAAAAGCTCCGATCGAAAGAAGATCCTGCGAGCTACGTACGGACCGTGTCAGCAGCTGCGACGGCCAGCGCGGAAGACGCTGGAGGTGGATTGCATTCTTTACGTTTATGCGCACTTTGTCGAGGATGGTGGCACGCTTTCGTTTCAAGGAGACTGCTCTCGTCTTCCTCGTCGAGGTGCCGATAGTGCCGCGACTCGCCACCGTTGAATGGCTACGATTCAACAAATCGGTGCTCGAGCGAAGCTAGACTTTCGCGCAAAGAGTGACCACACCGACTAGCGACGACGACACGGAACGCGAAGCAAACAAAGAAGCATGCATAGGTAGCCTAGATTTAACAGAGGGGCAACTAATCAATCAGGGTCACGTGGCTCGTGGGCCGCGTTTGCAAAACGAGCTGCAGCCTGCAAGGAGTCAAAAGCGTTCGCCGTCTGCAAAAGTGTCCGCCTCTCAACCCGGTTTCCTCGCCACGCTGGCCACGAGACAACCGAAGGCAGGCACACTTGCGCCAATCTGCCCAGGAGGCGTCTGCCATTAAATTGCAAATGCTCTCCACAGTTGGAGTTGTTTCCTCTCTTAAATCTCGGCTCTCTCCGTCGGTACGTTGTCGCTAGCGCTTCGGATGCCCCTATTGGCACGCCACGACAGCTTCTCCACGTGCAATGCAGAAAAGCCGCTTCCCAAATAAGGAGCAAGGTGCAGACGACGGTGCACAGGCTGCTGCCAGTGGCCTTTGCAGCGTGCCTGCGGCCTGTTCAGGGTGGCTGCTCGGCCGTGGCAGCAAAGTGCGGCAGTCTGCGACTTAGTAAACTTTCCGAATATGATTACTGGTTTTTAAATTACTGCAAAATATCTTTTTGCTATATCCACGGGAGCCACTCAATTTTCTTCGCTAAAAACAGACATAAATATATCGATCGTCATTGCTTCGCTATAGCCACCATTTCGTTATAACCAAACTTGTTATAAATAGTCGTGACAGTAAATAAAAAAATGAATCTTTAAGATAAAGTGAGTCTACCCTTCCATAATTTCCTACCTAGTTAATTATTTTAAATATCAAATTTAAGGATTCTAAGTTATATTAGAAAAACAATTTATATTCAACTGACTGAAAATTACCTTTTTTTAAATGGTAATATTGGGTAGTTAGTCTGTTCAGGCAAAAAAAGAAACAAAATTTTCTATAATAAAAAACGGAAAAAAATACTAAATACAGTTAAACCTCGATGTAACGAAGTCGGTAAAATTCGCAATTTACTTCGTTACATTGAAATTTCACTAAATCGAAATTTGGCTTTAGCATGCAAAAAAAATTCTAAAACATTTTATGGATATGAAAACTCACTGAAAATGACATTTATTTAAGAGGCAAAGTAGTCCGCGAGTTTCGCTTGCGCCTTGTTCGACAGTAGCAGTGGCGTCATACGGCGTTCGAGCGCCCAGAGCGCTCGCACGGCATCTTGCTGCCCATGCGACGCCGTGTAACTCCTCAGTACGTCCATTGCGTCGAGCACTTCCCGAGTACTCGAGATCTCGGCAGTTTCTTCAGGATGGCGTCCAAAACGTTTGCTTTCTCGTCCAAAAAAAGAACTTTACGTTTCCCTATGGCAGCAAGCACGTGAGTGAACCGCCCGGTTAAAAAATAAAGCTGTTTAGGCGGTGCCAATGTTTCCAACCTACACAGCACTCTTGCCCGCATAGTTTACTTGCCCCCTTGCACCACAGTGTGCTTGTGCCTTTGCTCTACATCACGCTCGCAAGACGATAATCGGTCTTCACGGTCTTCTTTTAGATGGCACTGCCTGTGCGGTCACGCCATCACGTCGCTCACCCGCTGAAGTTGGCTCCCGCGCTACCCGCGGTACAGTGGACTATGATGATCAGTGAATGTCAGGGGTGATGCTGTTATGCCGTGTTAACGTTTTGCTCGGCATTTTCTGGCCAGCCCCGTGGAATGCGCTTTGCCGCATGCCTCGCCGGCGCTACCAGCGCCGCATCCTCGGGCAGCCTAGGAACGTTGGAAGGCCTGTCCCCGTGAAGTAACCTATCAAGCGCTCGCGTTTGCGCATAATTTTTTTTTAACCACAATTTTTTTGCAAAGTTTTTCTTTAGAGTCTATTTATTTATTGCCTTCTATGCCAATGGCGCTTCGTTATATTGAAATAGCAGCGAAATAGACTTCGTTATATAGAGACTAAAAATACATGGGGTCTATGAGCAAGAAATTATGAAAAATAAAATACTTCGCTAAATCAAGGATTTCGTTACATTGAAGTTCGTTATATCGAGGTTCGACTGTACAATGAAAAACTATTCATACATCTTTTAAGACGCACTATTACAAAAGCTAAACTAGAAGCAGTAGTGTTATAAATGTTAAATCACAACAATATGTGTGCACACTAATTGCCCATTAGCTTAAAGAACGCCGCGTCTCGAAATAGTGTTTAACTTGTTTCTGCACAGCTATGACTCTGGATACCTCGAAACATGCCCGGGAAAGTTTTAAGAGATCAGAGTTTAAATCTGCTTGAAAAGCTGAACATACCGTATTTATTCGAATCTAGGCCGGCCCCGATTCTAAGCCGACCCCAAAAAGTCCGAAACCAGAAAAAAAAAAAAAAAACTTGCCTCGATTGTAGGCCGAACGAAAAAGCGAGGACAGCGCTCACAAAAAGGAGACATTTACTGAACATAAAGATGTTCAGTCTTCATGTTCACCGAACCACGAAAAGGATGCGGTGACGGCCTGTCACCAGACCACGAAAAGGCCGTGGTGACGGCCTTTTCGGGGTCCGGTGAATGCCATCCTCGTTGCGGCGCACGCAAATGCGCAAATATCCTCTCCCGTTGCCTCCTCCAATGACGGACATTTCTTTCATCCACGCTGAAGTCCTGCCCGGCTTCAACACTCGACGACAACTCCGCGACTAAAACAATTTTTCTTTTAAAAGCAGAACTCTAATGGCACCGCCTGTTTGGTGCCATTGCGCTTTTAATAAAAAGAAAACGCCATGTTGCACGCAAGCCACTATCAACGCAGGTCAAAATGGTGGCACCGCTCGTCTACTTAAGTGGCTACTGGCTCGGCTAGTAATGGCTACAATACTTTGTTTTCTAGGTAGCGCTAGCTGCGCGCCACTTTCTTAAATTTTACTTGGAAATTAGAGCGTGTTTCAAAGTCCTCGAATCTAAGCCGATCCTAGAGTTTGACGTATGGGTATTTTAAAAAAACTATCGGGCCGAGATTCGAATAAATACGGTAACCGCAAGACAAATTGTCGAACGAAGCAAAAAAAACAAGAAAAAAACAAAGTTGTGCCACAAAAAACTCCAAAGCACTACAATTCGCTTCAGATGAAACTATCTTTATGCAAATTTAATTTCTATCCTATCCTGCAGATAGAGCAACATTAAATAAACAACAACATCCAATTAATATCCAAAATCCCAAATACTCACAAACCCCCGAGTATTACAAAATGAGTCGAAAAGCTCCAATGATAAAGATGGCAAACCCCACTTTATGGTCTATAGTTCGACGTTCCAACGCAAACAAAAACTGACTACTACTTTTATCCTCGCTTACTTCGAAGAGAGACTCAACTCACCAAAAAGCAGAGTTGAGGTTGCTCGCCGTGGGTGGAATCTGTAACAAAAAGGCAATTGCGTCACTTCTCGATACGCCAGACACCACACTTTCACCGCAGAACAGAAGTCACATGAAGTACAAAAAAATTAATATATCGACAAAGAAGGCACGAGCAAAAGGAAGAGAGCCCTTTTCATCCTGGCGCATAACGTAAAGTACCATGCGAGTGCCCACTCAAAATTCAAAGATGATGAAAAGAAAAAGAAAAGAACTGGGGGATGGCATTTGTTAGATACGAAAGTGAAAATGCATAAGGGGCACATGATAGGGTGGGCTTCACTTCTTTGCACCGGCATGTGCGTCAAGCTTCACCGTTTTTCACCGGGGAGAGGCAGCTGATGCGTAGGAGCATCTCGCTCACTATTTAGGCCGGCTACGAGTCTGGGGTGAGAGTTTGATATGTCCTTTGCTTCTTTTCAAAACATTTTAAAAGCAACAAGTGGATGTTTTTTGTGACCATAGCGCCTTTGTAGTGCCGTAGTGTTATTACCATAGTGCCTTTTTACCCATGGGCATCAAATTTTAAAAACAAAGAAACACAAATAAAAACAAAGAAGCATGAATAAAAACAAAAATTATAAAGGTAGTATATATGGGCTTCTAGGTTTTCGACCAACTCTCCTATCTCACTGAAATTCAGTATGCAGATGGGCATTTCTCGATGATAATCTTGAATTTACAACCATCCTTTCACGAATAAATGATATCGCAAATTATTTTATCCCAATTAGGTGATTTCATAAACCGTAGGTTAGGAGGATTTCTCATTAAGACGATTTTAACTGCCTTTGGTGTGTACACAGTGTGCACCAGATATTTTTCAAAGAGTATTCAAAGTTGCGTTTAAGGACAGTGCAAATGCATCGGTGACGAAGGATACATCGAGCAGTTGTTTAGCCAAGAAGAAGGGATACTCTGACCAAATGTGCAATCTGAACATCTATGTCAGTTTAAGAAAATGTTACGCCCCTTTTGCAGACTTTCGGTACAGAGCTCGTACTGCCCGGAACGCCACTCCAACCGGTCTGTTTACTGCGTCACAAAAAGTGGTCCCTTGATTTCCACCCCATGACGTTATAAAAGTGTTGGGTTGTCACTGGTCATGACCCCAGTGGCATCAAGGCGGCGGTGGCGGACTTGGCAGATGCTCGTTCTGCCACACGTCACTCTCCAGAGTAGAGTTAATATAGTTTTCTAGAGGAAAAGGTCCCACGCATTTCGGCCATTTCGGAACGGCAGGGGTAGACGCGGACGTCTGCGGTCCCAACAAACCCGTGTCGCCGGCGGCGCCTTAATATACGCAAAGAACCGGCATAACGTTGTGCGTAAGGTCTGTGCCTAGTTTATTTCCAACTTCCTCTGCATGAAAACACTGGCAACGTGCGTCGTATAAAAATAAATAAAAGTTGACGAACACTCAAACAAATGACTTGTTGTGGCAAAACGAACACGTCCAACCTATCATCTGCTTTCGTCCTCCATTTTTCTATCGCTCTCTTTCTCATTCTTTTCCTCGCGACGACCGACGTCGGTGCTTACGATTTGCTGCGTTCTGCTCTCGTTTTTACCCCTCCCCGCTTCCAGCTCGACGGTCCACGGAAGCTTTGTCATTCGGAAGTTCAGACGTTGTAACGACGGTGACCCTCACATTACCACAAGCATTCTTTCCAGAACTTTTACGCCCGACTGCTAGGATCGCGACACCCTCCCGCTTCTGTGACGTCTCACGTCGTTGTTCGGGACCACTTTTGACGCCAAACGGGACGCCGAACACATCAGTCGGAGAAGCATTCCGGGCACCATGATCCCACTTCAACCAGCGTTGCCACTCTGGCCAACGTTGCTCACCTGCACGCAGCGTGTGCAGATGGGGCTCCCGTTGGATCGCAGGTGGAACAACTCCACGTTGGGCTTCTCCCTGAGCTGCGCCTCCTTCCGGCTACCCCAGTGGATCACAAACTTCTGCTTGAAGTGCGACAGGAACTTGAGGTTCTCTTGTTGCTGCGCAACAAAGAGAGCAATTAGCAAACTGCTCCTCCGTGGTGGCTAATCCTTTCACAGTCAGTATTTTTCTTTTTCATAAGACGTTTTTTATTGGTTTGGTTTTATTTTAAATGGATAGTACAAAGAGTCAATGAGCAGGATTTTTCAAAAATCCTCTAACAAAAGCACATACAGTGCTTGTGAGATGCGTCACACGAAGATATTGAGAGCAAAATGTCATCGCCTTTCTTCCATTCAGTTTTATTTTGGCACATCTGCTTCCATGACATTCCGGCGGTCTTAGATTCCGGAGGTACATAGAAGAGCTTCTCCGTCAGTTGAGAAGCTTTCAACCTCAAAGAATTCAATTCAGAGAAGCGTTGAAAGTCTGAACTAGAAGAGCTGACGCTCCAATTGCCACTACTGTCGGAGCAGTCGACATGCGAAGCAACTATGTTGCGCTTCGTGCGTGCAGAGTGTCTAATTCCCAAACTATAAATAACCCCAGCAAAGTGAAACACAGTACAAACATAATGTTTATAGTTCATCTAAGACACAAAAAATGTCAGCACCTCCCGCAAGGGGGCGTGCGGTATTGTGTTGTTAAGGCAAAAACTTTCAAATATGTAATCCCCGCCGTACATGTACAACAACAACCGTCAAAGGGTCAGGCAACTCTCACACGGGACGGCCCAAGGAGCTTTCACGGGGGAGGAAGCAAGCTTCAGCCTTTTGTAGCAGACCTGGGAGCAGCAAAGATGCCTTTCTGGGGAAGCTTAGGAGCAGTAAACATACTGCCTAGAAGCGGCTCAGAAGCCAAAAAAGTTCAGTTTTGTGGCAGCATAAGTAAATCATGGAGCTGGTCACCCAGGTCAAACTTGTGGCTTTAAGCACAGTGGTGTTTTTTGCTGTCGAGACGTCCTGTTTGTCCTCTCTTTGTAGCCTCTGTCTTGGGTTTTAGAAATGTTTAAGTTTAACCAGCTCGCCTGCCTTATTACCTTATCTTCTAAGCCAAATGTTTTATTTTTTAGAGTAGTTATTGTTTCACCCAGAGGTTAGATAATAGGTGAAGACGTGTCAGCAGGCTTTTAAATACTTTATATACTGTAAAGTCCTGAAAGAACAGCCACCTATAATGAAAAGATAAACAGCGAAACATCTGGGTTAAGCCATGTTGGGGGATGCAATAGCAACATTTTATTAAAAAATTGGTAATAAGCGTGGGAGAGGGGAGGGAGGGAGGGGAGGGGGGCACTACCAGTTACGTGAAACAGAAACTCTTTGACTTCAAAGTTTCCTATTTTTCCCCTCACCACATTCCCGGGCTTAAAACATCATGATTAACTATCACCAGCTTGCATGCGCATACCCTGACTTTTCATTAATGATATCACAGAACGTAGCCAAGGCGAATTCACGTTCTACGGTGCGACAAGCACGAAGAATTCGCTATGTACTCCCCCGTCACGGGAACAGCAGCAAAATGCGGATGCAGCGCATCCGCACTTCACAGTGCGATATGCACGCCAGAACCCGCTACAAGCTCAAATGTCACGGCAACCGATACACATGTGCAAATTGCTGAGGAAAAAAAAAAAAAAAAATGCGGGAAAGGGTTAGGAATTTGCATGTCAAGGGAACGGATACCACGAGAAAATCAGCGACGAACACGCTTGTCACATGTACCGATCCCGCAGATCGTGCAGCTGGTGTGATTCCCGTCGGATATTGCGTGATTGATATCTGGCAGAATTGGGGGAGCGGGTGTCAATGTTTCATAATTTTTGTGTTATGGGTGCCGCCACCCGCCGACGGGATGACGCATTGAGCTGCCGCGGAAAGAACAACGCAGCATCAAATTCGGGTTTACTACGGTTGATTGAACGCCATTTCATCGAAACACATTTTAGTGAACGGGCTTGTTTTATCGAAGCTCGGTTTAGAGAAAGTGGAGCCTCAGCTTAGAGAAATGCCATTTATCAAAAAGAGGGCACTGTTTAAAAAAAAAAAAACTTTCAGCCATTTTACTCTGGTGAAGTAGGAAGACCAGCGAAGCTGCACTTTGGAGGGAATGAAGTCATGGCCGGCCGCAAGTTGGCAAACCAGAGTGGAAGGGCTCGAAAGGTTGCGCCATCTACGTGCGACGGTGGCAAGCACAACATTGTGGACAGCTACTGTTATCTCTGAGCGACGGCGGCAACCAGAGTTTTGTGTCGACATTTCTTTGCGGGACACACGATCCTGGGGAAACTAGCCCTTAACAGCTCCGCTGTAAAAGGATCCCCTACTTTGCGTGTCTATCACTAGACTGCATGTTAACGCCATGCACCCCCCCCCTTCCCATTCATGAAGCTTTGCCAGCGACAGTCTGCAGCGGCTCATTACAAGAATGTTAACCCACCTGGCCCTCCCGTACATGCCGCTTCGCGACGGCCGAATTCGCTAAAGGGAGAGGAGGAAAGGGTATGCTGTCTGGAGAGCCGCGGCCCACATTTCTCGATTGGGCATACTGACTGGTTTTTTTGTCAGTGTCAAATTTGAAATGCTTCAGTAGTGGGTTCTTTTTCGGCCGCACCATCTTGGGTTGGAGTTGTCGGAGCCTATACAAAAAGAAGGGAGGCATCCATTTTATCGAAGCTCATTTTTTACGAATGCCAGTTTAGAGACTAGAACATGAAACGCCAACATCCAGCATCTGGCATTCACATTTTAATGCGCTCGACGAGTGCAGTGGAGACAAAGGCTGCTAGCTTTAGGTCTACCCACTAACCATTTGAATCGGAGCCCGGCGTACTGATGTCCCCCCGCGCTCTTGTTTCCTTCTCTCCCTTAGTTCCTTGGCACATAAACGGGAGTCTCTAAATTAGCATTCGTAAAAATGAGCTTCGATAAAATGGATGCCTCCGTTCTTTTTGTATAGGCTCAGACAACTCCAACCCAAGGTGCTGCGGCCGAAGAACCCAATACAGAAGCATTTCAAATTTGACACTGACAAAAACAAGTCAGCATGCCAAGTCAACAAATGTGGGCTGCGGCTCTCCGGACAGCATGCCGTCACATACAGTGATGCCACAAGGCAGTGTATGATGTGCTTCTGGTAGAGAAGCCGTTGGGCAGCAGCAACCTTTACCGTCCTCCAGCAGCAGCCATGCTGCGAGTCAGTCACCAAGAACACCACTCGAGCGGCCAACACTGCCATCTGTTGTACAACGGGGCTCCGGAGTAACATTGAACTTAACCGGAAAAAAGGTATAGACACATGTGTCGAGCTCGTCACCCCAAATGGCCGGCCATTTCGCTTGATGGATGACTCCCGGTTCAAAAAAATGATTGATTCCGTGCTGAAGGACCTCAAAGATTGCGTCACAGTAAGTGCTGAAAGCTTCCGGCAGAAACTCTCAGAAAAGGCGGAAATTTTTAGAGGAGAGGTCTCGAAGTCCTCAGGGCATGGTTGGTGTCACTGAAAATCGACTGTGCCATACGTCAGAAATGCTCAGTTTTTGACGTGAACTTCCAACATGTCGAAAACGGGACAATTCAACTGCAAACATTGGCAATGAAATATATGTTGTAGGAAACCGCGTACCGCCGCCGATTCGCCATTTCCCACATGGTCAGTCAACAAACCGAATCCAGCCTGGTTCTTTCACAGGAGTGGGATTCCGCTCCCCAGTTATTGGTACAAAAAAAAGTGAAAGCCGCTTACAACTCCCTGTAACGCCGAATTAGAGCGCAGCTCTTGAGGAGGAGGAGGGAAGGGCACTGGTGGGGGGGGGGGGTTCAACTAACCAGGGGGGTCACGTGACCTTGGGCGTTCATTTAATGACCTTATGACGTCATCAGTGACGTCACTGATGACGTCATCAGTGATGATGTCGATGACGATGCGGATGTCGGTAACGTCGTCAGTGATGATGACGATGACGATGCGGATGCCGGTGACGTCATCAGTGATGATGACGATGTGGATGCCGGTGACGACATCAGTGATGATGACGATGACGATGCGGATGCCGGTGACGTCATCAGTGATGATGACGATGCGAATGCCGGTGACGTCATCAGTGATGATGACGATGACGATGTGGATGCCTGTGACGTCATCAGTGATGATGACGATGACGATGCGGATGCCGGTGACGTCATCAGTGATGATGACGATGACGATGTGGATGCCGGTGACGTCATCAGTGATGATGACGATGACGATGCGGATGCCGGTGACGTCATCAGTGATGATGACGATGACGATGCTGATGCCGGTGACGACATCAGTGACGTCACTGATGACGTCATCAGTGATGATGACGATGACGATGCGGATGTCGGTAACATCATCAGTGATGACGATGACGATGCGGATGTCGGTAACATCATCAGTGATGACGATGACGATGCGGATGCCGGTGACGTCATCAGTGATGATGACGATGACGATGTGGATGCCGGTGACGTCATCAGTGATGATGACTATGACGATGTGGATGCCGGTGACGTCATCAATCACGATGACGTCATCGGGGGTCACGTGACCCCTCCCCGAGGTCACGTGACCTCGAGGAGGGGGTCACATGACCTCAGGGGAGTCACGTGACCTCAGGGGGAGGGGTCACGTGTCCCCCCCGAGGTCACGTGACCCCGGTGGGGGGCTCGCGCGGTGCATTATGGGAAATTTCCCATGATGCACCGCGCGGTTACGCCGACGGCGACGGCGACGCCGCTCAAGCCGGAAACGGGCCCCTAAGAGCTGCGCTCTAAAACACAACGCTACAAAACACTCAATTTAAACTACAAATACACTTGACATTACACAAATATTTATAAATGCCCGTTAAGCCCAAAGCTAAACACAAAGAAGGACCCCAGGCCTCGTGTCCCGCGATTACCCTAGATCCGGTCGCCACCCACTTGCCTGCGTCTCGGTCTCGTCCGAAGTTCTCAGAGGCCTTCGCCCCCGACCCACCGAGTATATATCGATCGATGGGCGAGGAGGTTTCTCCTCGCCCGCCACGGGGCGCCTGCAGCGCCATCCAGTGGCTGGGAGAGAAAGCGGCACGCCAGGAGCCAAATTCGAGATCCCGATCGATCAAGCGGCGACACGACCATGTGATCGTGTCTGAGGCGAGGCAGCTACATAGCTGCCTCGCAACCAAGATTGGCAGAATGGTTTGATGGGCGCCCTCGTGAATGCATGGTGCGCCATAATGTGTACAAGCCACACACCGCGGAATGTTTTAAAAGTTCTACAGATAATTTCAAGGTATGCCGTCTCCCCAGAGCATGTCTACAGTATAAAAACCAACAACGGAGCCAATATGCTGAAAACAGTTGCTCTCTTAGCAGAGGAATCTGCTGGTCAGGTTGCGGCAAGATCCGACCAGTCTGAGTCGGAAGATGAAGACGTGCACACTTACAGTGCCACCTCAGGTGGTGTCTCCTATCTCAAAGAAATAGAAGGAGCTTTTACTTTTTTTGATGAGGAACCTCTTCAAGGAATGAGGTGTGGTAGGCACATGCTGCAGCTTGCTCTGCATGACGCTCTCAAGTCTACAGCTGCTAGAGATATCAAACAGAAGGCTGAAAAGTTGTGAAAAAAATGAGGTCTCAAACCGTGCTGTCCCTGCTTCAGAAGCTCAATGTGAAGAAGCCGATCCTGGATTGCGTAACGAGGTGGATGCCCACCGGGGCCATGATACGACGATTGCTGAAGTGAAGAAGTTCTGTGACGAGCTTATTGCAGACGATGATGAATACTGCTTACTCAAGAAGACTGGCAACCAATAAGCAACTTGGTTGCCTTCCTGGGGCCGGCCAAAGAAGCAACAGTGCAGCTTCAAAGGTAGCAACTAACTTTGGGGGACTTCTACGGAGCATGGCTCATGTGTCGAAATGAGACATCAAAAATTGACGCCCGGGTCACGAATCAGCTGGTCGCTGCCATGAAAAGGCGAGAGAATGTGTTGCTCAGAAGCGACATATTCTGTGTGGCCGTATTTTTGGATCCTCGATACTATGTCATGCTTACAAGTGAGGAGAGGTCCAGAGCAAAACAGCACCTGCTACTGGCGTGGAGGAAGCTTGATGCGCTTAAAGATGCCCCGGCACAGCAACCTCAAGCACTGTGCACAACAGGGACTTCCACTTGCCCTGGTGACGACCTCAAAGCGTTCCTCATGAAGAAAGAAAGCGGCTACCTGAAAGCCTTTAGTGACCATTCTTCGACCTTTGGGAGATTAAGACCTTACTGGACGTGTTTGAAAAGGTACCCCGAATTAGCGAGGGTAGCAATGTCTTGCAATTTTGGGAAAAGAAAAAGTTCCGGAGCCCCGAATATAATTCACTTGCACTCGTCACTCTTGCAGGACCGGTTCTGCAAGTCAGAGTGGAAAGGTTCTTCTCGGGGTTAAAATACATCTTATCATGCCGACGAAGGCGATTGAGCCTGGACATACTAGAAGATGTCTTTTTCCTCCGGTCGTTGCACCCAAGGCAGAGTGTACACATCAGCAAAATTAATATGGCATGTGCATGTAACAGTTTTGGAGAGGCACTACTCCATTCTTGCAGTAGATACATTTAATTTTGTGTTTGGTCAATTAAAGGTTGGTACCCCAGTCCCATGTCACGTCAAGAAATTTTGAAGGTCATTTTAATATTAGCGGAAAACAAACAGCGCAAGGACAAGGACAGAGTAGAAGGTGGTAGACACACACAGCGCTGTTGAGCATACTCTAGGAACTTGTGTAGTCCTCCTCTTGTGTTTCTTTCCTTGGCTTTTGGGCCGGGCAAATTGTGTATTTATACAGGTTGTCAGTGCCAATAAAGCTCAGTTGTAAGTCAGCACTGTGTGTGTCTACCACCTTCTACTCTGTCCTTGTCCTTGCGCTGTTTGTTTTCCGCTAATATGAATGACCAACTAGCCCAATCGTCAACACTACTCATTTTAATAGACAGATGGAGTACACAAAATCAATAAAGGAATGCTTATTTTATACCGAGTAATCCACTTCATTGCAGTTGAGATGTGCGACTTGTCGGTTAAATTTTTCACTTTTCCTTGAACCGTTATATTGCCACGCGTGTTGCCGAGCAAACGCGTGCGTGGCCGAGTGGTTAGCGTGCTTGGCTGTCGCGCGAGGGATCTGGGTTCGATTCCAGGGAGCAGAATCTTTTATTTATTCTTGCTACTTGGCGTTCCCATAAGTTCGAGAACCTTCGCGTCTAACACAGTTACCATTGTTCTACGAGCTGAATGTTCTAGGCCGAATGCTCCAGAGAAACACGCGGGCACAAAAGGTACTCCGCGTGGCGAGCTAAAGTCAGTCTCGCCCCAGCGCTTGATCCTGCAATTTCGCCGACATCGAAGCCCGCGACGCTCTGCTGTTTTCTTCTGTTCCCTTTTTGTTTTGTTTTTTTTGGGCACAAGTTCGCACCATTAAACGTTTAGTTTCTTCAGTTCTCATCGCCTCACCAACTGTCATTCGTGACAATATGAACCGATTCGAGCTGTTATTTTTTTTGCTCCGAGGCTGAACCTGAACCGAACTGAAAATGCGAACCATAACCTGAACCAAACCGAGAAGAGTTTCGGTTTGACACCCTGGCTTCAACATAAGCGCTGACAAATGCCAATTCTTTAACCAACATTAAAAATTACAAATACAGTTGCCGACTGATTTTTCGGACTTTGCAAAGACCGAAAAAACGTCCGATAATCGAGCAGTCCGAAAAGTCAGCAGATTAAAAAACATGCCTTTATTTTGTCTAAGCGGGCTTAAAAAAGCCATAAATAGTGCCTCACTTCAGGTTACGCCTAAGCGCCTTCTTTCATGTTATGCCTCCATTTGCGTTCGGCAACTTTCTGTTAACTTGAGAATCGCTGCCTTTTTTTCGAGCGTTATGGTTGAGTACTTTCTGCGCTCTTTAGTGACAAATCGCGGCGACGGAAGAACAAATGGGCAATGACGTCCAAGTTAGCATAGTCCAAAAACACAATTCACCGAAACGAGGTAGAGATGAAACACAAGCCCATGACTGCAATGGCGAAGTAACAAAGCAAAATGGTAACAATAATAATTCTGATAATGACGCGCAGCAGGAAATAAAAAAACCCGTACAGCATCACCTAGTGGTGGGACTTAGCAGTACTCAATTAGGCCTGCCAAACCAAGCCAATCCATGTGCAGCCAACATAAAATTCAAAATGGCCGCTTCGTGTGTTTCCCGCTGATCGCTCAAGACAATTTTGTCCAAAAAATCAAACGTTGGGACTTCAAACTGTCCGAAACATTGGTCGTGAATATGCGGTATTTCTATCGGGTAGGTCATGGTTCCTCCTTTAGGTCCGAAATATCGAACAAGTCTGAATTATCACAGTCCGAAAAATCGGTTGGCGACTGTACTGTAAAAAAACAAGAACCAAAATGCGTTTTTGAGTTTCCGAAAACTGAATTCTCAAAACGCAGAACCCTTATGAGGTGCAATGGGAATGCTCACGACCGCCCCCGATGAAGACAACGGCGTGCCGGATTTGCAAACTCTTACACGTTTAGAAGTTAAAATTTTACGCGGCGTGGACTGTCTACGGGTGCGGATCATGCAGCAATTTGATTTTAAGGCCACCATTATGACGAGACATGATAGTTTTTGTGAAAGACAAAGCACGTTAAGGACAATCTATGTATAAAACAAGCTCCTTTGTGACCTATTGAAGCAGGCTTTTGTTGAGGTGTGCTGTGTATGAGAATGTTTTACGTGATGACTAAGCATTGGATGCATAAAAGCTTTTCCTTTTCAACCGAAATTCGCCCCCGCGGACCATACACCGGGTGTAGACTATGGTCTGGAAAATACAGCACCAGCATTTTCGCGAAAATGGTCGTTATAGGAGAGCGAGACTTATGAACCGCAGAATAAGGTAGTTTGTAGACAATTCGGGACCACTTTGAATGCATGGATTGCCATAAAATGCCGAACGTGCCAGCCGAAGGTGACGCATTTCAAGCACCCTAGCATTGGCAGGCTACCAGTGCAGCAGTAGTAACCCACCTGGTGCGTGCGCAGCACTTGCAGTTTGCTCCCGAACAGAGCCTCGAACTTCTTCTGGAGGGAGAAGGTGAAGGTGAGCCAGCCCATGTTGCTGGCCTGCCGGCCCTGCCAGAAGTACACCACGCACGTGTAGTCGTCCTCCACCTCCTCCTCTTCCCCCTCCTCCTTCCCCTCCCCGTCGCCCCCCTCCTCCCCCACGGGGGCGGGGGCAGCCTCTCCGGGCACCCAGTAGCGGCACAGGAACACGTAGCAGTCCCCGCTGTGGAAGTGGCCTGCGTCGGGAGACGAGACAACACGCATCGCTGCTTACGGGCCCTCGTCTGCCTAGAGAAAGCGAAACGAAATTCTGCGCGCAAACCGCTGCGTGGTTACTTCTCCCTTTCACGGTCGGGCTTCTTTTCCAAAAGATGTGCCTTAGCAATCATTTTTTTTTTTTTACATTGTTATGGGCTTTTCCCACCACTGGAAATGACGTCCGTTGTTGACGTTATAGTAGTAGTTGTAGATAATGTTGCAGTTGGCGACATATGGTGTCTGCCGTCAATGTTGCAAAATCCACAAAAATATTATCCACCGCCGCCCGCGGGAATCGAACTTGGGCGCTGTTACCACTGAGCTACGCAACAGTGTTATTAACCCCCTCTATGCTTTGGGTTTTTGTAGTAGCCAACGCTCACTGCATTCATTTCTGCTTAGCGGTTGAAGAAACATTCTGCTGCCTGGTGTCATTTGTTGCAGTCGACAATTATACTTGTTCCCTTTGGAAAGGACTGCTCCCTCCAGATTGTTTTTTGTTAGAAGTAGCCCCCCCCCCCCCACTCATTGTCTTTTTCTCCCGCAGCTCTTTGAACTTTTTTTAGTTTTGTATGCGGCTCTAGCATTATGTCATTCTGGCCACCCTTGCTCTCGGCTTTGTTTTCACGAGCACGAGCAAGTGGTAATGGATGGGTAGATATGGCCGGACCTTTTCGATCGGGTGGCAGCTTGTGCCACCTAGCCGAAGCTTTTAATTTTAACGATTAACTCCGATTAAATCTAGAATGAATTAAAACGATAAAGAATTTTCTATCACGACGTCGCAGCACCTGCGGAAATTTAGCGGGTGCCACGCGAGACCCGTATGCATGTGTGCTTATCAAATGCTGACGAAGCAAACTGTCGAAACTGTGGCATAACTCTGTGGTGACGTGTCCGCCTAACACGTAGCAGTCCCAAAATCGAATCCCAAGAACACCGCAACAGCTGGCTATCTGTTTCAAGCATTCGGCAACGTCGACGACGGACGCCCCACAGCAACGATGGACGTCCTTTCCGGGGGCGGGAAGAGCCACAAGAGCTATAGCCATAAAATATTTTACTTAAAGACAGGGACGGTCGAGAACATTTTGGGGGCTAGGAGAACCCTTCGGTTCCTAGAAAAGCAGTTTGAGGACCTATTTCGTAGGGTAATATATTTGAGTGATTGATTTTAAAGCAGAATGTGTGACGTCCCTGGCACTTAACATTTCCAAATTACGTAAAAAAAACAACAAACGCAAGAGCAATTCACTACTGATTTGGCGCTCATTCCTTCCTGAATGAATTCAAGAGCCAGTCGGATGTCTCGCTCGAGTATATCCGAGCTACTCCCACGGGTCGCATCACCTGATGAACCACTTGGTGACGTCAGCAACGTGCTCTACCCCTAGCTCGCACTAAACGAGCGAGCTTAAGGATTTTGCCGAGAGCACACACCGTTTTCTTCATTTTGGTGTGCTTTCTAGGGCCGTTTGCGAGGAAGTCACAGCGCAATATAACTCTTTGACCTTCTCTATTTCGTTATGTTTCGTTCACGGAGTTACGGTGCCAGAGTTGCCACGGCTCTAGAAACGGCGGCGCCACGATTGCATTTAGCGTCGCATTCCGTGTTATGCAGAGCGCAGGTTTGTCTGCTCCTTTTGCATGGGTTCTGGTGACGTCAGAACGCCGAGCTCTGATTGAAGGATAGTGGGTAGACCTCGAAGCAGCTTGCTTCGAGGTGTACCCACCATCCTTTAATCAGAGCCAATCAGAGCTCGGCATTCTGACGTCACCGAAACCCCTGCAAAAGAAGCAGACGAACTTGTCCTCCGAATTCCCGTTTTTGCCACACGAAAGAGAGAAAAGGGCAATTATTTCTCTGTGTTATCTTGTAAGTCGCTAGGTTTGCGAAAATTAGGTCGTTTGCAGTACACAGAAAAAGAGTAGGTCTCAGCAAGGAACGAGACTGAAGAATGGGGACACAGGGTGGAGAAACGGCCGATCCACTGACCCAGCTCTTCTTCAGGAAGCTTGACAAACTTTTTTCCCTCGAGGACAAAGGCCTCCATGGCCTCCAGGTCCTCGTTCCACTCCTCCATGAGCTGCTTCTGCAGTCAACCGATCGCGATCGGCCGGTCAGTCAGGGGCAGGGCAAAGGGCACGGAGATCAGATTGGATGCGAGTGCTGTGTTGCCGTGTGGCTGGGCCGCGCTCTCGGTCGGCGAGGGCGCGAGTCCAGCCAAACGTCGACACAGTACTCGCGACTCCTTTGTGTTGGCTTCTGGTAGGTGAAATGGAAAATGCAGCACAATGGCCTCGTTATCTACAAGGTGCTGGACCAACTCACGGTGCACCACTGGGACCAAAAAGCGCAACACCGAATCGGTGCCCCACACCACCGTCGTCGTCACCTCTTTATTTTTGGTCCATAAACGCCGGGTGTCTCTAACGAGTTACAGCACAATAGAATGTAAAATGTGCTAAAATATATACGCAAATAAAATAAAATGAAAACTCTGAAGTGAACGAAAGAAAAATTCGCCGAAGATGAAGGATAAGAGTCTCTTCAACTGCCTCATAGAAATAGGATAATTCTCAAATATGATCATGTCAATCACATGCCTCAGATCTATGAGCGCTGCAATTCTCGTTATTGGTAATGACTAGGGTTCTGCGTTTTCGGAGTTTTTTGTTTTTTTTTTCTGGAAATTGGAGGAATTTTTTTGGGGGGTTTAATTTTTTCCTACAGATTCGGTGTTTTTTGTGTAACTTGGTTATGACTTAACCAATTTACACAAAAAAACACCAAATCTATAAAAAAAAAAAAATCAACCCCCCCCCCCCCCCACAAAAAAAAAAAAAAAAACAACCCAATTTTGAGAAAAAAGTAAACTCTGAAAATGCAGAACCCTAGTAATGACATATATTGAGTGCGAGGGTAAAAGGTAAGAGAACCCCTATTTGGACGAGCGGCTACATTAATATTCGCTGTGCACGCAAGCTCAGAGTCTATACCCACGCAAATTAGTTTGTACAAAAAAAAAATGAAAGCCGTTTAGAACCCCCCGTAACACCGAATTAGAGCGCAACTCTTGAGGAGGAGGAGGGAAGGGCACTGAGGGGAGGGTATACCCCTCCTCCTTCCTCTTCACCTTGGGATCCTGACTGCTACTCCTCCTCCCCATTTCTACTTCACCTCCTCCTCCTCTCCTCATCCTTATATTTCCACCCCTCCTCTCCTCTCCTCTCCTACTCCTCCTCCCCAAGGGGGAGGGGGGGCGGTCACGTGACCTCACAGTTACGCTGACGGCGATGCCGACCAAGCCGGAAACGGGTGCCTAAGAGCTGCGCTCTAAAAGTTAGATCTCGAGACAGCCTCCCAACGAATAGAGCTTGAAGACCTAGTTTATTGAGTAGGCATTCATAATTATATATATGAACCAAAGTGTCCTGTATAGGAGGAAAACCGGCACCTTCCGCGCCGAATCCTGTAGCCAAAACTGGGAGTGAGTGATCGACCAAACACAACGGAGAGTGGAGTGATTTGGATGGTGATGCCCTGGCATCCCCCCCCCCCCCCCCCCCCCCCCATGGGCAGCTTCCAAAACTCTCCTCTCATCTTTATTCTTCGTGAAAAGAAAACAACAAAAATCATTGGTCACTTTAATTTTCCTTACCTGCGACGCCTTGGCGCATCCTTCTATTTCCCCACCCTCTGCAGGAGGGTATAAAGAAGGGTGGAAGGAGCCATTTCTTCTTTATCTTTTTGCCAAAACTTACAAAAAGGGAGTTGGTGTGCCACACCCGAAGGCACTGCCTCCAAAATATTGTCCTTCTCGCCTGCTGTTTCTCCTCCTTTTTTTATGGCAACATAGAAGCCTATGGTTGAGGTGCAGAAATTGCGGGTTTTCACGCTATGTGGGAGGCCATGCCCACACGCACCAAGTTGGAGACCTTTGCGGTACATCTCCAATCTCCATTGTCTAGAAATGCCTTTGGGCAAGATGCCTGGGCTGCGTCTTCGACCGGTCTGTTTAGCGTCCTCGCCGCCCATGCATCAAAAGTGGAACCAAGACGACGAGAGTCGATGCGTCACACCGTCGGGTGGCACGATCACGGTGGTCGGTCGTACGAATTGTGGCAAAGAAAGACGAGAGGATACAAGGATCGCCGTCGTCGCAGTGACCCCAACTCCCAACTGCCGTAGCTTCCATTAACTGTCGAGAGTGGAGCGCGAACTACAGCCGCGTCAAATTTTCTGATGCGCCACTGCCAGGATTGAGGCAGGCAACATTTCTTCGACGTCACCGGGCGGAAATCGAGGGACCACGAACGAGGACGCCGTAAACGCGCTGAGCGGAAACGCGTTCCGGGCAGCATACCCTGGGAGAAGGAGTAGACTCACGGCTTCTTCCTTGGACATTGCCGGCTGGCGGGGCATGAACAGGGCCGACAGGTCCACCTTAGTCCGCTGCTTGGACATCCATTTCTGCCAAGAGAGAAAGATGTTACCACACGCGATCTACTTCACTTCCTCCTATGCCACTCTACACATTTATGAGCTGGTCCACACATTTGCATTTGAGTGTGTTCGAGTGCATTGCATTACCCCGTAATTGCTTATGACGAGAAAACACGCCGGCTCCATCTACCGGACAGCCCTGGAATATCTGTACATCGAGGGTGAAGGTTCGCAGCATTTGTTCCAGGGCTACGCGATAGATGGCACCAGTTTACCTGCTTGTCTTAAGCCGACGCAATGCGGACGCGATGCAGACGCAAATGCGTGGACACGTCTTGAGACACGCCGGGGAGGCCACCCTCGTGGTCCTTGTCACGTCCTCTCACCTGCAGGTCGGCTCCGGTCCGTGCCACCGAGGCGGCGGTGCGCGTGAAGTCGACCGCAATGACGTCGTCCCAGCCGACGAACTTGGATTTGAACACCATGGACTCGGTCCTGGGTGAAGGTGAAACCGTGAGTCACCCAATAACGGCTGCATTTCTTTTGTCTCATTTAATTATAGTGGCAACTGTTAGTGCCCCTTCTGGCAATATCCGGCAGCATTCATACGCAAAAACCCACATGGTCGTAGGGAGTGAGCGACAGTGCCGCAGTGCCACCTCCCCATTACTGCCTCATTATGGCACAACCAACGTCATCTATGGCGGGATGTCTTCTCTCACTGCCTCTGCTTTGGGGTTTTGAAGAGACTTTGTCGCATCTACAAAAAAAAGTGCAGCCTCGGGTGGGGCTGCCCGGCATCTTTCCCCCCTTCCCTTCTCTCCAGACATCGCCAGGCCGTGCAAGATTCACTTTCCTTACGAGGAGTGGGAATGGCAAAAGTGCTGTTCAGAGCAGACGGAGGACCACAGAGCCACAAAAGTGGCAAAGCCAGGTGCAGGGCCTCGACCATCGTGCGTGACAAGCACCACGTAAAAAGGCCTTACACACATCTCCTAAAGCATGTCCCCTACAACTACGGTAGTCCCTTGTTAACTCGAACTCGGCCATCTCGAAATATAGCTTATGTCGAAAGATTTCCTGGTCGTGGAATGAACTCCCGTAGGCACAATGCATTTATTCATCGCTAATCTCAAAAGGTTTTCAGGACAGACTTCAAACATCTCAAAATATTGCAAATAAAAAGAGAGAAAACAGGCAGGGCACACCAAACGATGAGCTGGTGGACCAAATATTGATTGACAAAGAAACAGCGATCCAAAAACAAGCCCCCAAAAAAGAGAAAAGGAAAAAGAAAAAGTTCTGCATCATCGCATGCGAGCAACAATGCGCAAAAAAAGAAAACAAAAATGGGCTGCATGTTTGGTCATTCTGCCAAACGCGTTTAAATGTGGTAGCTTCATAGACCTTTTCTGCGGCAGTCTCGTACGAAGCGATCTACAGCGCGCGTCCCTGGTTTTAAAAGTGTACGTCAGTGTTGACCGACTGCGCTGGGCTGTGGGTTTTCTCGTCAGTGGGCTGTGGCATCTTCCACAGGAGCAGGGTAAGCAATGTTTCGGAATTTTTGTGTTACGGATATTTAGCCAGAAAAGAGGGATTAGGCGATGTCTCGGGGCAAGGTGCCCTTTACGGGATTTTACGATAGTTGCTTCAAATCATTGTTGCCAGTTACGGAAAAATTTCACCTGAAACTGTAGGAAGTACTCTTCCGCCCTCTCGAAATGTTAAAACGGTCTGCGATGAAGCAAAATGACATTGCTGGAGCTTCCCTACGTCATACCTAAAGCGCAAGAGGTCAGATATTTCTGTTGGAACTGTCGGCAATCGCACCTGCCCTGCATTAGGCAACAAAAGGGTGGTGCCTACGAGACACCACCATGGAGCGTCGATACCCAAATCGTCCGCTCACCCCTCGAGGCAGCGGTTCAGGGTGGCGTGGGGCGGCCGGTGAATCATGCAGAGGAGCTCCTGACATAGCTTGAGGGCCGCAGCACGGACCAGCCGCGTAGAGCGCTTGCCCAGCCACACAAAGAGGTCTGACTTGACGTCCAGCAGGTAAACGTTTTTCGTGTCCAGCAGAGATTCCACCAGCTTGCCCCCGGGCAAGTCCACTGCACATCAACCGAAGCTGCTTTCACGAAGCACCAGACTAGTACTAAACGCTTAACTTCCTGAGTATCGAGTAAAATAGTAAATGAAAAGAGCACTAAATAAAAAAAGAGCAGAGCAGTCCCGCGTCAATGCGTGGTACGGTCAAACGACAGCTGCGACACGTCACGTTAAAGTCGTTGAGCGTCGGCGTCGCGTTCATGCACCGTGGGGTCCGTGAACAAAATCATTTGGAACAAAACAGACATCTGACCATTTTGTTCTGAACGTTTAGTTTCCTTGTTGTTCCGGAGCATGAACCTGGGTTGGCGTGGTGGCAGTCAGATGCCACAGCCATTGAGCTCCTAGCGCAGCTAGTATGGATTGATCAACGTTTCTATTTTAATGCAAAAGTGCCAGCGACCAGCACAGGTTTTGAATGGAAGTAATGAACAAACTAAATAATAAATAAGTAAAATAAAATAAATACAAAAACTAATTAATCAATAAAAAAATAAATAAAATCGCCAAATAAAAGATAAATAAAAATAAAATAAAAAGTATAATAAAGTAAAAAATAAATGAAAAAAAAGAGTAATTGAGAAAAGAAAAGATGATAAAAAGATTAAAGAGTCTCGCACAAAGGACACACAAAGTGTACTTTGTGCGGGAGACATTCCATGCTCCCTGGACTTCGTTAGCATCATCCTGTATGATTTTTTTTATTTATCCGAAAACAGGAAATCTCACATGTAGCACAGAACGGTGAACCGGCTGCCATACGATTCTTGTAAGTTTTTGGCACGAGTGCGTGCCAGAGACCGGGAGTCCAAAAGACACGTCCTGCCTTTCTCGCGCCGCCAGCGACCATGCGGGCAGAAATTGAGGGAGGGGAGCAGACGAGGGGGACGTCAGAACACTCAGCTCTGCTTCGAAGGATTAGTGGGTAGACTGGAAGCTAGCTGCCTCTGTCTTCACCGCACTCGTCAAATGCATTACAATACGAAAGCCAAACGCTGGACGCCTGCATTCTACATTCTAACGGATTCAACGAGTGCAGTGGAGACAAAGGCAGCTAGCTTCGGGTCTACCCACAAATCGTTCCAACCAAAGCTCTGCGTTCTGATACCCCCAAGCACTCTCTTCTCCTCTCCCTTCGGTTTATCGGAGCATAGGAATGTTCAGTGGTCCAAACAGGCACCTGCCATGCGGTTGCAGGTGGCGTGACGAGCCCACCGAGAGCCCAGGCGAAGATGCTGTGGTAATGCCTTCTTTGTCTCGTAAAATACAAAAAAAATCTAAGAATTTGCATGAAGCAAAATATAACGACGATGCATACAGGCATTTGTTTTGTCTTTCTTTAGAACGGTCTGTGATGGGAATAACTCTCCCTAGAACATTCATAAACTGTTCGGGTGAATTTGCGAGCGTTATTTTAAATTCCTGTAATGTAGGCTGCTAAATACATATGTTCTTTTTTCTTATTCTAGTTACAGGAAGTAAAAACAACTTTTGACTGTCTGGATTTTTAAAAATTTTTGGTACCGTGGGTGGAGGGAGAGGCTCGTTATCTAGATAATTTATTTGCGCTGGTAACAGGAGACTGACTAGCTTGTCGTCGTGCGGCATAACTGCATCGCTGAATACCATATTTATTCTAGCAAGACCACGAATGTAACGCGAGGTATACCGGGGAATAATGAAGTACCTTTATGGTACTTTGTTCACTTTGGTTAGGGTGCCCGACGGCAATCAGAGCCGCAAAAGGACCCAAACAAATGCAACGTGCATTCGAGCATTGATCTGGATGAGAAGCAGCAGCGGGTTTTGCTGGCTTTGGATATATGTTCTACAGTTGTCGTTTAGAGTATAAAAAATTACCAGACGCTTAAGCTTCGCCTTAAAGAGTGGAACGCAATAGCTAAACATATATACACCCGCTCGTTCCCAAGTTGTCCAAGCACGTCTGCATGGCCTGGTCGGTAGCGTGTGCGGCTCGTAACCGAAGGGTAGTGGGTTTGAACCCCGCCTCCACCTAAAATCAAAATTTTTTTCTTTAAAGCAAATTAATTACTTTATAAATTGAAATCTTTTGAGGCATGCGGCGACCTTCAATTTACATTATATGTTTCAATCACTTTCATTCCATGCGTGATGTATATGGCTATGATGTCGTAACCCCATTGACCAATCAGAATTTTCCAGTCCCACTGATGCCGACGCCGGATTTTTTGCGACATGAGCTCCTAAACACTATTGCATTAGAAGTGTATGTTGCCAGCATAAGACTGAACAACCACGGGAACCCGAATTCCAGCAATTTCGAAGTGACGGCACCGATGAGGTTAATTTCACGACCATTCGATTATAATGTGAGGGTCAACTTTAAAGCACAAAACTTCCAGAAAATTTTTTTGTTACATTCAAGTAAATATGATATGTAAGCTCAAGTCTCGCTTTTCATGGCTCGTGACTTTCTGCCTGTAGCTGCTCACTACATTTTTCAATTATTGTTGTTTTAATTGTCCCTTTTGCTGGAGATTTGTCGCAGACCTGATGATTTGTATCGTTTCTCTGGCTCTTTGTTTTGCACGTGAACTTGCACACCCCACCTGTCGCAGCCACTGTCAGGCGCATGCTATTCACAGTTAAAAATACATTAATCAAAACTAGAAAGAGCAGTCGCAGAGCACGAGCTCACTCGCATCTCCAGAGTGCAGACAACCGGAGCACACACACAACGTACCCTGCGGCAGCTCCAGGTAGCCCATGCCCAGACCGACGCGGTAGAGGCACGGATGCGCCGGAGCAAAGTCGTCCGGCACGTGCTCTTCCGGCTGGAACCCGGCGTAGTCCGCCGGAGCGACCCCAAGAGCCTTCCAGAAGTCTTCCTCTTCCTCGGACTGCGGGCACGTCACCACCTCCGAGTAGTTCTTGCGCTCGTTCTTGTTGATCTTCTCCGCCAGCAGCCTGGTAAAAAGGGGCACGCACGTGGTCGCAAACGGAAAGACCTCGCTTTGGCCACAATAAATATATCAACCGATCAAGGAACCAATCGATAGAGTTCTAGCCAAATGGTGATGCAGCACTTATCCCCATTGGATCCGTAGGCACTTCACCTTGGAGTCACCAAGCCGACTAGGGGGTGCAGGAGGCAAGGGGAAGAAGCGAGCACACGCTTTGGAGGAAACGGCGAGAGGCGAGATAGCGGAGTCAAAGCTGGGGCGTGTGACAGCGAGACAAACTTTTCGTACCACTCCTGCCGCTGGAATGCTTGCCTTGAAAGGGCTTTCTCCGTCGAGGCACAAGTTGCTTACCAAGTTCCTCTGTGCAACAGCACCGTGAATAATGCACAACACATTCTGTTGCCAGTGCCCTTGCCATGATAGTGTTCTAGACGCCATGGTGTAATTAATGCTGGCTTTTGCATGGATTTGCCACTGCCAGTTGCAGAGTGTTGGCATCTCAGTGGGACATAGGATAGGCAGTAATGACATCTCTAGCCAAGGTGAGCTGAAGGCAACATCAGTGGACGCAACCTTGAGCCGCAATCACGTATTCCTTGAAGTTGAAGTCCCAAGCCCATTCACTGTGACATTCGACTTACCTTTCCTACCTCGCACAGCACAAGAATGAAACCGCCTCTCTGTTTTGAATGCTATCATCACTGACCCTAATGTGTTCCAAAATGCTATCACTAACCGATTTTGCTGGGATTCGTGACCAGTTTCATTGCTTGCATGTTATCTTTTCTGTACTGTTCATTTGTTAGTTTAGCTGCCTGCTTTTTCATGCATCTCTCCCTCTCATTAGTATCTTTGCACCCTGAGCATACATTAAATAAATAAATAAATTTAAAATCGCCATCTATACTTCGATTTATCGATCATACCGTCGTACGCAGAATCGCAATGTATGAGAAGCAGTGGGTTTTCACAATGTTTTTCTATTGGCACACGCCGATTAACCGTGTGATGCCCCGTTACACCACGACTCGGCATCAAACGTTGCTAGATCCAATAACATTGTTGACACCGTAACGTCACGCAACGCCGCAGCAAATACTAATGTGACACCTCACACATGCCACGGACAAACATGAAATCTGAGTTAGCTTCCGTCAGAATGCATTCTGCATTGATACCCGATCGACCCACCGGCGCTGTAGGGGGACTCACCTGCCCTTGGAGACCATGGTGTTCTTGGAGTGCCGGCCACTCCAGACGAAGAGCGTGCGCCCGGCGTCCAGCACGAACACGTAGCGGGGATCTAAGGAATCCGGGTGCACGGCGACCGACTCCACGTGCAGCAGGCGGTTGTTGGAGTGCAGCCGGTACAGCCGCGTTATGTATTCCTGCGACACATTGACGCACGGGCCGGCCACATTCCAAACAATTTCAACATCTGTTTTACAAAAAAAAGCATTGCGACCCCCTGTAGCCGAACTATAATTCGTTGCAGCTTAAGTCCAGATGCAGCAGATGCGACAAGCGCGAGCATGCGGCCCTGGACAGTGTCTGCCTTGCACGAGCACGCATGCTTGGCAGGGACACTGAAAGCCTGGAGCTCGTGCTTGCAGGATAGACTGCATATGGACTTAAGCTAAAATCAAGTATTGTTGTCCAGAAGTGTGTTTGTCTTTCCTCTTTCTCTCTTCGTGTATCTCCCTATGTTCGACTGGCATCTTTCAGAAGCACAAAAAAATGTTCTTTTCTACCCATGTAGCTTAGAGTTTTAGGGCCGAGAGTCCTTCCCCAAAGAGAGCACCGAAAATGTATGCAAAGATTTGAAACTGACAGTGCGCAAAAAAATTGGCAGTCTTTTTGGAATTTCTTAGAGGCATTCTAAATGCGTAACGTATTGAACGCCTTTGCTCACATCTGTCCAAAACCACAATCTAACGCACACATTACATGCTGCACCGAACGTGGTCATGGTCAGGCACCCGCCACCGTTCCCAATCGGCGTCTTAGAAGGCACGCCGTGTCAAGAGTCTCTCAGGAAGGGCTCTTCTTGTTTACGCTATGATGCAATTTGAGGCGCATTTTGTCCCTCCACACTGTGGCATCGTCGAAAGAGGATGGGCGAGTGTTATCCCAGTGTTAGAACACCACGATGCGGGCACTGGTGTGTCTCCACCAAAACTCAGCAGCGCAGATGGGAAAACGACGGTGGAGACAGCATGCATTGCAACGGCAAGGCACGGATACAACGTGGCTACGGCATGCTAGAACTGTACAAATCTGAACGCCGCTAAAATGCATTTTACATCGGAAAGTTCTGCGGCACTGCCGTCGACCCTCACCACGTCCTCGACGTTGTAGAAGCCACTGGAGGCCCGGCTGCCCTTGAGGTAGGCCACGTTCCCACCGAAGAGCGCCAGGAACTCCCCGCTTTCGTCCGCCTGCTCTTCCCGCACCGTGCGGCAGTTGGCCCCCAGGAAGTTGCGCAGGTTCACCGCGTGGATCGCCGAGCACGCCTTCTTGTCCAGCTGGAAGCGACACCCGGCTACGTCAGGACGCCCCTTCTAACGGGCGCGGAAACGTCCGGCGCGCTGCGGCATTTGGGACGTGTCTTCGATTGATGTGCTTACCGCGTCCCAAAACGTGGTAAGCGCGTTGGTAAACAAAACGTGAGACACGATCGAAGCACCGTAGCGTCGGCCTTCGGCCACAACTCTCGCCGGCCGACCACGATTCCCGGCCCAATGCCGACAAGCGTCCAATCCGTGCCCCGGTCTGCGGTGGGCGATGTAGAAGATTCGCACTATGGCCTTTGCTAGCTAGCGGCTGTCGGTGGTAGCAACGTCCCCCTCAAAGGATACAACAGAACCTTCCCCCTCTAAAGACAGTTTGCTGGGGCAAGAGGTGTGTTGCAACTTCGGTAGGTTGGCACCTCAAACACCTATATGTCCGACAATCAGTTTTAAAAGCGTTAGCATTTATTGACCTTGTGCACGCGGCTGTTTTTCGTTTAAATGGTCATGGTTCAGACTCGACTCGTCCGCACTGGTCTGGACAGGTTTCGTCGTGCCAAAGTTCCCACCATGCTCTTTCGCTTTGTGAATTTGCTTATGTCCACTTTCCTGTTTAAATCTTATATAAGCCTCTCCCTGTTTAAGTCTTATATAAGCCTCTCTGTGCTCTTTCGCTTAGTTTGTTTACTCATTCTCCTCCTTGGCAAAGATGCGTGCACAGTGTTGCATGCACGTTTCCTCCGGAAAATCGCGCCATGTGAAACGGACTTTAGGTCAGCTGCATGTGAACATGGCTCAACTAAGAGGCATACCTCACACTTCTCAAACAGAGACAAAATCGGAAATAAACACTAATGCATTTCGTCGAGAATTAGGACAGCAACAGCGGCAAATTTGGGATCTTTTTAGTATAATACGGTTCTGGGTCTGCAATTACATTGTTACTAGAAAGCTCCAAGTTTGTTACTCACATGTGGGATTATGTTTTACCCCAAAAGAGAAGCTGCTGCTCTTCATTTGTGAGAGAACCAGTCCTCCGGCCGAATGCAAATAAGAATCGGAAGGATGGCAGGAACCACCTCTGTGTCTATCTTTTTGTTTTTAAGCCACAGCACCTTTCTTCGTTCTGCTGCGACGAGCTACCTTGCTGCACACTCACCGTATCCCAAGGTTTGACAGTCTGCCCTTTCTTGAGAAAGTGGTTGGAGCTGGTGACGTTTATGCAAGCAACATTCAGGAGAGCAAGACATCTATTCCCATCTTTAAAGTCGTACGGGTGATTCGCCCCATCTTCTTGGGGTAATAAGGGGTGACTGCTACTCTTTGCAGTCTAAACTATACGTCGCGGGTCTTTGAGCCACTTCATACGCTACACTTCAGAGAAAAGACAATTCTGCCACCTTGATGCTTAAAATCAACGTTGCCAGTTACTTGAAATTGCAGAAAACGCTTTTCCCTTCCCCCAAAACTGTTAAAACAGTTCTCCACAAAGCAAAAGGACATCACCCAAGCTTTTCGAATCCGCGTCTAAGGATAAGAAAGTCGCATTTTCCAACTGTAGAACAAAATTCTCCAAATAACAAAATGGTAGCACTCAAAAAGCAATTGGGGGATGAAAGGTCCATACTCTAAGTGCAGCCTATTAAGTGGCTCTAGCGTCTCTCAAAGATTCTGAAATGTCCAGTTCCATGCTCCCCTTTTCTTTTTTTCAGCATGGCTACATGGCAACACCTCGAACAAACTTCTGCCCAAAAGATGCTGACCTGGAATGACAATAAAACTCCAACAAATACAAAAAAAAAGCAGCAAAAAACAAAAAAAGAAAGGCATTTACAATTTTTTGTAATGCTGAATTAAAGCGCAGCTTTTGAGAAGGAGGAGAGCAGGGTACGGAGGGTAGGGTATATCCCTGCTCCCCCTCCATACCCTCACCTTCCATTTAGCAAGAAATTTTTGCTAAATTTCCCCGCTAAAATTAGCGGGGAAATATTTCCACTAAAGTTAGTGGGAAATTTACCAACATTTTCCCGCCAAATTTAGCTGGAAATATAGCAAAAATTTCCCCGCTAAATTTAGCGAGGAAACTGAATAGGTGTTGAGGTTACGTGACATCAATTTCCCCACAAAATTTAGCGGAAAAATGTCCAACAAATTTAGCGTGACATCACCCCGTAATGACATCAGACATAACGTCACGTGTGGCATCACGAGGGTAAAATTTTCCCGCTTAATTTAGCAGGAAAATTTCCCTGCTAAACATAGTGGAAAAATTTCCCTAATAAATTTAGCGGAAAAATTTCCTGCCACATTTAGCGAAAAACTTTCCCACGAACTTTAACAGGAAATTTTTACCCTCGTGACATCACACGCGAGGTCCATTGTGGGAACGTCCCATAACGCAATGCGTGGTTATGCCGACGGCGGTGCTAACACCGATGCCGCTCAACCCAGAAACTGGTGGCTAAGAGCTGCGCTTTACAAAGAAAAGATTTCAGGCATGAATGTTAATCCGGGCACTAAAGGCATTGAACATTTCTGCTTTTCCATAGTTCCCCAGATGGCTGCCCCCAGTTTTTACCCTAAACAACGGCCGTCTTTTCGGCGCTAGCTCACCGTTGTCTCCGAGCCGATCCAGTAGTAGATGAGCCAGTCGAGGTTCTGCGTTTCCTCCACGAACGTCTTGAGCACGATGTAGCAGTCGCCCTCGTAGAACTTCCCCAGGAGCGCTGCCGAAAACAAACCGAGCGTGCGGCTCAGAAACGCTGCTTGTGCAAAGTTTCGAGGTTTCACGCACAGCCACGACCACTGCATTAAAGACCTTTCTGGCAGCCTGAACTGGTTCTTGAACGAGATAAACTAAAGGCTGAGCAGTTTTGGTACTGCTTGTTGGTTGCGGCCAGTTGGAGCATTAATGTTTGCATTGGAGACAAAAAAAGAAAAAGAAACTTTACATTAATTTCTAGACAACATAAGGTTGATCCGCTTTTGAGGTATGGCAGCACCGGTATATGCTGTAGGTGAAAAATTTAGCCACTGCTGTTTGACTGCTAGCCTGGGGTCTTTAACCCTTTGAGTGTCATGCCCGAGTATACTTGGACATGTTCCTGTGTGGTTTCAGTTTCAGTTTGTTCCCTGCCCCTCCCAATTAAACCATTTTTAGGGGCAAAGCTCCTTAGGGTCTAGCCTTGTCCGGCCGGTGTCCGTGCTCACATAAAAAGAAAAAATGTTTGCGCAGTCGACAGGATTCGAACCTGTGCGGGGAGACGCCAATGGATTTCTAGTCCATTGTCTTAACCACTCGACCACGACTGCGGGACGAGTAGGGGGCTCTGAGATGTTCTAGTAGCTCAAGAGCTGGGGTTTCTGTCATGGATGAAACGTTGCATGTGGCCACTCAACGTCTATACAGGAGAGGGCGCTGTGGTACAATGGATATATAATTGCATTAAACTTTGCATACATTGGCTCAACGTTTATAGACGAGAGGGCGCTGCGGTCAAATGCTCAAATGCATATATAACCACGTTCCATACCACACATTCTCTTTCTGACATGGACCGTTGACTTAAGCGGTGGAGATGCATTCCCACGGCTTCTAGCGGATCCAAGCTAATCCGCTAGAAGAACCACTGGCTCTGCATTTAACCGACCATGAACCAGTAATCATGAAGTTGGAATGCAACCCGGAACTCAGCACTACCTACGAGCAAAATTGACCGCATCTCCACGTGGTGAATGATGTTGATTGGGGCGAAGCTTTGGTGGTGCTTGTCTGCGTAGACACTGAGCCGCAGCATGCCGAGCCTTTCGTTCGTTTTCATCCATGTCAGAAAGAGAATGTGTGGTATGGAACGTGGTTATATACGCATTTGAGCATTTTACTGCAGCGCCCACTCGTCTATAAACATTAAGCCAATGCATGCAAAGTTTAAAGCGATTATATACGCATTTGACCGCAGCGCCCTCTTCTGCATAGACGATGAGCAACTACATGCAACATTTCATCCATTACATCCCCAGCTCTTGAGTTAGTACCCCATCTCAGAGCCCCCTACTCATCCCGCAGTCATGGCCGAGTGGTTAAAGGGATACTGAATCGAAACTTAAAATATACAGGAAACACCTAGACATAAGTCAAATAAATCAGATAAACCTGTAATTGATAATCGCATAGCCATATTTCGTTCTACATGCCTGGATTTCGGCGAGCGCTTCAAAATCAGCCGTCGAAGAGCGCGATGCATCTCGGGAAATCCGGCGCGGTCTTGACGTCCTCACGCCTCGGAGGGCCAAGCGTACCGTAGTTACGAGTCTTGCCACTTGGTGGCGTCAGCGTGTTACAATCTCGCATAGTCGAAGTACCCGAGGGCTGTAGTAGCATATTGCGGAGCCGGCGGAGCGGCTTCGAGTGAATGGTCGCCGACCAACGCGACGAGAGCAGTGGGTAGATGACATTAATAAGGAGGAAGATGCCGCCACACCGCTACATCACCAGGCGATTTTGCCTAGAGTCGTATTTGTACGACCCGACTGTCTTGTCTTCGTCGTCCGCAACAGGTAACAGAGCTTATTCACAAAATGATCTTACAGCAAAACCTAAGAAAAGTGCCGTATTCACGAAGCGAAATTATCGCAAGTTTTTCGCACGATGAGATCCTACGACCATGCCTACGACAGCTACAAAGCTTTACACACTTTAATAATCAAATTGACGTTGCCGGCTACATCGCTCGCTTACGTCGTCGCAACGACCAACGTGCATTTCTATGTGCTCTCTGTGCGCGTCCCAACGAAAGAAAAAAAGAAAAAAAAAGTAATTGAAACTGAACGCCGCGGCGGAGACAAACACTAGAACCACGGATACCTGAAAAAGCTGCAACGACAAGGACCCACCGACCAAGCGACCACCACAGACGCTAGGCTTAGCAAAACACTTCCACGATCTAGGGTCTGCACACGATCGGCTGGCTTGATGAATGGAATACGCCCACGCGACCTCTGTGGACCCTCCTCGAATGAATAGTTCGAACCCTGACCTCTAATTTGGGGTAAGAAGGCCAGTCTTTCCCCTCGTCGTACCTAGCTTGTTTTCAGATGCAGCGGTAACGAACGATCTCGTCGAGGAGGGACACGCTCCTCGATTCAATCTCCTTTTTTTGTGTGTGTGTTATAGAGCTCAAATAAATGCCATATGAATTGCCTTCGCAACTTGGGTATGTACACTTTTGTTTAGATGTCCATTTTATTTCGACATGATACGCCAACAGATGTCGAGTTAGAGGAGTTTTTGAAGGGACTCAATGCCGGTCGAATCTTTTCTGCCGAGCGTCTCGTCAGCATTGAGTTGCGATTGTCTAGAGGCCCAGCAGTTCATAAAATCGGTTGTAAAAGACCGTTCCCAAAGCGGTTACCAAGAACGCAATGCCAGTGCGGTTCTGCTGCCAGTGCAAACATGTATTTACGTGGATCTCACTGACACTCTTTTACTTCAAACGTATCTTCCTGGACGTTGGCTCCCTCCCGCATCCCCGAAAAGCGCCGCAGGGATTTGTTTACATGCACGCCGCTTTGCAGAGCCGTACGGCCCATCGCCTTTCAGCCACGACGGTAGTTGTGTTGACTTCTTAGCGATCGAGTTCGTTATCAGTTGCGGTCAAGGAAGGCGGCTATCTCGTGATCAGGATAGGTGGGCATGCGGGCCCGTTTAAACAGACATTTCGTAGCGTGAATATTGCATCGCACGTACACAATCTCCAAAACCACCCCAAAGAAGCGTTGCCGGAAAGACCACCCGGTACTAAAACGAACGGTGGCCAACTCTGCTGTTGCTTTCTTCACCAAAGCGCCTCGGTAGCTTTGGTAGTACGTCCAGGCCTAAGTAATGCCTATGAGTGACCGTACTTCCCCTTGTGGCGCTGCTCTTACGGACATGTTGTGGTCACGACATTCCATCGAAGCTTCACAGACATCCACGAGGTGGTTTTTGGTTATCTTTTATTCAGTTTAAAATTTGTTTTCTCGCGTTATCCTACGGAATATTGGTATCGGTGAAGTCCTATTTTGACCCTCTTTGTGTTCAAGCAAAGAGATGGGCTCTAAAATTTGGTTTCCGTACCCCTTTAAGGCGATGGACTAGAAATCCATTGGGGTCTCCCCGCACAGGTTCAAATCCTGTCGACTGCGCAAACATTTTTTCTTTTTTTTATCACTTTTTATTTATTTACTTTTTATTTTTTTTGCCCTACACGAGCACGAGCATGAGCACCAGCAAGATCGATGTGAGCACGAACGCCAGACGGACAAGGCTAAACCCTAAGGAGCTTCGCCCCCAATAAAAAAAAAAATATCAGCACCATCAGCACTACCTATGAACAATAAAATCAGTCATCAGCACCACCAGAGCTTCGCCCCAATCAACATCATTCACCACGTAAAAATGCAATAATTTTTTTTTCATTTTTTTTTTTTTTTACGTGTATTAGGATGTATCGGCAAGGGATGAAAACAGTGTTTCACCTTGTCATGTAATTTTGTAATGGCACATAATTGTTCTTGTTTAGGCGACTCCTGTTTTGGTATGCTCTTTCGTTGTTACAGAACGGCGAATCTATGTTGTTCAACCCTGCACTTCATAGTGAAAGCCAAGTTGCAGAAATTACCAATGAATTCAATATTTGATGTCAGTGAAAACAAAGAAGTTACACATCCAAATAAACAACGCCCAGTTCAAAAGAGTGACATTGGGGTGGTAGGTTGAAATGCCACTGCGTGCTACAGTATCTCGAAAAGTACAACACGCTAAATATGTCATAAGCTGGAGGCATGCAGACATTAATAAACCTTTGCCCATAAAAAACTGTGTCTTCTATAAATAAATATACTTCATAAAGCTTGCCACAGTGTTATCGAGACCAAATTTTGCGTTCGGCATGGGGGAGGAACAAACCCGGCACCTGAAGTGTAAACGTGCATCATGCATTGGCGACACAAGCCCGCACGCCAACACGACGCCCATCCAGATCAAAACGGGCGGGGGTGGGGGGCTGAACCCTGGATTGCTGAGTTCTGCACTGCCATTTTCTGCCCTGCATGTTCCGAGGTGTGGTGCACTAACAAGCTCCTTAATCCGGTGTCAACTGCGTCGCCAAGGCCAGTGGTCGGACAGAATGAAAGCCTCCCCAGATTTAAAGGGCAACCTTCTTTTTTTGTAAAAAAAATTGCTGAGATTTTTCTTTTCTTCGGAAGACAAGGACAGATTAAGTGCTAAGATCTCTCGCTACGGCAAACTTGTGGTGCACATTTCATTCACCTGGAACGGTTCCGAGTGCCATGGGCATTGAACTTGGGCAGGAAGGGTTACAGAGGAACCGCCCTTTAGGATGCAGTAAACATGTCAGTCAAAAGACATGTTTCACGAGCCTTACTAGAACTAATGCTACAACTTCACATTAAGAAGGCATAAATAACTTTCAGCTTTACATCTGCTGTTTTGAAATTTTGTTTTAGGGGCGAAGCTCCTTAGGGTCTAGCCTTGTCCGTCCGGCGTCCGTGCTGAGATCGATCCTGCTGGTGCTCGTGTGGGGCAAAAAAAAAAAAAGAAATAAAAAATAATGAAAAAGAAAGAAAAAATGTTTGCGCAGTCGACAGGATTTAAACCTGTGCGGGGAGACCCCAATGGATTTCTAGTCCATCGCCTTAACCCCTCGGCCACGACTGCAGGGCGAGTAGGGGGCTCTGAGATGCGGTAGTAACTCCATGACATCCCCAACTCAAGAGCTGGGGATGTCATGGATGAAAGGTTGCATGTAGCCGCTCAACGTCTATACAGGAGAGGGCGCTGCAGTCAAATGTGTATATAATCGCGTTAAACTTTGCATGCATTGGTTTGAAGACTGGTACATACTCTTGAGCATGAAAAAGCGCTCGCGCAGTTCATCAAGGAAAGAAGAGGTTGCGGTCGTGCCGTATCGACGGAGATCCAGCGTGACCGCAACCTTCCTAGACACAATGGTACGAAACAATTTAAAAATGTTCTGCTTCTGCAATCGCCTCAACGGTATGGATTACCGTATTTACTCGCATAATAAAAGCACCCCCCCGCAACGGGCATCAATATTTTGACTTGTTTTTTCCCTCCCGTAATCAACGCACCTCCAATTTTCGAATCCGAGAGTCTCGAATTGCGTCCAATTTAGCAAGTCACCAAGCCAGTTTTCTTTTGCCACCAAGCGGCCAAGCCAAGTCAAGCCAGGCCAGGCCGCTCACGTCACACTCAGAGTGGCTCACGTTACGGCCGCAAGTGCTTGGTTGCCATAGTTACGAAAGTGATCAACCGTGAAACCGAGTGTCGCGCACACTTGACGAAGCTTCGGTCAAGGAATTGCCGATCCCCAGATATTCTTCGCCTGTCGGAGGCATTGATGTCAACAAACAAACCGTCATCCATGGTCCGCTTTTGGACCGTCAAATTGTGAAAGTGGTTAGGCCTAATTTCACATACTCTGGGTAAATGCGTTTATTTAATCCGCAGTAGAACGGCACAGCGAGTTGCGCATTGCACTGTAGGCCGAGAGTGTCTGGTAAGCTCTCTGTGAACAAAACTTCATCTGTGCGAGCGGGCTTCGGTGGTTGGACTTCGTACGAGTTCTTGTTTCCGTGAACGAAACTTAATTCATGCGAGCGGGCTTCGGCGGTCGGACTTTGTACGAGTTCTTATACCTATAGTCGGGGGTTATACCCGAGCGTGCGGTCAGAAATTGGACTTCGTACGAGTTCTTAAACGCGTACACTCAGATTATACTTGAGTGTGCCCGCCGGATACTAGCAATATATGTCGCCTAAGAACGGTCGTGTTGCTTTTCGTGCCGAGTGAGCTTCGTAGGGCGCTTTTCCGTGAGCGAAAGGCACTGTGAAAGCAGCCTAAAAAGGTTTGCAATTTATAAAGCATGGTTAGTGTGGCGCGCCCCCGACCAGCAGTGGGTGCGCCTCCATCACTGGAGATGTGCCACAGTACCTTGCCGTGTCATATTGGCAAATAATATGACAGCTGCACGAAGTGTATAAATGCAAAAATTTTACCCCGTGTAATGAACACCCCTCCAAATATGTCGATTTTTCGGGAAAAAGTGTTGATTATGCGAGTAAATACGGTACGACGCCACCTGCGATATACGACGCCAACTGCGATAACTGCAGCGACGAATATGGTTTCTAGCAAGATCTGGACATTGTTTTGTGTGGTTAGCACAGGTAATATGCAAGGTATTTTTTACAGTTTTTCTGGGGGAAGGGAGTTGGGGGTGCGGGCTATATGCAGGGGCGGGTAATACTCGCGAAAATGCGGTACTTTTTAGGGGGTCCATATCACAAGAGCGAATGACATTTTAGCGAAAGGCGACATTTGAGCGAATGGTCGTTTTAGCGAATAACGGGGGCGCGCGTTAACCCATCCGTCGCGCTGCGCTTTACGCCGCTTCGCGGCGACAGTCTGCGGCAACTCATTACAAAAATACAAACTCACTTGGCCCACCCGAAAACGCCGCTTCGCGGCGTCCGACTATTCGCTAAAGTGTCATTCGATGAAACGTGGGCGTTCGCTAAAACGTCATTCGATCAAGTGAGTGCCCCCCCTTTTTAGGGGTGAAGCTCCTTAGGGTCTAACCTTGTCCGTCCGGCGTCCGTGCTCACATCGATCTTGCTGGTGCTCGTGCTCGTGCTCATGCTTGTGAGCTCACGTGCTCACGAGCGCATGCTCGCGTGCTCGTGTAAAAAAAAAAAAAATGACGAAAAAAAAAAAAATGTTTTTGCAGTCGACAGGATTCGAACCTGTGCAGGGAGACCCCAATGGATTTCAAGTCCATCGCCTAATTACTCGGCCACGACTGCGGGCGAGTAGGGGGCTCTGAGATGTGGTAGTAACTCAAGAGCTGGGGATGTGATGGATGAAACGTTGCATGTAGCCACTCAACGTCTATACAGAAGAGGGCGCTGTGGTCAAATGTGTATAAAATCGCGTTAAACTTTGCATGCATTGGCTCAATGTTTATAGACGAGAGGGCGCTGCGGTCAAATGCTCAAATACGTATATAACCACGTTCCATACCACCACTAGCGGATCCAGGGGGGGGCCCAAGAAGCCCCGCCCCCCCCGCCCCGCCCCGCCCCCCCCCCCCCCCCCCCCCCCCCCCGAGACATATCAGCACCCCACACACCCCCCCGCCCCCCGCGATGCTGCGCGGACTGCGCAAACCAGAGCCTGGCTCAAAACTTTGACGAATTCAGAACGTATGTATTCGAGCACCGGCAATTTGAAATATTGTTTCCTGTGACTTGCCAGTTGATTAAGATGATAAGCAGAGGCCCCAAGCGTAAAAGCGCACCGGCGCACCTGCACTTTCGTGACAACGCGGAGTAGAAAAAAAGAAAACCAACGAGCCTGTTTCCATTTGACAATGGGCTTTTGAGAGAAGCAACCTTCTGTCACGAATTTCAGTATTTTTTGTTGCTTTATTTTGGTCGTGTATCTGTTCAGCGCGTGTTTTTATTTCTCACTAAAACCCCCATATGGAACTCTTTGTAATCCATCCTTGTCGATTCCCGCTTCCACTTATCGGATTATCTTTGGAGGTGGCCGCGTCTCTGCCGCTAGGACAAGGCCGCCGGGCAGCTCATTGCCTCGTTCCTGAAAGGGAAAAATTGTAGACATGCGTTTCTGTTGAGGCCAGTCGCCGGGAGTTTTTATTTTTATGTTTTACTTGAAAAGCTTGGTCCGAGTAGGAAACGATTTCCCCCGACCTCGAGCTCGGAGACCTTCGTAGGTGGCGGGAGAAGGGCGGACCCCCAGAAGGGCCGGTCAAGTTGGCTGGTCGTTTCTCCCGTCGTCTGTTCCCGTGAGTCGTACGGACTTCGGTTTTTCCCTTCTTTGGGAGTGAGTGTGTGCAGGGCTGCGTTGCGTCGACCGCCGAGCAACCAGTCCACCACGCCGGGAAAGTCAAGCCTTCGTCGTCCGTCGGACCCTAGACGTCGGTGAGTCTTCGGACTTCGTTTGAACCACGGCTGAACTTTCCCCTGGACTTTGGGTTCACCAGTGGCGCTTTTCTTTCTTCGGAACTTTCGTTTTCTATGCGTAGGCAAACGTTGTTCCCAGCTGCATTTGTGCCGCGAGCGGCGAGTTGTTTCGCGTTGTCGGGAATTGAGTGTTGTTTTGTTGTTCTTCGTGGCCCTGCCGCCCGAAGTTTGGTCAGTGTGTTGTGTATGTAACGCGTGTTGCATTTGGTTGAGTTTTTCGTGCGCAGCCAAGCACCGCCTTTCATCGCTTCTTATTAAATTTCTTGCTCTTTTGTTCTGTTATCCCTTCGTGTCGTTGCCTTTCTTTACTTTATACCGGGCGTGGACCTATCGCTTGTCACCGGTCCGAACCTAGCATTTTTATTATTTTTCAATAATTTCTCGTTTAATCTCAGTGTTTCATTTATAGAGTTTATTGACTTTTTTTTGTCAGGATATTGACAGGAAATAACGAGTTCATTTCCCGTTATCTCCCGTTATCGTGGGAGATAACGGGAGATAACGATAGAAGCGGGAGATATTGCAATCGTGTCGAATTGCGACACTTCGTGTCGCTGAGGAGGAAAGACCTCTTTCTACCATTTATATGCGTGTTTAGACAAAGATCCAACACAAAATGAGGTGTGCAGCAAGTGTCCCCCCCCCCCCCCCCCCTCTTTTTTTTTATCCTGGGGCCCCCCCTTGCGGGATCCTCTGGATCTGCCCCTGCATACCACACATTCTCTTTCTGACATGGATGAAAACGAACGAAAGGTTCGGCATGCTGCAGCTCAGCGTCTACGCAGACAACCACCACCAGAGCTTCGCCCCAATCGACATCATTCACCACGTGGAGATGTGGTCATTTTTTTTACATGTCGTGACACTCTAGGTTCGGAACTAGACTTAAAGAACACTTTGTGTTAAAAATGACTTACACTCGTCGAGCGGGTTCGGCAAGAAGTTGTCGATCTCCCACACGAATATCCCTGTTGGGGAGAGAGGAAATGAGATAAGTCTCGGATCCCCGAATTTGCCGCGGCGTGACGCGACGCCTCAGAGATCACCCCCCTACCTGGCATTTGGCCCACGTCCTCCTCGAAGATCTCGCTGTAGTCGATGGGAGGCTTTTCCAGTGCCTCATCCCACCGTTTGGGCCTGCGCATAGGAGTTGGACAATTCCAAGTTCCATGTTTGTCTATTGACAGCTAGTATCTTTCAGGGGTGGGATGACTGAGAAAAAAGTGACAGAACTCCATGAGAAACTTACAAAAAGCCATCACAAGCCCACCAGATTTAGCGGGCCAAGTTCACGCAACGGTCGTCATGCAACACTTGGACGTGACGTGACATGACATTGTGATGTTACATAGTTAACGGTGGTGTCACGAGACATCAAGTCCCGTGACATTGTGCCTGTCCCACGGTAACCGAGCGTGGCTCAAAACACGCTGCGCATTCGGTGTTGCCACAAAGCACACATGCTAAAGCACCTATTCCGTCGTGGAGAGCAAAGTGCCAAAGAGACCGTCACCAAACAATGGACTTTCTTGCCAAAGGATCAGTCCGTTTTCTTAAGATTGCTCCCTCCCTTCGTGGCCCACCCTTGCCGCTGCCGGAAAACAGGTCTAGTTGCGTTTGTAAAAATGCCATATTTCCATAGACCAACGCGTCTCTGTGATGCCACATTGCAGCAGTAGCGCTATTGATGGCGTGGCGGACGCACGTACGCTTCACATACCGCAGATCTACTTCCTCCACACAAGCAGTAGCCTAGTGTGGGCAAAATCTGCTTGCTCGTAAACGGCACATTGGTGTACAGTCTGCTGCAACGTGAGATCTGCACTTGAAGCTCCGGCGCCAGATTTTGACCTTTGATAACCCTTTGGTGCACGCGCAGCCAAACACGACAGAAGGCAATGAGTGCAAGCTGGAGGCAGAGCGTCTCCTGCAGATTTTAGGATGCAACAGACCATTGTTAATCGTTACATGAGGTATTTGAAACATACACAAGGAACTGCAGTTCCTTGACAATTATAACCCAACATCAAACTCCATTTTGTCATTTGATTGCTAACCAAATAAAAGCACATTTTATAAAACTGTAATGGGAGAGGCAAGCTCAAGTAGATTTGCCATTTTCTTAAACCACCCCCAAAACTGTCTGGAGAATGAGAAAAAAAAATATTTTCTGCTTCTTTCTTTCCTATTTTGGATTTTCTCATTCTCCACCCAGTCTAAGGTGGTTTAAAAAAAGGGCACATCTGATGTCACTAGAGATGGAGCTGCCTGCATATTGCAAAGCTGGAGTTCCCAAGTCCCCAAGGCAGCTAAAGCGGGCAAGCCCGTTTTACGCAGTGCGGTCCTGTTTGCGTTTTTCGGTTGCAACGTCGCTCATGCGGCAGAAAAGAAAGCCGTGGAGGGCAGCTGGATCGTTGGCTGCGTCCTAGGGTAGTTTGCCGCACGCTACTGAAAGTGGCAAGCAGAATTGCATCGTGTGATACAGACTTAGGGCTTCCCCCCTCCTGCTGGCAGCGAGGGGCACTGACTTGAGGGAGTCGACGCGGTCGTCTGCAGCGGAGCGCCCGTTGCGGTCCTTCTCCCTGGCCACGTCCGTCATGCCCTTGAGGATCTTGGCCTGGTCGCTGTCCGCCTCCCCCTCCCGGCGACGCCGAAGCCGCATCTTGCGCGCTATTGGGTCCTTCACGGCCTCTGCGAAGGAATGGTACCAGGATGAACTAGTGCTAGTTGGATAAACGTAAAGAGAACACAGGGAGTTCTATGGATAAGCGCTTCCACTTGACTTCTACTTCACCTACTTTTTCCAAAAGAACAAGTCCTCTAATTCTATAAGGACGAGTCTTTTATTTCTTCTACAGGGACAAAAAAGTGAACAGGTTAAGCACAGTCCTGTTGACTTCTACTTCTACGAGGACAAGTCCTCTATTTCTACGACACGAGTCTTCAATTTAGAAAAGTGACTAGTCTTCTACTACTACAGGACAAGTCTTTTATTTCATCTACAGTGACAAAAAGAGGTGAACAGGACAAGCACACGACCTGTTGACTTCTGCATCTTCTACGAGGACAAGTCTTCTATTTCTTCTGCAGCAACAAAAAGTAGCGAACAGGACACGCACTATGCTGTACATTTGTCCTCGTCCATAGTGCTGTTTCTGTTTTTGGTTGGCAAACAACAGACATAACTCCTTTGGGCAGGTCATACCCAGAGGTCCAACCCTGCACAGTGAATTCCCCAAGACCTTGCATTTTTTTCTGTGCGCGATTGGTTTAGCCGGTGATAGCAGACGCGCAAAGACGAGTGCCTCGCGGACGCGCTTTTGCCGGCGCTTGACTGGCTTCATCGGGTCATAGCGTTGGCTGCGGTGGGACCTCACGTGAAACGTAATGTAGAGGACTTCAGTCAACGAGCCTGCCAACTCGACAGACGAGGAAAAGCCCTAACATTTCCAATGGAACTCACGAGGTGCGGGTATCTGCGCGGCAGGTGCAGCCCCGGCCAGGCGCAGCTGCTCCCCGAGGGAGAAGTCGATGTTGTAGTACTCGCTGCCGCTGCCCCGCTGGCACTCGAGGGGCTTGGGGGGCATGATCAGGTCCGGGTTCTCCTTGAGGTCCAACACCTCCAGGTCCGTCAACAGGTGGATCGCCTCCGGCAGGGTGATCAGCCGGTTGTGGCCCAGCATCAGCTTCTTCAGGCGCCCGCACCTGCGGGTCGGCCTTCCAGCTTGCACCGAGGACTAGCATGTTGCACGTAACTGCTAACTCGTTCCTGACCAAAATGGAAATTTTTTGTTATGTTTTCTTTTTCCTGTCCAAGTTTCGCAGCCTACCGTCTCCAGAACCCATCTTACATTTCCAAGTGCCTTGATCATCCCCTTAAAGTTCAGCGTCCCTTTTCCAGAACTAACAAATTTCACAACTCTCCACTCTCTTTTGCCATTGCCGACTGGAACTCATTGCCCATGCACACTGTCCACGAAACTGAAAAAAACAAATTCCGTGAAATGTGCAACTTATTTTTGTGAGGTGTGTAGAGAGTATTTTTTTCGAGTTTTTCTTTTGTTTTTATTGTTGTGTACTTTGTTGTAGATACTTCCCCCTCTCATGTAAAGTGCTCTCTTGAGCACCTTTGACGTAATAAAACTACTGAACTAAACTCGGGCATGCACCCTTGTCGCAGCCGAGTATATTCGTTATGCGGTTTCAGTTTCGGTTTCCTCTATGCCACCCGTAACTGGATGGGTGTCACCTGTTGATGGCATTTGAAACTTTTTGCTTAGGCAACTTTTGTCCCCGTTTTTCCTTTCTGTTTGAGGATGGCGAATCGTTGTTCAACATTATGCTTCATGGCAAACACTAAGATATAAATATTACCAATCAACTTCGAGTCTAAAGACTGAGAAAAAATATTTACGGTTTTGGATAAAAAAATAAAGTTGAGGAAAGCTGTTCACGGCCCAAGGACAAGGTGCCACTTTGCAGAGTACCTCGTCTCAAACAATACAATACCAGAAAATGTTCTTCGTTGGAGGCACGGAGGCATAAATCAACTTTGTGCCCATTAATCAATGTCTTTGATCAATAAATTCAACTAATAATGCAGGCCAGTGTTACTGGGACCACAATTTGTGTTTGGCACGCAGACGAAAACCCTGGCACACAAAGGGTTAATCTTTTTTTTTGTCACCCATAGCTTCGTTAGGCATTAAATGACAGTCGGACGACGCACTGCCGCCCTAGTGGAACATCATCACCGAGCATCGAGATGAGAAGAACAATCACAGAATGAATGAAAGTCAAACTGTGCATGCACACGACGTGCAAAGCTCACCGCACGACGCCCTCAGGGATCATCTCGAGGTTGTTGCGGGCAGCCATGAACACCTCGAGGTTGTGCAGCTTGCCGATGCCCGACGGGATTCCGTCGAAGTCCAGCTGGTTGTCGTTCAGGTACAGCCGCGTCAACGTCGTCAGCTTGCACAGCGACGCCTGCGCATAGGATGTCTCGAGCTTGCGTCGCGTCTGGGGTGAAGCGAGAGCTGCTCCACAGACAAGGACCTTCCCTAAGCTCCGAGTTACGATAGAGGGAAGCACAAAAATCATTGCTCTGTTCAGCACGGACAGGGCTATTGTCGATAGTCGCAGAGTTTTCGTGCAACGGCGATCAAAACAAATGTCAAATGAATGTTTTCAAGGTTTATTAGCATATACAAAAAAAAAAAAAATACGCTCAAATGCATTTTTTGAAAAGAGCCCAAGCTGAAAACGAAATTCAAATGCATTATTTGTCTTACCGTTAGCACTCTTCGTTACGAAAGCGAGCAAACCGCAGACCCACGCTACAGTGGCCTACCAACGCCGCAGCCGACGCAGCTGATCCCACCGTTTTGTTTGTTTTCTTTTTCAGCACAGGAACTTCGTCAGCGATTCGGAAATACGTCATATGTACCGCGCTCCTTTCACTCCTCGCACACGGTCTCAGGAGTCGGTGCACGAGAGCGCAACTCCTTTACTTTGGCATAATGTGCACTGGAAGTCGCTTTTTGCCGTCTAGTGGAAGGAGCGTGAGCTCCTTTGCTCCGGAGCCGCTACTGGACGCGGCTGTTGCTGGCAAAGGAGATTGAGCGAAGAGATGAAAAACAGCCTCCCGGGGAAGGAGGGAGGAGCCAAAATACGACTTCCAGCGTAGGGCGCCGTTCCGTTTTCGTGTGGTGTCTGTTTTTCCCGACGATGCAATTCGCCAGGTTCGTTGTACGATGCAAGATGTATGTAATTGCGTGGCACAAAATCGAAACTTGTAATACCCGGTTTCTACGGGAAGTTCGCCGGGCATGTGCCAAACTGTCCTAAAATGTGGAATGTCGCATAAACCGGGGACGCGTAATTTGGGGTTTTGCAATAGTCACTGCTTTGCTTGCCCCACGCCAGGCCGTTTTACTCAACTTACCTCGTCAGAAACATTGTTTGATCAGAAACATTGTTTCATCAGAAACAAGTTGTGAAATGTTTGTTTTTGTAAGTATGCTTGCTGAAAAAAAAAAAAAATAATTCCAGCCACAGTTTTGTAAGGTATTTACGCTTAGTTCACATAAATGTAAAGTATTTACATTTGAAAATATTCTATTCAATTTGCAGTAAATTCGTAACATTCGTATTTGAACCGCAGACAAATATCTTTTGCTTCAGCACTGGCGCAACCAAGCAATCACGGCTTGCATGCTACAACCGCCCGGCATGGCACTTCCTAACTGACTAAAATAAAATTGAATTGGATTGAATTGACTAGAGCGGAACGACGTACCGGAAGGGAGCTGAGCTTGTTCCTGGACAGGTTGAGTATCCTGATGCTTTTCCAGACATCTAGAAAACCAAGCACAAGAGGAAACGAGGCTGGTAAGGACGTGGGACTCACGAAAGCAGGACGAAGATACAGACGTAGCCAGAGTCGCTAAGAAAGCTATGCTTAGGGCACTCCATGTTTCAATTTTCTCGTGGGTGCAATTGGCGACGGTTACGATTAGGAAATGCAACTTCCTCAGCTTTAGACACAGTGCCAGGGACTGAATTCACATTTCTGAAAGACGGAAAAAGCGTTTCCTGCGATTTTAGATAAAACTTGCAATAGCTACAGTGGAATCTTTTTAATTCAAACTCTAAATTCAAACTTGCAGATAATTCAAACTAATACGCAGGTCCCGTCCCATGTGTGTCTAGGAAGAAAACTCCCAGTAATTCAAACTTTGCATTATTCGAAAAAAGTTCTGGTCCCCCTCGAGTTCAAATTAACGACATTCCACTGTAGAAACATTACTAAGCAAAAAGATTGCCAAGGTACCATTACATTGAAGCGTAGGCTTTTTTGAGTGGCTCCAGACGTACTTGAAAGACGACTCACCTCCGATCACGGGCGATATCTCGGAGATGCAGTTGTCACTGAGGTTGAGCCTGCGCAGTGTCGTCAGCGTGTACAGCACGTCCGGAATGCGCGGCAGTGCGTTCTGCGAGAAGTCCACGTCTGCCGAGAGTGTGGAGTGCAAACACAATGAAATCAGGGAGTTTTAAACAGTATACGGACTAAGGAGCGGGTTTGCACTTGAAAAACAGCATTAAAGAAGCGGCGCGATGACTTCTGAGCTTTGCCCAATTCGTTGCGGGAATCGGTCTATGTCACCTGTACACCGACATATGGTGGCGCCACTGTCGACACGGTGCCTGGGCAGACGCTTCGCTTCGTGCGAATCTGGTTTCTGAACACGTGCAGTGCCCACACCAAGTGCTGGCAGACGTGGACTCGTTTGTAAACGGCCTGTAGGTCAATCGAAACCACGAACAGAAAGCAATTTTTTCTTGCGTGCGCTGGCTTTTTTTAAATAATTAAACAGATCGAAGGTTAGGGTAGTCCTCGACTTGCACCGTCTTTAGAAAGGTGCACAGTGAAGTTAAAGGGAGTATTGCGTTGGGTTCCGTCATTCGGCATGCCCGGCCCTCCCTCCGCAATCGTCGACTTTTCAAGGTCGAGTTTGGCTGCAATAGAGCACCGCGCCCGCTTAGCACTGCGGAAGGTGCTGGCGAGCGATCGAGACAAAAGACGGCTCGCCGCGGGAGAGACGTGGAAGGTAGCGGCGAAGAGGAAATGGTTTTGTCGACTTTCGATAGATGGCACCACCAAAGCTTGCGTGTCACTATATAGGATTCAGAGCCTACCTCTCAAACCCTGTGAGGCTGAGGTGAGTCGGAGACATCCAATACCGACTGCTGCTCGTGAAGAACTCCCCCTTTTACTCCCTTTAGAGAACACCCATGCCCCCCTTCACACTAAGAGGGCACCACTAGCTGATGACTCATAATTAGCGACCAATACATCTCCCCTCCAGGCCACACTTTCGCCAAATAGTTCTTGTGGCGAAGCGACGCGGTAGTTTCGACAGTCGCCACACGCGGCGATTATGCGGCAGAATCGCAGTACTTCAGGGGAAGGTAGCACGTTTTTTCTTGCTCGTGCCGAGATAAACAATATAAAAAATATTAGCTGCAAATCCTTCAAGCATTAAAATTGCTGCACGGCCCCTTTAAGCGTCAATCCCAACGGCCCGAAAATAAAAATAACTCTACTAAAACCAGCGGAAACAGTCACTCGTAGCGGTTATGTCTGGTAGTGGGAAATATTTTCAGTTTCTGAGGAGCGGTATTCAGATCGAAGAAGTAACGCATGGTGTAATATTTAACCAAATATCCGAACAAACTGCAATTCTTCAGACATGCACACCACTGGAGCAGCCATCAGAAGAACACTGAGAATAGAACGACTGACAGACCGCTGTTTGTGGAGCTTAGGCATGTCCATTGCGATGATAACAGAAATATTTTTGACATTTGATTCATATTCTATCTAACAGCTGCTGAATTCAGATATACTGATCCGAAATAACGATTGAACTAATGCTTGTTCAACACTCCTGGCTGTACACATCAAACCAAATTTGAGGCCTCAGTGCTGCAGATATGACAAAAAAGGTTGTAAAAACTGAGAAAATGTAGAGGTTCTTTTTTCTACAAAATTTGCACAAGCTTGATTATGCAGACAAAAACTGGTAAGCACAGAATGTGTGATAAGCCAACCAGGAAAACATTAAAACAGCATCTGCGCGCAAAGCGCACAAGCACACGTTGGCACGCTGCGTCCAAGCATTCAAAGACTTTGTCTTTGAATGCCTGGACTCTGGTTAGCTCAGTCGGCAAAGCACTTGGCTCAAAAGCTGTTTTTGGAGATTTATGTCTGTCCTTTGTCCCCCATGTTCTTCTTCTCCAGGGATTATTTTCATCACACTTGGCTCACATTTTCAAGGTGGAGAGTACAATGCCTGCCGGGGGACCAAAGTCTCTTTATGTGGTTCCCCACGGGCGCAACGCCCTCCGGTGTAATTACAGCTGGCTGTTACAGCCGACAGTCTCAGAACTCAATGAAAATCAGCTGATGAAACACATCCCGCGTTAATAATAAAAGAAAGTAGAAATGCCAGAAATCTTAGCCCCCTGTTTGCGCAGCCCTGGACCCAAGGGCAGAAGCACTGCCGGAAAGTGTGGCGAGTTCTTACCCGACAAGACCGCAGAGGTGTCTAGTGAGACCGGAGTGTTGACGACCGTCCTCTGCGTGTTCCGCATGTGCAGCGTCTGGAGCGATGTCAGCGCTGGCAGTTGCCTGGGCACCCCAGGACAAAAAAACAAACCTTGTACAGTGTCACTACTTTGATGAAAAATCGCCATAGGGATATAGTGTATTTTTCTCCAGTTTAGCGGCAAAAGATCCTGATGGGGGTATCAAGGCACCAAAATCACGACCGGCGCCGTAGTAGAATAGCCCAATTTTGGCAATTCTACTACGGTGCCTGGAACGCATTTCCGACTTGCGTTTCACGAGTCTAAGTAAGTGGTCTCTCGATTTCCGCTTGGTGACGTAGAAATGTCATGCTGTCGCTGGCCGTGATCCTGGATATGTCAGACGCTTGACACTCCCCAGACACTTTGGCAGCTGGGAGTTGGGACGCCGCAACAATGGTGAATCTTGCATTCTATCGCGCTTTCTTCCAGAACTTCTACGCCTAATCGCCAAGATCGCGACATCTGACAGCGTGACACTCGGGCTTTTCTGGCGTCGTTTGTTGACACTTAAGGACCAATCAAGGACCACTTTGGGAACTTCAGGATCAATAAAGTGCCGGACCAGTCTCATGACTTTCAGACCCGTACAATCGACCTAAGTTGCAGTGGTGGTGAGCAGAAAGCAGTCCTGAATTAGTCTGTCTGAAAGTCATGAGAGTTGAAGAGGGTAACTCTCGGGGACCGAAAAAGGGGTGCACGCAGTGCGTCCACGACATGTTTTGATGGTGCAACAAATTAATGCAGTGTGTGCCTGCCAGCCTGTTTCAGGGCTGCAATTCATGAAAAATACTTGGGAACAGCCACAGGAGCAGCCGAGACAGCTGTTTTGGAGCAGGTTGGGAGCAGCTAAGTCTACATTCTGGAGCAGGCTAGGAGCAGCTCGGACCACCTTTCATAGCACATCAGCTTGTGTTTTAGACAAACACGGGAACAATTTCAATTGTGCTTAGCAGCACAGAAGAACATGAGTGGTTAGGGACCTAGGTAGATGGGATAGCAGTTTAACAGATGCAAAATTTCAAACTTTGTGCGCCTTAATGAGAATCAAAAAGTACCTAATGTTTCAGAAAATAGTGTCCTTGATAATTTCTGAGTGGCTTTCAGCCGCTTAAAATGCAAACCAGCACTGCATATCGCACAACCCGCAAGTGTTTGACATAGTAATTATATGTGCGAACCACGTGACGTGTGTAAGCAATGGACGTGCAATTGTGCGAAAAGACAGGGCAATAAATTTTTACTATAGTGCAACTCAATATCGAAGCAGCAGACTCCGATTAACAGAGTCATTGAATTCAAAGCGATAAGCAGGAGAAAGGTTAAAGTAGGCCGAGCAGATCTACCGCTCGCGTGAGGGCTGCTGGCCGGCAAGGTTTCGGATTGGACCGCATTTCAGTTCTATCAAAACACGATTTATCTTGTGGGAATGCGGTTCCTACTTCTTACGATGAAGTACTAAAATGAATCTTTTGCTCTTTGTTGTCAACTGGCTGACGTCCGGATCCCGGACCGCAGAGCCTCAGGCAATCTGACGCTTCACAAATCGACCTCAACTCGGCGTAACAATCCAGTTGGAGGTGGTGTAGCGCATGGAATCCAACCCCCAAATTTTTTTGCGCGCTTCCGACTCGGAATACACAGGGAGAATAAACAGAACGGAGAATTATAAGGTCGACCAAGCTAAACGCGCTCATTGTTGCCAATCAAGCCGATAAAAACCGAAACCAAGACAAAATATTTTTTTTTGGCGCACGTTTTGCAATTTGGTGCGTAATAGCGCAAGGTATTGGCTGTGGCGCAGTTTCCACAACATGGCGCACGATGGCACAGACAAATGCGTGTGGAGCAAGATGGCGCAAATGGCGTGGCCGTTCCACCCCTGCTGTTTGCTGAGTCAGCATAAAACTTCTTTTCCAATTCCAAGCATCTCTCAGTCTCCTGATGCCACATTTTCTTCTGTTGGTCGCGAACGTGGATAATCGAGTGCCTGCGCTAAAAGCGTGAAAAGAGTATGTAGCTTTGATGGTGGCCCTGAGGCTACTGCGACCCCTCCTTGCTCCCCCTATGAACCAAACCCTCTCCACAGTCGTGTCTCACGAAAAGGGAGCTCTGGCGATTTTCCGAGCTACCCAAACATAATTTTTTGGAACGGCCGTGCTTTACTCTTTCTGGCATTCTATTTATTACGGTCGCCAACCAATCTCTCGGACGGCGAAATTCTGACAATTTTCCAAAACCGCCACTCACCCCATAGAGTTAATGTATAACGGCGATTGAAAATCCACATAATGTACGCCTCGTTGCTAAATTTTTCTAATTTTTTAGCGGCCACCATACTGCCACCACGAACCAAACCACCACAAACCGAGCCACCACCGTTTTTGTTTGCTTCGGTTTGGCCTGTAGCCTCGACACCACAACCTATATGCATCCTATGCCAGGGGCACTGTCCATGCGACACGTAAGCTGGATTGAAGCTACCATACTTACTCACATAATGAACACATTCGCAAAATGAACGCACTCGCATAATGAATGCACCCGCACCCCCCCTCCCCCCCCAACGGCCATCAATTATTGGATTTTTTTTTTTCTCGCGTAATGAACACACATTAAATTTTCGGCTCAGCGAATCTTAAACTGCGTTCAACTTAACTAGCCGGCTAGCCACCAAGCCGCCAATTTTCTTTTGCCGCCAAGCGGCCAGGCCAAGCCAAGCCAAACAGCTCTCGTAATGGCTGCAATTGCGTGGTTGCGGAAATTATCAATCGTGAAACCGAGCGGCACGCATGCCTAGCGAAGCTGGGGTCGAGGAATCGCCCAGCCCAGGACGTGCTTCGCCCATCGAATGCATTAATGTCAACAAACACGCCGCCATCTGTTATCCACTTTCTGACAGTGATACTGTAAAGGTGGTTAAGCCAAACAATGCTGAATACAGTGATGGAAGTGCCATTTGACCTTTTGGAGCAGGCCTTGTAGCAGGCAAAATGTTGTTTTGGAGCAGGTAGTGGCCCTTTTGGAGCAGGGTCCGGCATATGTTGGCATATTACTTGAAAATGAAATAATGCTGCATTGCCATATAAAGCCCATCTCTATTATTGGAACACAGCGCCTGTCGCCTTTTTAAGACAGGGTATATCAAATTCAACAAAGTAAACAAAAAAAAAACATTTTTTAAAATAAAGTGTATCTGCTCGTCAGATAAAAAATACAATTAAATATGTCACACTGAGTTCTGATGGTACAGGATATTTAGTTTTATCAGCCTGCACTTCTTTTAAGGTATCTGCAGCAGCATCTAACGACCCTCACTGTTGTGGAATGTTTCAGTTCAGATTATAGAGTTGTCTTTCCTTGGCATGCACCGACGCGCTGCAGAGAAGCGACACCCGCGGAGCAGATACCGCAGTCGCGCGAGTCCCGCAGTGCTTTGTGCAGCGAAAAGAATGGTGAGGCTTTACCAGCACTACATCCAGAGTTTGGTGCAACTCAACTATACTTCAATTCAGCTTCGGTGCGAGCGCAGCCGAAGTTACAAGCGCGCCGCGCGCATGGAGCCCGTAACGGTGCCCACACTGCACGAGCCTACGCGCGAGTCAGGAATGCACAGAGCATTGGGCTCGCGCTAGCTTTGACTTCGCTGGTAGCTAGCGCATGAAAACAGGTTGGGCCTCCATTAAAAACATCCCCAAGCTCGGACCTTTTTTTTTTTTTTTTTTTTTTTAAATAGGCTGTTTAGTGGGATGATTCTTCGCTTAGCCTCTGCGGCTTTGGTTTCAGATGTTGCTAACGTTGTTCCTTTCAATGATGATGATGATAATGCTCCCTCGCAGTTTCGGTTTGCGTAACAGTTGCGGCGCGGAAAATACCGCGGCACCGCCACGCGCTCTGATAAGACTTCAATTTTTATTTTTTATTGCTACATCTCATCTCGGCGCAGGAATGGCGCAATTCGTCGGTAAAATGACAATTTGGCGCTACATGTAGCAGGATTGCGTCCTTGGCGCAATTTGGCGCAATTGGCGCAGCACTTCCATCATTGTGAATACGAAGCTCTCTGCTGAGTGAGCTTCGTGTGGTGCTTTTTCTTTGGCAAAAGACACGCCAAAAGCGCCCTAAAAAAGGTTTGCAATTTATAGAGCGTGATCACTGTGGCGTGCCCACGACCAGCCATGGTTGCGCCTCCGTCAGTGGAGATGTCCCACAGTGCCCTGCCATGTCATATTGGCACCTAAAATGATATTTGCACAAAGTGAGAAACTGCAAAAATTTTAGTCCGCGTAATGAACCCCCCCCCCCCCCCCCCCCCCCAAATATGGGTCAATTCTTCGAAAACAAAAGTGAGTTCATTATGCGAGTAAATACGGTATGATCAGAATCATCGCCTCGGCAAGTCTTTTCGATTTTACAGACTGCTCTATTATTCTGTCATTCTTTCGGTCCCTGCGAAGTCCAAAAAATCGGTCGGCAACTATATTGAAAAAATGGCAAACGAAGGTTATGCCAAAACCAATGTTCAAATTTTCCTGCGTTCTTCTGCGGGGAGACATCACACGTTGTATGACTTGCGAGTCGAGCGGGCAGTCTCTAAAAAACGGCATCTTGCACATTTCTTTTTTGGTTTGCTGGCGTGAGCTTCCTCGGCGACCATTTCACGCCGTTGAAACTTCCTGTAACCTGTCAAAAATGGGCTGCACTTCCCCCTATAACAAAATCAGCTGAACTGGGCTTCTCGAATCTGGGTGAATGTCGTGTTGCTGAAAACGGACGAAGCATGTGCACATATATTGTAGGTGGCTTTGGCTACTATAAAAGTCGTAGTGGAGGAGCAGCGCGTTTGACCCATCGTGATTGCACTGGGGGTCATGCGATCGCACTCGTTGCACCCGCTCTTTCTCGACTTTGGTTGCCCATTCCCTCGGCACTCTAAGCCTTTGCACACAAGAACGGGGCTGCCAAAGCCTACGCCAAAGCCAGTGTCGGCCGCTCGACGGAATAAGCGAGCCCGTGAGAGAGAATGTCGTCAATGGCCTCGCACTGGGTGTTAGGATGGATCAAATCCAATGTCTAGATTGTGCAGCGCATAAACGTGAAGCGGCACATAGAGCAGAACGTTACCGAGCGAAGAACGGACGCGCTGGTATAACCGAGTAATTTGTGTGGTACATCCGCGAGAATGTGTCTGGTGCAGTCTGCTCTGCGTGTGATTGGTTCTGGCTTATGCAAGACGCCGTGCGACGCAACCTTCCTGGACTTTCCGGTCAATCACGACACGGTATCATTGAAGTGTTGCACCAGCCGACGCTGTCCATTCGCATCCCACGTGATGTCTCGCGATCATCCGCGCAGAACATCTGAAGTCTTGTTTTTAGTGCTGCTAGTAGAACCTCCCAACCTCTAGAACTTTGTGAAAAAAATAATTGTGACTCGTAATTTGGGTTGGTAGTTCAGACATGTCTATTAATGTGTCAAACGAATTTTGAAGAGTATCGGTGACTATAGAAATTTTGCCGGTATGGCTCCCATTAATGTTGATGCCCCGCTATAGGGACGAAATTCTTGTGGACCAATCCGTCCACGCACAATTCTGCCTCGTTAATACAGAAATACACGGTCCACGCCATCAACTAGTTTGGGAACAAATTCGGTAAATACGCACATTTTCGTCCCCTTATTGTGGACATGAGCTTTCCAAAAACAGTTCACAAAAAAAAAAAATAAAAAAAAAATAAAAAAAAAATAAAAAAAATTTCAACTTTTCCACTTTGGTGAAGAAGGAAGACCAGCGAAGCTGTACTATAGTGGGACGACCTCAAGGACGACTTCTTTTACGGCCTCAAGGACGACACTTAGAGGTCAATGTCTAGGACAACATCTAGGACAACCTCAAGGATGACGACCTCAAGAACGACTTCTAGGACGACCTCGAGAATGTCTAGGACGGCCTCCAGGATGACTTCTAGGACGACCTCGAGCACAACCTCTCGGACAACATCAAGGACGACCTCAAGGACTGCCTTAAGGACGACATCTAGGATGACGCCTAGAGATATTCAGCCTTTCCACTCTCGCGAAAACCAGGAGGCTCCCGCCATCTACGAGCGAGGCCGGTGAACCGGTTGTCTAGTTGCCGCCGTCGCTCATAGATGGCGGTAACTGTCCAGAGTTTTGCGTCTACATTTCTTTGGGGGAACACGATCCTGGGAAAACTAGCCCTTAACAGCTCCGCTGTAAAAGATTCGTGAACTTCTCGGGTGATAGAGTTTACCAAGAATTTCAGAATTACAGTATAGACCACTTACAACGTAACCGCTTATAGTGCAGGACCGGGTATAACGCGGTTTTTTTAAACCACCGGTTCGTCTCCCATAGAACTCCATGTAATTACATACCGCTTAAAATGCAGGCGCGCAAAGGGAAATACCGGTTATAGTGCGGTTTCTGGCACAGCCCGCCGGCCGCGCCGACGACCGGAGCAGCGAGCGCGCTTCCCTGTGCGACACTAGATAACGGCGCTGACGGCGCAAGCGGCAAGCGGCACTCGCGTGACAGTTGCGCCAGAGCCGAGTTGCTCGAAGAAGCGGGAAGCAGCGAAAGGCTTCAGTTGCCATAGCGACGGAGGGACGCACGCATGTGTCGTTCACGTGCATGCGTCCCTCCGCTGCGTTGGAAACAAACAACCGCAGCGACAGACCAATCGCAGGTCGAGGAGAAGTGTTGCGCGCGTTACATGCCGGTCGCAGGCCGGCTGCTGCTATCCGCAAACACGGCGTCGGTTGTGATCGTCGTCGTAGACGGCGTTCATCTCATCGTTCCGCGTAAAAGCGCTATCCTTGACTGTGAATTTTCGTTGTGTGTCGCTATGATAATCCAGCACGTACTAGAAGGGAAGATCCACCTACTCGTGCGGCGATGTCGTGGCGGCGCTCTCAAGACGGCAGAAACGCCCGTGTCGTCGTGTTTGCTTACTTCGACTACAGTGGTGATTTCTAAGCATTTGTGTCCTCGAACATCGCCCGGATTTCTTATTTGGCGCATTTCATGCGTGCGCTCAAGTTCAAGGTATTACTGGCGCGTACCGTGAGAAGGATGCGAATTCTCACGCGTTTTCATCTCCGGAGAAAAGTGATTAGGGTTAACAATCCTGAACGCTCTCAACGTCCGTCCGCAACCCGCGACGCCGTTAAAAGGCTGCGCCAGGCAAAAGCTGCTCATTTCTTTCAAAATGTGTAACACACTTGAGACAGAACTGTACTAGTCAGGTGAAATAAAGACTTTCCTCAAACTAAGCTTTATTTTTCATCTAACATAAAATCAATTCTTTTCACAAGTGTAAATTGTCTCATGGCATGTATTTTGGCCTGAAAAATTGATGTTTTGGTTATAGTGCGGTACCGCTTATAGTGCGGATTTTCGCGACTCCCGCGACATACGTTATATGCGGTCTACACTGTACTAATTGTTTGTTGCCCTTCCTAAGAAGGAGATAAGACTCAAGACTCGGCCACCAAACAATGGTTAGATCTTATCGGAGCTTTGAGGGCCTCTTGCCTTTTTGATACACAACTCAGAGATTAGGACAACAAACTGGAAGAACCTTCACAGGTCACGAGTACCCCCTGTGCACAATACCTATAAAGGCAAAACATTTCCCTTAGCCCCCGAGGTTATTTCACGCGCTTGCAACTGCTTACGTTTGAGCACATTACAGCCTCTCATGATCTCTTATGACGAGAGAACATGCTGGCATGCTGGTGCCACCCATGAGCTGGCCCTGGAACTGCATTTCACTAAAGCGAAGGTTTTGCAGCATCGATGCACAAGAAATGGTAGTTTTTCGAGACAATAGTGAAAGAATGATGCGTCAAGTCTTTCAAAACAATAGTGAAAGAATGATGTGTGTAAGAATAGAAAATATATGTAAATGCCAAGTGTTCCAGGGCTACCCAACAGATGGTGTCGGTGTCTTCTCTTGTCATGAAATCACAAAAGGTTGTAAAACACCCGATCGTAAGCAGTTGCATATGTGTGAGGGAGAAAAAGAGGTGAGACCCTCTCAGGTCTGAAGCAGAAGCAGCCAGAGATTGTGTCAGGTGCAAAACTTAATTTTAATGATTGCTCCTCCGAAGCAGGCACCCAAGTACCTGTGCAGACGAAAGTCTTAGCATTAGTTCTTCCTAAACAGCGTCTTCTGTGGCCATACTTGATTATTTAAAATCCTTACCTCGATTTTTCATTATGGACGACTCAGATTATGAACGCCTTTTCTGACACAGAGGTGTCCATATTAACGAGACCCCATGACTGCATACACTAACGTATTGATGAACGAGTGTCTGGTCATGTGATAACCGAAGGCACCGCACATACGCGGAACTAAAAAAAACTGTCCGCCTCTTCGTACATCCCAAAGCACGTGGTCACGTGATCTTACGTCACATGCGGCATGTGGTCACGTGATTGCACGTCATGTGTTTGTATGACGTGACATCAAGTCACGAGACATAACGGTGTTATGTCGTGGTGTAACTTGACGCCTTGGCACAACATATGGCTACGTGACATGGGTTCGGGTCACGTTGTTCTGTCACCCGAAGTCTTGGTATGTCACGCCACTGCGTGACATGACATCAGATCATGTTACGTGACACCATAACATCGGTGTCACGTGACATCATGGTGTCATGTAACGACCGTCGCACTGATGATTATCAAAGACATTGTGGCATCATCGCAGTGTTCACGTAATGACATTGTGATAAACCTTTTAAAGTGCCGAAGATGCAACTTGAACACCGTGACGTCATCGGTGTGACGTCACCATCGGTGCTACACACCATGGACACAAAGAACTATGAGGTGGCCCTGTAAATGCTACGCACGTATAATAACAGAGAGGGTCGAGACAAATGCTCAGAATTTTCACAAGGTTGGTGCACGGCTCTGCGGTTTACGACTAATAAAGAAGACGCAACACCTGTCGGGGTGACCCACCTGAGCTGGTAGTGGCCGAGGGGGTTGTCGTTGAGCACCAGCGTCTGCAGGCTCACCAGCCTCCGCATCTGCGGCGGTAGCGTCTCTGCAACAACACAAGGAACGCTGTCGACCTGATTTTAAGATTTTTCAATCGAAAATGTGTTGCAATGTCTTTAGCTTAGATTCGGTCTTACCAGTTCCTCGTCTTCAACGGGAAACGTTTCTCAACTATGGCAATTTCGTTTGTTGTATCTGCGGCGGCGCTTAGACTTTTTTTTTATTTAAAAAGTGGGCTCAAACTTCATTGAAAGTTAATACGGCAAGCAAGTTTGCCTGCTTCTTGCACGGTGCATACAGACATCGCAGCTCCGAACTCCGACTGGGAGGATAGTGGGTAGACAGAGGCTAGCTGCTTTTGCCTCTATTTACTGTATCCCTCCAATCAGAGTGAGCAAGAGCGCCATCTGCTCCTTGGCAGAGGGAGCTGTGGCGTTCGGGCGCCGAATGCCAGCGTCATTCGGAAATTTGCCGATTCTTTACGAATAAGGAGTTTGCCTTTGAGAAAGAGAAAAAAAAGATCCCTCGAAAGGTACATCGTTTTTGTTGACTACCAGACGCACAACAAGAAATGCGAGGAACACCCGGCCGAGATTTCCTCTGCCCTTTCTGCTCTCCTGCTACTGAGGAGCGAACAGTTACGGGGGCGGAGCTTTGTCGCATGTGTGATTACTCCCTCTCACACGATCACTCTCTCCCTTAGGCAAGCTCCCCATCTCGTGTACGAAAAATTCATTTCCGTCGACTTGTACGCCTTATTGGAACTTTTAGAGCGCAGCTCTTAGGCACCCGTCTTCAAGTTCAGCGGCATTGCCGTCCGCATCAGCGGCGGCGTAACCGTGCGTGCTGCATTATGAAATTTTTTCTGCGGTAAATTTTGCGAAAATATTTTCCAGCTAAGTTTAGCGGGAAAATTGCCTGGCTAAATTTAGTGGGGAAATTGACGTCACATGACCTCAACACAACTTCAGTTTCCCCGCTAAAATTAACGACAAAATTTTTGCTAAATTTCCTTTATAGATTTAGCGGCAATATTTCCCCGCTAAATTTAGCGGAGAAATTCTACTAAATTTAGTGAAAACTTCCCACTAAATGGGAGGGCAGCAGGCAAGAAGGAGGGGAGGATACGGTGGGGCATACCCTCCCCTTCTCCTTTTCAAGAACTGTGCTCTAATTCGGCATTACAGAGAATTGTAAGAGTCTTTAATTTTTTTTATATGAGACCCACATGGCAACTTTTTTATATGAGACTTGGAAATTAAAAACACGAATCTCCTCCGTGTGAAAACAGCGGCGATTATCTCGATCCCAATATGCCAACTCCATCCACCAGCAAACGAATAGCAATCTGATAAAAAGAAGAGCGAAAATACTTCCTAATCGCCGACACTGGCGAATTTCGTCCCGTAGTAATTTCGAGCCACCAAAAACGTGCAAGCGCTTCTCGGAGGCACATTCTGGCGCAGATCAACGAAAAACGTGGCAGAGCGTTGCCGTTGTTGCCACCTACGATTGCGAGGGACGCGACTGTAACCGAGCTCCAAGCAACTCCGGCAAGTCGGATAATGGGAGAACACTTACGGAACAATGCTCGACGTAGGTTTTCTAATGTAAAAGTGCGAAACCTTCACTCCGGAGCGAGATCGAGAAACACGGTCGTGGGAAGGCGCAGACGCGGCCAAGACGTTGCGGGCGCATTAGATGAGGTTGGAGCGGACAGCACGTCACCATGCGACGTAACGCGGAAGTTGTCGCTGACGGTGTTGCCGACCAGCTGCCAAAACAAGGTGGCATGTCCCCATTTAGGCGTTGCATGCTACCAATGGGACCACGAGTGTGAAATGAACATGTTCCTTATCGTCTACATTTTGCTATTCCCGAGCTCGCTATAAATGGCCCAAACTGTACCAATGCTCTCGCGAAATCATTCCGTGAAGTACGGCGGTGTTAGTAGATGTTCAACAATGTAACTAAGCCATTATGTCGACTCGAAAGCCCTAACGTGAAGGCACTCACCGAGCTGGTTTCCACTCAGGTCTAGGTGAACCAGATCCACCAAGTTCACAAACAGTTGGTGAGGTATGGACTCAATCCTGCGCCAGAGACATGCGCGCCAGGTCAGCGCCACTCCTCGAAACTCACACAGACACGCAGAACAGTGGCGGTGCATTCTTTAAAATCGCATATCTCCGGTAAAGTCCCATATGAATGCCCATCCTCGTGATCGCCCGTCCCGTGTTTTTGGGCTGAATATGCTTAACATAAAAATTCTGAAACATTGCCCACCCCCTTGATTTCCGCCAGATACAGATCACGCAATGTCCGACGGGAATCGCGTCAACTGCACGATCTGTGGCTTCGGTACGTGTGACAGGCACGTTTGCACATGTCCCCATGTTTATCGCACCGTAGCACGCGAATGTGAAACGCGAATCTGCAGCATCCACTATCTGCGGAATCTTTTTCCATGCCATGCGAATTCGTAGCGCGATATCAGTTCCTGAAGCACTCGTGTTTGTAGGTGGTTCTCATGTGTTGATCACACTGTGAGGCACGAATCTGCTGCCTCCGCGTTCTGCGGTACCGGTTTTCATGATAGGAAACTTTGAAGCGAATTCCAGCGTATTTCTCGCTTGTTCTGAAGCAAATCTGCCGTGTCCGCGGCCTGTGGCACCAGTTCCCGTTTAACATAGTTTGTAGGGGTGTGACCCTTCCCCCCATGCTTATAACCAATTTTTTATAAAATTTCGCTGTTACATTCTTAAACATCGCCCACCCCATGATTTTCACCATTTATCTCTTAAAGGGGCACTGACACATCAAAATTATATATTTCTTTATTATCCCAAACAATTCAAAACGATGCCGGGACATTACCCCAAAAAATTTGAAATTTGGGAATTCAGTATTTGTGAAGTAAAAAACAATTTCCAAATGCCGAATTCGAAGTTCCCGCGCGATCCACGCCGGTGCGTTGACGTCAAATATTGCGGAGTCCTGAGAGTCCACTTTCTTTCACGACTCTCTGCTGTTGCCATCGCGACCCAAAGCGAGGAGGAAAGGAGCGAGCGCAAGCGAACGCCGGCGGACCGGTTTTGAGCAGTGTCGTTTGTTTTCCGTGGGAGGATACAAATCCAGGAGACGGCACCACAACGGACTCCGATTTCTGGTATTTCAAAAAGAAGGGCCGTAGTGCGTTCGCAATTGCATTAAAAAACATGTTTTACGATGGCCGTTATTAAATGTTATAGAAATGTCACCTACAAAGCTTCTAAATTTCATGATTCTTAACGTCATGGATCAAAAGAAGCGAGAAGGCAAGAGGCGGGAGAATCAAACGGCAAAAATTTTTCGGCGCGGGCGCGCAAGAAAATTTTTTTTGCGATGCGTTTTTTTTTTGCGTGTCTATGACTGCAACTTGCATCGTTTTACACAATAAAAAAAAATATGACCTTTGGGGTGTCAGTGCCCCTTTAATTTTGGGTGGGCATTCTTTTCGAACTTTATGGTAGGCACTTTACAAACAAAGAGACGGGTTTTGCTGTAAAAGGCCCCTCTGGCAGAGTACGCTGCGCCCTCACTGTTCGAGGAAAATAAGAATTTCTGAAGCACACCTTGGCACATCTTTATTCTTTAATTTATCTGGTATAAACATTTGCTTAATAGACACTTTTCCAAAGTGCACGCCGCCTAGTAGCTGCTATACCAGTTGTCCGACTTCGCCATTGCTTGGGCACGAGCTCTAAGCACACATTGGATATGAAAACTGCGTTGGCGTTCAGCGTGAACTTGGCTCAACTCCTTTCGAGAACGTGCTGTGTCAGCGTTCGGCAATGACTTGGGTCCAATCACATGCTTTGTGCCCAAGAAATGGCGACTGCCAATCTTACTCAATTTGGTTTTGAAAAGGGTCTATTCTAGAGATATCAGGTCTTATAAATTTATGTTTGTTGATCAGAAGTGTTTTGTCTAACATCATGTAAAGCCTTTTTAGCCAATTTGTTTTCTCCCAACTTCCTTCAGATACTTTGCCAAAGTTTTTGTTTCTGTTTATTCCCGTCGAGAGAACTCCTTTCAGGTTTGTTCTCGAGTAATTAGCCCAAAAGGAACACATTTTAGGCCACGCTATCACGATCAAATCAATTTTACTAAAAGACTTAGTACTACTTCGCACAAGCAGATAGACACAAAACGTGTTTCATGTTTGTGTTTGCCTGTTTGCATCTGTTTTACCTGTCTACCCATTTGGCTTCAGGGGTTGGTGCCACTAGGGGTCGTGTGGTCACGTGACCAGACGGTGTGACGTGGCATCACACGTCACATGACGTCCAGTGTCACATGACCTAAATTTAGCTGGAAAGCTTGCTGGATGCCCCAAGACACACGCAAACTACTTCAGTCAGGCTTTCTCACTACACTCATGTCAAATGACTTCGCTGTGTTATGTTTTGGCGAGAACTTTTCGTGGTGCTTTAGACTTAGAAACCAGCACTAAAGGACATTCTGCATTAATAGGGCCAAGACCAGAGTGTCGAACCGAAATTTTTATCGGTTCGGTTCCGGTTCGGGTTCACGGCTTTCGGTTCGGTTCCGGTTCAGTTCCGGGGAGCAAAAAATAACGGTTCAAACCGGTTCGAACAGGTTCGAACCGGTTTGAACCACTAAATTGATAATATATTTTCCGCGTTGTTCTGACACTATACACTATTTACGCCGTGAAACAATCAACTATATAGTTTCTCCTCTCATCTGTGCAATTAACTTTTTTTTAAAATACCAAAAGTATGAAATTCATTTTTTTTTAATTTCTTAACATACATAACGGCGTGTTCATACGACATAACATACACATTACCAGTAACATATATTTACCTGAATCCAAATGTTTCAGTATAACAGTAAGGAGCTGAGCTTGTTGGTACATACCTGTAAATTGATCAGCTTCGAATTTAGAACTATACTGTCTTTTCCTGTCCTTTCTTTGTGTTTAAGTAAAATTCTAAAATTCAAGCTGATTTATTCACACAGTATAAAATGTTGACGCCAAGTATGGCATGGTCACCAAAAATACCCTTGATTGGTACAACTTTGTGTCGCAGTATTAAAAGTTAAATCGTGATTGTGTCCTCGAACTAAGGAATTAATTACTGCACAAAATTATGAAATGGGCGCCTCGTGGCCATTTATATCGTGAAATATTGTTTACTAAATATGTTTCACAATATATATATGTATATGATGACGACACAACTAAGCAAAAAGCAATGAAATTTTCAAAATGTCACGAAAGTTCTGGGATAATCCCTTTCAGTCTATTTTTTAAAGAAATGCCGAGCGTCAATCAAAATGCTTGTTGTTTTAACCAAACATTGCTTACACTCAGCACCGCGATGCATGCGACTAATCATGCAGCAAGGAGCAATCAAAATTGTTCAGTCTAATCTATATGCACATTCGCACTCAGATCGAATCTGGCCCAAAATAGCGCTTGCCCACGTTAGTTAACATTTTCTTATACAGGATAAGCTGGCATAGCCTGGCTATTGAGGTTTGCTCTTGACAAGAGGCCGGTCAATTTAATTTGCAAATGAGCATCACCCTTGCTAATTAATTATTTTAACGCAATAGCACTGAGAAGCTCATGTCGCAGAAAAGCCGATTTCGGTGACGTGACTGGAAAATCCTGAATGGTCGATAAGGTCATGAAGTCAGAGCTACATGCCCTCGCTCAAGAATTTCAAACAATTCACAATGCTCACGTGAAACGTGACATCACGCATGGAATGAAAGTGATTAAAACATGACATGTAACGTGAATTGCAGGTCGCCGTATGTCTCTAATAATTTCTCTTTGCCTTAAAGAAAAAAAAAAAGAATTTTAGGAGGGATTTGATCCCACGACCCTTCGGTTGCGAGTCAGACGCTCCTGACTAGGCAACCGAGGCACGCTTGCGCGGCAAGTAAGGAGGCGATTTTAAGCCGAAGCTTAAGCGTCCCCCAAAGTACCTTCTTTATTAAGTAAAACGAAGTAGTATTTAAAGTTTTTCTCGGCATGGCAGCTACTTCATTGGATATTTTCTGACAGTTTACGTGCGTAATCGTCATGGTTATTCAGCCGCGCGCCCCTGTTTACTTTGTTTTTGTTCAGCCCAGAGACACATTAAAGCAATGTTTACCACATAGAAGAGGCAATAACAGGCTTCTATATGTTTAAGAAGTTATGATTGTGAGGAACAAATTGTTGTTTAAATTAGCTTCAAAATCAGAAATGTATGTAAAGCTGTCCCAAATAACCTTCAACGTGCCTGTCGGGGATACAAACGCCGGAAAAGATTGGCAGAATACAGTTCAAATAATTTTGGGGGGCATAGCTTTTGGGTGGTCGGCCATTTATTTATGTTGTCAAATATTCAGTTAGCAATGTAATATATTTTTATAATGATCAATAAATATTACCTTAAAAGTTCACATAACCGCTTGAGACCGACACGGAAGGAAGATACTCGAAAATACGCGAGCTGTTGAGTCTGCGTAAAAGTGTTTTTCTGTTTGCTGATTGGCAGTGTGAAACATTGGGTTGCAGGGTACGCCAAAAAGGACTCTGTGTTCACATGACAGATCTGAAAGCAAATACTCGAAATGTTAAAAAAAGAGAAAATAATGGTATTTTCCTAAATAATCTCTTACAGAACGCCTTACTGGAAAAAGAGATGCGTAAAGGTGCACGCAATGAAATTAATAATTTTACACGAATAGCGCGAAGGACCGATGAAGTTCTTAAAATCTTAATATAAATCTCATTTCATCAGCTTGCATGAGCTCTAAACTTCGCAAAATACTACCTCGCGAAGCTAATGTTACATTCGGTTTCACCTGCACTTGTTTTGGGCCCTCGCTTTACAACACTGTGCTTCAATAATCATGCGCTCTAGCATTTTTCTGGGCTGCCATCTATCATCGCGAGACTGCAATAAATAAAACTTTACAAGTAGGACATCTATTGCTAGTGTTGCGAACATCACATTTCACCAGAAAGCTGAACTGTTTAGCATGGCATGCACGTGACGTCATCATACTATATGCTAGTAGTCAT